CAATGCATCTCGCCATCCCCACACTCGCAAGCCTCGCAGCTCTCGCCAGCGCCGTAAACTTCACAGGCGACATCCTGAACGGCATCCCGGTTATCCACGACCTCAATCTCGCGGACGTGCCGCCACGAAGCGTAACAAAATACTATCTGCGCGCAGGCGAACTCAATGGCGGACATCCCGTGCATATTCCTGTTTTCGTAGCGCGCGGGACGCCCGAGAGTTTGACGAGCGGGAAGAAGCTGTCGCTTTCGGGGTCGATTCATGGGGATGAGCTGAATCCTGTGAGGGTTGTGCAGAGGATTTTTAAGCAGCTTGAGGGTGAGGTGGGGACGCTTAATGGGACGGGTATGTGCTGTTTTTTCGCATTCTGTGTGATGGGTGGGTTGCTGATGGGCGGGTAGTTATTGGACTTCCGACGGTCAATCCAATGGGGATTTATCTCAATCAGCGGAACTACTTCACGGCGGGCGCGACGGGTTTCCTGACGAATGTTAACCGGGTCTTTCCTGGTACCGCCGCGGAAGAGGGGGGGAGTGGACCGCAGCTGCTGGCGTATAATATCTGGAACTACCTCTGGGGCAACACATCGCAAGTCGATGTAGGTATTGATCTTCGTAAGCCCACCACCCACCCACCCAAGTAAACAAACAAGCAAGCACTCACACCCCCCAGACACACCCAGCTCAGGCGGCGAAACCTCCCTCTGGTGCTACGCCGACTTCCGCGCCCCCTACGTCTCGCGCCTAGCCAAACTGCTCCAACCCGACACACTCAAGATCGACGTCGGCGAGCCCGGCTCCATAGAAACCACCTTCGTAACCCACGGCATCCCCTCCATAACCGTAGAGATGGGGCAAGCCAAAGTCTGGAACACAAGCCTGATCGACCGCGCCGTCGCGTTCATAAACCGCGTCATGCTCGACCTGCACATCGCGCCGTCCAATGCAACTGTCGAGCCGGACCTGAGCAATGTGTATATTGCTAATACGTTGCATGATACGACGACGCGGTTTGGCGGGTTTGTCGAGCGGCTGGTGGGTGTTGATGAGGTTGTGGTCAAGGGCCAGGCTATTGCTAATGTGCTGAATCCGTTTGGGGATGTGCTGGAGACGCTGTATTCGCCCGCGGATGGGCGCATGTTTCAGAGTCCCAGGGATCCGAGTATTGAGCCCGGGGGTAGCGTGGGGCAGATTGCGTATAATTCTACGGATGTGGAGTGTGTGGATGGGTGTATTTTGTCGGCGAGTGGGGGGAGGCGGTGAAGAAGTCACAGTGTCTGGGAGGGTGGATGTGTTGTGCAGAATACATGATTGTAGATGTGAGTTTTGTTTCTGTTTACATGGGAGATTGTCGTCTTTTACATTACGTGGTCTACTTTTGAATGTCTGGATTCGATATCTTTACTACACATTCATACTGACCTAGAATCACTGTTGTCATGTTACTTTTGCTCATTTCAACTCATTTCAAAATAAGACAAAACAGAGCAGTGAAAGCACAATGCGCCTCCTCCCTTCCTTCCCAACCACGCAACTCACCACCAAATCCAACTCATTGTGCCGCCTATTTCACTTCACTCTACCAGCATCCCTCCCATCTATACCCCCTCACTATGCACACCCCGAAACATCCCCTCCCATAAAATACATTAATCCTCCTCGCCCGGAAATACTCAAACAACCCCATCAACTCCAATATCACAAAACCACAACCATGCCCCTAACCAACACCCCAACACCACCGCCCACCCCCCTCCCCTCTCCCCCACCTCTCATCCCCATCCCCCCAGGAATCCCCACCCTCTCAGCCCACGCCTCCCTCCTCTGGCTCCCCCCCACCGCCCCTCGCCCCTCCCACGCCCTCACCTCCCACGCCATCTTCACCGCCACAGCCACCCCCGATAGACCGGCCTGGCACCCCACCGGCTCCCAGCCCAACACCCCCCTTGAGTTCGCAAAAGGCATCCCGCTCGCAAAGGAGGAGCTACAGGCGCGTGTGCTGCCGCTTAGACAGGTGGTGGCGAAGTACAATGTTGTCGTTGTTAAGGAGAAGACTGAGGAGGAGAAGGAGAGGGAAGCGGAGCAGAGGAGCAGGGGGGATGTTTTTTTGAAACTGCTGTAGGGGAGGGGAGACGGTGTTTTTGAGTTTTGAAGAGTTTGTTTGGGAATGGCGTTTTTGGTGTTTATGGGTGTTCTTATGCTATGCTTGGTTTATCACTTTTGTAAGGCATGATTGATTCGTGGTATTATACTTAACCCATAGTAACATTGCTCATCTTATCGTTTCAGCTTCCCCAACGAAGGGTTTACAGACTTGTTGTTTGGCTTGAAGATCAGACATTCCGAAGCAATGTTTGTCCTGCCAGCTCTTGTGCATGCTCATTCAATTCCGAGGTAGGACAGGTGTTGCTATGATAAATCAGAACTGCACGTTCAGAGAAAGGGGTCTTCTACTGTAAAGGTTAGAATTGGGGACTACTCACGTATGTTGATAGTGTAGTTTTCGTGATATGTTCGTTCGACTTTTCGAGCTCTAGAGCATTCATCGTATTTGTTGATATGGATAAAATCAGACTATCCGATGTTGGGGAAGAGTACAAAATATGTATCCTCAGCGCTAGACTTACATTGTATCCTGGCCACAACTTCCAGTTTCTACGAAGGAACTCCATGGCTGTATAATTGGATACAAACATTTTCACGGTTTTCACAGAGCCAGTCATATTTCTTTGGTATACAGTGTAAGATCGAAGTTCTTTGGCTATGTATCGAACAGTCATGTTCTGTTGCACAGAGTAATCTGAAAGTCCTTCGCCGGATATTGACAGTCCTTCATTCATGAATGTTTGTCATCGTGATATCATTCCTCCAGTTCGTCACGCCCACACATCTGCACATCACCGTCATCTTTTTCCCCTCCTACTCCTTTTCTTCTTTGAAATGTGGCTTGGGGAGATCTTGGAGCCGAGAGTTGAGCTCATGGAGCTGTTTGGTGAGAGCTTCGTCGGGGTCGCTGGAACGATTCGTCTCCCTCTCCTGCTTGACCTTGATGAGAAGCTCTGTCATTTCTTCATAGATTTTGGTGTTCGCTATGATGGCCTCGCATCCCTCGTACTCGGCAAGGCGAGCACTGAGGCGGAGCAACTCCTTTTGCCTAGCTAGAATGGCCATGACTGATTCTACCAGAGCCACCTCGGTTGGGCATGCCCTGGCCCTACGGCGACGTCGGAAGGCTTGGAAGGCTTCGATGAGCTCTTCATCGTCGGTCCAGTCCTCCATAATGACTGTGTCATCGGCTGCCGCAGGCTCTCCCTTGTCCTTGCTCTTGTTGTCGAAGGTAGAAGCGTCAGGCATGTCGTGAGCTGCTTTGCCCTTGCCCTTGTCATTGCCGTTGTCGTTGTCGTTGTCGTTGAAGGTAGAATTCATTCTGTAATGGTAAGCTTGTTGTCTCATTTTCGTTCAATGCAACATACATTTGAGCAGGTAGTGGGTTGATCGGGAGAGTCGTCGAGGTGAGGGAGCAGTTGACAGAGAGGGGCAGCAACGGCAATTTCTACCTTCATGTATCCGTCGGTTTCAAACTAGTGGTTCGCTAAACAAACCGCAGTGAAAGAAGGTATGATGAAGCACGCGAAATGATGGAAACACAAGATCACGTCGCACTACCATATCATGGTATCTCCCAGTGATATCTCGAAGCGCAAACAAGAGTTTCTCAGCCCCAGGAATGCTCCAGCCTCCAGCGAAGGAGCTGACTGAGAACGAGCGTGAGCGGGAAAGCCGTGCTACTTTACGGTGAAAGCTTGCGCACGGGATCACTATATAACAGTGCCTGACCTGTCGTTTGCTGTCTTGCCGCACCTCCACACCGCTCAACCGCCATAATGGACGACAACCAACCAACAGCTCCTGACGACTATAATGACGAGCAGCCACCAGCCCCTCAAGATAAAGGCAAAGCGAGAGCCGTCGACGACAAGATGCCCACCCAGGACGCCGCGGAAAATGCCACCAATACCCAAGGCAGCGGCAGCTACATTCCATTCGAACCCAAGCTCTACATGACGGAGGCGGAGGAGAAGGCATATCGCCACCCACTTGATAGGCCTAGTCTCAAGCCCATTCGCAAGGAACAGAAGCGAATAGAGAAGAGGCTGGCCGATATGCACGACAGACAGATGATTATTGGATCATTGACGCCATGCCTTACTGAGGCTGACGAGGTGCTCGAGCTGACCAAGCACATCCAGCCCCTGCCGAAGCAAACCCCCAAACGCCCTCACTCCAGCGGCCAAGACGGATCAGAATCGAAGAAGTTCTCATCGCCACGCAAGTCCGAGGACAGCGACATGTCTAGGGCTGTTCTCCCGTCTGCTCTGTTTCGCCCGCCGGGTTCATCTGGCCCGCGGTATCTTCCTCCCCTACGTGGACGAGCTCGCTTTCCGGACCTATCTACTCTATCTGGTCCTTCTCGTGTGACTGGCTCCCTGACGACACCAGTGCCAGCGTGTCCTGTGCAGACCGCCACCAGCCAACAGTTGGATCTTCAGCAGATTGTCCGATCGGATCCTGGTGCATCGACAGTCGACCAGCTCCCCACAGCACCCGAGCCTCGCGATTGACCGCTCGGCCCCCCCCACGAAGCACGAGCAGGGAGTTGAACATCAAGGGTCAGTAAATTGGCGGAAGGGACTTGACGTTTATGGTCGTGAAGCATGTACTGTCTCTAAATATTGATGACTGTCTCTAAATAATAATGTATACCTGGATTGGAGTCACAATTTCTACCCTTTTTTGTGACTGTGGTCCTCTTTAGCTTGTCTAAATCTACAGAAGGCCAAGAACTTTCGCGCAATCGCACCCATGGACTGTATCAAGGAGTATTTTCCAGAGCACTACGAGGAGTTCGAGAAGTATGAGAGGTACGCGGCGGAGAAGTTGCGAGGACGGCGCGAGTAGATGATGTGCTTCTCGGTGGGGTGTTAACAACGAAATGACTGCTACAGTCAGAGCAAGTGAGGCGTATACCGGAGATAGCTGAGGGACATGAGCTCCACACCAACTTTGTATGTAGTTGCCACAGGGTTAAAAGAATTTGCCCCAACTTGCGTTCCATGCATATCAGTGACGTGCTAACCCTACAACAACTATCGCAGTCAGAGTACCTGAGGAGTATACCGGTGATAGCTGATGTATGTAATTGTCACAAAAACTTTGTATGTAGTTGTCTAGGGGCTGGAAAACTTCACTTGAAACTACCTTCACGAGCGCCGCACATGTTGAGCGGTGTCGTCACATGGGAAACAGCAAGAACTAAAGAAATCATGGTTCGTCTATGTGTGCTGCACTACTATACAGGATGACATGCTGCGCGGCCTTGGATATCTTGCTTGTCGACTATGTCCATCGATTCTGTGTGAAACGACAGGCATGTCTGTCAACGACGTCGTATCCGTGAGCCATCATGTCCATCAACCATGTCCGTCAACCATTGTGTTCGTCAGTCGCCGTATCCGCGAACCGCCGTATCCATCACCGACTCACAATCCCGCAAGCCTCTTCAGCTCCAAAGTCTGCTTCTGAACCTTCTGAAAAGCTTCGTAAGCCTCCGCTTGATAGCTCTCAACATCAAGTGCCCTCATCGCGCTAGGCTCTTGTTTGTCCCCTAGCATCCGCAGAGCCTGATCGTACCGAGAATAATCCTTGTTAAGACGCTCGGCCATCTTCAAGCACAACTCCATCACCCAGGCGTCGATTTCGTGGGCGTTTGCATGTCCGTATTCCAAGGTGGTGGAGTCCACGAGTTTGAGCTCGCGTAGCTCTTCTTTGGCGTACAGATGCTGAGAAAGTAAGATTAGACGGAACGACAAACTTTCGCTCACATCGATGATGAGCTTGTTGTAGTTCTCGTGCAAACTGCTCACTTCATCCTCGTGCTGCCGCGCCACATCCTCCCGCTGGGCGGTCACTTGCTCGTTGAACCAGTGCATGAACTCTGCGTGTTGTTGAAGGTCTTCCGTGGTCCATTCGAGCGTGATCTGGGGCAACTCGGGCATAGTTGGAACCGTCGTCTGCGAGACTGCCACCAACGTCTTTGAGACTACCATTGGCATCTTGTTCGTATGGTCGATGAGAGACTGAATCCGGCCTTCGACGTGGCGACGCTCTGATGTGAGAATGTTGCGAAGCCCGTTAGAGCGGTTTCTCGTCCAAATGTCACAGGTCTCGAAGGTAGGCTTCGGCCAGACCGTTGTGTTGCCAGTGGCACGGAATGCATCATGTGCGAATTGTTCCAGCGTGCAGAGGAGCAGCTGCACGCGTTTCGTCTCAGCGATGCTCCATTTCTCGGAGAGCTCCCTGAAATGAAGGCCACACCAGGATATTATGACATCCACGCCGTCGATGGGTTGCGGACACCTCATTTTCGTCGAGTCGAGGCCCATGTCCCGGTACAGCTCCACCAGAGACACATACACAGCCGTTAGAAATTCTCTCAAGTCCCTCCTGGAATCTGCGAGCTGGGTTCGGATTTGCGTCATAGCCGCTTCCTTGGACTGGAGTTTGTTGCTCATGCTGACAGGCAAGGTATTGTAGAACGCCATAGCGACCAGTACCAGATCACCAGATAGCTCTGGCCAGTCGCGTACCGGAATCTCGCACTGGATGAACATGTCCCGGAAAACGGCAGTCGTGCGGACGACAAGGTCGTTGAGAGCCGTCTTTGATGCCTCAGACGCCTTTTTCAGCTCGTCCATGGCTTTCTCGACGTTCTGGAGCTGCAATACTATCCAATCGCAGACATTAGTCGACTCGATATCAGCATACCTCGAAAGCTGTAACTTTGGCTGCCACCGAGCCTCCGGACTCACACTTTCCATCAGTGTGTTCAGCTGCGCGAGCACGGCGCCCATGAACTTGTTGAATTGAGCAACGTTTGCCGTCTCCTGGCTGGCGAGAGCCTTGCGCACGTCGTCCAAGCGCGCATCGAAAAACATCCCAGTGTCCACTACGGAATCCTCGATGATGTTGCTGTCCTGTGGGAGGTTGTCCATGGGGACGCCAGTAACTTTGCACACGCTGTCGACAAACTCCCTGCCCAGCCTACAAACGTTTTTGAGCACAACCTCCTTGTTCAGATTGGCATTGTTGCTGGTTTGAGTCTCCAAGATGGCCGCATTCTGACGTCTCAGTGTCATCACCTCGGTCGATATGGTACTGATATATGCGGCCAGGAGCGGTTCCACTGTCTGACTGGTGTTCAAATCCAGGTCTAGTGTCTGAGCGGAGGCTTGCAAGGCTGCAACAAGCCTCGCGGTCAGCTGGTCGTGCTGTTCTGTTGTGTCACTATGCTCCTTATCGCACCCTCCGGAGTCGTGTGTCGCCATGTTGATCTGATAGATGTGTTTGCGCAGTTTTGGTTCACCGGAGACGCCTGTGTTGAGATGTCGAGAAGAAGTGTTTGATAGGAACTCGGATCTGTGTGTCGAGACTGATCGTCCAACTGTCAAGACTATCGGTGACGTAAATGTGTGTTTGCAGTGGAATGAAGTGGATGAGGTGGGGTAAAGAGAGGTGCGCAGAAAAACAACGGGGGCGTTTGCATTTGAACTCGGCGGGGCGCCAAGGTGTGTGCAGTGAAAGGGCTCCCTAGACCTGTATGCTTGATAACGGGCACCTCCTCATTCACTTATGAGGTTCTAGATGGGCAATGTAACTTGAGAACAGGCAAAATCCTATTTTGGACTTCCGCAGCCAAGAGTGTGGAATTGTCCGCTTTACAGTGCGATTAAAGGTCCACTTCGTTCTTTCACTGCGGGTCTAGCGATCCTGATCGCACCTTGACCGCTACGGAGTTGATTGGCCTTGGGGATATAAAAGCACCACCCGCCCCTCCTCGCTGCTCTTCCCTGTAACACTGACACTACATCTCACAACGAGCGACAAAAAGTCTTCAAAGGAGCGCACCATGAACGGTCCGGAAACGAAGCTGAGGCGCTCGATGGCGGATGGGCCTGGGTAAGTGCTCCTTGATCGAACGCTATACAGTGTCAATACTGATATGACCAGCTTTTGGTCGACTATCATTACTGTCCTTGTCGGCGAAGACGAAGAGGTGAAGAAGTTCTTAGTACACCAAGATCAGCTCACGATAAGCTCCGAGTTCTTCAAGAAAGCGCTGAGTGGTGACTGGGAGGAGAGCTCTACCCGGACCGTCCAGCTACCTGAGACAGATGTCACGGCGTTCGGTATATACGTCAAATGGCTCTATAGCGGGAAGTTCTACATCATGGAAGACAACGACAAGAGCGACAAGGATGAGGATGATCTCATTCCTGATCATGAGCTGGATAAGTGGCATAGTTGCTATGTACTGGGCAGTTTCCTCCAAGATCTGGACTTCAAGGACGCATTGATCGACATGCTCATTGAGAAGGCTCGGTTAGAACTCGCCTTCTCTATACATCTAGTTGAGTCGGTGTATGATTTCTCTTTAGCAACTTCCCCTCATCGAGAACTGGTTGTACACGCTGTCGCACATGTTTGGCCCAATCCTTTCTTTCAAATAAAAGTTTTGAAAGAGCAGCCCGCAGAGTTCTTGGCGGATCTCCTGGTTTACATTGGTCCGCCGGCGAAACTACGTATATTCCAAGCGCAGAGCGTCAACGACTTCTTCAAGGATCTGAAGCCCTGCAGGTATCACGAGCATACTCTGAACAACAGTCCCTGTTACAAGACGAAGAAGAGGTTCTTCGCCTGAGCATCTCGACCACTGTAAGTTGTACACCCCCACCCATGAGCGCACTATACTAACTGCTCAGCACCCAGACCACGGCGACCCACACATGGGCACACACTTTCCCACTTCAGTCCCTCCACCTACCCACCTGCTACACGACGACTAGCAACCGCAGCACGCCGCGGGGTTTGTCCTCAGCGTAGCCTATACATGCACACCAGCCGAGTTAGCTAGAGATAGACCAATACACATGCATTCCCATCATCCTATGCTTCGTGCAATCATCCCACCCCCAACACCACCCCTCCCTATAGAATACGCTGAACCGACCATCTTCTCTTCTCAACACAATCCTAGAAGAGTAGTTGACAAACACATTTACTGGCTATTTATCAATCACTTCCCACTTCGTCAACGTCCTCTCACACATGCGCCAGCAGGAACCCACTCCATGATCTCCTTACTACCTTCAGTTGATCGAAAAACGAGGAACTAAGATGCAGCTAAATCTTGCAACAGCTCAACAACTACAAGCAAAATCAGCGTAGAAGTCTTATACCTGAATATCTAGCAGTATATGCCTAACAGACACCATCTCAAATTCAAGAGCGTAGTTTTGCAAGAACGCAGCTGACTTCCCGCCAGTGCACTTGACCGAGAGCTACTGCATCACATATACTTGCAGTCCCGCCGATAACCCCCACATCAGCACTCGAAGACGGGCACTCACGACATCACAATGCAAAGACAACACAATGCATATCAATCTGCATTAAGGGCCACCGCCTAACTCAACAAACAAACTCGATAGTCGTACAAAACGCCCTACAAATGACCAACGTGGGTGAAGAAAACGGATATCTAACTTCTCCTGGCAAAGGCCCTCTTGGACCCGCCTTACAAGACTTTTGGTGCTACATGACTTCTTCGGAGACGTGCTGTGCTGTGCTGTGCTGTGCGTGCTGAGGGTGTGAGGGTGGCTGGATGCACACGGGGTGGGATGGGGTATTGGGGCCGGGGCGGTGGTTCCTGTCATCGCGATAATCGTGCTCGGGGGGCTCGGGGTCGGGGCGTCGGGTCTGGGTCGTGTGGGCGAGGATAGTCGGAACGGGCATAGGCTGGCCGTGAGACGAAACACATCGCCATCGTCTTTCCTCACTGAATTCGACAACGGCCCAGAAGCGACTTCTTCCAGAATGCCTAATCACGAGAAGGAGTGATACTACCCAGATCATGCGGGAGGGACGAGGTTTGGGCGGGCAGACGCAAGTTCGGTCTCGACGGCGTTCTTGCGGGTAATCCTGGGCTTTGGGGGTGGGTGGGAGCTGCGGGCTTCTCCTTTAGTCAAGGGCTAGAGCAGACTTTTCACGGAGATCAAGTCTAGCATGTTGACCAACCCACAGCTCGAACTCACCAAGCTGGGGGAGGGGAGGATTATGGCGTTCAGGCCATCACACCTTGATTGCCACCTGGTGGTCGTCAGTGCCGTGACATATAGTAGGAGTAGAATGATCGACCGTTGATGGTATCGACGTTTGAAGAGAACCTAAGAAAAGGATTGTTCGTACCGACTTGGCGCTTGATCTGTTCGCGAGCCCACCGGCCGGTGTCGCGCGTGCGGCCGCTGAACTCCTGGTTCGCTCGGGCCTCTCTTGCCATCGCAGTAAGGAACTCAGGACGGAAGTGATCCCTGAATTCACCATTGGGAAACGCGTCCGCGAGATCACTGGGAAAAGTTAGTAAGCATCGAACCGATCAAACCCAACCACGACTTACCCGATGACACCGCATGCAGATCGAAGAAGACCTTCAGTTCGGTTGCTGTCCGACTGAATGGTACGGAGAAGCTCAAAGATTGATTCCACGTATGGGATCATGAGATCGGCTATGATTGTGAGCATTCATTTGAATAAAGCAGACGGGGGAGAACTCACTCTTGCCACTCGCCTTCATAGCGTTGATGCAACCGTCCCATGCATCGACAATACCCTCCCGCAGCGACGTGATGTAGTCCATCATCTCGTAGTTGTTCTCGGTAGTCAGGGTCACTTGGCCAGCCTGCTGAAGCACTGTGGCGACAACAGGGAGATATGTCTCGAAGGAACCGTGGATGGCGTGAGCAATGTCACCAAAGCATTGCAGGATAGCTGGCTTGAGCTGGTTGCCAAGAGCAGGGCTCTGTTGATACGCGTTAGTGTTCGATAATGCAACACCTCGTTCTGTTGTAGGACTTACGCGGAGATTGTTGAGGAGAGAGTTCATGAAAGCATCACAGTAAGGCTGGACGTTCTCGCCCAACGATCGAGTGATATCAGCAACCAACCCAATTGCCATGGAGCAAAGACCAGGCTCCTCCTGGTTGTTGAGGGCGTTGTACAGGAAAGGCGAGAAAGCCTCCATGTATTTCTGGAAATCATCCTCGAGCGCGGTAGCAATGGATCCAATGGCGGCAAAGACGGTGTCTGGGACGCTGGACTTTGGTGGTAGAGAGGACAGAGTACCGAGCAGAATCTGCATGATGCGATCCGACTGAGGCCTCACGTCGCCTTCTAGACGCTGAACAATAGACATGACGACGCTGGCCAAGCTGGTCTGCATTTCCTCGAGAGTAAGTTTATCTTCGACGCTGACAACCTGTTGCTGCAGGCCGATGGACTTCTCTAAGCGTTCAAGAATGACGTTGGCCAGCTCGTTGACGAGAGGAACACTGTCGCCAGCAGCGTTGTTCACAAAGGAGTTGAGCACTTCATAAGCTGCAGTCCTCAGCTGGTTGTCTGCATCACCGCGTTCAGTGACCTGCAAGAGCTGCTGCACGCTTTGCGCAAAGTGTGGCGACAGCGGGTTGCTCGAGCATCCCGGCTCTCCTGCAAATTGGTCGGCCAAGTTCATCAGCGACCAGCAGCAAGACGCGGCCATCTTGGGGCTACTGGACAGGCCGTTGAATAATGCTCCAATCAAGGGCGGGAGGTGCTGTTGTGCATCTAGAGCACTCGGGACAGCCTCGCAAATGCGGCCCAGAGCGTACGCTGCCGAGTCCTTGACGTGGATGCTCTGGTCATCCATCATCCCAATAAGCGTGGGCAAGGCTTGCTTGACGATGGGATCCAAGACAGACTCCTCAGGGCCTTCCATGATGGCGCCGAACGCGGAAACGGACGCGTCTCGGTAGTGCCAGTCTTCCGAGCGGATGTACTTCTCGATAAAAGCGAGCACCGGAGGCATGACGCCTGCGCCAACGCACTGAGCCCACAGCTGCAGACATTGGTATGCAGCGCGAGCCGTGTTGTACTCGTTGTCGTCAGCATCCTCGTCTTGCTTGGCAAGCAGCTCCAGCAGTACCGGGACGACCTCCTGTGTGGCGACCCGAGCAAAGTTAAAGTATTCCCTCAGTTCAGTGGAACCCTCAGCATGAGCCTGTCGACGTGTCAGCTTTTCTCGCGGGAAGTTTACCGTCTGCAGGAGTCACGTGTCACATACCTGTGTGTTGTCATCTTCAATTGCGATTTCCTCCTCGCAAACAGTGCACCAGAACTCAACGGCAAGCTTGGCAACGTCCTCTTCCTCACTCTTCATGCCTTGAATGGTAAGCCCAAAGAGAGCCTTCTCCATGTAGAACCGCATCTTGTCATAGTAAAGACCCATGATGCGGTTCAGGGTTCCGTATGCGCCTTGCTGGATGCGGCTGTCATCCGCTTGTGTAGCCTCGCAGATGACTTGCATGATGTAGTTGCGCTCGCCCTCGTTGTCAAAGTTCGATCGCACAAACTCGATCGAGTCGCTGAGCGCGTTGATGGCTGCAACGCGGACGTCGTTGTTCGTCTCCTCTTTGCGAGCCCCCTGGACGACCGCGGTCAAGATGGCGTTCGAGTGGTGTGCCAGCGCCTCCCTCAGCTCCACGTCGTCTGTGTCGCAAACAAAGCCGATTGTAATGAGCGAAGCCTGCTTCTGGCTGTCGTTGCCCTGTCCAACGCTCTCCACCAGTGTGGGCATGAGCTCCGGCCATTGGTTGCGGGGTAACTCGATGGCAGCGACGGAGGCGATGAACTGGGCGGCGGACTGCCCTACACCCCTTGCTGGTGTGGACAGTGTGCGGAGGGCCATGGCCTTGACTTCCTGCTTGATCTGGGGTTCCAAGCCAAGCCATCGCTCCTGAACCTGACGTAACCGGGCGTACTCGCGTGCGGTGAAGGCATTCTTGAGCGCCAACGCGGCGGCTGTCCGGATCTGAGCCTGTGCCTGCTCATTTGCGAGCTCGCCACCGAGGACTTGCAAGTATTGTGACTAAAATGAAACGGGCCTGTCAGTGCCATGTTTCGGTGAGGCACACGTAGGCTGCTGCCGCGGGGAGACTTACAAAGTTGGAGTCGGCGGCCTGTGTGAGCTGCTGCTCGGCACTCGTGCGGATGTTGACATCTGAGACAGTTAGTCGAGGCTGGGTATGCCCAGGAACGTGGAAAAAGCAACATACCAGGGGAGAAAGTCCCCTCCAACACCTGGTTGATATCCATGATTGCGGAGGGTGCTTCAAAGACTTAAAGAGGGGTATTCGGCGGTGGAGCGAGTAAAGGTGCCGCAGAGGCAGGTGAGGCAGGAGTAGTTGCGGCGAGAAGGAAGAAGTCAGAGGCTTGTGGTGGGTGCTCGTAGGTTGAAGCGAAAGTAGTCAAAGGCAGGGCCAAACTACCAATTGCACGTGTTTTCTCTGTTTCGATCGGACGGATAGTGGGGCACAGCGCCGATTTTGGAGAAGGAGTCTGTTGTGCAGCGCAAAAGCGTGTCAGCAAGACAAACACAAACAGCTTGCTCGAGCAAGATACGTGCGGTCAAGGCTGACGGGAATTTCTAGTCGCTTCCAGGCGCCGTTGTGGACAGTTCACACAGCTCGAGGGAGGCGCTCCTTAACGCCCTGGCAACCGCATTGGCTCGCTTGGGACGTGCTTTCCACCCCAGATCGCCCCCACGCAGCGCAGCCCTGCGCCAGGTACATGTCACGATTCTGTTGGCCTGCCTATTACACGGCCTCAGATCGAGACATCTCATCTCCAGGCCGTCGTGGATCGCAAGCGGCCGCCTGCTGCACGGTCAATCACCGCTCAGCCATTGGACAACGTGTCTGGCAGACGGGCCGCTAGGCTGCCACGTCGAGCTCAAGGTGGAAGCAGTGGAGAAAAAGAACATGGTGATGATCGTAGGTAGTATGTACAGATGCTAGCAATCCAACCGCACCCCAAACTGCACCAAACGCCAAGTACGCAGATCGCTCTTGTCATGTAAACCTCCTCCCCGCCCTCGGGTCTTCGGCCTCCTGCTTCCTCCAGTCCCGCATCTCCTTCGTGCCCATGGATCCCAGCCCTCCCTCGCCCCTCCTCTCCCATCCGCCCAGTCTCACGACCAGTCCCGTTGCGTTGTCTGCGCCCTCGCTCCCGGTCGATGTCTCTACCGCAAAGCTGACGAGGTCTCTTGCACCCTGTTCTGGCGTCCTGGCTTCTTTCACGACATCGACAATCTCCTGGTCTGAGAGATGACCGGACACGCCGTCGGAACAGAGAACCACGAACGAGTACTCGGCAGGCGAGAGCTCAATGCGACGGACCTCGGGCTCGGCAGAGACGCCGACACGCTTTGATGCCATGTCGCCAAATGCGCGTGTGTTGGCGAGGCCAGAGATACGTTCCTCGCCAAACGAGTCGGTCACGAAGGCGCCGGCGTAGCGACGAAGACGAGTAGCCTCTTCAGGTAGAGATGGGTGGTGATTGGATGTCAGGGGTACGGCAAGTCCGGTAGCGGTATCGCAGAGGAGGATGCGAGTGTCACCGACGTGCGCGGTGATGAGGGAGGATGGGGAGGAAGGATGCCAGTATGGCGAAGGCGTTGGTGTAGAGATGAGGGCAATGCTGCACGTGCTTCCACCCAGGAAGCGCTTTGGACCACCGATTTGGTGGGTTGTGCGTGAAGGGTGTCCTAGGATGTCATCATCGTTGAGAGCTTTGTCTGCGCGGACGGCGTCTTCCTCCTGCTTGCCAACCTGAGCGGCAACAAAGTCGTAGTCTGCTTTGAGGAAGGCGTATTGGAGGACTGTCTCGATGCCGATACCTGTTGTCGCATCGTCGGAGGCAGATTCATCGCCTGTGACACCTTCGTCGGTGGGATGGCCCTGACCACCCGCCGACTTGGAGAAGTACTCTGGTTTGAATCGCCTGAAGTACCCGCCTACCAGCTCCTTCCAATCCCTGACCACTTGCCGCTCCAGATCTACCGCCTTTTGTATGCTCTGTGATTGCTTGATATGTGGGTCGCTGTCTACCGGCTTTCCAGCAGTCTTGGAACCTCCAGGCGGGAGTTGTTCTTCGCTCCCTGATTTTGGCGGTTTCAATGGTTCTACGCCAGGCGGGGTATGCGTCTCGATAGCGTTCAGGCTGTCCTTGTCTTTCTGCCTGCGAATTTTGCTGGAGGCGTCGTTGGGATCGTCCATGCTGGTCGGCCGGTTGGGCGTTTGCTTTGGCAGGCTGCTCTCCAGTTCAAACAGCTGGGATGCATCCTCCAAGTACTTGTGCAGCTCCTCTCTCAGGAAGCCTGAGCACTCGGCGCCTCCATGTCCATCGAAGACGCCAAAATAGAAGACCTGGGGGTCTCCGCTGGCACTATCCGCCGGCGTGACCGCGTTCGCAAACTCGCCTTTGCTGTTCCTCGTCAAGGACGTGGGACGCCGCTTAGCGAAGGCGGGGACTTCAATGGTGCCTGCTTGGAAGGCGTCCTCGTTGTAGGGCCGGGTTCCTCGTGACAGCATGACTCCAAAGTGGTGCTTCGCCCTCTTCAATGGTATCCGCACCACGGTCATCTCACGCGACGCGCCCACGACTGCCGCGGGCGACCTGCTCGATCCTTGCAGCGTGTAGGGCGTGCTCTGATCGCGCGGCAGCCTGTGATGCGCTCCATTTTGCGGTCCCGAGTCTGGATGCAGCGAGGTGGAGGGGAGATGGGTGATGAAGTACTCGTGGAAGTAGCGACGCTGGCGGGCGGATTGCCCTACGGATGAGGGGAAGTGGTTCGCGGATGAGGGCCTCGACGCGTGGATGCAGGCGACGCAGGCGATGGAGGCAGTTGGAGGCCTCTGGCTAGCTCTAGGGATACGGACTGACGGTTTCCACATGCTGTCCCTGGCCGCAAAGGACGCATCGCGTTGTGGAGAAGGGAATTATGTCATGTTGGGGCCGAGGGATGCTCGGGGGTAAGGCCTTGGTTCCGCTGTTCCTGAACCTCGTCACCGGCCATCCTAGCACGATACACGAAGACTTCAAACGCACTGCACCAAGGCTTACCACAGATGTTCACAGAAATTGCACATATGACACAAAAAGTCATCATAGTCGTTGTATAGACTTTTGGTCTTCAACGAATGAACGTCCCCCGCTAAGACCGTCTATAAAGTATATCTAAACTTATGGCATTACGCATACAGAACTCATGCCTCATCTGCGAGTTACGACCCGCTATGTTGCGCGTGGATAATGTCATATTCAAGGAGTAGGTCTCGCACTCCGAGTAGATGGACGTCTTCCGAGAAACGGCCATCACGGATGTGAGAGTAATCGTGACATTTGGCTCTGCGTGCCGGGGTCAAGCATGGGGCCTACGCGCGAAGCTTTTCGCGACTGGTACACTCCGACTTTGTCGCGGACGTCTACTGCCATTTTGCGAAACAGCGGACGCCAGATAGCGACGGAGGCGGCGATGATCCCCGTACCTGGCTCGGCGGTGGCCCAGATGGTGACTTTGACAGACGCAGCGGAAAGAGCGCCACCGCCGATTAGCAGGCCCTCAAGGTAGAAGAGGCGGAAGATGCTGGCTACGCTGCCAATCGCGCCGAGACCCATGACGATACTGACGGAGATCTTGGCTCGACGGTCAATGTCGCTGTCGATGAGGATCGCGATGGGGATCAGGACGAAGGTCCAGTCTGCAACGATGTTCAGGATGCCGTAGACGTAGCCGCTAGTGAGGAGGAGGGCTTTTGGGAGACAGCGATCCGCTTGCATGAAGCTGTCTGCTAGGCGTGCGGGATTGCCGCATTGGAGTATGGTGATAGAGACGTAGAACAACCCATAAATGGCCGATATGCCGAGGATGGCATGGAAGATAGCAGTCTGCCATCGCTTGGTCAAGACGCGAAGGAAGAAGAGGCCAAGAGAGATCTTGAGGGTAGTGGTGGTCAAGATGTAGAAGATTTCGGCTAGTTGGACGTACTGCGTTCGGTGAGTAATGGCCCCAGCTTCAGAATAGGTAGTAAGACGTACCATGAGGCTCACGCGAAGGTCCTTTTTGTGGAACAATTCTCCATCAGCGCTGCGAAAAGTGATCACGAAGATGATAGCGCAGTAAACATTAAACAACACCTACACTTGTGAGTTTGAGTTCGTGTACAAGCAATACACAACATACCAGAGTAACAACCATAGCCGCGTCGTCCCAACCAGGAGATTTCGTTATTTTGAATCTGACCCATAGTCGCAGAGCTACCGCTATCCACGACAAGAGCACAAGTACTATGATAAGAACGAAGACGATTTTGCCCAACAGAACCAGCTCTTGAACGTTTACACTTGCCATACCGCCAGTTTTAGAAGATTACAATGACTAAAAAGAAAGAAGACACCTCAAAAACATGGGGCGCATCGTGGGTGTTAAGAAGTTTAAGACGGAACCAGAGATGCCCGAACGATCACTCCGGGGCATACCCTGACGCACGTGGCAAATAGTCTCGAAATCGATGGTAGCGGATGCTGGAGCGTGACGAATCGTATTGATTGGCTTGTTTGTCCGGCAGGGACTTGGATAGTTCTGTGTGAGCACCCCAGGCGTTTGATGTCTTCGGTTGGATTGTATCCCGGTAACGCGCCCATGAAAACAGTAAGACATGACGGTCCCTGTATACGTAGGCGATCGCAGAACTAGTCATGAGATACTTCGAGCCACGTTTCGGGGACTTACTGTCCAGAAAAGGATGATCCCAGCGTACCAAGACAGTAAAATCTGGAGAGCGCATCCCAGTCACCCAAGTACGAAGCGGCAGACAGCATAGACTTGAGAGTATTCATGTTCATCCGGTGGCTCGATAGAATGCATTCCTCTTCAGCACGTTTAGTCTGGACAACACGACTAGCCATCAGAACACACTTGTTCTCTGGTGCTGTAGAAGATGACGAGTCTGGAAACGTGATGAGCCGGAGGGGGAAACAACAGCCTCACAACTTTCTAACAGATAGACTTGAGAGTGATATTCTTTGAGACACTAGAACTTTGCAGGCTGGTCCAAAAACAGAAGGGAGGGGTCGCTCGGTACACATCCGAAGGCTGTGGTGTTTCGCGATGCATTCGAACCATGTTTCAAGAACCCATCGACCACACCAAACACGGAATACCGCAATTAGTCGCCGAAGGTTCGTGTTTGGGCGGCATTGACTAGGAATGACCCGAAAAAGTATATTGCTGAGGCGGAAACTCGAGTTGTAGGGCTGGATGTCGAGGAGTGGATAGAGTTGGAAGACGGAAGATCGGCGTTTCGGATTAAAGTACCCCCGTTCCTAGCGCCAGGAAAAAACTCCTCGAATTGTATTCGACAAGACCACTGTCTACAAAGCAACACCACTCGCGCCAACTGTGTTTCAACAGCCTTTGTGCATTCCCTGCTCTCGCAATTCATCCATCATGTACCACGCGCTGCACAGCCGGTTCTGGATAAAAAGCTCAATCAGTCGCTCTTTCTGAGGCACTCTACGCCATGACACCGAATTACCTCGTCTGGTCAATTGCCTTTCAGCCACGTGCTGATTTGTAGCATACAGCTATATATCCATACTCACCAGCGTAGGTTCCAACTTCTTCGAAGTAGCACTATGCCTTCGATGAAATCCAATCACCGTCCCATGAGGTATGTATTCACCCATTTTTCTTTCCCCTATTTCATGATGATATCAGCAAAACTCACAGACCTGTTCCGAGATAAACATCATGTGGATAACCTTGCTCAAATTCTGATCGCGACCCTTTAATTGCTTCTCATCCTATCCAGTTCGTACTCCGGACATCAAGGCTGACTTGCTCAAACAGATACAAACTCCTCATTGCGGCTTGGTCTCGTTAAGTAGTGTACGGCTTAGTAGCTGGGACTTGTAGAACTATTCACCAAATACTACGACTGCCTTTCATTGCTTCTCTACTCAACCACACAGCGTGTTATTGAGTATTTGGGGCGAGTAGGTCCGATTGTTATAACACTCTTTATCCACGAGTACGGACAATGCCGAGTCCTGGTGATTGGTTGTTCTTTCTTGTCTGCCTCGGAAACTCAGCACAATGCCATTAGCCTCGAAGCCCACCGTTTACTTTTCTTTGTCTTGTCTCCATGATCTGGTCCTTCACTGTGCTTGATGAAAGAGTGTTGTACACTCCCATATATACATGACACGCACCTATGCAGTTCACTACCCTAACAAGAGTTCTACACAACGCCTACAAACATTGCATCCGCAATCCATCACGGAACAGCCTCGAGAGCTGACCATCATACAGACTTAGATGACCCTTCATCCACGCAAACTAGCCATCATCAGGATCTCGCAGCTTGCATGGAGCAATACCCGGACCTTTTTGCTCTAGAAGAGAGCATGACTAGTCAAGTTAATCCTCGAGTGGACGATGACATCGCTTTGGGCCAAATTGGTCTACCTAGTCTCTACCCCGTCGACATGGGTCCTGTTGATATGGACTCGGACTTGAGCGTATGGAACGACCTGTTCAACAACACATACGCTATCGACTCATTTGCAAATGACTATGATACACGGCAGTATCAAAACAACAATCAATCTGATCCGGAACTTTTCGCTGACTTTCTCCAACAGTGGGAGACGCCAAACAACGTCGAACCACAAGATCAAACGAGTACATGCCATCAAAGGATTGGGGATATGCAAGTTACTCCACAATACGCATTTGACCCCAGTCTACTAAACTATCCATCTGAAGATGTCGTCCCTTTGGATAGCGCGGATACGTTCTTTGCTCAAACAGGATGTGATTCAATACCTGTGCAGCCAACGCAGACTACACCTGGGTTCGCTGCGATTCCATATGATCCTCATCTTTGGTCTTACCCACCTATCCCCTATCACGAACCCTTTGTGCGCCCCGATTCAATATATCCGGATCCTTCCGACCTTATGTACCCAACTCAACCTTATTTTGTCACTCAACCTGACCTGTTCCACGGATATGTTCCTATAAACCAGCCAAAGCAAAGTTTTGAGCTAGACCCATTTCTAGAAGACTATACTCAAAATTATACTTCCCAGCAGCAACTTCAATACGAGCACGTAGATGTTGAGCATACCTCCAAATCAAAGCCGGGACGAGATAGTACAGACTGCGATTCTGAAGAAGACGATAGGCCCATCAAGCAACCCCGTCGGCCTAAAGGCACCAACAAGAAGAACAAACCTAAGCTCACCTCCACCCACTCTGAAGAAGACTCTCGCCGCTTCTCAGCCGCCTCCTCGACGAGCTCCCTCGACAAGCCCGCGACGGTAAAAGTCTACCGCGCAGGTTGCAAGCCGCAAAAGCCCAAGGACAAATGGTGGCTGCGCATCAACAACAGCACCCAGGGCGAAACAACACGCACCGCCAAAATCGAAGAATGGAACAACGAGTACAAGTTCAAACCCCTCCCAATCGGCAACTGGGCAACAGGCAAATTTCAGTTCCAATATGCGCACAACTTTGAGTCGGAACAGCTCCAGGACACGCCCATCTCCGCGCGCAAGGTGCACGAATACATCACCAAGTACCCAAAGGACGGGAAGAAGGGGCTAGTGCTGTGGATTCAGCGCACGCCTGCGGACTCTGGGAGGCGGTACGGATCAAAGGGGCACTCGGAGTGTCTCTTCAAAAACTGCCCCAAGCGGGTAGTAGGAGGCCAAGACGGGACTATAGACGTGGGCCACTACCGCGTTGCGTTTGACGAGAAGTTCACTTTCTACGGCAAAAAGACCGATCCGTATGACTGCCCGGCCTACGCGCATCTGTACTGCATGGAGCGCTTCCTAGACTTCGAGTACATCTGCGAGGTAGCCGATGTGCGGGCGGACGTCCGATCCGACATGCCCCTCGAGCCCAACGGGAAGGCTGCGTTCTCCTTCCTGGGCAAGCCGCAGCTGCCCGTTCTCAAGAAGTTTGTCAAAGCCGCGGCTGTGGGGAAACTGCGCGACACGACGGAGTTTAGGGAGTATCCGCGACATGAGGAGTATGCGCCTGGGAGTCGTAAGCTGCATGATCATACGCTGGTGTATCATATGAGTACGGCGAGTTGGGATACGAAGACGAGGAGCTTGAAGAAACAGTTTCTGCAGCGCACTTTGACGCCTAATCAGCAGGGTGTTAATCGGGGGGATCTGGAGATGGCGATGGTGGATAAGAAGGTTAGGAAGAGGGGGAAGGGCAAGAAGAGAAAGAGCGCGGGGAAGGAGGCGAGTCTTATGGAGCTGTACGAGGAGTGCGATCCGGAGATCACGCGTAGGATGTCTTTGTTGAAGCGGGAGCTGGCTGACATCCTGGCGGAGGAAGCAGCAGAGGATGCAGACGAGACGGCGGGCAACGGGAGGAAGAGACCAAAGCAAAAGAAAAGGAAGCCGACTGAGGACGACGAAGAGGATTACGCCTATGCAGATGGAGACGGTTCACCAGGCAAGAGACAACGCACACGTCACCCCCTCGATGACCAGCAGCTACGAGTGCTGGACACCCACTCAGGCTCTGTTCTCTCCCTCTCTCCCCCGTGCCACGACGACCAGTGCTGCCCGCCCGCTAACCTCTCTCTCCTCGACCCGCAATTGGACTGGCTCCCCACTGGCCCCACCCCCGTCTTCCCCGAGCTCAGCATCGACGACTTCCCCAAACCCGAAACCCAGGTCCCCTCTCTAAGCGATCCCGAGGTGCAGAAACTATTCGCCCTGCAACGACGCCAGAGTAATGCAGGGCTGGCGCCGAGCGGGGGCATCATGAAGAGCCCCAGTCACGGGACGAAGGAGCCCAAACACGCTGGCTTCGAGAGGCAACCGGTCAGCGGGCAGAAAGAGTATCGCGTCGATGATCCGCCGAGAGTAGTGTCGGGGGCTACGGGCGAGCGTAGGAGTGCGCGGATTGCTGCGAAGCAGGGAGGGAGCTGAGTGGTTGTAGGAGTTGTCTGTTGGGACGATGTAAAGGACCAGTGTAGCGAATTGACATGTCCTGTTCTGTGTAGAAATAAGTATGGATGATGCTGGGTTCAATAAATCCAAATTTTAAGTTTACTGCGCTCGACTATGCGGTACGGTCCACCGCCGTCAGCCTGATATGTCAATCCCACGTAGTCACCCCAAAACCAAATGTGGTACTCCGCTTTGGTAACATCCAGCTTCCTGCCATGCCCCATTTTACTACATTTCAACAGGAACGCGCCTTCTTTCCAGGCAAACGGAATCCCAATGTTGAGGACACTTGCGTAGACTGCGCGATCAAACAGGGTGTCGGACGCGTAGTCTAGGATCATTTCCTGCAGTTCGAGAGGGACGCTTAGGGTGTCGAAGTGTGTGCGCAGGGGATATGCGTGTGCGTGTATGGCGTTGAGAAGCCATCGCACGCCGGTCTCTGATGGGGGTGTAGTGCCGTCGAAGAAGGGGATGACGGGTGTGCATGAGATGGTGTCTAAGGTCTTGCAGAAATATTGTATCTCACGGATGGATGTTACGATGTAGTGAATTTTGCGTACTTTGGGAGCATTGTGATGGGCGCTAGAACTAATATAATTACCATCGTAGTCGTAGTACGACATGTCACTATCATAGTCGTAACTATCATGGTTGCGAGGGTCAGTTGTGGCCGCGCTGGTGAAGTGCTCGTGGACGAGTGACGCGGCTTGATCCATGCGCTCTGTGAAGAGGATCTGCGTTGCGCCTAGGCTTACGGTGGGAACGACCTGCGGGCTGGGCCAGGTCCGCCAGCGGAGGAGATTGCGCGGTTCAGCCTGGCCAAGGTACGGGTGCAGATGGATGTTCAGTGGCACGATCCTCATGGTTGTGAAGTTCAGTGTGAAGCAGCTGAGCAGCCCCATTGCGATTTGCTGCAGACCGCAACGCTCGATTGTATAGTTCGCTTCACGCCAGTTGCGCTCATAGTCTGTGGCCATGCGGTATGTTAAGTCGAAGAGCTGCTGTGGGATCACGTTGCGCGGCGCTGCAGCCAAGGAAGAGGCTGTTTGGGTTCGCATGATGGGAAGCTGCATTGGGGTGTATGGCTGGAACAGTCGTAGCAGTCGTGATGGGCGGATTTCATGGTATATGAACTGGTACGTAAGGTGTCGGCCATCCTGGTCAAAGAAGACGCGGTCCTGATCAAAATCAATGGTCCACACAGGAGGAGAATCGCCCTTCAGAGCTGCATCGCGGCCGCGAAGGACTGGCGCGGGCCGATCATAATAAGACTCGGATCTTCCTTCCAGAATACCGTGGGCTTCAGAATATGCAGCGTCTAGCTTGGTGAGTCTAATGCCTTGGGACGCCTCGTAAGCTGCGGTACCTTTGTCGGGGTAATCAAGAACGTGCGCCAGCAACTCTTCGTCTCGTTTGTCATTGCCATGCCTTCCATAGACATATTGAGCACCTTAGGGTGTTAGATGGTCCTTCACATGAGCTGGAAGGAAGCTGCACCCCGATGGATCAGCACCCATATCCTATCAAACCCAAAGAGCCGGTCGCCTGGGCCGACAAAGACTCGTGCACCGTGAAGGACCGTCGGAACCGTAGTCATGCTGTCCGTCCGTCCAGTAGTTAGTCGGCCGCGTGACGAGTGTGGAGAGGTTGGGTGTTGGTGGGACGTGCAGGGCGCTAGATCTCTCTGGCAACGCGATACCCACTTTTAAACACAACGGAGCGGTGAAAGACAACGCATACATGCATCAATAGCCCAACCCCAGCCTTCGTCCAAGTCAAATCGCACGGGATCCCTGACCTACTATCTTTTCTTTTGCACCCGTTCACTCGAGAGAACCATTGAACCGTGAGACGCACGCGTTGAGTATTGTTACGCGAGCGATCATCTGTTCCACCATGGCCTCCATCCACGACGCTACGCCGTTTGCCATCTACGAGGATGTAGAGGATGAGGAGCCGCTCTCGCCGTCTGACATGTTCGAGGGGGAGATGTCGGAGATCTCGCTCTCCCGCGCAGACAACTCGATACCCCACATCGAGATCGACCAGGAGCAGGAGTCTGAGCCCGAACCATATCGAAGCTCATATACCGCTCGGAGACCGCAGGGTCGCACATCGGGTGTAACGCACTATAGCTTCGTCTCGGCCCTGCCGTCTGAGAGCTCCATTACCTCCAAGCCCATCTCGCCAGCCATTGAAGCAAGCGAGGCAAGATACACACCGCGAAAGGAGCGAGCACGGTTCCGGAATTCGGAGTCGGTGCGAGGACTCCAGATGAACTCCCCGCCCCTCCTGCCTGCGTACGAGAGCTCCCGGGAGCGGGTCAGAAACTCGTACAAGGCGGCTACACCAAGCAGGACCGGGAGACCGGAGACGCCTGCCTCGAGGCGGTCGGCGTCACACAGGGGAAGCGTGCGCGACCACAATAGCCCGCGGCCACCGCCCACACCCCAGCAGGCTCCCCTCGTGCTGCTGCACGTGACAATCCTGCCCATGCAGGTCCCCTTCTCGCACGACATGATGAACAGAGTCATGCCGGGGTGGCTGGTGGAGAACTACAGGCTGCTCGAAGAGAAGCTGCAAGACATCATCCTCATGCGACGCGGCCTGCTGATTCCACATCCAAGAGACGAGTACGAACTGCTGGAGGAGCGGATACTGGAGAGCCTGGAGCTGAAGATACCGCGTCTGCTCAAGTGCGGGCACTTTGTTGCGCCGGTCGAAGACTCCGACTCGGAAACCGAGGAGGACGTGCGAAGCGTTAGCGACGCAGGCACCGGCCGTGGCAGCTGCATGAGCGGCGGCACCATGACCGACGAGCACGAATGCAAGGAGGATGCGAGAGACGCCAGCATGTGCGCCGACTGCCACCGCCAACTGAAGAAGCCAGGCCGAGGCGTTGGCGCCGGCACACGGAAATGGGACATCAAGATCTACGCCGCAAACGGCCTGATGCGCTCCGAGGCCTGGGGCGCGGCATGGAGTGAGATGGAGCGATGTGACGTGGAGATCTCGCCCTGGTATCCCGAGTCGGTGAGGAAGACGCTGGAGCGAAGAGTGCGGGAAGAGCAAGAGGCCGACAAGTGCAAGCTCATGTACGCCGCAGAAGTGCAGCGCAGGATCGAGGAAGACGCCATCGCCCAGAAACAATTAGCAGAGCAAGCAGCAGAGAAGAAGCTCCTAGACGACGCAGCCCAGCAAAAGCACGCCGAGGAGAAGGCAGAAGAGGAGAAGCGACGGTACGAGGAAGCCCTAGAAGAGAAGATCGAAGAAGCCAAGGAGTCGCTCCGTCTCGAGCTCGAGGCCCAGGCCGCCATGGAGGCAGACTTGATCGCCGAGCGCCTCCGCGCGATGGAAAAAGCCCTGCAAGATCAAATGAAGGCCGCACCAGACGCAGCGTCGACGGATGCCGAGTCGTCGCCTCAGCAGGACAGCCGTGCTTATTCCCGCCACCCTCGCACAGCTACGATCCCGCTCGGCACGCTGCTGAAAAACTACATCTTAGCCCTCGTACGCGATCCGAGGAACTTTGTCATTCTGCTCCTCACTACGTCGCTGGTCGGCATGACAATGAACCTCAACCTGGCGCCGCTGCTCCAGCTTCCGACCCCCGACATGGTCGATATGGTTGATGTGGTGGTTGATACGCCGAGCGAGGAGATGCTGCTAGGTTCCTCCGCCTCGGTGGTGGTCACAACGACAGCGACCACTACAGCAACAGCATTCGCAACCGTCACTTTCACCGAGACTGCCACGCTAGCCGCAGCGACGACAAGCTCGCAGACCGTGGTCGAGGAGATGGTCGCCACTGCGTCAGCAATGGCAGCAGACGAGGAACACATCATCTCGATCGACACCACCGCAGAAACCAAGGGCCCCTCTCTCTTGCCCTTGTCCTTGCCAGAATCCCACATCCACGCCCTGGATATGTGTCCCGTGGAGAACGCCCTAGTACCCCTCTGCGCATTGTAATCACGAACACCACCCCATAAATACCCTTTTCTTCTCCGTCAGTCTTTCCCTCGAGCGTTGTAGCGTTCAAGCGTTGTAGCGTTCTAGCGCGTATTCTTATCTTAGTCGTGGATGGAGGGTGCTATGGGCCCCTCTCCTTGGTTGTTGTGTGGGTGTGGTATAGTATAGTATATAGTGGATGGATGGGGGAATGGAGGGATGGGGGGAAGGGAGGAACGATATCAATGAAACACGTCTCGATAGCTCTGGGCTTGCCTGGGTATCGCTAGCAATTACAAGTACAATCGCACTCGCACTCGTGATTATGATTATGGTTTATGCTTTGTTTGATGTGAGGTGGATTGGATGGAATCATTGATGTTCTGCTTTTTCGCTCTTTCTCCCTGCTTGTGCTCGGTGCGTGGTTTAGTTAGTCGCATGGATCGCGTCAAAAGAAGGATATGTGGTGCAAAAACGGCGTGTACAACGTCACCTCAAAGGCGTCATCCCACTCCGGGTACGACGTCACACAGCGCTCACAGACAGCATGCATTGCAAGCGCGCAGAGTACCACAAGATACACATTCACGCCCCCCCAGCAGCCTGTTTCCTCAGATCCTCAGCCCTCTTCTTACTCCGCCCCTTGGCCTCCTCAACCCACTTATCATACGCATCACCACCCTCCTCCAGCTTAGCTTTAACGACGCTCTTCAGCAGCTCGCCCACAAACCCGACAAAGTTATGCCGCCGCAGCGAGTTCTCCCACAGCCACTTCGCGCGCTGGTCCTCGCGCATCTCGAGCTCCTCCTCGTCGCCGATTTCTCGCGCCCGGATCCGCAGGTCCTTGACGCACGCCATCAGGTTGAAGCGGATCTCGCCGTCGGGGTAGCGTGCGACGCGGCGCTGCAGGACGGGGACGACTTTGGAGGGGAAGTCGGCGGCGGTGCAGGGCCCGTGGAGGATGGGCGCGGGTTGCAGGCCGTCGAGCTCGTAGAGCTTGTTGTTTATGGATGTATATCTGTGTCTGTGTGAGTGGTAGTGTGCAGGGAGGGGGGCGTAGCGCTTACGCGATGAAGTGGAAGACGTCGTCGTCTTCGGTGGCTGTGCGTTGTGTCTCGTCGACAAAGGGGGATGACCTGGCGAAAGAGTTGTGCGTTTCGCGGATGAGGTCGGAGTTCGAGAGCGTCTCGCCGCGCAGCTGTGATGCATGTCAGTTGGCCCCCCGCAGCCACAGAGTAAGAAGGGCAGGCTCAACACACCTCTGGCGGAAACTCGCCGGCGAACTCCTTGAACTCTTTCAGGTCCTTGCCGATGTTGACCTCGCCCTCCTTGTTCAGCAGCACCGAGATCAAGGCCTGTGTGCCGCAGGCATTCTGTATCGTCTGCGCCGCAAAGAAGAGATTGTTCGCCGCCTCGTGGTCGTATGAGCCGTCTTTTGGCTTCTCGCCCGGCCGCTCGCCCGTGGGGTACTTGAAGAGGAAGATGACGCCGTAGACTGTGCCGAGTTCCTGCAGCGCCGAGGCGTCGAGGGAGAGGAGGTCCTCGAACTGCACGCCCTTAACGCCGAGCTTCTCGATGAGGTACGTGAAGACGCCCTGTCACGCGTTAGCATCCTGCTGGGGCACTGTTCACTGCTGAGGCATACCGCATCCGACTCGATCGTGTTCCAGCCTCCAGACATGGTTGTGGATGGTGCTTCTGCCCTCGGGCTTTGTTTGTGATGACTTGGCTGGCGCAATGCATCATCGGAGTGAGGGTCGGTCCGCGTGTGGGGCTGGAATTAGTTCCGAACGCCGGAACGCCCCACCTTCTGGATGGTATGGTTGTCAAACAACATGTCAAACGGCTGCCAATCACACAACGTCAAGAGACGGTTCGTATTGGATTACGAGGTCGATCTCCCAGCGTACATCATGTAGTGCGACATGGCATGCAGACTACTACCTTGCACAACACGAGGAACTATCCATATATACTTCATCACCAACTCAAGTACTCAAACTCCAAGCATCCCACTCGGCCTGCCAAACCACCGGCTCCAGCGCCCCCTCCACGCTCAATATCTGCCCCAACGCACACTCCGAGAACGAAACAGGAGGCTGATGTTCCAGATAAAACACATCGTATCGCTCATCCATCGCGTCCTTCAGATTCTGCACATCGCCCGCGGGATACAGTTTCTCCCACGGCCTGGTGCACGCGTGCCCCTTGCAGCGCTTGAGCGTGAGTAAAAGACCATTCAACCGCGAGCTCAGACGCTCGATGGACCACCCGTTCACGGTTCCATTGGTGTTGTAGACGTTGTGCAGCTGGTAGGGGTCGTTCTATGCGAGTCAGCATATCGTTCAATACCAGCGTGATATTAAGACGACTCACCGTCATGTCATACAGCTCATGCTCATTCGTGCACCAAACCGCATACGCAAGATCGTACTCCTCCCCAATGACGCGCACGTGTTTGTACGTGTTGTTCGGGAAGTAGTCCTGGCCGAAAAACGTATTCCCCTCGACCAGATACTCGCCCCAGAACTCGATGTTGACATGTTCGCTCTTCTCACTGCTCGCTAGCAGGTCGTCCGTAACGGGGATTACTTCGCCGTCGAAGTCGTCGCGCAAGGGTATTCCCGCGAGGCTGAAGATTGTGGGCACAATATCCGTGTGGCTGGAGGGGATGGTTTGCACGGCTCCCTTCGCCACGCCGGGGCCTCGAATGAAAAAGGGAATGTTGACGTCTTCCTCGATATTACAGCTCTTCCCGGGTGGTAGGCGGTGCTGTCCGATGTGGAAACCGTTGTCGCTAGTGTAGATCAGGTATGTGTTCTCGAGGACTTCGGGACTGGCGCTCAGGCGTTCCATTATTGAGTCGATGAGCTCGTCCACGGATTGCAGGGACTGTAGTCTTCTGCGGTACCTAATCAGAGAGTAAGCAACAGAGAATTTGGTACTATGTACTAGAGATTCTACCAGTTGTCGTTGTACTCGATCTCAGATTGATTGAGCTGTCTAATCGTCTTAAAGTACGACGCAGTACCAGGCTACATTACAATTGTAAGCAAACACACCAGCCATCAGCGGTGAACAACCTACCGTATCCGGGTTAAAATTCGGCGTTCGCGGGATCGTCACATTGGGAAAGAGATGCTCGTGTCTCTTCGCAGGGACCGGCGGATTGAACTTTGTCGGTCTCGGGTTTGTGATGGTCTCAGAATGGGGAGAGATGGGCGCCACACCAAGAAAGAACGGCCGATCCGAAGCAGCAATAGCTTCGTCGAGGAATCCCACTGCTGCGGCAGCAACGAGATCGGTAGAGTACTCGCCAGGGTAGTTTTTGTGTGTGCCGTTGTTCCGAACCATGGTGCTGTTGTAGAAGATATAGGTGCCGGGATCGACGAGAACTAGGGTGGTTAGAAGATGGTGATGTGAGAGGATTGCGAGCCATACAGTCTGATCCGTTCCAGCCCTGTATGCGCGGGTTGTTGTAAGTTGAGGTGGAGAAGCCGTTCATCATCTTGCCAGAGTAGTACGTGTTGAACCCAGCAGCTTGGAGCCATACTGTTCATTTATGTCAACGAATTGTGAGTGAGGAGTTTGAAGCTGATCACCGTACCTGGCAGGTAATTATCATTGAAACCCTCTGCAATGAACTTGGGGTATCCGCCTCGCGAAAAGTCAGTATCAATATTTCCTAACCCTTTCGGTCCCCCGAACCATACCGTATGGAGCAGAAACGTCCGTCACATTAGTGTTGTGAGCAGCCTTCCCCGTCAAAAGCGACACGCGAGAAGGACAGCACAAGGACACGGTGCAGAAGTGCTTCTTGAACCACGTCCCCTCCTGCGCAAAATGCTTCTGGACCGACTTCTGATAGTCCAAGGAATTAAGATGCATATCCTGATCGTCGGTCATAATGAAGATGAAATTTGGCGTTGAGGAGCGACCCGTCGCGACGGAGAAGCTCGCCGCCAGAGGTAACAAAAGTTGACTTGCAATCATCGTATCTTTTTTTCAGTGCAAATCTCTGCCCTTGATAGAGTGACAAGTTGAATGCAGAACCCTATCAACCGCAGATACAATGGTCGACGACTTGAAGATTTCTACGGGAAAATATCGATCCCGCTCCGATTGCGTGAGCAGCGGATCTACTTGCGTGCTTCGGCTCAAGGATCAGGGATGTCATTTTCCAAAGTGCCCATATTGAACAACTTGAGGTATTGATACTCGAAAGTATTGACATAGTGAAAACAGACTCGAAAAGAGGAGTTGAATTGAGAAATGAATAGACCATTGACCGAAGAGACGGAAATAGAAAAGCGCATATAATTACTAGCCCAACTTGACGACATTTCTCGTATCTACTTTCCCCTCTTGAAGACCTACATCAGCTCGAAGCTAGCATAGCATGAAGAGCGATCTTGACTCGAGACTTGCATGGTGCGAATTATCGTTTCAAATGCTAGATTGCCTGAATCGCGGGGTGTTATATGGTGTTGTATAGCGAACCATGGTAACTTGCCCTAGAGTCTCGGACCGACGGTTGACCAATCAGAGAGCACGTTGACGTACAAACGTTCAGACCCACCCTTCAACAGTACATGTTCGGTTATAACGCCTTCCTATTGGTTAGAGCCCCAGAGCCTAAGTTACCGGGTGAAGGGATACGGGAATACGGTGCTCAAGATAGGATATCCGCTGACTAGCTATCTAGCCGCTAACTGCTATTCTAGGCACCGGCGACGGTAAAAGGGTAGATAATATAATACAGTAGATACCCCTGTATAAGCATTACGTAATATAGCATAAATTTAATGCTTATTATAGGTTAATTCTTATAATAAGGCTAATCTTAGCATTAAATTAGCGTTTTATAAATAGCTTAAATCTCTATACTAAACTATAAAAAAAGAGAATTTAAGCTTAAAATAGATTAGTAATAAGAGTTTAAGTTAATTACTTATATACCTTAGTAATATAAGCTTAAGCAAATTAATTATAAAAGATTTAAAGTATTTTTATATAACTCTACTAAGTATCTTCCTAGCTACTTAAGTAGAATTATAGAAACTCTACTATATTATATGCTTTACTATATAAGATAGAAGCTTAGATAGAGGTAGGCTTATTATCTTCCTTAATATTATCTTCTATAGCTATAAATAGGCTTATAATATAGTCTATTATATCCTCTACGCTGTCCTCTACGTACTCTTCTAGTAGGTTAAGCTAGGTATTAAGCTAAACCTCTATATAATTAATTATAGTAAGTTAGTTAAGATAAAGGATAAGAGCCTTAGCCTCTTTATAATTAATTAGGTTAGGTAGTTATAGGCTAATATTTATATTTAGATAGAAGCTCTTACTTTAGTAGTTAGTAATTATTTTAGCTATTACGTTAGACTATACCTAGATACCCTATTATAGAGCTATAAAGATATTTATAAGTAGTAAAAGATCTATATAATTAAGTATTTTTTTAATAAGAAAGTTTAGCTAAAAGACTTAGTACTTTATCTTTTAGTTTTAAATAATACCCTAGTTATAGGGCTAATACTAGGAGGTTAAATTAGGTAGTAGAAAGTAGATTCTGCTATAAATTATTAGCTTAGAGTATAGTATTATAGATAAGTTAGAAAGTTTAGATAGTTTAGATAGCTTAGAGGGGTAATTTTAGTAGAGTAAAATAGTAGGCGTTTTTTAATATTCCTAGACCCTAGATTTCTAAGCTAATAAGAGGCTGTAAATTTATTTTACTTATATTAGTAGTTTTAATCTAGTAAACGCCTTTCCTAATTAGGGTAAATAATAGGCCTTAGTAGAATAAAATTAAATTACTAACGTAATATATTTATAAATTTTATAGACTTAGCTAAATTTTAAGCTTATAATTAAGCTATCTATAATACTAAACTCCTTATACTTATATTATATTACCTAGCTAATAGCTTTCTACTAGGTTTACTACTACTAAGTTATAAGTAAAGAAGTTATCTAGTAGTAGAAGAACTCTCCTACTATCTATTTAAGCTATAAATAACTTTAACTATTTTTCTATAATAGCTATAGTTATCTACGCCTTTTAGTTATACCTCTAAGAATAGCTTAAGCTGCGTAAGTTATACTTCCTTTTACTAAAGGTATATAGGCTATTAGCCTTACCTATAACCTAAAGAGGTAGCTTATTACTCCTATTAGTATTAGTATAAAGAGTAATACTAATATAAGTTTTCTTCTTCTTCTTCCTGCTCTATTTATATATAGCTAATATAGTATTAGGTATAAGCTTCTAGTATAACACTATTTTATCTATATTATAGTAATTATACCTATTATAGCTATTAATCTTAGTCTAGATCTTATCTATTACTACCTCTACCTCTAGTAATAGCTTAAAGGAGCTACTCTTACTATACTACTTATACTATTAAATATTATACTAGTGCTTATAACTATAGATAAAATTATAGCTAAACTTTAGTACTATAAGGCCTAAGTACTTAGGTAAATAAGCCTATAATTACTATATAGCTTCTGTTATTATAAAACCTTTAATAGCTACTTAGCTACCCTCTATTAATATATACTATTTAAACAGAGCCTGCTTAAGTATAGAATAATACCCTACGCTATATTATTCTATATATTTATTATAAGTAATAGCGCTAGCGTTAGTAGTACTACTAGTATTAAGAAAGGTATACTTATTAGAAAGTATTTTATAGATAATACTTTAATTAATTAAGTAGTAAAGGTACTTACTAGCCTACGTTATAAGCGCTTATTACTTTAAAGTTAGGTAATTTTAAGCGTATTTATAGATAAGTTTATACTTATTATTACTAATACTATATTAGTAGGTAGTAGCAGGATTTATAGATTAGGGTATTTAGTATAAGATTAGTAAGTAGTTTTAGAAGAATAGCGTAGTAGAATAGCTAATTTAAGAGTAAGCAGAGATTACGTAAACTATTAAGTATTTATATACGTAATTACGTTACGTAAAAATGCTAAAAACACCTCCTTAGAGTATTATCCTAACTAATCTTAGCTGCCCTAGCTACCCTACTAGTTACCTGTTATAGGTATTAATTGCGTAAGGGGCTAAGTATATTCTTACAGCTGCATTAATGCTTATCCTTACTAAAAATAGGTGGTAGCAGGCATTTTAATGCCTAAGCTGGGATGATTCCTATATTAGGGCGATTCTTATGCGGGGGTATCTACTGTATGCTCATATCCACATTACCCTGATCTACGCCCTTTGTCGTCTACTCAACACTAAGCCCCGCAATCTGCAGAAACTGCTCGAAGTAACCTTCTGACGTAATGCAGAAGTAAAACCCTTGGATGCCCGGGCAGCGGTTTTCGACTCGGCATCCCGATGGCAGTTTGCAATTGCCATTGACGTCTAAGTTGATAGCGGTGAGCTAGTTGTTGAGAATTATTGCAGATTCTGACTTGACTCCGGGTCAGGTCTGCCTCGATTCAGGACTAGCTAGCCGGTGCTTCGTGATCGGGCCGTGATGTTTTCTTTCTTTAGTTCCAGTTCGCTGGAACCAAGTGCATGTTATGGCATGGCATGTACCGTAGTGGGCCTCGATGTGACTGGGTCTTAGCGTGACCTGTTTCCGCACGAAGGTGTAACGGTGAGGTACTAGGCGGCTCAAACGCGTAGGGTAGGTAGTTCATACAAGCTGCCCCTTCGAAGTTGAGACGAAGCAAGAATATATCGCGAACAGGATCCCCGGCGCAAGTCGACGATCCAATAAAAACAAATTTCGAGTGCTGCATAGATGAGTCTACGTCCAATGCTTACCCCTACCTCTGCAGTAAACGGAGTGCGATGACGCCAATCTCGTCATACATTTCGGATGAGCGGGGGGTTGGGGTTGCACAGTACTTGATGAAGATCGTTTCGGTGTAATACGAACAAGCAGATAGCAAGCTCCAAGATGAGAGCACCATGATGGGCAGCGCTAGTGTGACGTGAATATCTCAACTCAACGTAGACTGAAGGCGTTCGCTGTGGGATGAAGTCGAGATCAGCGGTTGCAGTGAACTTGCGTGGTGTTAGAGCTGTGTCAAGCTAAAATGTAAAGTTTATGCACCTAGCTCACTGGTATACTTTATGGTAGGGTTGGTTCTTCTTCAAGGCATCCATTCCGCACATTCCGCATGGTCGATACGCCATCCGCCACGTGGACCACGCGCGTCTGAGCAAGTATTCCACGTATTCTACCGACATACTGACCTGCTGAAGCCAAAACCTGGATGGATCACTCCAGCCGAGCTAATATGTGCTGCCAAGCCGGTGTGGTGATTGGTGTTCCATTCCCAAGTCGTTCTCGAATCGGCAACCCATGACGGACCTTTCCGTTCCCCATGTCGCTTCCGGGTTCCCTCTGCATGGCTCAAGGGTAACGTAGATCATCGTGTGCACCTAATGAGGCCATTATGATCGACGGCAAAGGTGCTGAAACGCTGCGATTTGCGACGTGCGATTCGGCCCGATCGAGTGCTTGTTGTTATGATGTCTTGATTATTGATCAGGCCATTGGTACCGCGGAACTCTTCCAGATCTGTCCGAATGCGATAAGACCATAAGAAAGTCTCCGTTGGAGAGATCTCTGCGCCCCTTGTTTTGATTTTCATTGTGCCAGATGATCTTCGTCCAGGGGCGAGTTGCCACGGGTATATCCAAGTCATTGTGAAAAGGGCAAACCTTGGCATTGCAGAAGACAAGACTATCATCGTGGAGCTTATCTAGCCCCAAAACAAAAGCTTTGGGGAATTCGCGGGAAATCGCGGAGAGCATGGAGGCCAACAAGCAACGTTTCTGGTCGACGGCGCTACGTCAGGAGCTAGGAGATATGGTCCGGTGCACGGTAATAAGTCAGTGCAATCGATAGACACGCTCGCCTCTTTGGCGTGGACGGGTTCGTGCAGCCAGACGACAGGACGCTTGATAGACTCGCTGTGGACTGGCAAAGACCTGAGCAATGTTAGTTCGACGTTACAACGGATGCAGTGCTCCCCGTCGCTGCTCGTGGTGATAATGCGGATAAGAAGTAAGGTTTGGAAAAGCGTCCTGTCTGTCGAGTGCTAGCTGCGTTTCCAGCAAGGCGCCCGCGGGATATCTGTCATGATTGAGTAATCGAAACCCCGGGCAGCGGAGAGGGTGTTCTTCAGGACAAGCCTCTGGTGTAGGCGTGTGTGGAGGCTGTACGAGCGGAGCGCAGTAGCGGAGGAGAATCTTTTCCAGGCTGGGCGGCGGAAACATGGAGGCAAAATCCCTGTCGCTTCCAGCTTCGATAAAGCGTCTAGCGCGCTCGCTTGCCCTTGGCCTTCGGCTGACCGGGATCGCACAGCCCCCGGCCTGGTCAAGCGTAGCAACAAAGAAACCATGACATGTCAAGTTACCAAGCACAGCGGCGGTCCAACCTGTGGCCTGAGGATAACGCCGCAACTCAAATGCCACTGTCCATCGAACATGAGCGCGGCGGAGTACATCCCGGATTTCCCATCGGCTATACCCATTCAGAAGGCCGCTCTGCACGCACAGGGATCAGGATGCAGTCCTCCACGCACTCGGGAACCCCTGTCACATGGCATCGACCAAACGGCCGTGGAAGCAGCCCCTCGGTCAACCTCGACATCACGCTTCACCGGCTTTGCACTTTTTCATATCGAAAATGTGGCTGTGTTGGCTGCGTTTAATCCGCATCTGGACGGCAAGCGTGCGATTCACAGTTCGCGTGTTCTTCAGGCATCCAAGGCACCCGGCAGCATGGCATAAGTTAGAACGGTGCTGTAAGTCATCACTTAGCGTACGTTTGACAGTCCGTGTGTAGAGCGCAAAACCTGGACTCCGGAAGGCTGGAAAAATGGTCTGATTCATCTGATAACATCGAATGCTCGAGCACAAAGAGATGACTGTGTACAAAGACGTACCGATGAAGAAGTAATTATGTTCAATATTGATTGGCTAATTAATTTACGAGTAGTCTACATGGGGTTGGGGACTGCATGTTAAAACAGGCTACGCTAACAGCAAAACCAACTCAAAGTGATGTGTCTATGCATCTCTCGAGGTCGAGGCAATCATCCTAGCTCATATCGCGTTCCTTTTGTGATTTGCTGTGATGATCTGTTCCTCTGCACTGGCTCCCTGGCCGCATCATCTGAGACGAGGTGACGGCTAACAAACCACCCTGCTCTTGCATGAGGGTGTGGGTACGAGCGATTTGCGTTGCGTTCTGCCCCAGCGCCACTCTACCACATGGTGTACCGGATGACAGTGTGCGCCAGCCATCCCTACCCGTGAGCATGCCATTGGCTACCGCGCCGCAAGCCCCACACCGTGATTCTCTCCGGTCCCGTGCGCGCAACAACCTTTGTCTTGAGGGTGATTTCCACCAGGAGGGGCGTGAGGAGCGGATGTTCGGTCAACTTCGTGGACGTGGTCATCACGCCGTCATGTCGGAAGATCGCATGTTGGGGTATGACGGATAACATGCCAAGTTGCTATCCCCGGGCAAGCGTAATGAGTAGAGGAAGTACGGGTTGGAGATCGTAATTGGATCGATTAGAATGTCGAACCCTCGCTACGTCGAGGCAATGGACGCGTCTGCAAAGCCAACTAGTTCGATCCTATGATTATCACACTCTCCTCCATCTTGCCACTTCATGCGTGATGATGCTGTTGGGAAGGCACTTGGGGCCCGATCGTATGGTCGAAAGTCCCAACATTAGATGCAATATTCGGGGGAGGCTGGTGCGCAACCGCTGTGTTCCTGGAGGGATCGTTCAGCCTGCTTCGTTACGTCCAGATAGGTGTAGCCACGAACCCGCTGGAATATCCCGTCATATTAGGTACACCATAGTTCGGTGCATGACCTTGCGGCGCCGCATAGGGCGCCATCATCGCAGGAGACGAAGTAAGTGGAGCCGCGTAGTTGTTCGTGCTGTACACATCGACTGCTGCTCTTGGGACTTCGAGGTAGGGGGAGGTTGGCGTCGACGCCAGCGCTGGGGGGAGGAACGTCAGAGGCGAAGGAGCAAAGGCCGGACTCAGGCTCTGGCCGTAACTGTGCTGCGCAATGTGATTACCGAGATCCAGATTCATCGACTCCATTGCATAAGGAGACTGGTGGATGGTAGGGGATTCTGTGGTTTGTTGCCTCAGCCAGTCTCGTCGTGCCTTGTAGGATGATACCAAATCAAACGGATACCCAGCTAGATAGGCCATGGTCTGTGTCATCGTGTCGTAGCGAGGATCTTGATACCCCTGGATTACGTGGACAATCTCCTCTAATGGGCGCAGAGACATGTCTGCAACAAAGACGGACGCGACATCTGGAAACATAGCTTCCAGTGCTAACGCGGTGCCATAGAAATGTGCGAGAACAACAAGGACGTTGACATCACCGCGCTTCGCCGCTAAGAGCGAGATCGGGACCCAGAAAAGCCATTTGCGGAGGGCATACAGTTGGTTGAACTGTTCCTCTGGGGTTTGCGGCTGGTTCGATGTGCTCAACCGATCAAGATAGCCTTTCAGCTGGTCGACCCACTTGATTTCTTGGTCGTTTCGATTCAGGTATGGCTGAACTCGCTGCAGGGAAGCGTTCATGTTCGCGATGATGGTCAAGTGCTCTCTTCTCATTTCCTGGGAAATGGGTGTGTTGGTCGGATTGATAAAGTGGCGAGCGGGCATTGGCGTGTGCTCAGCAATGTAGTCGGCGAAGAGTGACTCGTGTCTCCATGATTGCATAGACCGAATGACCTGCATAAACGATTAGTGGTGTTGATAGTATTGGTTGTGTGGAACATACTGTCTTGGTTCCCGTCACAAGCGAAGCCCAGCCTCTCCTAGGGGGTCAAAGTTAGATTTTGCCTTTGAGACTCAGGTGTTGAACCTTACCAGTCGGTAGCCTGCCATGCAAGCAGAAGGGATGATGCCAGCACCGCATCCGAATTCAGTTTCGTAAAGTTAGTGATGCCGTCGTGCAACCCCTTCAAGGCGATGCTCGCATGATGAAACGCCAGATTTCGGGTCTCGTTTGACTGAGAGATCCATGCCAAGTGAGACGCAGAGAAGGCAAGGATAGAGTTCATGACAAAAGGATATGACGCTGCAATGCTCAGAAACCTTGTGCGGGTTAGCAGGGAACAACTGCGAGCAAACAGAGAAGTGTGCTTACTTGGGCATCATATCTGTCCAGAGAGTCATTGTCGATGTCCTGTTTCGGAACATCTCGTTTGAGATGGACGTAAGGTGGTGGATCAAACGCAGCTCGGTCTTTGTATATGCGCGCCATTGAGGTTGCGGATATACACGTAGTTCTGGAAAGGGAAACTCGCCAGTCTGCCTCCACAGCTCAATCGTAGTCTCGATCTCTGGAGTCCAGAGCAAGTTGGGCTGCTGGGGAGATTGGGGAGACTCTGGCATCATGGCAGTCGGATTGTCCATGTAGTCGCAGCGAACCTGATGTTTGGTACAGTTCCGACTGACTAGCCATTAGCATTTGATGTAGAGTGCTGCAGTCGACGCTACTTACCATTGCGGAAATGTCTCGTCACACCGAATATGCCTCCTCTTGCAAGTCTTGCAACCCTTTCGGGACTTGGTGTGGCTGCGCCTCGAAGGACCTCCACCTGGACCGGCCATTTTAAAAGATAAAAAGTCAAGTTTCTTGCGAAAGTGAGACGTAGAATACAACTCCCTTCCAGCAAGAAGCGATGGCAAGTTCAAGTGGTGGTGTAGATGGGGTTGCAGTCGTTGTTCCTTGGTAGGTGGTGGACTGGACGAAGGGATGACTGGGGCGGAGTTGATGTGGGCGTAGATCTCGTAGGCGGATTATCAAGCGAGAGTGATGGGTCGGAGACCGGTGACAAGGGCGGCAGGATACTCTGAGGCTGCCGAGAAGAAGTTGGATGTTTGGTGATATATATTACAGGCTACAGATGGTAGGAGCATAGATAGACTTAGTGCTAGAAGATTATTGACGCAGAAGCCAGCAAGTGTCCCAAACAGGGCAGCCAGGGTGCGGACGAGGTGACAGCGGCGGATGTGGTAAAGAGCATTATGCAACGTACCCTTGCAAACAGGCCATGCAGAATGCGGACAAGAGGTATGGGACTAGAGGCTGGACAGGCTGGAGAGAGACTTGAGCGGCATGCAAGCAAACGCGCAGGGTGTCTTGTGCTTGGATCCAAACACGGCAAATGCAAAGTCAAAGGCCAACGCAATTAGGAAAGGTTGCGGCCACGCAAATAGCAGTGACGCCACAGGTTGGAGCGGAGAGGGAGGGCAGGTGGCATCCGGTACCGATGGCGAAACGAGGAGACTAGTAGGGGAGTGAACGAAGCTTGCGGGAGCTACAGTCTGTAGTCATTGATCCACAGATGGGACCGGCATGCTCGCGACTCGTATGACTTTGCCCCTACCTAGTGCAACTCTCAACTAAGCTCTCTACCCAAGGCCCACGAACTCATTGCTGTGAGTAGGCGTTCGTGGGCCAAGCATGCGGCCATGGCGTGCCTGAGCCTGGGGCGTCATCTGGAATGTACCCAAAGCAAACAAACCTTGTTGCCAGAGTGGCCTGTGGCCCGAAGCACGCTGCGAACATTTCTGAGGCCTAGTGACGGTGGAAATGTCGTCGGTGAGCCCTGTCACTCGGTGAGGACGGAGACTCGGAGACACTTGACAGGAGCCGGCCACACCACATTCAGGTGCCCTCCGAAGCCCAAAAGTCATGTCAACGAGCCAAAAAGGCGCGCACATGTCTATTTTCAAAACCCGCGAGCGAACCGACGATACTGGATGACAGAGGCTGGTGGAAACGGTCGCCACCATCGAGTTCCAGCAGAGTTGCAGCGCGCAATTATTGATCCTGATGCAGCCGCGATTGCTGATGCGAGGCACCACAAATCGCCAAGGGTTGCTGGAGCAAGTGCCTCAATATCTGCACGCCAAAAATAGGTCTGAGCTGCTAATGGCTGCAGCTTTTCAGTGCTGTCACCGTCTGTTGCTGGCAGCACCGAGTCACCAGACTTAGCAACCGACACCGACACCGACACCGACGTGAACCGTCTGTCCATTGTGCGCGCACGCTGTCTGACTGCTAGTCAAATGTTACCGCAGATCCCGGCGAGCGGCCACGTTCCAGCAGCAACCATGGCAGCCTCAGCTAACGCTCTCGGCATGCGATCAGCGGTGGAGTGTCTAAGAAGCGACTCTCCATTGAGTGCAAGCGAACTGTGCGAGCTGGCGCCAGATGACGGCGATGATGATGATGGTTACGCGAACCCGCTGCAGCGGGCCTGAACCTGAGCCTGAAGCCATTGCGCTGTGTGTCACGAACAAAGCTGCTGTGCTGCCTGGGCATGCGGTGGCTGCCAGCCTTCCCACATTCTGCGCTCCAGAGCGACGGAGGCGTCTTCCGCTGTAAGGCTGCGAATAAACGTTGCGCCTTCGCTAGCGGTGCGTCTAAGCGCAACATAGAGAACGCGCTCAGAAATGTCAAGTCTGATCCGTGACGGACAAAAGCTGAGCAAAGGGTCGCGATGTTGCAACCGACCGAGGCAACATTGCAGGCAGTGATTGGGCCCTGTCACGGCCACGGCAGGTCCAAGCGAGTCGGTATGTGTAAAGGCTAAGCAGCAAAGGGAAAGCGTGACCAGATTGGACGTGAGGACCGTGAGACTGGCTTGGAACGATTTTCTAGAAAGCTATTCTTAGAGAAACACGCTCTAACAAGTTCAGCCGCTAACCTGGAACCCTGGGATCATGCTGGTTTCCGCTGGTGTCACAGTCAAGGTCCTGAGCAACCTCACCGTTCCATCTGCTCCACGCATACATGCCAACCATCCCCAAGACATAAATATCACGGCGGCCAAGCCGACGAGGACGCTCGCCTACATTACCCAGCCAGCGCCATCGCCACGTCTTTTCTGCATAAGAAACCTCTACTGGCCCTCACTGTTGTCGGCGAGGAGCTGCCAATACTTGTTGTGATCTTCTGCCGACGGCGCGGCATGTCACGCTCTTTGGGAAGGTGGTATGCGCCACAAAGCACAACCTGTCCTCCCCGACCATGGCTCGAGCTGTCGAATTTGTCCATCTTATCCCCATGCTTTTTGACCCGCTGCCCGGTATCTGTCTTTGTGGGGAACATCCCTCGACGCAGGACAGCATCATCGCATCAGCGACGACTAGGTAAAATCTGGGTGCGAGCGTGATCCCATGGCTTATCTCAGCCGCACATCATTTCTGACAGCTCTAGAGACGACTCACCGTCGCTGATCCCACCACATTCGATGTGGAACAAGCAATTGGCTGCCAGAAAAACGCAAAACGCAAAACCCCATCAGCTAACAAAGTATTTGACATCTGCTCGACCATCGAGAGACCAATGATGGATTGCGCCTACACATCATAGACCACCGCAGTACCAGCCTTAACCTCTCTCCTACGACGATCAAAGAAGCAAGTACAAGCGTGACGTGAATCAGAATGAACCATGCCGATACGACTACACCGATGCGATCACACCGATACGACTGCACCGATATGGCGATGCTGCCGCCCGTTGCCCTCGTTCCGCTGCACGCGCCTTTGCCTCATCCACCCCTCATCTCCACCACCACCACCACCATCACCACCACGACCACGTCAACGGGCATGCCTGGAAGGATGCATCCGGGCCGCAGCAAAAGCAAATCCCTCGCCTCGCCGAGCTACTAGACAGAAGATCAGCGAACCACACACAGACAGGTATTTCACCTATACGTCGACAAGGACCGTTACGACATATTATTTCCGCTGCAAGCGACTTACACTCTCACACGCACATACGCGCACATGCACCTACCAGCCATTCATCCTCCCGCCCGGTCCCACAGATGAGCTAACACCCCCCTCTACCCCTACCCCGGTCCCCGCAAAACAAAAGAAACAAAGGCAAAGCACACCCATCCTTTGTTCTGCAGAACAACCATGTTACGACCTTGCAGATCATCATGCCCACCGCTTGTTATCAAAGCAACTAACACCATTCATTACCCGTACAGACAGATGTTGAAATCGCGCACGCCGAAAACAAAAAACACACACACACACACACATGATCGAACAATCAAGTCGCCAAGGGCCCCATACAATACTAAAACATTTCAAAAAGCTATCTACTGCTATGTACCGATGCCGTGCGTTATCAACAGGAAAGAAGAAGAAAAAAGAAAACGCCTGAAAATGTCGGTAATCTGTAAAATCTGTACTCGGTTATCGGTGAGGAAGGGAGCGTAGTAAAAAAAAACCCACCCCAAAACCATACCATACCAAACATGACATGAGCCCTTTGTGTGCAAAGCTGCCCGGCCCCCCCCCCGCACCCCGCCGTCATATGCGATTAAGGAAGTTTCGCTGAAAAACATGTCTACAAAGATGCCAAAAAAACACTCTCATTCCATTGTCGTAAATGCTCATATCATTGCCCCTCCCCGCCTCCCCCCCACATCCCTCGCAGCCACCCCTCCTTTCCTTTCCTTTCCTTTCCTCGCCCCATGGTTCAAAGACTCGTAAGCCCCCCTTTTGGTATCCATCTCTTCCTCTATCCTTTTCCCCAATAATCCAACGCCCGCACCCCACATGTGAACAGAAAAGAAAGGGGTGGAGTGGATTCAGACGGCGTACAGCTCGCGGAATCTGGTCCCTTGGTCCGGGGGTAGCGCTCCCAAAAAGGAGTCGAAGTTCCCAATCATGCCTTTGTACAGCTGGATGACCTTGTCGCCTTTGTTAGCCCGAATGTAAAAGTCGTCGTGCGTGCGTGCGTGCGTGCGTAGAGGGGGGGGGGGGAAGAACAAGACTTGACTTACTTCTTGGAATGTTTCTCGGAATGCGTTTTGTCCCACGGGACGCGTCACTAGGGCTCGGTCTGCATGTGCCATTTCACTAAAGAACTCGAGCAGCGATTGCTCCATGGCTCCGGGGTTGGCGAGTATCATGCGCATGAAGCCAGTGAGGGCGTCGCTTTTTTCGTCGGTCCACATGACCTTTTTGATTACGCGAATGAAAGGAGGAGCAATCTGGGCGAGATGCACGGCAAGTTGTTGTGCGCATCCTAGACCCAGTCTTCCCAGCGAAATGGCCGCGTTTTCGTTCAGCGATTCGGGCACGTTTTCGTCGAACAGAATGGTTCCCACGGTTCGCAGGAGTCGGTCTACATACGGCTGCATGCCGTCCTTCTGCCTCATGGCGATCTCTCCAACAGACCAGCAGGCATTGTTAATAACTGAGTACCCTGTTTCGTCGGCGCGGAGATGTATTTGAGAGACGTCGAGTTGTTCGATGAGGATCTCGAGGATTGTTGGGAGACATGGCTGTAGCTGTTCGAACACATAGATGGCGCAGTCTCCCAGAAGTGCATAAGCGGACTGTCGTACATCGTTCTCGGGGTGTTTCATGCAAAAGGCCAACAGCTGGAAGAAGTTTGGTGATGCTGCCACCAGCTGAGCACTGTCTTGACGTTGTAGAGCTTGAACGATTGCGCTGAGCAGGTCAAGACTGGTGACGAGAAAGTCCTTGTCAGGAATCTCCATTCCGGGGTTCTCAGATGCCATGACACCGTCTTCCAGGTTGCGTTGGATGACTTTTATGCATCGAGCAAAGATGCCCGGCGCATACTGTGCAAACATACTGCCCAACGCCGTTGCGACGTACGACAGACATTCGAGTAGGGGAAACATCTCTCTTGATTGATCTGATACCTTGTTCCAACGTTGTATTAGTGCTGGCATAAGCATATTGACAAGGTCTTCCTGTGCGAGTGCAGGCCCAACGTGTTCGGCTAGGGTCTGGACGCAATCGTACAGGATGAACATGTTTCGGTCCTTGTACACCGCAAAGCATTGTACAAACTGATTGACAATGACACGGCAGTAGTCTTTGAGCTCGACGTTTGCTTTCTCCTCGAGATTCGCAAATGCAGATGCAGCAGCTTCCTGAACACCTTTGTTGGGGTCCAGCATCTTCTTTAGTATTCCGTCCATCATCGGCTCGAAAAACTGCTGCTTCCCGGCTGGATCGAGGTGTGCTGCCCATCCCGAGTAACGCCCGAGGGACCAACATGTGATCTTCCGGACAACAGGCTTGGAGTCTGTCAGAAGCGATATCAGGTAGGGAGTGAGCATGGGCAGATGTGGCTCGACAAAGGCCATGCAGCCATCCGCTATTGCGCCAAGAGCGAGGACAGCCGACTCTCGGTGTGGCCATTCGGCGTGGCTGAGGTTTGTGGTCAGGTACGGAAGGGTAGCCTCGAAAACGGACTCGTGGAATACAGAGGCCAGCACGTCCAGAGCTGCAGCCGAGCATTTTCGGAGGTTCCATGCATCTTCGGGGTTGTCGTCATAGTCGTCTTCGTCATCAAAGTCATCGATCTCGCCGTCACTGAGGTCGTCCTCTGTAGGTCCTGTGCTCCCGTTGACCACCGCAGCACCGTCCCCATTGCCGGCGGCCATTGATCTCCCTGTTTTGCTGACTGCGAAAGTGGGCTTGATGTCTTGTTCTCGATCCTCGACCTCGTAGTCCTCTTCCTCGCCCTCGAGACGCAAAATTTCATCTTCACTGTGGACCATGCTCTCGAGAAGCACAGGAACGACCTTGGACAAGTAGGGGCCTAGGTGTTCACGCATCTTCTCGTGCTCACTGACACACAACCAGAACTCAGCCGCGTCCAACGCCAGCTCTGGGTTCTTGACACTGCGTTGCTGCGTGACCATGTAATCGACTAGACCCGACATGTGAGGTATGATTTTCTCCGGTGCAATATCCGCAATGTGAACAAAAGTCCTGCAAACAAACTGACGAACTTCCTCACTTGAGTCGCTGGCGAGCTGGAAGAGTTGTTGCATCAGTGCATCGAGATTCGAAAGCACAGTCTGAGATTTATCTGGGATAAACACGTTGATACTGGCTAGCGCATCGACCCGTACTTTGGGCACAGGGCTGTTGGTAATCTCTAGTAGCTTCGGGAAGAGGAAGCTCAGCGGCCGTTGACCCTGGTACTGCCTGTCGAGGGCTTTTCTGCTGTCTTCGCATATCTTCAACAACGCACTCATGCCTCCTTCTTGCGCCTGAGCAGAAACGTTGCCGTCTGCATTGCTTATCATGTTGATGAGGTCTGAGAGGATCTGCGGCCAGCCCATGATACCACCCTGCCGCACAATTTCGGTTATGACGTTCCCCGCGTATCCTCGCATCTGTGCGCTTGGGTCCTGGAGACCTACTAAGATGATGGATCTTATGTAGGCTTGCGTGGACTCGGGCATGGACTTGTATGAGGTTTTGACATCGTTCTTGAGCATAATGGCCGCAGCGGCGCGGGCGTGGGTGTAGTGGGCTGCATCCATGCTGACAGCGGGCGGAGGCTGGCTGCTCGAGAAGACGTAGGCGAGATATTTGTCAATATCAGGGGAGCTCCTGGCTGATTTGAGCATCTGTAGAGCCCGTGGGGTCAGCGCGATGAGGCCTCGTGGTGGGCACTTCAGGGTGACTAACAATCTCTGCATTCTTCTGCGCGTTCTTGTCGTAGGCACTCAGAGAGTCCTTCAGACACTGCGCCAGCTGCCGTAAAGGCTCTTCCTCGGGTTGCCACGCCATGGCGAAGCGATGTGTGATTTGCGATGCGGGGAGGATATGAAGCTGGCTCGAAAAGCACTGCGGAGAGCGATGCCGGGAGCAATACGGGTCCTGCCCTACGGAGCAGAGGAGACGAGGGGAGGAGGAGGCTCTGGTGGCGCCGGAAGCTGGGTCTGTTGGTGCAGTTCATGGTTAGCTCTGCTTTGCGCGTGGGGGGAGCAAAGGGCCAAATTGATGCGAGGCCAGCGCTACGTACAACTCGCGTAATGGGTGGTTCTACAAGGCCACGATCATTTTCCCAGGTCCTACAGATGCTAGGTCGTCTAAAATATTGGCGTCTTCTGCAGCAGCAAGTTTGCTTGTAGGGGGCGCGGGGCAACGGCTTCCTGCAGTGGACCAGTACAATTGTGCGCCTCGGGCTGCACAGTGGGCGGATAGGGCTGCGGTGCGACAATGCAGCAAGGCGAAGACGAGTTTGGCAGCGCAGTCGGCGGGCCTTGACACGACGACGACTGAGGTAGGTACGGGGGAAGTGGGCGTAAGAATTGTGAATTGGTGGGTCGCCGCGGTCCTACCCACTCCACTAGCCTCGACAAGTGATGGCAACAGCTCCTCCGAGTGTCGACACCCACGTCCCACACCGCATGCAGTCCCCAACAATCAACACCGACGTGCCTCATTATGGTGTTTCGGTTGCTCGAGCTATAGGGCTTCCCAGGGTAGCCATGACACATCTGACGTGTGGCAAAGAGGCGGCTTGCACGTTGCACCGCACCTGCATCTGTACCTCTGCACTAAACAGATATCCGTCTGCACCAGCGCCCTCAAACATCCATATGCACACAGTGAGCAGGACTTCGCTTTGAGTCTGCCTTCTTCGAGTCGGCTGAGGCCGTCGACCTTCCCCATGCAACAAGAGAGGCAGATGACGCAGAACTCGACAACGAAAGATTGACTCCACTATGAGTCCCCAGCTACCAAGAAGAGCAGTGTGATATTGGGCATCTCGTCGTTCTATCATGATCGCATTCATCTGGACTTCGCTTATACACAGACTAAGAATACTGCCTACCTCCACCGTCTGCTTTACAAGCGAGACGGTCTTTGCGTTTTAGGTACGACTCGTCGCTTGCAACCTGCGGTTACCACGGTCACAAGGCAATGGCAGATCTGGTCCAGCGTTTCCCGATCGAGGAGGTACCCAGACCTCGCTACGGCGTCAGCATGGGTCGACATACTCACCGTCGTCTCGAAGACTCGCGGTCACCAGACAAAATGCCGGGATGATCGAGCCTTCTGATGACAGCTCTGTAGAGCTGATCTCAACCAACGAAGAGGTGAATTGTTGAACTTGAGAACCAGTCTCCACCCAGATGCAATCCAAGCCGATTGGGATAGTTCGTGCATACCGAGCAAGGCGACGCGTTTGAAGACATCTTATGGGATTCCTTCTACCACCTTCAGGGTTCCATCTCTCTACGAAGGGTCGTAGCATCCTCTGTCTTCTGCCATCTGTACATCAAGGTGTTCTCCAACCTGCAACACTTGACGATCTGCCAATCCATCTGCGACGTTACACCTTGTCTGTTGTCGAATGAAGTGCTCGAGGCTTTGGGATTTGACCAGCTACTTGTGTGTTTGCAGCTGAGTGTTGAAAAAGCGACACCGACTTTTGACTATCCTAACATCTTGGCAGAAGGTATGCTACTGTTGCCAGTTCATCTGCGATTGCTGTTTGGTGCAAATTCAGAAATCCATTACTTTGCTATGTGGTATATCCTCTTTAGGTAAAAGCTGCGACTTTCGTCCAGGCGGGATAGTTAATAAAACCGTCGAATCACTCCACCTCCTAGGCAATAGGGCCCGAGGCCCTGCTATTGAATGGAGAGACTGGGTGCACTGCCAATTGAGATCCATGTCAACCAGAGACTCAAAGAGGGACTTCGTACTTGGGCTTCTTTGTCTGCATCGGCATAGGATGTCACATCGAAAGTGTACTGGCTTGGCGATGACATGAGCCGATTAGAGAACGACTGGGAGATCGAAAGATAGACAACATACCACCTTTCAGCCGAATCTCTGGTGAATTTCCTACCACATCAAGGACAAACCAGGCTATGCTTCTGCAACTAGGAGAGACACAGTCCACAAAGAGAGCGGCACAAGAACGGCAACCATTGCTGCGAAGTTGTGATGAGTCCAAGTGCGGCTTCGTGTGCTTGTACAAGTCGGACAAACAGACGTTGCGAAGCCTCCAAGATCCAGACGCGCGATCTAAGCCCGTCTCCTCATTGGGGAAGCCAAAAGGCACGTTTCACAATGCACTCTGTCCGTCTGAAGGCTATCAAGAGACCCACCTGCTCGTCAGCGGATCACTTACTGTGATGCTCGCCATGTCGCACAAACATATGCCCTTGACCTGTGGGTCCTCGACTCGATATCTTCCCTTTCTCAGATACCCTGATTGAGACCCATACTCTTCTCATAACCTCAGCACCTCTAGCATCGTATGGACAGCCCCCCAAGCACACTGACATGAGAACGAAAGGAGCCAAAGTTTGCAATTCACCATTTCTGGTGGGGAAACTTGGGGGACAAGTTCGTTTGTCGCAGCCACGGATAGAGTTAGCGTATCTGCTCGAGAGTGTCTTTGCTCATAGCTTGACCTACAGCTTGGGAGTTATTCTGCAAGCGACCGACTGCGCATGTTACACAAAGCAGACAGCCCGAGCTACTCGACACATCGACTCCTCTCATCATGGCAGAATCGAACCTCGCCTTCATCCCTACAAACATCTGTATCCTTACGGGCTTGCACGCTATTCTGATGACGATTGTAAATCTTCGTATCCTGGAAGATAAGACGGATATCTTGAGCGTTTCAAGTATCGCACACTCGGTTTTGTAGCTTATCGCCGACTCTTTGAAGACCCACCAGAAGAAAGCAAGACGGCGACTAGAGACGGATAGCAGATTGTGGAGGCGTCGAAGCGACGCGTCAAGTCGAGATGACAGCTCGTTTCTTTGTCTGGAAATCCCATTGTTGTAACCTCGCCGTTCTTTGATTTACAAGGTCTTACCCGGAAACAAAATCTCTTCTGAATGTTTAGCTTTCATTCAAGGTGGTGTGATTATGACATTTGCACTGCTACTCACCAAGTTGGTCTTTCACAGTTGTCAGTTCTTCATGCTGAGTTGGTAGAGTTGAAGTGAATGGCAGAACCAGCATGTTTCTTTGAAAGCAGGACAACCCCTTCTGTGTCATGGCAAGGTTGGATGAAGATGGTATTGTAGCTCGCCGTTCATGGCAAAACAACACAAACACAGCCAGCGGGTTGTTGTTCTCCAAGGATGCGCTGCGATGTGAACAGGATGGCGACATTGCACAAGATGTTAGCAACTAGGCACATATGACATGTTCATTTCCAAGGATACTGAAACTCGCCCAGCAGATCAGCCGGCGGCTGTCTTCAGATCGTCTATTCATAGATAGCGCCTTGTGGCGGCTCTGCACTATCGCGTTTCACAATGGTGCGACGCGTGCGGGCAGAGGGGTGGCCGTTTGAACAAAAAACAAAGCCTCAAGACTAAGCAAAATCATCTCCCTCACGCGTGGTCAAGGCGATTGCAGCTGTGTGCCAATTTCAAAGTCCATTCAGGCTCCAAACGCAGGCCAATTCCAGAGCTGTGCGGCGAGGTGAGGTCTGGATTGCTGTGACGGGCGAGACAGCAGCCACGGCGGAGCTGACGGGTCCCGGAGATTCCACTGTCGATGCGCATCTTTGCAGGCGCGCCCTCTCGCTGACAACTCACCATTCACGCGACAAGATCTACGCAGCTGAGGCCCACTCGGCGAGTGAGCGTTGATCCAGGAGTGTCGTGTACACTGCATGCAGGCGGAAGTGGCGAAGCAGGCACGACCAGCTAAGCAGTCCCACGCGTTGGCTGCCAACCACACATCGACGCACATCGACGCACCACACCTCTGAGCCGTCTCTTCCTTCTACCGACAACCCCGCGTTGCCTTGGACGCCCATCGACACACTCCTACCGCCGCCTGCATCGCTATCGCGTCGACCGCATCTCCGTCGTCGTCGTCGCCGTACGTCACTGGCCACCGCACGACCCCCCGCCGCTTCATCAACAAGTCGCAGGGCGCGATCCGCTGCGAGCGTCGCCGCGCCTGCTGCAACGACCTTGGCCCGTCGCAGAGCCTCTGCACTTCACCGGCGACGGTAGCACACCGAACGCGTACTCACAATGCTGCCGCAACAGCCGCTGCAGGCTGCCTCGCCGCCCACAACCCTCTCCCGGTCCTATCTCCCGAGCGAGCATGCGCCATCCGCCCTGGCAACCTCCTTGCTACAGATCGCCCAACGCCATCACACATCACAGGAAAATGGCGTGCACATACAAAGAAACAACCTGGGGTCGACAGCAAAGGGCATCATGATTGGCATATTCTCCGTCCTGGGCGCTGCTGGGCTTTGCCTCATCATCGCTGTTATCGTCTTCTACTTCCGCTACACACAACAGGGCCGCATCTTCCTGGACCGGATAACACGGCCTGGCGAATACGACGATGAGCAACAGTTTGCGAGGGACGAGGCGGATGCGCTGGAGGACATGGATGATATACAGAGAACAGAGTACCTGAGGGCCAAAGGTAATGCGCTTTCGCGTTGAAGGAGAGGATCCGCTTGCTGACCGTGCATAGCCTTTGTACAAGTAAACCCACCAGAGTCTGTGCAGACCGACATATCCTTATCGCAGTTCTTAGCCATACAAGAGAAGGGTGTTTCGGCCTGGGAGTTTGAGCCAGAGCTGGAGATTGCCAACTGCTTCGTCGAAGGCCGGACCGAGATTGAGTTCTTCGACTCGGAGTGCAGCGTCCAGAGCAACCTACCGATACCCAAGCAAAACGACGTCTACTACTGGGAGGCCAAGATCTACGAAAAGTCAGAGACCACCAGCATCGCCATTGGTGTGACGACAAAGCCGTATCCGCTGTTCAGGCTGCCAGGTGCGTCGATCATCCCACCCATCCTCGTTCGCACGCTAACATGTGTATAGGATATCACAGGTCTTCCATATCGTACATGGCCAACGGAAATCGGCGACATAACCAGCCCTTCACACCTACCGCCTATGGTCCTGCTTACGTTCAAGGAGATGTCATTGGCGTTGGATACAGACCCCGAACTGGAACAATATTCTTCACGCGCAACGGCAAAAAGCTCGACGATGTCGCCCATGGCCTCAAGGCGCAGAACTTTTTCCCGACTGTCGGCGCCAACGGACCTTGTCAAGTGCATGTCAACTTCGGTCAGATGGGATTTGTGTTCATCGAAGCCAATGTGAAGAAGTGGGGCCTGGCACCACAGACGGGCAGCCTGGCTCCTCCACCACCGTACGGCAGCGAACAAGGATCAATTCTCCTGGACTCTGGTCGCGATGGCATAAGGGAAGGAATGGGCGGCAGCTACATCTCGGCTGGCTTCGGACATGCACGGACCAACAGCCAGCAGATGCGATTCGGGCGAAACCAACCGACAAGCCCAGGACCGACACGCAGCCCAACAGACATATCCCTGGCAGCACTTAGCCTTGTCGACTCGAACGAAGATGTCGGCGAAGGCACCAGCACAGACCACAGCACGGCGATTGTGACCGCACAAGGTCTTGGCTTCCTGCAACCCAGCGATCTCCCACCAGAATACACCAGCCCCGTAGGATCGCCAAGTCTCAACACTACAGCCAGACACACGCAAGGCTACTGGGACGAGCGAGCTCCCCTCCTGCAAAACCAGCAGGAAAACGACCCGCCCATCCCCACCTACGCAGCGGCCGTCGCCGATGCACCGCGCCTGCAGACTCCGCAGATCAGAGTCCGCAGCTCGACACAGACTTCCCGCACCCCCCATCGAGGAGGCCCGCGGTGACGAGTCGCAATTGTTGTCGGGGTTTTTTTCCCTTTGTACTGTTTTCTTTGCACGTCATCAAACTATACCCCCCCTCCCTCCCTTCTTTCTCCCCTCTTTCTATCCCACTTGCCACCTTTCTCTCCTTGTCGTCACAATTTCATCGGGGGCTGATGCGCTGCGACGAAAACGCACGGCGTGTTGAAGGGCGGGTTGTATTGGGCACTGTCTGTGGGCACAGGACGCTTCCGTCTGAGCTGCTGGCGTTCTTTTTTTTTTGCAGAGCGAGCATGTGTTTTTCACTGGTGGGGGCTATGACTGTGTGTGGGATGCGAGCAGCTGTGTGTTGTGTTTTCTTGTGTCTGAGCGGTGGGGTTTTCTTTGTACATTGGATTATTCGTACGGGCTCCATGTGGTGCGTTGCGCACTTATCATAACTATAACCATAACCGTGTTGTTTGGTTGAGAGAGAGAGAGAAGGAGAGAGAAGGAGAAATACACACGCGCGTTCCTCTGTTCTGAATCACATTACATATCCTCCCGTATCTATCCCACCCACTTCCGTAACCAAGACATGACAAGACAAGACATCCACATAACCTTCAAGCATCACACAACAAATCACACCAGTTCATGAACAAAAATATATAATGTCCCGACAGATAAATTACGCAGACCTCCACATGGAATCAAGGGGGCTCCGTACTCAAAAATCGTCGCAAGTGGTCTATCTTCTTGTCTGCGTACAGCGCCGAAACCCCTCCTCCCCTCCACTCTAACCCCCGGAAGGGAAAAAGGGGAGGGAGGGAGGGACTTCGTGTGCATCCAGCTCAAGGTCTGCTGATTGAGGCAGCGGATCGAGCGAGGCGGGAGACTATTTTTTGGGGGGTTTACAGAGGGAATTGGTTGTGGGGTGTAGGGCTTGCTCTGGTCCTTGTATGAAAGGGCTGGAGCAGCAGGTTGTCGTGGTACTTGGTGTGTGGTGCGGATTGTGCACTGCGAGTGTGGTGTTGTGGACGTGACGCGTTGGTATGTGTGTGTGCAGATGAACGGCGGTTGAATTTTTGTAGCTGGGGGAGATTATGTCATCTTGGCTATTCTTCTTTTGGTCTAGGTTTACTGGTTTCTGTGACAGCGCGCTAGGTGGTAGAAACCGGGAATAGCGTGGTGGTACGATGCTTTGAATGAGCCATCTTGCAACGCTACGGATGTATGGATACTCCAAAAGAGAAAATGTCTTACCTGGAGAAATATGAGACATCAGGAGTCCATCAGTAAAGAGGCGCTTTCCGCATGATGTGGAGGTGTTGTCAAAGCATCCCATCATCACGCTACTGCCAAGTTCTAGCCTCGAGCACCTCCTCGGACAAAAGGTACCATTTCAACGTCTCTATCCAATCACAGATTTACATGCTCGCAACACATGGGTAAACGAGCCTGTGTGTGTGGTCTTCGCTTCTGCGACGTGCATATGTGTTGATGTGCACTAGTGGCGCATGAACCATGACGGACATGTAAATGTGGAAAACTTTCCCAACCGTTCTGCCGTCGTACGTTGTCATTCCATCTTGTATCTTTGCTGATTTCATATCATGGCATCTGCCCAAGTCGACGAGAAGCGCGTCTTGCCACAGCATGGCCGCCGTGATCCTGAGTCGGGCGCGAGTTCACTGTCACTGGACAAGGATGTAGCGATTGCTCTTGTTGGGGAACATGCGAGAGACATCGATCCAGAGATGGAGGTTAGAGTGCTGAGGAAGATAGACATGTTTCTCATTCCGGCCATGGTTGTGGGTGCGTATTGTCCTTGCTGTCAAGTTGTAGTTAGTGCTGAGGTGAACAGGATATGGATTGGTGTACTATGACAAGGCGATCCTGGGTTCCGCAGCTCTGTTCGGCATGACGAAAGATTTGCAACTGAGTGTTGTTAATACGTCAACCACGCCGCCTACGACGAATACACAAAGATTGAGTTGGGCAACGTCCATGTTCTACTTTGGCATGCTGGCTGGCCTCTACCCGATGACGTTTGCGCTGCAGCGATTCAACCTAGGCCGCATCCTGGGAGGTGTCGTTGTTATCTGGGCTACCATTTGCATGCTCACGGCGGCTGTGACGACCTACAAGGGTCTCTATGCCCAGCGGTTCTTCCTGGGGTTCGTCGAGTCCATCATCCCGACTGGCTTCATGTGTATCATAAGCGGCTACTACACGCAAGAAGAGCAAGCGCTGAGGCAGTCGTGGTGGTTCTCTGCGACTGGGCTGTTCACTATCATCGGCTCTGCGCTCAACTACGGCTTCGCACAAATTAGTGGTGGTGACTTGAAGAGATGGCAGTACATTTATATCTTGGCGGGATGTCTGACTCTCTTCTTTGGCATCTGGTGTTTCTTCATTCCCAATTCCCCGGCATCAGCATGGTTCCTCACACCAGCAGAGCGTATCGTCGCCGTCGAACGTCTCCGCAAAGGCCAGACCGGTGTGCGATGCCAGAAGATCAAGATGTCGCAACTCAAAGAAGCGTTCCTGGACATCAAACTCTGGCTCGTCTTCATCCTCATGGCTTCAGCATATACTGTCAACGGAGCAGTATCTGGCTTCGGGCCACTGATCGTGAGCACATTCGGCTGGTCGTCTCTCCAGTCTATCCTCCTTCAGTTCCCACTCGGCGGCATCTGTCTCATCACCATCCTGCTCTGCGGGTACCTCTCCTCACGTATTCCGAATATACGCCTCATCCTGCTGGTGGTAAACTGTCTCCCCGTCATCGCTGGCTGCGCAATGATTTGGAAGTCCAAGTGGACACATCACGCCGCCACACCGGTCGCCGGGTACTCCATCATCGGGACTTTCGGCGCAGTCGTCAGTCAGACGATTGCTATTGGTATGAGCAATGTCGCGGGCGCCACGAAGAAGAGCGCCATGGCTGCTGCTATCTTTGTAGCCTATTGTGTTGGAAACATCGTCGGGCCGCAGCTCATCAAATCAGAGACAAAGGTTAATCATTACCCGGAGCTGTGGATGGGGTTGATCATCTGGTACGTGACTTTCGTGAGGTTTTATCTAAATCGACGCCAATGCTGACGAGATTGTAGTTACTGCATTACTATTGTATCAGCTGTGGCATTGTACTTTGTGCTGCTGCGCGCGAACAAGAAGAGAGAGGGCATGGCTGTAGACGAGGATGAGCGAGACAGGTTGGCGTTTATGGACTTGACGGACAAGCAGAATCCGTACTTTAGATATGTGTTGTAGAAGATGTGCAGTACGTGCCAAGATGTGTCTGCAGGTTGCTGATCGATCGCCGTGATTGCCGTTTCGGCCCGCGCGGCAAGTTTGCGGACCTAGAATGTTCTATAATTATATATAAGCATTGCGTGATGGGTGTTGTAACTAGTGCAGATGAAGATGTCACCTCAAACAAAAGCATGTCAAGCATGAACAGAATCAGCACCAGTTCTTGTGTTTGGTCAAAGCAAGTAGTTATACCGGCCATGAACAGCAACTGTCAGGATTAATAGATCAACGGATCGTCTCAGGATGTGCTCGCATATCTTATCGTTTAAGTGGGTCCACAGCAAACAACCCTGGAGGCAGTCATGACATGACAGGATCTTGTTGCCATGCAAGCGAGACAGGCGCGTCGCGTCCATATGGAGAAAGAAACATGCCGTGTTGTCGTCACAATTGCGTGCCTGCTTTCCCCTTTCCTTCTGGCACGGCGCTTTCATGTCTGCCGCGTGTGCACTTGCGCGTCTCACTTGGTTTGGACGAGGAGACCAAATGCTCAACGCGTGACGTGAGCCGCAAGCATGCTTCGCTCCAGGTTTGTGAAGCCAGCGAGCTTTGCGGGTGTCTTTGATCGAGCTGCTCTTGTGGTTGTAGTAGCTGTTGTTCTTGTTAATGTGTACCGTCGACTGTACCTAGGTAAGTCAATTTCTTTACCTTCCTGCTCGTGCTCGTATATTAACAACTGCAATCTAGACACCGCCGATCCGTACAAATGCACTGCTCTCCTCCACCAAGGCCATTGGCTCGACTCTCCCGACCGCAATCCCGAACACCAAGCTTTTCATAACTGGCAAGTGCCTGGCTGCATGCTGCACGACTACAACGGACCTGATATTGCGAGCTGTAATGAGGATGGCCAGATACTATTTGTGGGCGACTCGACAACGCGGGAGGTTTTTTGGTCAGTGGCAAGGAAACTGGATAGTGCGCGGGTCTTTCGGGAGCGAGCGGATGAGAAGGATACGCACACTAATGTCGACTTTGAGATCAACGGAGCGAGATTGAAGTTCCTGTGGGATCCGTGGCTGAATAGTACGGCGTTGAGGGGGGAGCTGGTGGCACTCATACAGCGAAACGCAGCACGTAAACAAGGAAAAGAACTCGAAATGAATGGGGAAAAGAGACGATCGGTACTCATATTCATCGGAGGTGGGCTCATGCATGCTCGACATCTCAAGGGCGAGTACTTGGTCCGATTCAGGCAGGCCGTCGACTTGATCAATGCTGCTGCAAGTTCGACAAAGTCACTGCATGTCCTGGAGAACGCCAACCCAAGCGGAGACGATGTTGTTGGCGACCAACTCTTCTTCTCGCCCATAATGGAGCCGCTCTACGACCGATTCAGTCCATCACGAGAAGCGACCATCACACCCTCGAAGGTTGAAGCCATGAACAAATACCTCGAAAACAGGTCGTTGCGCGGACTCAAGGTACCGTGGGTTTTCCAGAACATGACGCAGGGTTGGCCGGAACTCATGGGTGAGAGTGGGATGCATCCGAATGACCGCGTCGCTAGCAAAATGGCAGACGTCGTGCTCAATCTCCGATGCAACGCGAAATCGGCGCAGAAAGATGGATATCCATACAACAGAACATGCTGCAGTCCGTACAGGCGTCCTCATTTGGTCCAGGTTCTCGTAGCCGTTCTGACCGCTCCTCTGATACTGATGAAATTGAAGAGACGCTTCTCCATGAACTCGAAGTCTACTTCCTTCGACAAGCTGACGGCAGCTCTCACTATCGCGCTCGCTATATGGTACTGCCACATAGCAGATAGAACACAAACTTTCGACAAATTCCCTAAACAGTTCGCTCACATCGACTTTTGGGTATTGTTAGGGTTAGCTGTCCTATCGTGTCTGGTCAACATTGAGAGTATTCCATCCTCTGCCTTCGTTCGCCGTTTAATACCTACTCGAGGAACTTCTCAAGAGACCTCGTTCCTTCCAAGAGAGCAGTCCGACGAATTCAAAGGCTGGATGCAGATATACATGCTTGCATACGAATACACTGGCGCGTCCGATGTCTTGGACTACTATAAAATGTCTCGGGTCTTCGTAGCGTTCTACTTGTTCCTCTCTGGGTATGGACACGCAATGCACTTTCTGCAGAAGCAAGACTACTCTTCTCGGCGACTGATCAGCGTTGTGATACGGTTGAATGCGCTCCCAGTCTTACTTGCCTTTGCAATGAGCAGGCCATACACCTCGTACTACTTCGCGCCGCTCGTCAGCTTTTGGTTTATTGTGGTGTATGCAACACTCGGGGTCGGTCGTCGATTCAACGAGTCTCTGTGGTGTGTAGTTGGAAAGGTGGGGATCTCGGCGCTGCTAGTTACCGCTGTCACTCACAAACGGGGTGTGCTCGAGCTGCTTTCTGTGGTTCTGCGGGTGGGGTTTCGAGCAAGTATCGATGTGGAAGAATGGCGCTTTCATCTTGGAACGGACAAGTACGTCGCGTTTGTCGGATTGCTTGTCGCCATCATCCATGTCCGCACATGTTCGATTATCAGTACGCCTCATCAGCAACTGAATATCCTCGGTCGTATCATCAAAGACTACTCTAAGTTTATCCACCCCTTTCTTGTCGGATGGAGTCTAATCACCATTCCAATCTTCTGGATCCTCACGAGTCGCTCCCTAGATCAAGCAGATTACAATGGGTGGATGCCGTACATCGCCTGGCTACCCGTCATCTCCTTCGTGATCCTGAGGAACTCAACACACATCCTGCGAAGACACTATTTCGCATCATCTGCGTGGCTGGGTCGGATAGCCCTCGAGCTCCATCTGTTGTCGAAGCACATATGGCTCGCTGGCGATGATCGAGGGCTTCTCAGGATCGGGTTTCGCAACGGAAACGGAGGGTTTCTGAGCGATAGATGGCGTGACCTTGTGATACTGACCCCGATTCTTGTTTGGGTGGCCTGGAAGGTGCATGGTGCTACGGCGACGCTCACGGCGTGGAGTCTGGGCGTGCCGGACTCGATCGAGATGACAGTTCCCAGGAGTAACCATCGCAGTCGGCATGAGGACGGGATTCGGCTTCCTGACTCCGGCCTTGATTTGCCGATATCCAATGTTCGGGGTCCAGAGGGTTCGGATGGCGGCGCTTGGAAGCTGGACTTGCCTGTGGGCTCGTTGAAGAGGTTGCTGATCGTTGTGGCGGTCGTTTGGGGCGTCAATTTTGTAAGTGAATCTTCCTCTATCAGATTCACTTTGACTAACGGAGTATCAGCTGTACGAATAAGGGTTTGTCATATCTCGCGCATTCTCGTCCACGCGTTGACGATGGGTGAGTATTGTAATGGAAGATGGAACATTCTGGCGGACATAGCATTTGATACCCACAGCATCTAGATTCGGAGTAATGGTCAGTTATGACAAGCATGATTACTGTATCACATGTATGCAACAGTACTGGTACACGACATGCTATATCTGGAGTAATAGATCTTATCAGATATCGGTTCCCCACCCGCCTCATGCTGCGTCTTGTGTCTTGAATCGTTGCCGAAAAGACGTCTGGGACAACTTGCAGGATGTTTTCACAATATTACTTCAGAAAAGGAAAGGTCGCGCGATTCTCCAATACAAGGCGAGGAGAGATAATGTACGTTTGGTGGCGCTAGCGATTGGGTGGTACAAATCGGAGCCAAGCGCGGGAACCCGAGGGGCTGGCTGATGATGGAATAGCAGACGAAGGGCTTTGCGATTGCAGATGTTGGCAGCCTGGATCCCCTCACGTTCCTCCCTTCCCTCTCCATGTTTCCGCAACGACGTACAATTCCCGTCCATGTGGCCGTAGCAAGAAACTCTCAATAGTCCCGCAACGCCGCCGTTCTTATCCCGCAAACACAACCCCGCCGTGATCCATCTACCACCCAACACTTCTTATCGTCCACCCCTACCACCACCCCGTCCCAACTCGTACGAGATGACCTCTCGCACCTCGACCCCACACTCGCAATCCCGCTCTCGCTCCTCAACCAACAGCACTTCCTCGGCCGACACCGCCATGCACGACGCGCCACACTCTCCCAGTCGCCCCGCGCGCCCGCGAAACCCCTCCCACAGCCTCAGCCTCAGCAACAGCGCCCCCTCGCCCACGACGCGCCCCTCCACCGCGCCCGCCCCCGACCCGACCTTCTCTCTCCTCCTCTCCCTGCCGAGCGAATTGCGCGACAGAGTATACAGCTTCGCGCTAACCTCCGCCTTCCCCTTCTGGTGGCCCAACACGTCGCCACTAAAACACAACGTGGGCGTCAGCCTGCTGCGCGTGAACCGGCAGGTGCATGATGAAGCCGCGAAAGTGCTCTACCAGGGCAACAAGTTCCTCTTCACGCACCCGAGCGACTGCAACATCTTCCGCGTAGTCGCGGGCCCGCAGGCCGAGAAGATCGCGGAAGTGTATTTCCGCGTGCGCGAGAAGGACTTACGGCTATGGACGGGGTATCTGGGGAGTCGGCGCGGAGAGAGGAGTTTGCGCGGGGACCTGCCCGGGCTGAAGAGGATGTGGGTGTTTATGCGGTGCGGGGGTGTGGGCATGGGCATGGCGCATCTGGGCGGCGGTGCTATGGCGCAGGGCCATGTGTTGGCGCAGGTGGTGGGCGGCTTTGTCGGTCAGCATGCTGCGCTGGGGAACGCACAAGCTCAAGCTCAAGCACAAGCACCGCCGCCACCTCCTCCTCCACCACCGCAACTACAAGCAGGGGCTCAACCTCAACCTCCGCCTCCGCCCCCTCCCCCGCCTTTCATCCACTTTGCCCACCCCCAACACCCCGCCCCCGTCCCCGCCCCCGCTCCAAACCCCCAACCCCTCTTCTCCACCTTCCTCCGCTTCGAGCGCGAACTCGGCATCGAAGCCCTGTGCCTCTCACTGCAGGAGACGCGCAACGCCGCCACAGACGTCAAGATCGTGTGCATCATGCGCGTCCCGCGGCGCGAGGTCGAGCGCTTGCTGCGCATGTATCCTGACGAGCTGGTTGTGGATCGCGCGGGGGATGCGAGGACGAGGTTTAGGCGCGTGCATGGCGTTGATGTCAGTCTGGAGGTTAGTGGGTTTGATGCTGGTGCGGGGCCAGGGTGAGAGTGGGCGTGGGATGATGTGATGTTTTGTAGTGGAGGGGGAGTGGGAGTGGAAGAGTATGTTCACCTGGTAAACCTTGTAGAAGAGTTCGTCGTGTCAAGTTGTGTGAATATGGATCGAAGAAACATCTCCATCTAACCACCGTCAAAGTCGATTCACCAAGTCCACACACACACACTCTGTTCATCACAGTCACTGCAAAAGAAGCTACAAGATTGTTCCAAAAAGTGTTCAAATTCAAGCGCAATCCTATGCCATGTGTATGCTCTCGTCAATCATTACCGCAAATCCAATTTCAAAACCCAAAATGCAATGCTATCAGTCTATATTTCGATCCGCCAACTACAAAAAGCTCAGGGGTATAATGTATGCTCAACATAACGCTGTCCTGTCCAGTTCTGTCCTGTCCCATCCTATCTCATCCTGTTGCAAGCGAGTGTGTTTCGTTGTTCAAAAAAGGAAAAAAAAGAGGGCGCTCAATACAATCCAACTTCAAGCGAAGAAAGAACGTCGGAAAAAAGAAGAAGTAGAGACAATAAGAAAACCGCCCATCCACCAGACTTAACAAGCCACCTACGCGCCAACAGCGAAAATCGCCACCGTAGCACAAAAGTTGGACCGATTATCCGCGTCCTTGAGCAATCCCTTACCGCCCGACGTAATCATATTGACCGAGGCCTTAGTCGACAAGCCAAACCAGTTGACATTCGTCGAGTTATCCACCTGGTTGATATCCGTCTGGCAGTTCTCGCCATCGAGGCACTCCTGCGCGTAGTTGGAGAAGAACGAGTAAGTACCCGCGCCGTAGTTCCAGAGGCTGGTGCTGTCGATGATGCGGACAGCCCAGGCGGATTTGCTCTCGGACTGGCTGAAGTCGGGGTCGAAGTACTTTTCGTTGACGGTGAAGGGCACCGTGGCGGCGGGGTTGGGCTGGTAGTAGGGCGTCTCGGTCTGGATGGCGCCGTACCAGATGTCCTTTGCGCCCTGGAAGTGGTACTGCGACATCTGCGAGTGCTCCGAGGCGGTGCCGACGAGCCAGACGGGGCCTTGGGATTCGACGAGCATGCCGCGGCCGTTGTAGATGTCGATTTGGCCGGCGGTGCCGTTCTGCTGGTCGAGCTCGTGGTCGGCGGTCCACAGCCAGACGTTCTCGAAGTAGCCGTTGGATTCCTTGGTGATGTGCAGCTGCATGAAGGAGCCGATGCAGTCGGGGTTGGCGTCGTGGGTGGCGTTGGGGTTCTTTGCGCAGTTGGAGTACTGGAGCTTGGTGCCTTCGAAGCCGCCGACGCGGAAGTGCACGTCCCAGAGACCAGCCTGGCCGGCCTCAGCGTTGATGTTCCACTCCATGAGGATGCCACCGGGCGCAGGGCCTTGGGTGGAGATGATAGCGTCAGACATCTCGAAGGATCCCTTGTCGCCGCTTGCCTTGCCAACCTGGAATCCAGGCTTGGGGTCGTCCATGTTGGAGAAGAACTCTCCGGTGATGAAGAACATGGTGTAGATCTCACCGACAATCTTGATGTTCTTCTCCGCTGGGATGACAATGGTCTTTGTGATCAGGTAAGCACCGTGGTCAGCGTGAAGGATCTCGCCATCTTGCAGACCGTCGATGGCAGCTTGAATAGCCGCAGTATCATCTGTGGCGCCATCTCCAACAGCACCCTTGCTCTTGAGGCTGACGAACTTGGAAACGTCGATGTTCTCGTACTGGGGCTTGCTGCGCTCAAACCAGCCGTTGTCACCGAGAAGGCTCTCTGGCTTGGTAGGTGCGTCGTTGACATTGCCTTGAATGCGAGACTGTTCGGAGCCACTGGCCATGGCGTTACCCTGAGCCCATGTTGCGACCTTGGATCCACCTGCGAGGATGACATTGCCACCGGAACCTTCAACAGCCGTCGTAGATCCAGTGAAGTCAACGTTGTCGAGAACAAGAGAACCACCGGTCTCGGGAACGCTGTTCGAAGTGAACGAAGAGTTGACGCCGACCGGAGTGTTGACGAACTTGCTGTCAAGCAGGAGGACGGAGCCGACAGTCTGGTTGGAAGGGCTGTTAGCCATGTCGAGGCCAACCTTGCAGTTGTTGATGAAGATGCTCTTCAGGGTCCACAGCCAGTTCCAGTTCATGTAGATGGCAGTTCCGCAGTCGTTGAAGGTCATGTTGCGAGTGGTGAACTGCTGGGAGCCGAGGAAGGCACCGATGGCACCACCGTTGAAGATGAGATCACTCATGAAGCCACCGGAGCCGTTGTCTTGGAAGATACCCTTCTGCTCAGCACCAGCATCGCCCTTGTCCATCTCGAAGCGGATGTTCTGGAGACTGGTAGCCTGGGAGACTTGCCAGTGGATACCAGCTGCTGCCTTCACACCAGTGATGTCGATGACGAAGTTGCGGATTTGACGGTAGAAGTTGTTCTGGTTCGTGTACCAGTTGGCGCCGTTGCCTCCTGGGATGTACGGGTCCGCGTCGATCACTCCCATTCCTTCGAAATCGGCGGTGGCCTTGAGGACAGGGAGGTTGAGTGCGTCGCCAACAAACTGTGTGTAGTAGTACTGGATGATGGGCTTGCTGATCATATAAGTTCCGGCAGGGAAGTAGATGATGGCGGGAGTTGTAGTCGTCGAATCGCAGCCTTCGCCACAACGATCACCGTCAGCGATGATCTTGTTGATCACGTCCGTGTCGTCCGTCACACCGTCGCCGGCGGCACCAAGCTCTTTTACATTGCGGAAGACTGTGTAGCTCGCCTTGTTGGCGTTGAAGGGAGCCTGGCCCTGGCGCTTGATGCTTGAAAACCAGTAGCTGGAAGCGGAAGCATTGGCCTGTGCTGTCACCGTATTCGCCTGTGCAATCGGAACTGCAGCGGATGGAGTAGCAGAGAGGAGGACGCGCAGCGTCAAGAGAAACGCACTAGCACTGAAGGCCACCATGATGGCAGTACGTGTGTTGAAGTTTGAAGTTTTGAAGTATGCAAGATAAGAATGTTGCTGTAGGTGCTTTGGTCAGTTGACTAGCAAGTGACTCTGATTTTTTTGTTCTTTATAAGAAAGCCCAGGAGTGGGAGTGGTTGGATTTGAAGGATGTGTAAGTTGCACAGCAACGAACAGTGTAGAAAAAGTAAAAAACGTGAAGGTTGGTTGAAAAGTAAAGAGTGACTTTAAAACAACGAAGAAGCAAAGCGCAACAATAGCGATGTAGACTGACAGAACCTGCGTGAAGAAACAAACCGAAGACGCGGCCGGCATTGTATAAGTAGGTACAATAGAGTGAAGGGGACTTACGCCAGAAACGTCTCGCCAATCATGATGGTGAATACCCCGTGTTTCAAGTTTCGAATAGCTGTGCCGCTCTCTTCGCTGTGCTGTGCTTGTGTGTTTGGTCCCAGCTCCAAATAGCTGCTGTATATCCGCCTTCTCGTCACAATACCAGGGCTCTTTTACCGCCTCTTCATCATGTCTAGCCGTTGTCTCTGATCCACACAACAAGCCAATATCCTCTTTCGCTTCGTGGCCCGGCCCTGTACAGGCCATGTCGGTCCACGTTCCTGGCCCACAGGCGATGCCGTAAAAGGAGGCCTAGAATGCAACCCGGAGTTTTTCGCGCCAACCAAAATTACACAGGATTGTTGCTAGCAGGGAAGAGTATTCATGTCTCCGCGGTAGTCACTTCGGCGCGTGAAACAGTAGGAATTCGTAGACCAGTGACTGGATGTTGGTGTTCTGAGGATGCCGTGGACGTGCCTGAATCGACGGGGATCTCGTTGGCTGACGCCACAAGCGAACGTTGTCCCTGTTTCAGGGTCGTGTTTTAAGCCCCATCGCCCAGAACCGTCCCCGAGTCCTGAGTGGCTGCAGCCAAAATAAGAATATGCATTTGCATCCCGCCAGCGCTTCACGGCAACCTACTGATCGAGCGCCAAGGGTCATCTTGACGCGACGGGCCGCCAAATTATGCTGTGAGGATGCACTGCGGCATAGCTGGTGCGCCCTCAACAGGCTAGAAGAGTCATCTGCCACCTATATCCTCTACACGTTGTCTGCCGAGGAAGGCCTCAGGCATCACAATCTGTGTCACATGAAAGACATCACCCGTGACCTGGCAAGGATCTTCGGACCTCCGAGGAGACACGCGTCACTCTTGGTGTGTGATGTGAACAGAGAATAAAGAACGCAGGCTAGAAGTCAGGCGCATCTTCTCGGACTTCCGTTGCTGTGAAATTGAGCACTGCAGTGGTGTGCGAATGGTCGCGCGTGATTGACATTTCAAAGACAGTATTCGTTTCACGCGGCCAAGTTGTGTCTGTGGTAGAGTGCTTATCTTTTCAGGGACAGCTCCCGACATCTGCAAGGGCAGAGTTTGATTCAAGGATGTGATCGCGTGTGGAGGATCTACGTGCGTGTAAGGCTTTATGCGTGACAAGGTCTATTACAAGGGTGGCTTAATAGCGATTCGAACACACTGTTGCGTGATCCACCCAGGTCCACGGCAGCGTCGCTATTGGAAGTTGGGGTAATGAGGTAACATCACAGCGTGAGAAGGCGAGACTACCAAGCGCCTCGATAGTTGTTTTTGCTGAGCCGTTCCTGTGAAACAAACGTCTCTTCTTGGAAGCAGATCGTTCACTTGAAATGGCTAACCTCCCAAAGTGGCGAATCAGCTAGACAAGTTTGATTGCAACCCCTCACCAGAAGTCCTTTGCGTCCTGCGAAGGCTTATTCGCAGCTGTGACAAGTGAGGTGTCATCGTTATTGACGGTGTGCTCATCCAACATTCTCCTGATGACCTGAGCAAGACGTTTGATGCCCTCGGCGAGCATGTCCTCGTCTTCCCACTGCGCGCACGTAAGCGAAAACTCCCAAGCCAGACCAAGGGTCATACCGCAAAACAAATTCTGATGTCGTTTTCGAAAGAAGTGCCTGAGCCTTCGGTGTCGCCGGGAACCTGGATCTGTAAGCCATACATCCATGTCTCTGGCAATCACGCTTACCTCAAAGATTTCACCCTGTGTACCCATCCTGTTAGCTGAACATTCGTGACCTATATTCGGATCGGACATGCCAACTGTACTCACCTGTGCGACCACAACGTTCTCCTCGTCCTTTGCGCGTTGTGCAAAATTTGCACCTTTCAGGGAATGAGGCAACGTCAGCCAGATAAAGTACCCCCCGACAATCTCACGGTCTGCTTGCGGAAGGCGGACACCGAGTGGTATGAGGTGCGTATTGATGGCCTCTACCATCTTGCGATACCGCGCGCCGTATATTGGTTGAAGCTGCTCGAAGACGTAACGCTGGAGCTCGCCCGTCTCCAGCGTCTCGGCTACAAAGCAAGCCGTGAGCTGGCTGGGAGCACCGCCTGAACGGCTCGAACCACTGCATCGACGTTAGCTGTATGTATCGTCGGGTGGAACGTAGCACCGTCAACCCTGTCGATGAGACCTGTAGATCGGTCTGACAACGCTCCCACAGAAGCGCATCTTGCCACAAGTGTGAAAGGCTGAAATGCCCACACAAGTCGCGACGGACAGTTTTCATATACATAAGAAATGAGAACACATTGCTTACGTCTGTGACACACCATGCGCTAGCTTCGCCGTTCCTTCACACCATCCCGTCCTCAGACCAGGGCCGCAAATCTTTGAAAAGCTACCATTTGAAGCGGTATTTCCGAAGCCGTCAGCGCCCTCTCGATCGGCACCGCCGTCAAGGTACCGATCAATGTCGACGATACGAGGCAACACTGCTTTGTCTACAGACAAGGTCTTAGTTGTGAGACTGGATGGCCATTGCAGGAAGTCGTAGACGTCGTCAGTGATGATGAGTGCGTCATACTGTCTCGCCAAACGCACGAGCTGTTCTCTTCTCTTCAGACTCATAGTTTTCGAAGATGGATTGGAGAACGTTGGTACGGCGTAGATCACGTATTTGTATATCTTACTCCATGGTCGCGAAGGCTTGAGTGGCTGATCGGTCTGTTAGTTGATGTGTAGGCGACGCCCTTCCTGTAGTCCCAACACCGCTTACCGGCTCGTCATTCCCATCAGCTTTCGCCTTCTCCTCGCTCTTTTCGAGTTGTCTCTCCAGAAAGTCAATATCTATACCCTCGTCGTCCTCTGGAACAGCTCGAAGTCTAGTATGGAAGCCCGCATCCTCAAATATTCGAAAGCACAACATATAAGCAGGGCTCACAAGAAACACATGTCTGGTATAGATTGGGTCTGAGAAGACTTGAAGGAGACAAGCCAAGTTCTGCGAGGCTCCTCCGGTAATGCATAAGCGGTTTTCAGATATTGGATCAGCTGGCTGATAGAATTTAGTCAGCCAGGATGCAACGTTTCTCAGTAGCCGTGGGTCCCCGTCATCGGGGCCATAACACATCGCAGGGAAGGCAATAGTTTTGTTCTTGAGCACATTATGAGTGGCTTTTTCAAGCAGCTGTGTAGGAAGCAGTGCCGTATTTGGCCAACTAAATGCAGTTAGCAATTATTCGAACTTTTCATCTAACTGCGTCAGGCCACGTCATATTCGAGAAGGGCCGTGAGGCATTCGGACAAAAACCGTTCCTCGGGGATATGAGGTCCGGCGATCACAGGGTGTAGACTATGTGGAGAGGAGCTGACGTGCCCTTTGAGAAGATTGATCAGCTTTTGAGAACTCTTAACCGATCCGGCGACATCCGAGAAGGCACCCATTTCTGCTGAATCTTCCGCTTTCGTTGCCGTCGATTACACGGAGTATCAAGGTAGCGTGGAGTGTTCTACCCGCGAAGTAGGAGAATCCGTGGCCGTTGAATACGAGTGTGGCTGGGGGCCGATTAGGCGCAAGAAGAAAGGCGGAGTCGCGGAACAAGTAGAAAGGCGAAGTCGTAAAAGATGGCTCAGCTCATACCAAACGTAAACCAGTCGTGCGTATGTCAACAGTCAACCATTTACCTATTTCAGAGACCCGTCTGTTAGTCGTGTTGAGGATTATGGCATGTGCACGTGTTAGTGTACGTCACGCTCGCTTATGTCTTTTCTTTCCTCGATGGTCTGTTGCTAAAATAGGAACCTATTTCGCGCGCGAAGAAGTATTGGAATTGATTTTCAACATCGACCATAGCGGGGCAACCGGATGTATTGACAGGTGGCTGCATGGTTGTATCGGTACTGAGATGATGCGGATACTGCGGCATTACTTCGCTTTGGAGACGTGGTGGACCCTGTCTGGTGAAGAGGCGCAGGTCCCAGCATCTTGCAGCGTGCCCTTGAGATGATACCCAAGATGCAGAAGGAGACAGGCAGCTAGTTTGGGCGGGTGCTCTACAGACGAGTTCACGCAAGCCGCGTCTGAACCCAATGAAGGCTGGCATGCGTAGATATTTGTGGCAAGGATACGGGTTTCGTCATCCGCCATTCCTTTCACAGCACTAGCATGGCTGGCCTTTCTGTCGCCTGCAACACCGCCCAGGATCTGCGACGGCCTGTACAGATCGTTAATAGACCCTTGAACGTGCTCTAGTTTTGCACCGCTTTCCCCTAGCACATATTCCCTCGGTACCCGTACCTGCGCGGTGCTTTGTTTGCCGTTTCACTTCACATCATAGACCACATGCTGCACAGCGCATAGTCGAAGGATTTGCTCTGCGTCGACTAATCTGCCGGCCATTGTCCCAGTACCGTCTGCTTCGTTCAGCAACACACATACCTGCAACATGGGCGACAAGAAGAGGTCAGGCAACCGGCTGTCGAGCCTCTTTTCCAAGGGCCCCCCAGAGCCTGCCGACAACGCCTCTGTGAAGAGCAGCTCTGCGACCGTCGAACCGACCAACCGTCTGAGCAAAGTGCGTCACCGGATCTCGTCGGCAACACTCCTCGCGCCTGCATATCCTCCTCCATCTGCGCCGCCAAAGGTGCCCCTCTCGCAGCCCACCATCCAGCCAGTCGACCCGGCCGCTGCCTTCGAACCTCTCGAGCCTCCTCCGTTTCTGGGCTTTGATGCGTCTTCGCGCGGCTCGTCGCCTAGCAGCAGCCGTCCTGGAAGTCGGCCAGGGACACCCACTCTGGAAACATTGCCCGAAATCACGTCGAAGAAGCTCCGGCGGAAAAGCAGGCTGTTTGGAGGAAGCAATGGCGGCGACGAGCCCAGTGCCGGCACACAGGCTGGGGAGAGTCCGCTCGCGTGGATTATTGGACACAAGGGCAAGGTGCCATATAACCTGGCGATGCTGCTGAATGGCGAGAAGGTGGGTTGTGGAACGTATGCCATGGCGGGGAGCTAGTCCGCTGACACGTGCGTGCGCAGGTACAAGAACTCTGGGACGACACCGGCGACACGTTGATCTACCTCTTTCCCCGCACGTCGAACAAGGGTCCCTCCTTCCGCATCGACTCGTCCGTCTACGCCGCGTCACCGCGCCTCACACAACTCCTGCATGGTACTCTGTACAGCGACGTGGGCATCGAGCAGCCTGACCAGAACGCGTGGCCATTGTCGCCTGAGAATGGGCCACCGTCGCGCACTGCGTCTCCCGATCAAAGCCAGGCCGAGAGCTCAGACGTGTCCAAAGGATCGAGGACGCTCAGCGACGCGACAGAAGATGACCACACCGAGAGGCACATGTACATGCCCATTAGCTTGAGTTCGGATGCTGCTGTCGCGCCGGGAGATGCACGACTCAACTCCAAAGATATCGACACGCTAGTGACGTACCGCAACTTCTTCGCGTTCTTGATTGGCCAGTCCCTTCTGGCGACGGAGCGACATCCAGACATGTTTGGCGTATTCCTACGGATCGCAGACATATTGCAGCACTATGACTTCTCCAATGTCGATGGATCCACCTACGGCGAGGTGGCCGCCTCGAGTTTCGACAGCTACGTGGACGAGCTGAATCTTGCCGACGTCAGACACAGCCGCGAAAAGACCATCGAGGCGATTGTTCTTGGCGAGAGGATGCGTTCCGTGTCGCTCTTCACCGAGGGCTTCGTTCATGCTGCTGGAAAGTTCGATACCATCAAGGAGATAAACTCCGCCAAGTTCGAGATGATCAGCCGCAAGACCGTGACACGTATTACAAGAGCAGCGATGGACCTGGACAACCGAGAAGCTGCAATCAACGCAAAGCTGAAGGATTTTGAATTTCCCGCAATCTTTGCAGGGATTATGGATAGTGCCATGTCAGATGAGGGAAAGATCATCACTTTCAAGAAGTGGAGGGCGGCTTTCATGGCCACGAGGTCGTTCACTATCGACTACTACAAGTCGAAGTACGGGTCCTGGCTCCCCAAGGCACGTTCGAAGAAGAACAGCCTAACGACGAGCGGCTTGAACCGACTGGTCCTGCTGGATATCTATCACGACCTATCTAGCCTGTACGATCTTCTTGCGGACCGCAGGAACTTGACGAACCGTACCGCCGATGGTTTTCTCTACGAGCAAGAAGGAACCGACTTCGAATCCGTTGTGTACCGCGCCCTACGCAAAGTCCTCAGCGAATACGACCGTAGCACACCACCTGTGCAACCACCTGTTCCCTTCGATCTGCCACTCTATCCAACGCTCAAAGGCGTAAAAGCCAACTATCCGACTGGGGATGAAAAGCAGGACGTCAAGGCGCGGGGCAAGAAGCTGAGCAAAGACGACATTGCAAAGATGATAAAGCAGTCGCACAATGTTGATGCAGAGCACCAGACGCCGTTCTTGGATGCGTTCCGGCACTTCGAGCACAAACAAGCCTCTGGAGCGAACATGAACGAGCTTTGGGAACTGCGAACAGGGCAGTGGCTATTTCTGTATGCCGTCATACAATCGTTGCCAATGTTGGTTATCGACGTGCCCGGGGTCCGATTTACAGAAGGAGTAGAGTATTTCCTGTGCGAAGTCCCTCGTAGTGGCATCCCATGGGGTCGCGAGGACACATCACGCACGCGAACATGGTTCGGCGTCGCAGGCGGAGCGCAAGTCGTCAGCCTACCCACAGATATCGTCGAACACGGCGTGGAAGGTGTCTTCCGACGATCTCACTGCTGGAAGAAGGCACAACAATGGGCAGCCAACGACACATTTCTCAATGCAGCCATGGAAGAGTTGAACGCGAGCGCGGCACCCCTGCCTCCGCCAACGGGCCTGCTCGACCCTGCTTCCGCTCTTTATCCGTCTGCGCCTGAAAGTCCCGACTGGCGGCGCGAAAGCGTCATGAACTTAGGACTCGAAGCTCTTCCACTACCGCCGGGCATCGCGCCACCGACTTCCCATTCGCCTGTGATAAGGCCTGCTTCGAGCAGTGATCCGTCGAGGACGTTTGACGCGATATTAGGAACGAGTGCTCCAGGAACGCCCAAAAAGGACAAGAAGAAGAAGAAATGAAATGCGAGCGAGTGAGTTGATGATACCACGTAGGGCTACCTAGAAAAGGCGTGCCCTGTATATTTACTGGAGCTGGTAATGTTCATTTTGCATGTTGGATATTTGGAAACATCTTGTTCTGTTTGCGGACAAGTTTTGAAATTTGTAGCGTTATTGCATATTTGCGCGACCTGATATTAGAAGAAAAGAGATGTGATATATATAGTTGTACGAGTTGAATATCTAGCCTTTGTAGCGAATCAATATTGATACCCATCAGTTCGTTCCCGCGTTTTGGAGTCGGCCCGAGTTTGCCCACCGTCCGCTCCGACATCGTAGCTGCATGTTTACCTACCAGCGCATTTTCGACATAGAAGAGGCTCTTGTGAGCGTATAGCAAGCCTCAATTTGAAGCCTGTATATTCTCTCCATCGACTCACGTGCAAGATGACGACGTCGCTCCCGGGCAATCGCGACCTGCCAGTCTCACAATATGACCTCAGCACGTACTGGGGACGCGTGCAGCACTCCGCCACCATTGCAGACCCGAGGTGAGACAGCTGCGCAATGAATCGTTTCCTTGCACAGGCTGGGTGTGGTGAGTACCACGACCCTTGGCTTCTTCGAGTGTCTCTCGATATCCAGTCCCTCCCCACCGATAGCCAGATCTCTCACACGCAGACGCTGTAGCTAACAATGCGCGATGCAGAACACTACTCACGTCCGCCGCCGGCCTCGAAAATGCGAAGCAGCTCGTTACGGCGTATAGGACGGGGAAGATACGCGACATGACACCCGATCTGTGGAATGCGAAGAAGATTATCGACTCTACGATCCATCCAGGTACTTGTGACCTACACATCCAATGGTGGACTACGACATGCTAATGGAGACAAGATACGGGAGAGCCAGTATTCCTCCCCTTTCGCATGTCGAGCTTCGTCATCTCGAACCTGGTCGTCACAGCGGGCATGCTCGCACCAGGCCTCAGTGTACGTAGGGTCGTCATGAAGACAAACATGTGCTAAAGATACAACAGACGGCAGGAATTCTCGGCTGGCAAATCACGAACCAATCCCTCAACGTCGCAATCAACTTCTCCAACGCCAACAAGTCCACCCCGCTCTCGACTTCGACAATCGTCCAATCCTACTGTCTCGCCGTCAGCGCATCATGTGGTGTAGCACTCGGTCTCAATGCTGTCGTGCCCCGCATGAAGAGCCTCTCGCCCAACGCGAAGGTGATTGCGGGCCGCCTCGTTCCCTTCGCGGCGGTAGCTAGCGCAGGTGCGCTGAACGTGTTTCTCATGCGCGGCGAGGAAATCAGACAAGGCATCAACGTGTTCCCCGTGTTGACGGAGGAGGAGAAGAGCAAAGTGGAGACAGGGGAGCTGGAGGTCAAGCCGCTGGGCAAGAGCAAGAAGGCAGCTACACTTGCGGTGGGAGAGACGGCGCTGAGTCGCGTGTTGAATGCGACACCGATTATGGTGCTGCCGCCGCTCGTGCTCGTTCGTCTGCAGAAGACGGACTGGCTCAAGCAGAGGCCAAGGATGGTCACGCCAATTAACCTGGGTGAGTTTGTTGAGTGCGCATGGGTGGGAGGACATCAGCTAACGACTGCCAGGGCTCATTCTCACGACATCCATCTTTGCGCTGCCGCTTGCGCTTGCTGCGTTCCCACAGCGTCAGGCTGTCAGTGTCGACACATTGGAGCCCGAGTTCAAAGGGCGCGGCGGACTGGGTGGTATGGTGGAGTTTAACCGCGGTATCTGAGAGTATGTGACTTGGCTTGATTAGATTGCCTCCCTAAGCATGGCTCGTCGAGAAAAGGTCGTGGTTGTTGCAAGACTGCGGCGAAAAGAAAGGTTCCTGATGATCTGATTGGCCAGGTAGTCTGGGGAAGGATTCAATGCATGGAAACGTCAGGACATAGATGAGAACAGATGTCTCGATGAATTACCCGAGTTTCAATGCTGTTGCCTGACGGGCCTTCTGATAAAGTGAAGGGTAATTTGCGTGGAGCTGGGGGCGCGCCGACATCAAGGTGGCCTTTCACGTCCAAAGAGCCAGGTGTTCAAAAAGCTCCGACGATCTGGACAGGGTAGTTCCGACATTTAATCCAGCACCCACGCCTCATGTTCCACGCTTCTGTCAACCCGCCTGCCTTCTTTTCTCTGGGATAGATTCCCGTTGATCTTTGTCTTTGACAAGCATCGCACCCTTTCCTGCTTGATACCCAGACTCGTCTCCCCCCGCAAAGGCGGTGACATCCCACCTCGCCCTCACCGCAACACGTTGCACCACTTCTCTACACACACCATGGCACCCCCAGGCCGCCGGAGAGCGAGCCTCTCGCCTGCAACAATGCTCCTCGGTCTCGCCTTCCTCTTCTCGTCGACGGCCTCTGCTGCATCGGCAGTGCTGGGCGTCGACCTGGGCACCGAGTACATCAAAGCCGCCCTCGTCAAGCCCGGCATCCCCCTCGAGATCGTCCTCACCAAAGACTCGAAGCGTAAGGAGACGTCAGCCGTCGCCTTCAAGCCCTCCAAGAGCGGGCCTCTTGCTACCGGCTCCTACCCCGAGCGCTTCTACGGCGGCGACGCGATTGCCCTCCAGGCGAGGTTTCCCGGCGACGTGTACCCGAACCTGAAGCACCTTCTGGGTGCAGTGAGCGACAGCGATGTGGTCAGCGTGTACACAGGGCGATACCCGGCGCTCGAGGTCAAGGGCACAGACGGCCGCAAGACGGTCAGCTTCAGCAGCGGCGTGTTCGCGGCTGAGGGGGAGAGGTCCTTCTCGGTCGAGGAGCTGCTGGCCATGGAGCTGAAGAATGTGAGGGAGAACGCCAAGGCGCTCGCGGGCAAGGGCTACGATGTGCAGGATGTCGTCTTCACAGTCCCGCCCTTCTATACGGTCGAGGAGAAGCGCGCGCTTGAGGTTGCGGCTAACTTGGCGGGACTGAAGGTCCTCAGCATCGTCACGGATGGCATGGCTGTCGGTATCAACTATGCCACCAGCAGGACGTTCCCGACTGTCACCGACGGAAGCAAGCCGGAGATCAACCTGGTTTTCGATATGGGCGCTGGGTCTGCGTCGGCGACTATCCTTCAGTTTCAGGGCAGGGCAGTCAAGGACGTGGGAAGGCGCAACAAGACGATTCAGGAGGTGCAGGTTCTTGGAGTTGGCTGGGACAGGACACTCGGAGGCGATGGGCTTAACTCGCTCATCGTCGACGATATGGTGTCTTCCTTCGTCGAGCTCCCCAGCGCGAAGAGCGCGTCCATCACCGCTGAGAAGGTCAGGAGCCATGGACGTACGGCTGCGAAGCTGTTCAAAGAGGCCGAGAGGGTGCGTCAGGTGCTCAGTGCCAACACTGCCACAGCTGCCTTCTTTGAGAGCTTCTTCGAAGACGTTGACTTCCGTTACAAGCTCTCGCGCACGCAATACGAAGCACTTGCCACCGAATATGCCGCCCGAGTCGAAGGCCCCATCAATCAGGCTCTGGAAGCCGCTGGCCTTACCTTTGCCGATATCGACTCTGTGATTGTTCACGGAGGCGCGACCCGTACCCCATTCGTGCAGAGCCGTCTCGAGGCTATTGCCGGAAAGGCGAAGATCAGGGCTAACGTCAATTCTGACGAGGCTGCCGTGTTCGGTGCTGCCTTCAAGGCCGCCGGTCTCAGCCCGTCTTTCCGCGTCAAGGAGATCCGCGACTCGGACGCTCAAGGCTACAGCCATGGTATCCAGTACAAGCACAACCTCAAGAACCGCGACCAGAAGATCTTCTCTCCCAGCTCCAAGTTCGGCGCTACCAAGGACCTGCCCTTCCAGATGATGGGCGAGTTCGAGTTCACAGTCTACCAGGCTGTCGGTGCGTCCAAGGACCCTACTCTGCAGTTCAAGAGCGGCAACTTGACTCAAACTGTTGCCAAGATGATTGAGACTGATGGATGTGATCGTGCCTCTTTCAACAACTACGTCCAGGTCAGGCTGAGCCCTATTACCGGCACTCCCGAAGTCCTCTCCGCATGGGCTACCTGCGAGACTGATTCCGAGGCCAAGGGCGGTATTGTCGATGGTGTCAAGAACCTCTTTGGCATGGGTGGTAAGAAGGACCAGGAAGCGCTGAAGGAGGGCGAGAGCGCTTCTGAGTCGTCGACATCGTCTTCTTCTATAAAGTCAAAATCGAAGTCGAAGAAATCTGCTTCCTCGTCCTCATCTTCTGCGGGCGCTGAGAGTACGGGCAAGGCTGGCGAGAAGAAGAAGAAGGTTATCAAGTCGGCGATTACGTACGATGTCAAGCACTTGGGCTATGAGAAGCATCCTCGCAAAGAGATCAAGACGATGCAGGACAGGTGAGATTGAGAATTTCGTGCACTGTATGATAATCAAACTAATGAACTCCAGGATCGCCGCTTTTGACGCCTCGGACAAGTCTCGTCGCGTCCGCGAGGAGGTCCTGAACTCACTGGAAGCTTTCACATACAAAGCCCGTGACCACCTCGAAGACGAGTCTTTCATCGGCGCCTCAATCGCCGCTGTTCGATCAACCCTCGAGGAGAAGCTCAGCGCGGCTTCAGACTGGATCTACTCGGACGGCGCTGAAGCCGACGAGAAGACGCTCAAAGCCAAGCTCAAGGAACTCGAAGACATTGTCAACCCCGTACTCACGCGCAAAAGAGAGGCCTGGAAGCGCCCCGACGCCATCACAGAGCTGCAAGAAACAATCAACCACATGAAGGAAGTCAAGGCGCTAGTCGACAACCAGCTCAAAGAGCAAGTCACCGCCAGCTCCAAGAGCTCCGAAGCCGTAGCCAGCGCCAGCGCATCTGCCTCCGCCACGCCCTCCCCATCCTCCAAAGACCCCCTCGACGACCTCGACGAAGACGCCGAACCCGCTGCCCCAGAGCCCACGGAAATCCCCGAAGTCGTCACCGTCTACACTGACGCCGACCTCAAGTCCCTCGACGACCTCACGGTCTCAACGCAGAAATGGCTCGACGACGCTCAGGCCAAGCAGGACAAACTCGCACCCTCCGATGACCCCGTCCTCACCGTCGTCGACCTCACAGCCGAGAAGAAGAAACTCGACGACATGGTCATGGAAATGATGATGAAGCGCATGAAGGCCTTCAATAAGCCCCCGAAGCCTAAAGCTACCCCAAAAACAAAGCCGAAGTCAAAGTCTAAGAAGACCAAGACTGCGAAGCCGACGCCCGAGCCAAAGGTCGACGAGGATGTTAAGTCTGGGGAGGAGGATAAGCCTACAACCCAAGAGAATGCGCATCCGCACCCGGACTCGCAGGCGCAGATGGAGGATATGGAGCAGGGGAACATTGATCACAAGGTCCTGGGCGGTGGGGATGCGCCGACGAAGGAGCAGATTCAGGAGGCGCTTAGGAAGGCCGGGATCAATCAGGAGAGCGATTGGGAGAATCAGGGCCCTCCTGTTGGGGAGCATAATGAGTTGTAGTGTACATACAGCGGGTGAGTGAGTGGGGTGGAGGTGTAGATCGGATCGGTGTGTATCTGAGTGGGAATGTAGGAGTCTTTTTTCCTTCCTCTTTTTTCGCTTTCGCGTAAGATGTTCAATGAAATCAATGAATGGCTTAGATGTAATTTATTTCTGCTGCTATCGATGTGTTGTGATGTCGGGTATACGATACCTTCTACCGCCCGCCCATAAACTCCGGCTTGAACGCCTTGACACCCCCAGCTTTCATCAGCTCCCGCAGCGCCATAGTCGCATACTGACTACTCCCCAACTGCAGTTTAACCACCACCGCAATCTTCTTCTCCTGCTCCTCTACCTCCTCACCCTCCTCCTTCTGCATATCCACATCCTTCTCCCCACCCCTCTCCCCCTCCTTCCTCCCCGCCCCACCACCCTCCCTCACACGCTGCAAATCCGTCTCAACAAACTGCTCATCAGCCCTTCCATACGTCCTCACCTCAACGCCAACAGGCCTCAACGGCCGGGCCAAGAACTTGCGATACCCACCACTCAGACTGACCTCGCGCCAGGGCCTGCGCATATTCAGCGGATCGAGGCCGCCCCCCTTGTCGCTCGCCATGAAGTGCGTGTAGAACGCGCCGATGTCGTTGTGCGGGTACTCGACGTCGAAGCCGGGCTGGGGCAGGACGACGTCCCAGATTGTGTACTGCCCGCTCGCGGCTTCTTGTGCGGAGAGGGGGCGTGCGCGCTCGAAGTCTGCGGTGGTGGCGTTTGCGTCTTCGGCGCCGGAGGGGTTGATTACGAACTCGCCGTCTTGGTCTGCGGTGTCCTTTTCGGTGTTGAGGGGGTGCGCAGTGTCTTTATCCAGGTGTTCTGCGACGAGGACCAGGTCGCCGGGGACGACTTTGTCGCCGTGCGTGGCCCAGCGTTTGCCGGCTACGACGTTCCACACGAGAGATTGGTAGGCGTGCACGTACATGAGGCGCAGGGTGCGGGGGATAGTCATCAGTGCGCCTTGCCAGTCTGTGGTGCGGTCGCGGCGGCCGTTGCGCCCGTTGCGCGAGCTGAGGTGCTGGATGATGTTGCGTTCTGCGGTGAATTTGCGCGGGAGCATGTCGAGGGCTGCGCTGCTTTTGCCTTCTGTTTTCCATAGGTGGAGGGCGTGGGCGCGGTTGCGGTCGTCTTGCGAGACGAGGACGCTGGGGTCGGTGCTTGTGCCGAGGGCGGCGGCGAGGGCGACGTCGCTGTAGGCTAGGAGGTCGTCGACGGCGCCTTTCAGGTCGTCTTGCAGCATCTTGAGGCCGACGGAGTCGGTGCTTGCTGCGAAGGAACCGAAGCGTTGGAGGCCGTAGTAGTTGATGAAACCCTTCTCAGAAAAGTCATCGACGGCCTTTCGGACCACGTCGTTGGCTAGCTGGTGTCGTTGTTCGAAGTCCATACCATCCTCGCCTTGGAAACTGCAATCTCGCAACGTTATGGTGAACTCGTTGCCCATCAAATCTCCCAGCTTCAAGTCGTTCTGGCGGTACTCGTAGTCGCCAATTGCCGCGTTGTAGAGCACCTTGTTAAAGCCATGCATGCGCTCGGCCGTCTGGCGCTTGATGCAGACTCGTTGCACGGTGCACGCGCGTCTGTCTTTTGTGCCTGCGAAGCCAAACGCCCTGGCACCGCTGTTGAGCTTGCTGCCGAGGAAGCCAACAACCTCCATTGTGTCCTTGTTCTCTTTGTACAGAGTGAAATGCAGAAACTCTCCGCCCAGCTCTTCCCACCCCATTTGGCCTCTGTTTCGTGCACCGTCTGGATTGACTCTCTCGCCTCTGCCCTTCTTCTTGCCCTTGCGCTCTGCTGGTGGGGTAGCCTTGATTCGTATGGACTGGTCCTCCTCCATGCTACTCTCGAGCATGTTTGGGAAGATGCGCCGAAGCGACTGATGGGCCTGCGTGCGCACGTCCTTGTCGGTTATAGGCGGCGATATGACAGCCTTGAAGTCTCGCGCTTTTTTGTGTTCGCGTTTTCGTACTTGACGCACGAGTGTGATGATTTTGCTTGTACTTTCTTCGCCGAAGATCGAGTGGAGCGTCTTGAGGTCTTCCTCAGGGAGCTATATCTTGTCAGCACAATACAACACGATTGAAGCTCTGACACAACACACCTCTTCTTCCTTGGTCTCCTCCTCTTGCTTAGCCGCATCTTTCTCCACAGCTTCACCCTCAACCTTCACATCCGTCGCTGGCGCAGCATCTCCACCATTCTGTACATCTCGCATCTCCTCATCAGCCTTCTCTTCTTTGAGCTCAATCTTCTCCTCCGTTACAGCGACTTCGGCTTTCTTTTTCTCCACCACCTTCTCATCTTGTTTCACACTCTCCTTCTTCTCCACCTCCGTACTCGTCAAATGCAGCACCTCCCCATCAAGCCCAATCTCGTTGACCAAGAAATCCGTATACCGCTGCTTCAGCGTCCCCGTGAAGCCCAGATTATCTGGACATACATATTCCGTGATGCCAGCGCGGACTTCGCGCTCCAATTCGCTGTCAATGACGGTGGGTTTGGTAGCTGTTGTTGTAGCTGTTGTTGTAGCTATAGCTTCTGGAGCTTGCGGAGCTTGTGCGGAGGTAAGATTGGGTGTGTCAAGGGCTGGCGCGCTGCTGTCGTCGAGACGCGCACGCTTCGCGGGTCGCGCTGAATCGTCTGACATGTTTGCGAGGGAGAAGTTTTCGTGTCGAGTGTTGATGTGTGAGGCGCGTTTCGCTGCAGGTACTCGGGGAAGTTTTTCGCGAGGACGTGCACGCGGGGAGTGGAGTAGCGCGACGGGATGACGAGGGAAGACATGACAGTTCACCAAAAGCGTCCGAGGCTATGTATCGGTTCTGTAGCAATCAACTTCTAGTTTATTGCCGTGTTGTTATTCACGTCTATATTAAATATATTCCCTCTTGTCTCAATCCAATGAACTCGTTGAACTGGATATGGAGCGTGGAGTTCATGTGAACATGTTTAACAATGATAGGACGTAATCACCCTGTTCGGAATGGGTCTGATGGTCTGATCTCGGTCAACCTTCAAATATGATGTGGCTCGTCAAGTCAGAAGTCAGAAGTCGATTGAGGGTGTTAACCAACATGTTTGGCTAATTCACACACTTGACTGGAATTGAGCAGTGCAGGAGAGCTTCTAGAAAGACCAACGTGAAACCGATGAAAGCCTGACATGAACATTAGGCAAGACAGTATGTGAATTCTATCACTCAATAGTCGCAAATGGTTAGAAGGGACGATTGAGCTGCATTAGCGTAAGATTGCTGTTGGTAACAGAAATATTCCATGGGTCATCCCATAAACTATGAATCCAAGCTGTAACACACTGGCTGCTGGACTTGTAGCGTATAGCTACAGTGCCCGCGGTACAGAGAGAGAGAGCTGCGCGCCGGGCCTGCATCTATCCGTCGTTACGACAACATCTCTCAGGCAGCGGTCATTACGATGAAGCTGTGGAATCCTATAGCTGGCACTCGGTATTGCATCCGAACATGGGGGCTGTAACGACATCTCGCGAGGTTGTGTTGTTCGAAACTCGAATCGTCTTGGCCTGAGAAGTGACAATGCCGCACCCGCCAGCATATGGTCTTTGCTCCAGATCTAATGGCATTTCCTAGATCCTTTGTAGTGCTCCCTTCAACATCCACACTGGCCCAAACTAGATCTCAAGTCTCGATAGTCCCACCAAGACATGATATCGTCATTTACAGTGCCGTACTTTCGTGATACTTATCCTCGCCATGGCTCTCCAGTTCACGCACCCTCCCCGGGTTATTTTGGAATTACATCAGGTACATCTTCCCGAGACACGGTGAGACAGGTCATCTCGAGTCAATCGTTTCTGAATATTAGTATTTGCCCCCTTTGCCGCTCGTTTGCATGAATTCACTGCTCAGCGTCCACCTCTGTCAGAGCACACATCCATGTCCATGTCGCCATTCTGCTCCATCACCTCCAGACATTAGCCTGCTCACTGGCAGATGGATTTATTTACATTCGCTTATGTGACTTCTACTTGAACAGACCCAATTTCTGGGTATCCTACTGTCTGGCGCTTCTCCACCCTTCCCCACACCTTCGTTCTATCGAGCCAGAAAGCGGATTCTGACGGCTACCAAATTTCGTACATTACGTCTCATTAATCAACCAGTCCCTTCTTTCTGGGCAACTTCCACATTATGAGCATGATGGCGCCCGTTTTGAGTCCCCGCAAATTGGATGGCAAAGAACCTAACATGGACGCTCTCGGCTTCACCTACATCGCCATTGCTCTGATCTACACTGTTATACTTTCTGGCGAGCTCCTCCTCCTTTACCAACGTCGTTCGGAATTCTGTGTGCGAATACGGCATCTACCGGTTGTTTTCGCTGCAGTATCTATACTTCACGTCTATCTTGTTATCGTCCTGCTAGTCTATCCTTGGAACGGCCTCTTCCCTTGCGTAGCGGAGTTCTGGATCATGTCCGTCTTTCTCCCATGTGGATTTGCTCTGTTTCAATGTGAGATGCGTCGATTGTTCAACACCTGCAGTTCGCTGATCAGTCACAGCTTGCAATGCCAAAGTTTTGACTACATACGAAAGCCAACGCCGGCTGACACGCAATTTCCTCGAGGGTGCTCGCAAGAAGCGACTCTCGTACACTCCTCAGGGTCTGTATGAAGCGTGGAGAAATCTTGATGCATCTACCAAAGTACATGTTGCTACAGTCATTGGGTTGGTTGTGTCTGTGAGTACATCTACCAAAGTTACTCTGGTAACTTCCGTTAATGTAGACAGTTCGTACCTGCGATCATCCTGTTCTTTGGCTCACGTCGTTTTCACCCGTCTTACGGCTTTTCCAGTATGCAGCTCGATTCCAATGCTTGCCGCAGGGGAGGCGAATGGTATGTGATTAGAGTGGTCTTCATTCGGGGCTTGAATAATAGTTTTATAGGATTCCTTCCATCTTAGTGCAATTGTTTTGGACAGCAATTGTTGGGCCTTGGATACTGTGGAAAGTTCGCCACATCAAAGACGTTCATTCGTGGGCATGGCAAACTAGACTCGCAATCGTTGCTGGGTAATCACTACTCATACATTGCAAGATGCATATACTAACCCAGTTTCAGCTTGCCTGGTACGCCAATGTGGGTTGCGTTTACATTCTTCCGAGTTCCTGCAAGTTTGACTATCAACGACTATTTTGCACCAGCTGGGTGGTAAGTAACACCTCTTCTAGCAGTACATTGTTGGTTTCATCGGACTCTTGCCTGTACTCCTCCAGTACGTGTTAGAAGTTCAAATTACGAGCAACACCTCTAATGAAAATCCGTTATATCTACTCGAGTTCTGTTGCTAACGTTCTTTCGGGTGTAGGTTTATTCCATCACTCATCATCTGTCAACAAACACTCGTCCTCGCCCCCATTATCGAGGTGTTTAAATCGCAGCGTCGTCAGCGGCCCACCTCACCCTCGTCAGAGACCGAGCCCCTGACTTCGAGAACATCGTATACATCCGAAAAGTCAGTGAAAGAACTGTTTGCCAGCAAAGAGCTCAAAACGAAAACATCGATGCAAGCCCTGGAGTATAGCATCGAGCACAGCATCGAGCCTCTGATTACATGGGCAGCGACAAAAGAGTTCACAGCCGAGAACACCATATTCCTCCGAGAGGTGCGGAACTACAAGAGAAAATGGTCGGATCTAGAAGCCATGAACTCAGTACAGCGGCGCCAGATGTTTGACGAGGCGTCTCTCATATACTTCACACTGGTCAATGTGTTCACCGCCGAGGTACCCATCAACATCGAATACAAGGTCTGCAAGACCCTCCAGGATGTATTCGCAGGCGTGGAGTATGACCCATATATGCCAGGCAGTGCGACGCCCGACGACACCAAAGCACCCAGCATACGTGACAACGTCGTGTGCCCTTGGGAAGATACGCTGAGTCGACCTGCAAGCATCAGCTCGGTCACCACTGAGTCGAACAAGTCGAGTGACGTGGGTGTTGTTCCTGTGGAATTTGACGTCTACATCTTTGACGCGGCATACGAAAGCATCAAGTATTTAGTCTTCACAAACACATGGCCGCGATACGTTGATGGGGGGCTATACGGAGAGGACTTATGACCTTGAATCCTTTTCAGAGATGTCAAGACAGACGATTGAGGTCAACGCATAATGTGCAGCTTTTGCGTTCACTTCTGGTATCATCGGCGTTGTGGATGGTCAATATATTTGTTACCGGCGAAGCTCGATTTAGACACTAATAGACAAGAGCAAGTGTTTATCTTGTTTTTTTTCAAGATACAATCCAGGGTTCACGACCGAACCAAACTTCAACCAACGGCTGCCTGGGCTCTCGAATACGCGTCCGCACCGGTACATTGAGCAGCTAGTCGTCAAAGAGACGTCTGATCAGCTCTCTGTCACTATTACTTTGTACTTTAACTGATGTTTACTGTGTAAAAAGGGGCTGGGTAATAGCTTCTATACTGAGTTACTATATTAGATTCTTACTGTGTTGCGTCTATCTGCTTGTACTAGAAGCATGAATACGCTATAAACCTAAAATAATCTTGTTTTTTTACTGTTTACCCATATAAAGTATCACCTCAATTCTACATGACCAGTATCACACATGCTTTTGTCGTACTAAATTGCATTGTTGAACCAGAAGCCTTTCTGACCGTGCGATAATGCGACGTAACACTAACCAGCTGCCTCAATCGTATTCCAGAATACATTCCAGATCCGAAGCATCTCATGTCGCCGAGTGTCTGGAAAGGCTGTTGTAAGGCTGTAGGTATCGATTACATGGTCCTAGCAGCTGCCTTCAACTAAAAATTGTGGACGAGCTTTCAATCCCAATCTCGTCCAAACCCATTCAGATCTGCAGTCGTCAAGTCAGACCAAGCTCAAGTTTGGTATCGCCGCAAGCATCCAGGAATGAATGCCATGATATTGACATACGACGTGTAACTCTGTCCCCCGAAGATACCCATCGCTCCTACTAGGTGACTGGTCTTTTGATTACGTCCCAAATTCGCACACCTTGGGATGATGTTTCACTGCAGCATACGTCGCGGATGTGTCACCTTGAAGAACGGAAATCGACTGTGATGGGCGAGGAAGCAAAGTCATAACTGGATAAGTAATCTAGGCAGTCATATCCAAGGATGAGGAGTCTACAGTCTGGGTATTTGGTTTATATGGATACTTTTGACTACGAGGCAATACACTGGAGACCTCCCGGACAAATCCTGACAAGACGGTATAGGGACATTTTCGGACATGAAGACCTCAATTCTTGAACGTAGAGAGAGCAATACAGTTGATGTGTACTGGGTAATCTGACAAAAGGTATTTCATCTCCCATTACACAACACCTAAAAAGCCATCATAATCCTTCCGATATTCCACAAACTCCTGCTCACTCTTCGTAGTCTCCATCGCCGTCAGTGACATCATCGCCATCATCGTTATCGTCGTCATCCATCTCTTCGTCTTCATCAGAGTTGCCGTCGTCGGAAGGTGGGTCTACGGGCCACTGGACTACAACCGACACCGCCAGCTCTTTCAGGAACGATTCCATCTTTTTCCCAGAATACTCTCGTACCTTGAGCTGTGATTCTTTGCTGCCGTCGACCGAGAAGTTTACGTGGAGGTGTTGGTCCTGGCTGAGCATGCCCACCTTTAGGTGGGTAAGCTCCAGATGGGGAATCTTTACCAATTTCCTAATGACGTGGAACCATAGATTCGGCTTGTCGCTATACGGCACGCCTGGAGCGCTGAGTGACGTCCTCCACAAACTTAGATCGGTCAGAGTTGGTGCGAATTTGGCAATGACGGCGAGAAGTGTGTCTGGAACGACGTTTAGTTGGCCGAATTCAAGTTGTTTGAGAAGGGGCAGAGCAATCGGAGCGGGTCGGAGAGTGTCCAAAGTCAGGCCTGAAGCAGCTGCAGGCATGGGTTCGCTCAGCCATTGTAGGAAATCCTCCGTGTTTACAAATTGATGTTTATGGAAGTTGAGACGGAGATGCGTGAGGTTTGGCGTGAAGCTCAGAAATTTGCGGAGTGAACGGCCGGGTCTATCTTCCATAGGGATTCCATTGCTATAAGTATGCAGACGACGGGAAGCAAGGTCCAGATTCAGCAGTAGAGCGTCAAGGTTTTGTAGCACTGGCGTGATGGTAGAAGAGAAGAAGGCCGGGATATGGAAGGAGCTATCGGGAAGACCATTTCGGCGCAACAGCACCTCGATCTGTGGGGTCGTTCGGTGGGCTCTCCCAAGGGCGTAGACTAGAGTCGAGAACATGTGTGACACGAAACGAGACTCGTTGTCGGGTGTGAACGGTCCACGAAAGGAGAACGACATATCAATACCAGTCTCCGCACGAACGGTCGGTGCACCCCACGAGCTCCAGCTTGCCTTGACCCCGTCACGCGTTCTAGACTCGGAGTTGAAGTCGCGTATCCCAACAGTGTGGAGATTTTCCAGGTTCCGGAACGCTTCGGTGAGCATTTCACGATCGGCTCCACTGCTCATAAGAGCTTTTTGGTCAGCATAACCTTCGATGTAGGCGGCCCCAGCGGCCTCGTCCCTGAATTGTAAAGGAATCTCATCGTAGACATTTGTTGCTAGGATAACGTGAGTCAGCTTCTGCGAGAAGCCTGCGTGTCTTGAGATATCGACAAGTGCTTGTAGACTTGGCTGGGTGAGCATGAATTGCTTTTTGGTAAAGAATTCTTTTGAAAACCACTCGTAGAGCGACTTCTCGACATGCTTGCAAGTAAGACGGAGGGAGCCGAGATCCGGTGTTGAGAGGAACGAGGAGATGGAAACGAGCAGCTCGAGTGGAATCGTAAGTAGCGTCTCCATTGGGAAAATGTCGACACAATAAATTTTAAGAGAGTTGAGAGAATGTTGAGAGTGATTGGGGTCTCATGGTCTTATGGGTCTTTGTCAGGTGAGGTCGCGTTTGTGGGGCAGGCGCGCTAGTCGTTGCTGCCTGGAACTCCTGCCTAAAAGCATGGACAATTGACCTCATGCAGCTCATGCAGGGTCCATCTCACCCTGCCTCAGAAAGCTCTAAAAGGTCTGTCGCTTCCCTCAATTGCGCAGCATCGCCATTCAACTCTCGTCCAATTCCACCTCACCAGCAATGGCTCGCAAAGCTGCACAGAAAGTCACCAAGGCCAGCCCACTTGAGGGTTGCGCCGTCGCTACATCTGGCCGTTTCCCGGGGACCACTCAAAGCGCGCTTCAAGCACGCGTCACGTCTCTCGGTGCGACTGTCGCGTCTTCCGTCACGGCCGACACCAGCTTTCTCATCGCTACTGAGAAGGATTTTGAGAGCAATTCAACCAAGGTCAAAGCTGCCACTGCTCACGGTGTTCCTGTTGTGACATTGGAATGGCTTGAGGAGTGCGAGTCTTCAAGTGAGTCTTGGACACATCAATTCTTTCGACAAATGCAACACAGCTTCGGTTACGTTGTAGACCGTAAGGCTAACGAGTGTGAAAGATACAAAAGCAGATGAGGCACAATATCTGCTTAGTTCTGCTGCTCCTGCTCCTGCTTCTGCTCCAGCTCCAGCTCCCGCCCCAGCCCCAGCCCCAGCTAAAAAGCAGAATGGCACCAAGAAGCGCGCGGCCTCGCCTGATGCCTCGCCAGTACAGGACACAGCCCAGCCCAAGAAGCCCAAGATCGCTGAGTCTTCCAAAATTGGTGATGGCCAGAACGCAAAGTCTCGCAACATCATGGTCGCGATAGATGAATATTGCCCACTGGGCAGCTACCAGGTCTACATTGACGACAACAATGCCATCTGGGACGCGTCACTAAATCAAACAAACTCATCTGCCAACAACAACAAGTTCTACAAGGTTCAGGTAAGAGGTTTTTCTCGACATGTTAATTGTCGGGTACTAACTCTGGCCAGCTCCTCGTTGATCCGTCTGGCAAGAACTTTAAGACATGGACTCGATGGGGTAGAGTAGGCGAGCGCGGTCAGAGCGCTGCACTCGGGACTGGTTCTCTCTCGGACGCTATGAAAAACTTCGAGAAAAAATTCAAGGACAAGTCCGGTCTCAGGTGGGACGACCGCGGCGAAGAACCAAAGCCTGGCAAATACGCCTACGTCGAGAGATCCTACAACCCCGATAGTGACGAAGAGTCGGATGCCGAAGATGGCGCAGTTGGTGAAACAGAGAGTGAAGAGAAGCGCAAAGCCGCTCAGTGCACCCTGGATCGCCCGACCCAAAGTCTCATGGAGCTCATTTTCAACCAGAAGTTTTTCGACGCAACCATGAGTGACCTCAAATACGACGCAAACAAGCTCCCCCTCGGAAAGCTCAGCAAGGGTACTATCTCGCGTGGATTCCAGGCCCTCAAGGATCTTGCAGCTGCATTAGACGATCCAGTCGGGTCGTCCAGTGGTGAAATAGGCCGCCTCTCCGACTTGTACCACTCTGTCATTCCCCATGCGTTTGGGCGTGACCGGCCACCCGTCATTTCAGACAACGATCACCTTAAGAGGGAAATCGAGCTACTGGAAAGTTTGTCGGACATGAAAGAGGCTGCGGCCATGCTCAAGAGCTCACTTAAGGATGATGGCGGCATTCATCGTCTTGATCGCCAATTTCAGGGCCTCGGTATGGATGAGATGGAGCCCCTCAACCCACAAGGTCAAGAGTTCGCTGAACTCGCTGCATACCTCAACGACTCAAAGGGTGCTACCCACTACCTCAACTACTCCGTTGAAGATATTTTCCGCATTCAGCGCAAGGGTGAGTTTGAGCGATTCGACAAGAGCCCATATGCGAAGATCACGAGCAACCGTCGTCTTCTCTGGCACGGTTCTCGTGTGACCAACTTCGCTGGTATTCTTAGCCAAGGTCTCCGCATCGCGCCGCCTGAAGCTCCTGTTTCCGGATACATGTTCGGCAAGGGTATCTATCTTGCAGACATGTCATCCAAATCTGCCAATTACTGCTGCAGCGGTGGTTCCGGCGGCACTGCCCTGCTACTTCTTTGCGAGGCCGAGCTGGGCGATCCCATGTGGGAACTTACAGACTCTTCCTATAGTGCAGGTGAAGATGCGAAGGCCAATGGGGCATACAGCACGTGGGGCAAAGGTCAGACTGGACCCAGCAGATGGAAGGATGCGAGCTGTGTCAATCCAGCACTCGCCGGTTGCATGATGGTGAGTATTTCTATGGTTATTTGGCGAAGCACGAGCTAACTGATACTTCTAGCCTGATGTCACGGTCAAACCCGGCCCGACAAATGTTAAAGGCGCATATCTTCAGTACAACGAATTCATCACCTACGATGTGGCCCAAGTGCGACTTCGTTACCTCCTCCGCGTGCGCATGTGAGCGGGCAGCACTTCTGCTTCACGATTCACCGTCCTCGGACCGTCTGTTCTCAATCTCGGAATTTACAGGCGTTCACGTTGTGCATTGTGGAAGGACTTCTATCTTCGGCGTAATGATTTTCTGTATGACGGTGTTATATCTATGGAGTATCTTATGGGGGATGTTTGATGAGGTCAAAAGTGGTATCCATCTTAGTCTAGATTTCGCACACCGTTTACGAAATGTTACCTGAAACATGGATCTATCAACTCTTGTAGCTTCGTATCAAAAATAATGTACTCAGGTCGCCATAACGCTTGCTCGTTTCCTTTCTGCACTCTTCTTTCTTAATCTATGTACAGCTCTTCTCAGTTCATTTTATGAGGGTCGCGCAGATTTCCGGAAACGACGACGTCCCCAGCACAACGCCTTATATTGCAACCAAGAACGTCAAAGTGTGCCCTCCTACACCTGTTTCATTAGAGCCATAAATAGAACAATCATAACTAGATGTTTTCGGGTCGTTCCAAGCGGCAAAACACCCAGGCTGCGAGCGACATCAGTGTGCTCAGCACAAGCTCCAACGTCTAGACCGTTCGTCAGTTATTTTTGATCAACAACGATATTCTCTAGGGCTTTACTAACAGGCAGTATCAACAACCAGTAGAAAAGGACAGTTCGTCCAAAGTCCTCAGGGCTCTTGAAGTTCTCTCTTTTACACTCCAGATATATAAAAACACATCCAAGAACGTAGCCGAGCATGGTAAGTAGCCAGAGAGCGCCCCCGATAGTGAAACTGTTCAGAACAGCAATAAACATTATAGCTGCTGCTGAAAGCGAAACCATGCAGGTCTTGTTTGTCAGCAATGTCAGCGTTAGAGGAAGCAGTGGGAAGACGTACGGGCACTGCGAAGATGCATATAATGATCTTCTCTCCGATCTCGATAGGGAACTCGGTGACAACTCCACAAAGGCCGATATAAACGAGTGACCATATAGCGAAACAGAACTTCTTATTGTGGAAGATCTTCGGCATGTTAGGTAGAGTAAAGCAACCCCTCTCTACGCGGGAGGACATAACGCGGGGTATCTGCGCTACGTTCTCCAGCTCGATGTTGCGGCTGCTGCATGATGGCGGAGATGTTTGCTGGGCTTCGGTGTCGTTAGCCATTTTGCTCGCCGTAGTCGTGGACATGATGGAGTCAATATAGTAATGATGCAGAATTGAGTTCCTTTTAAACTCAACGGTCGGGATCTAGGTGGGTGTTTAGCTCAGAAGATCCCACGGATGAGGGTCTAATTAGGATGTGCGTACCGTGGTACAACGATTGTTGCACCGAATCATCGCAACGGCAATGTCTTCACATCATACGCTCGGTAAATATCTGTCCCCACAGAGTCTTTTGCATGAAATTGTCCATGACTTCTTCAGAACCATCGCACACCTCCACGATGAACGAAACCCGCGATCCACCACCTCTTATGGCCGAGAGGGAAGAATGCCATCGCCGTATCTTATGGGCTATCCTCGGCTTATCGCTGGGCTGGACCTTCATGGCAATGATGACCGCCGCACTGTTCAATTTTGACAAAGAATCTTATCCCCATGAAGAGCACAACACATACAACAGGGATGTCGTCGTCGTCAACGTTGTATATGTTCCTGTACGTAGCTCAACTATTCCCTTGCTCTTGCATGATTATGTGTAAGCAATGAACAACTGCGTGCTTGATGCTAATTTCTCCTAGATTTGCCTCGTTCTGCTTGGGTGGAGTCTCTGGATGTGGAACGGCCGAAATGGTTGGGACAATTGCACACTGAGGACGCGAATGATCTGCAGTTGCTTGATCATCAACGCATGGTGGATCGGGTGTATCATCGCGTTCTTCACCGTCGCTCATCCAATATGGCTTGCTGGATGGTTGTACCTCGGTATTCCCGTAAGTCTGCTAATCAAACTGCGGCAATGTCGGAACATTGCTAATGAATTAATTACAGGCCTTTATCTGTGTTGTCAATCAGATATTGATGTTTAGCGTGGTGGTTGGACACGTGGATGATAGCTACGCTTGGTAGGATGGGTTTTCTCATTTAGAATATCAAGGTGAATATATCGGTGCGGACGTGGACTCTTCGCCGACGCGCGAACGACTCGATCACACTTTGTAGCATCCAAGAGCGAAGATACAGAAACCCGACATCCAGGCCTTAAGCATATGAATTCCTAAGTTTCAGTTGTTAGTACTGCCAATGATTGAAGCTCGGATCAATCTTACATCTCGTGCTCTTTATACGGAGGTGGCATGCCGTTCTCGTTTGTTTTTGCGAGCTCCTTCTGGGTCCTGCTTCTTCTCTTCTCCCCAACAACGACGGCTACGATCCAAAGTAACCACATAATGCCCGCGATAACACTGTACGCAGTGACCTGACCTCGAGTAGGCACAAAGTCAAGAAAGGCAGGTGCCTCTCTTGCAAGGAGCATACCAAGTCCTCCGTTGATCATACCCAGCGTGATAGCAATACGACCAAGCCAGATATGCCCATATGACCAAACAGTTCGTCGGCTGTACCGTTTGTATTGATGGTGATGAATAAATCCGAGGATGGGTTGGAAGAACAGCAGGGCAAAAACCACGATTCCAATGATCGGATGGTATCTATCAAGTAGATTTACGGGGAAGCTGTTGATCATCCATATGCCGATTCCGAATGCTACAATGTATACAATGTATGCGAACATTTGGAACAGACCATGAAAGAGCCATGCACCGCGGAAGGAGCCCAGGCGAATCATGATGGCTCCGATGGGGAACTGCGTTTCGGACGACGTCAGCATCGGTGAGTATTCCAATTTGTAAGTGTTCTACATACAAACATGACAAAGGCAAGTGCAGCAAGCACACCATGTGCGACAATCATCTTGTCTCGACTGCCGCTGCTTTGTCTGCTGCTATAGGGATCGTAGTTGTTGTTGCCTCCTGCAGCTGGGCCATATCGACCCCCAGGTCCATACTGAGCGGAGACCGTAGAAACTGCTATTACTATGTGAGCTAGAACATACAAGCTTCGTAGGCAATTTACCGAAACAGAGAAAGACTGCTCTTTTGTTGGACGCCATGGTGAGCGTGAGACCCGTCTAGGAACGATGTACAATGTCTTGAGATGAAGCGCAACCAGACAGCAGCAGGTTCTGCAGAGGCGCATCTGCGGCATCTATATATCATCGTAGCTCTCAATGCAGCCAAGTATCACTGTCAACCCAATACAGGTTTGGATATGACTGATCTCACGTAAATGACGCTTCAAATACGGGGTCGTTGACCAGCATTACGCGTAACCGTGAAGACACAGGCGATGAATGGTTCAATGTTGAGGGGTCATAGTGCTACCACCGGAATAATCATGGTGGAGAGCCGGTTGTAAGACATCGGCGAAACATAAGGCTGAAACTCCGGCTTCTCTTGGATGACGGAGTGGTGAGCGTCGTTGCGGATAGAATCTATTACGGAATTCGGTTCGGCTCGAGAACACCATATGCTTATACAGTCATTCGGCATCGTGCTGGTAGCTATCGTGTAACACGTGATGGAAGCCTTGACGCACGAGCCCTTGAAGTCGCAAAGGGCGCCGCCATTTTATCAATCAAACACCCACATGTACCGAAAGAATACTATTCACGAAAGACAGAAGACCCATGCAAGCACATGGAGACTGGTCTGAGTCTACGAGATTTCTTCAATACGAAATGACTCCAAAGAAGGACATCCGTCGAGTACGGCCAAATGTTCATTGTACTGCCGGATCAGGTGGACCCATCAGAGAGCAGGACAGCCCTCGTTCCTCGAACCGCGTGTAAGACCTTTTGCATACCGTCGAAGCCTAATTTTATCATCTGCTTTCAGCAGGTAATCGCCCCCAGTCCAGAAGCGTGTGCTTTAGGCGCCATCGCGTTCGGTTTTCTTCGCTTCGTGACCTGCGCCGCCCGGTCGTAGGGTTAAGGAGGCCCAAGAGCGGTGTGAGGGCGCCAGGTGGTAGAAAGAACGGTGTCGCGACGGCTTTGCTGGCAAGTTGCGCTCCAACAATCACAATATCGCTCGTAAATCGACACGGAATGCAGGAAGATGGAGAGAAATAGGATATGAAATCCAAATGACTCTTTCAGGAAGCGATGTCGGGCATCGCCACAATCGAGCACAGGCGTCATTTGACCAATCACGCGCCAACATATATCACTTGGGCCGCTTGCTTTCTAGCATTTTCCGTCCCCATACCAGATGATGAGGCTCTGAGTCACTGCAGCCTTGATGATAGCGTGATATGGTATCATGAAGTATTTCATATATAAGGTCAGGGATATTTCGCTGTTTACAGTTCTTTCTCCAGATTCGTGCGCGGCCTGAGGCGATTCCCTATCCTGTCATCTACTTATTTTCTTTACATCTTGTTCAATACCATGGGAAAGCGACACAACAGAAAACGGACAAGAAGCCGACCGCGGCACCGCAACTCGCGTTCAGATCATATTCGAAGTGATTCAGTCAATACAAATCACACTTCATCTTCCTATCCAACAACATCGCCCAACTTTCAACCTCAAATGTTCTTTCCCATCACCAGTGTGCCGGCGGACCACTGGCATCAGACATATCTCGCATGGCAGGTTCGACTCCGTTTGAATCAGGAGCATGAGCGGGAGCGATCGGTGGAGGCTCAACGGCTTCGTGTCTTTGGTGGCATGCCAGAAGATGAAACCTGCCTTCTCGAGCCCATGCTCAGAGTCGTTACGGATCTTTTCGATGGGGAGACCGACTATGAAGATCCTTGACGATTCTGTCGTGTGCCTGTCATGTCTTGCTTGTGCGCGCATGATGATCGAGCTTTGCGTTGTGATAGCAAGACATCACACTCTCCAAACTACGTTCTGTGCTTGACGAACGAGCACGTAATGTGAAAAAGCATTTGATCGTTCGGAGCAACGATAATGCAGACTGGATTCACCAATCAACCGCGACAAGGATTCTCGATAAACGACACCCCAACAAGCAACCGGAGGCGTGGGATACCACCTGGGCCCGGACTCGTAGCAGGTCTGACACGTCTCTCCCTGACGCTGTTGGATCGGTCCAATACCCCCCAGCCCTAGGACTCCGGTTCACGCATATGTGGTAGAAAAGGCAGAGTAGTGGCTTGATGCACAGTTGACATTTGAACTGGCTTGAGTTGGTCTCAAAGACTCGCCAGGGAACATGCTAGACTTGAGCGTCGCTGCTTGGATGGAGTAGATAAGAGAGATGCGTGTAAAGTGGAGGGTCGTCGAGTGCTAATTAGCGCCACCATTCGTCTGCTTCAGCTCTTGCCAAGCAATCTGTAACAGACGCATTGATTGGTAGTATATATAGGTGGTATGAGGCTGGAATCTAGTTAGTATATCAAAGTAATTGAGATGGATTTTGGAATTACTTTGTTCATCGATGGTTACTCTCGAGTCGTGCCAGATAGTCAAGGCTCTAGCAGTTCTCCCAGGCATCTTCGTCACTATCTTCATCACCCCCCAGTCCTTTCCCAGCCGCCTTGATTCTATTGACTACCCTCTTCACGCCATCGCTGATCTTCTCCCCCTCAATCCTCACCCCCTGATGCCACTCCGTGGAGTCTCTAATTCCATCATTGAACCATATCAGCATCGGAACAAACGTGACGCCGACTTCTTCAGCTAGCGCAGGAAGCGAGTATACATCGAAGCTGTATATGCCCACGATACCATATTCAGAACGGTCTGATTCTGGTAGAAGTAGATTGAGGTGTTTGAGAAGTATTGCACTAGTTCTATCCTGCGGCCAGATAATGGCGAGGACTGTCTTTCCAGTTGAGGCTGTGATAAGACTATCGTAGTCTTCTTTCGACGCGAGCTGGATGATGTCAGACATGTTGGTGGTTGTGTTTGGTGTTGTTGGTCTGCTCGTCGAGATCTGCGGGCGGAGAACGCGAAGCTAGTTTGGCGAGCTTGGCAGTGGTCATCGCTGATGTCAGCTCTGAGGTCACGACGCGGTTGCGACGACCCGTAGTTACTATCTCGACCACTTTCATATCTTATTGGCTGACTAGTCTTCTCATGTTCAACTTGATGGCGAGTTATATTGGGATCAGTACACATGTTTGCCCAAGCGTTTGTGATTATCGGCGACAAGATCATCACTTTCGCACGTGCAAGGTATATGATACACCTTCAACTTGACGCGGTACGCTTAGCTGCATATGCAACATGAGCTTAGGCAGAGCTCTAAACTGTCTACCTGATCTGCTTTGTCACGAATGATTGGTAATATTGTTATAGAGGTAGAGGGTTACGTCATTTGGTCATAATCGACGCTGCCTTCTTTTGATAAAGAGACACAGAGTTAGTGTTCGACACGACTATCAAACTGTCTACTTTCTAGACATCTCTCCATCTTGATTACTTGCACGATCATACAGCAACGATGACCACCAAGCCTTTCGGTGTCGTGCCAGCGGGCGCGAAGCAGCAGCCCACACCATTTGAACTATGCATCGACGAGGGAAAGTTGCAGGACTTTAAGACCCTGTTGAAACTCAGCCCAATAGCCAAAGAGACGTATGAGAATTTGCAAACCAACGGTGAATTTGGCGTTAGCAGGAAATGGGTGTCGGATACAAAAGACTACTGGCTGAAGGAATTTGACTGGTGAGCACAATCAATAGCACGATTAGTTTTGTGCTTTCATAAACTAATGCCACTCGAGAGACATCTTGCTAATTCCGCCGTAGGCGCAAAGAAGAAAACCACATCAATTCGTTCCCAAACTTCAAAAGCCAAGTCTCAGACACCGATGGCGGAAAGTTTGACATTCACTTCGCCGCTTTGTTCTCTTCAAATCCTTCTGCAATCCCAATCGCGTTTTTCCATGGGTGGCCTGGCTCCTTCCTGGAATTTCTGCCCCTGATGGACATACTGCGTAACAAATACACCTCAGAGACCTTGCCATACCACGTCATCGCGCCCTCACTCCCTGGCTTCGGGCTCTCGTCTGACCCGCCTCACACGAAAAATTGGACCACCGAAGACTCAGCGCGCATCATGCACAAGCTTCTTCTATCGTTCGGCTTTGGCGCAACTGGATACCTTGTCCAAGGAGGGGATATCGGAAGTTTCATATCTCGTGATATGGCCGTGAGGTACCCCGAATGCAAAGGCATGCATGTCAACTTCATGCAAACAGGTAATATAAAGTCGAAATCCGACCCAGCGGATGAGCTGAGTGACATGGAGAAGGAGGGTGTGAAGAAACTGGACGAGTTCAACACGGTCGGAAACGGGTATGCTAAGATGCATGCTACAAAGCCATCTACCATTGGTCTTGTACTGGCAAGTTCGCCGCTTGCACAGCTCGCATGGATTGGGGAAAAGTTTTTGGTCTGGACTGACCCAACTACAACTCCTCCGCTCAGCACGATACTCGCCGACATCACACTCTACTGGCTTAGCGAGTGCTACCCAACTTCGATCTACACGTATCGCGAGACGCAGGAAGCAAAATTCGTGGACAAACCAATTGGTTACTCTTACTTCCGATTTGAACTTGCACCTGTCCCGAGAGCCTGGGCTGAGAAGACCGGAAACATGGTGTTTTTCAGGAGCCATGAGAACGGTGGTCATTTTGCAGCGCTTGAGAGACCAGACGTCTTGTTAGCCGATGTCGAGGACTACGTGAAGGTGGCTTGGAAATCTTGATTTTGAATAATTTGTGGTCTGAAGAAAAGCACGTCTCAATCTATGTTTCTTCGTACTATTCGCCAATTGTTAATCGCGGGTCATTTATTTAATGTATCTGAGTATTAGCGCTCGACTTTACAAATGCTCGTCCCGTTTTGGTAATTGTGCTCCTGAAGGATGCTGCGCCTCGTTTCTTGCTGACAGGAGGATGGGCCTTGAAGTGCGCTTACGTGGCTAGCCGAAAGACGTCATCAACCAAACACGATACCTACTAGAACAAGACGCGCGGTAACTGAGCACCACAAATACCTCGTTTACATATACTGTGGTTGTGGCGCTTTCATCTGGCTATAGGGGAACCTTGATGCTTGTCGTCCCGGTTAGTTCCCGTGGCGAAGCATCGCCCCGGTGGTACGTGTCTGCCAATAAACGTCGCACCCCAGCATGGGAATAAGCTTGGCTCGATACCTTTCGTGTTTCGAAACGTGGGGCCGCGGAGTCCAGATGTGCCTCCAAGAAAAGAACAGGATCTCCCGGCTCATTTATAGATCTATCCTGAGTCGTACTCTTTGTTCTCACCAACTTCCTCAACATCCTCATCATGAGATACAACGAGAATAGAGAGTTGGGTGGGATCTGTGGATATTGCAAATCGAGACATGAAGCCAGACAACGCAAAACATCGTCCAGCGAGCTCGTTGTCCCAGGATGCGAACACGCCTACGGCATAATCTCCAAGCCACCTCAACTTCAATTTCTACATGAACGCCCTCGGAATCGTCTTCGGAAGCGGATATCGAAGTCCCCTTCCGCTCGACCCCTTGTAACTCTATACGTTCTCGAATACGAATCATATCCATACAACACTCGGCCCAGCGAATTCCTGGGCGTCTATTCGACCATCGATTCCGTAACAGCCGGAGCCTTTCGACATGGCGCGCACTCATTCTCCAGAGAAGGACTGATTGATGGGAGCCAGTACCTGAGCCTAACAGGTCGGCTCAGAATTGTCCCAACAAGAATGCAGCAAGATAGGGTAGCCGCGGCTATGCCTGATGAAGCTCAAAGTCTGACTGGCGAAGTTGTCAGACCAGACATACCACATCCCGAATACCAAAGCTTCGTAAGACCATGGAACGATGCTGAAGAGAAGATGTATCTGGCGATTCATCAGGAACCTCAGGCAGCGTTTTGCATCGGCTTGTTCACTAAGAAGAGTACGGCATGGGATGCATGTCTAGAAAGCGAGGCCTCGTATGCCTTATCAAACACGTTACACGATGAGACTAGGCAGCTCGATTCAGATGGTTTACCAAGTGTGACAGCTCGACTGACTGGAGGTAGCCATCGCTCATGGTTCGTTGCATCATACACGCTCAACGCATAATAGGCCGGACCGATTCATGTCGTGGTTGGTGTCATCTAGATTCCATTTTGGCGTCAGAACATAATCCAACCCAAACGCTGTCCTCAACTCATCAACTCATCAAATTCTCCATCAATTGCCCATAGCGAAGGGCAGCTACGACGTACTATAAAGCTGCGGCTTGAACGTACGATGGATCTGGAGAAGCGAGACCACGTTCGAAGTCAATCGGTACATACGATATGAGGAGTATTTATTTGAAAGATAGCAAAAAGCAACGATATCAGCTCCGAGAAGAACGTAGAGCCTGGCGGCAGTATCTCAATGCCACACGTTCCGCCGTGAATGGGGCAACGATGAGAATCACAACAACACGAAACTCCAAACATACGCAACGTACTCGGAGTCTACGGTACCATGTCTGTCGGATTACGAGGGAAACGACTCCGAGACGCGATCCAACATCGGACTCGCTCGTCTGGGTTTCTAGATCGACACACCAACAACATGATAGGAGGTCGATTGAATTTTTGGAAGTAGTGCCAAAAGATATAATATACAGAGATCGGAGCACCCATGAGTTGACGTAGCATTGGATGTCCATATAAAACAGAAGGGGCCTTCAGTTTTGAGCAACAGTTGCGATTGCATAGAACAATTTTCATGTCTTTTGGACCGCTAAGAATTTTGTGTACTGTCTGGAAGATAGATACATGGGAAAAGTGGAAAAATCTCGTTTTATAGACAAAAAGACTTGCGGGGGAATCTCTTCTGTCCGACGATGAGGGGAAAAGAAGATTTGAACATCACCATGACATGTGGTGAGAACAAGCACCACTAGCAGGGTCACTCACAGCGCAGCACACCAAGCGGCCATGAAGTCGATATATCCACATTTCCAGGAAGCAGACAAAACAAGCATACAGGATGTAGTGGGCAGTTTTGCGAACCACATTAGAATTTTCGAAAATAGAATTGGATCGCAAATTAGAACAATAGAAACTTTGATCATGTCTCTACCACTCAGGAATTCCATGGATTTTCACTGCTGTCTTTTCATGCGAAAACACCATGCTGTCGATAGTCATATCACGTCCTGGTATACATCTCAGGTACACATGTACCACACAGCATCTCATGGCGGAAGTGGACAGTCTTTTTGGTGCGCGTACTCATCGAAAACCCACAGCGAAGGTTTCACATGGATATCCATTGTGTCGTTTTGATCGAACGAAGCCATACCCAGCAGGCTCTCCTGATTTTCATCCGTTCGCGGAAGCCATAAGAGAAGACATTTTATGCGAGAAGAACGAATGAATACACATGGACGACACTGAACCAATTTTGAACTGAGAAAATAGCAGCCAAGAAATGGCGTTTTGTTACTGCCGCGAGCGGGCATCTCCATATGTACCCTTCCCGATAGTTTAGGACAGGAGAGAGGCAAGTTGGAAAGTCAGAGATGACTGCCACATCGGATTACATTGGAGACTTTTTGGTGGGATGTGGTTCGGGAAATATGTGCGAGGAGAATATGTGAGGTGTTTTTATTTTGATTGGCAGGGACGAACGACGCCATAACTGACACATGGATGTATTTTGAAAGGAAGAGAGAGTTTATGTGTATGTAGAGAGGAATGGCAAGAAGATGCGAGAGGAATTTATATAGCTAACTAACTATGTGTGTGTCGTACCGAATGTGTAATGATAGTTAAACATAGCCAAGTATACGTAACAAAAGAGCCTCCCATATATTCGTACTCATACAACAACGTCTCACGCTCCACTCTTACCCGCAACGCGAATCCGACGAACCGCAAAAACCACACAAAAAGAAACAACCCATGTATACCCAACATGCAAGAGCCCCCAAAAGAAGAAGGCCAAAGCCGATGCATGCAACCCCACCCAAACACAAAAAAAACGCCCGCTACTATCCAAAACCCACAACACCACTCAGAACCAATAGCTATCCCCACTCCCACTTATTTCAAACACACAGCCCAACGCCCTCCCCTGCTCCGCCAACTTCTCCTCGCCCTCGCGTAACTCTTTGAGGATCTGCTCCCCGACGAGCGGCCCATCCGAACACGTGTCTTTGATGTGGATGACCACGATCTTGAGGCCCTTGAGCGGTGGTTCAAACGCCGCGGCCAGAAGCGCTCTACTCGGTTCTCCTTGGGCTTTGATCGGTTCCGCCTGTATTTTCCCCGGCTCCAGCGTGATACCCGACACGCCCAGCGCCGTTGCCGCCGGCGGCGGGAGCACAGACAGACACGGTGTACTAGCGCCCGTCGCGTCGCGCGAGTAGTCCGTCATGAGCTCATCGTCCGTGTACGGGAAAGGGAATACATGTGCATGTGTGCCCTCGAGGGGGGTGTCGATGGCCTTGCTCCTTGTGCGCTTGTCAGCCTCAATATGCAGACCTTGACTTGCGCGTTTCCGCTTCCTGCCCTTCCGTGTTTCGTCGTGCTCTCTGCGCGCCTCGCGGACTTTGTCGGCGAGATTCTGCAGCTCGACGAGGAGGTGTCGGGGCGAGAGGTGGCCGAACAGCACGGCGTCGGCTTGCGCGTTGGTGTAGCTGCATTCTATGAATATGCCCGTGAGGATGCCAGCGGCGAGTTTTGGCGCGGCTTCCGCCCAGATGAGTGCTGTTCGGGGGGTGAGACTCAGGCTGTCGGGCTCCACGTCGCCGAAGATGAGCACTTCTTTTGTCGGCGTTGTGATTGTGGACTCTGTGCGTATGAAATATGCTGTCGAGTCGATGGCACACTGGTCAGGTATAGCCTGTCGACTTTCGAGCGCAGGCGTACCGGGAGTGCTTTGCGCGGCGAGGGAGAAGCTCGTGGAACGGCCTTCACGCATATCGAGGCCCAGGTTGTGCGGGATACTCGTGGTGTCCGACATGGAGCCAGCATGCGCGTGGCCGCGCATGCAGTGGCCATGAGTGACTTTGAAGCCTTTGACACCGAGGCCGTCGCATACTTCAATGTAGCCCCTACCGCTTCCTTGGCCAAGAGCAATGTTGCCACCCTCTGCAAGGCGCTGGAAAGATACCAAACCAACGCCGCCGTCTTCGTCTGTGAGATTTGGCCAAATGATGTTGTTGAAGATATGCGTTTTGATGGCGTTGACTGTGAAAGGGAGTGCTGCGAGGCGTTTCGGGCGGGACGTGTTGTGGAAAGCTGCTGTATTAATCACAAACCCAGAGACGTGATCAAGATGTGGGTGTGTGATCAGATACGTCGAAACGTGCTCTCTCACCAAATGCAACGCATTCGCCCTGGCGCTCGTGTGGGGAAACGGTAAGCCGGCAAAGACGCCCTCTTTAAGCGTTGTAATAGCAAGGGGCACTTCCACCTCAGAGATTGCAGAATCAGTACCAGATTCCTCGTCAGAGAGTGAGACATACGGAGTATGTGGCGACGGAGACTTCACGTCCCTACCGTTAACGACCCCATCACCATTCTGAGGCTTTGACACCTCTTTGACATGTGGCTCAGACACAAGCGGAAAGTCTCTTTCCAGAATGCGGGTGATTGCTGCGAGGTGGGAGCCCGCATCGACAGCCAAGACAGAGTTCTTTGACCATTTCGTAGCCGTCGAACGCACCAGGAAGCCCGTGACGTTGTCTTCGCTCGGTCCTCCTCCAGATCCCTATACGCTGTTAGCAGAAACTCGAGCAACGCGATCCACTTGTTCATCGAAGCAATTTGTAGAACGAAATAACGGCGACTTACCAAACATATCACCTGGATAGCAGGTTCATGCGCATGCCCGGACGTCCTCCGAACCGCTCTAGCAGGTTGTCCATCGCTCTCCTTCATCCCCGCGGCTCCTTAATTTTGGCGATACACCAACACACCTGTCTCAACCCTTTCGCCTACTTTCTTTCAAGATCGATGACCCTTGCAGCGCAGCACCAATCTCAGCCACCCGCCTCGAACTCAACTCTTAACTCGCGTCTTTGCAGCTCGCACCCTTACGACCCCGAACTGATGTGACAGCACCGCGTGAACAGCCACCCGTCCCCCAACAGCCGGCGCGATGCGGTGCGGTGCAAGCACCCGCGTCACCCCAGATCGCCACGCTCGCTCAACACTTTTGCCCCAAATCCCAAACCCAAAATCCCAGATCCCAGCTCTTTCCCTATACGGTGGCAAACAACGGCGCTCTCCTGAACCTAGTTCACCGCTCCAAAGGCAATGTGCAGCGCGTGAAAACCGTCTGCGATGTATGTAATGCGACGTGAGACCACACACCGCTCGATCGATATGAGACAAAAGCGACTGTTGAGGAAGAAAAGCAATGAAAGATGCAGAACAAGACTCGAGACTGAGCAGGACGACACTCTCAACCCTTCGTTGTTGTGCCGTGCTTTCTCCCGGCTGTGGCTGATGAACAGATGCCTAATGTATAAAGCGGCCAATGGGAGTGGTTGCAGGACAGCCGCGGCCTGCAGGAAAGTGAAGCACAAGGCGCAGACCTGGGTCGAGGCTTGGAGCAGACATCACAAATGCAGTAGATGGAAGACATTGTTTCTGCACGTAGCCAACATGACGAATAGTGACAGCCAAACTCGTGGGGTACATCCTAATTGCGGGGTAAGGGCAACGTGCGACATCACTGCAGCAGAAATCTAATTTGGGCGTTGTAAACATCGCGTGCTGCATTTTTGAGCCTCTATGATTGGGCATTGGTAGGGTCATTCATCTACCAAAAGGTGCCCACGTCTCTTCCGTCGTCCCTCATCCGCGCATCCATGCATCCATCCGTACCAGGTCGTAAAATCATCCGCATCATTATCAAAACGAACGCCCTCCCATCAAGAGAAAGCGCTTACTTGAACACCTTACCGTCGGCCCACTCGTATGACTTGCCCTCAACCTCGATGGGCTTGTCCCACGACCACTGGTCGTTGACAAACTCGCGGTCCTCGGGCTTCTGGGGGTCGAGCTTGGTGAACTCGTAGCTCTCGTAGTCGGGGGCAACATCGAAAGCAGGAAGAGCATCCTGGCCGCGGATGAAGAAAGCACCCTTGATGATGGAGTCGTTGGCTGTGCCGTAGACAGAGGCGGCACCGAAGATGTACTTGCGGCTACCCTCAAGACGGGCGAAGAAACCACCTGACGTACGTTAGTAATCGAAGACGTTGGCTGTAGCAGAGTCACATACCAATCAAGTTGGAGGTCATGAAGGTCTGGGTCAGCTCGTCGTTGTACTTGTAGTCGACCTTGTAGATGGAGTACTCCTCGAAGTTTGCGTTCTCCCAGAACCAGGGAATGGCAACCTCACGGGTCTCCTCGTTGGAGTACTTGCGCTTCCAGTCGTCAAGGACAAAGGTGGCGCGGGGCAGAGCCTCGAGCGGGTGCTTGGCCTTGGGCGCGGGGGCAGCCTCCTCCTCCTCCTCAGCCTCCTCCTTCTTGGGCTTGGGGGCGGCCTTGGCCTGCTCCTTCTTGGGCTTATCCTCCTTTGGCTTCTGGGGCGCGGCATTCTTAATGGCCTCCTTGATCAGCTCGTACTTGGGGGCAACGGCGGAGTAGCTGGACTGGTTGTAGATGGTCTCGTACCAACGGCTGACGTTGGGGTTCTCCTCGCGCCACTTGGCATCGAAGAAGTACTGGAAGCCACGGGCGAGGATGCTCGTAGCGAACAGATCGGCAAGAGTCAGACGCTCGCCAACAAGGTAGGTGCGGGTGGCGAGGTGCTCCTCGAGGACGTTGACGGCCTTGAGAGCAGCCTTCTGTGAGTCATCGACGTTCTTCTTGTTGTAGGGGTCGCGGCCGAGGATGGGGCGGAACCAGCCGCCGAGGGGAGAGAGGACCTCAGTGTTGACAAAGGACATCCATCGGAGGATGGTGGCGTAGTCCTGCTTGGTCTTGCCGAGGAGGCTGGTCTTCTCGTTTTGCGAGGCCACTGGGATGCGTCAGTTTCTGAGTCACCGCGAGACGACTGAGGCTGGAGGGACGGTGCAAACGCAGATCAGAGTGTATTTTTTCAACAGTAGTTTTCAGACAGGGATAACTGAATGAATGACATTCGACATCATGTAGCGAACAGAGGGGACGGTGCAGGCGCAGGTGCAGGTGCGGGGCACTCACAGTAAACAGCAATGGCGACCGACTCGGAGAGCACGAAGCCGTCAGCGCCCTCGAACGTGGGCACCTTTCCGAGCTTGTTAAGCTTCAGGTACTCGGCGGGCACGCCCTTGGCGGGCTCGGTCTCGACGAACTCGACGTCGAGGCCGTTCTCCTTTGCGACGGCGAGGAGCGATGTGGTACGCGGGTTACCCTGTTGGCCTGCTGTCAGCACTCATTCGGTGGGGACATGTCGCACACACGTGGGACAGGCACTTACCGCGTAGCTGTAGAGCTTGCCGAACGACATGATTGCAGTGTGAACGGTGGTTGACAAAACAAACAAAGTGTGTGTGAGGGGCGTTGAGGAGGAAGGAAAATTGGCTGGTCAAGGCGGGGTGTTTTTTGTGCTCAATTTCCATGTTTGCTTAGTCATGTCTAGCGCTTTTTTTGGAGCATCCCATCCGTCGACATGTGCCATCCAGGACATCCAGGACCCGACCCGAGGCGCAATGGCGAGCAGAGAACTGTCACGAACGCTGCGGCGGGCTGTCGACTGCCTGGGACATCGCGCAGCGCCCCAGTGCCAGCGGACGACTCGATACCCTCTCGCGACATCACGGTGCATCTCGACGACGACACCACGACCCGCAGAAGTTACGGGCAGCGAGACCCTCGAGCCCTTTACCGCCGCCCCGGAGATCGACTTTTCCAACGAAAATGGCGGGAAACGAAGCGGCAAGAACCTGCTGCGCACACTGCGCGTCGTGCCCGCATCGCCGTCCTACTTCAGCGCAAAGCCCACCTTCACCGATGACTTCATCTCGCTGTCCGCCCTCCTCCGCACCGTGGCCACGCTCCCCACCATCCCCGCTGCAGAAGCGCCAAAGGTCGCGTGGAAAACGATCGATCAGTACCGCATCATGACCAACGAGCCCGTCAAGACGCAGCGCTACCACAAGATGCTGCATCTTCTGCGCCGGCTGAACTGCATCCACCCGTCGCTGATGCCGCAGGAGGTCACTCAAGCCATGCTGCGATACAAGAAGGCCAGTCAACCCGGAGACATCAAGCCCAAGCCTGGTGTCATCGACGAGCTGGGCAGGGCCAAGGGAGTCGGGCGAAGGAAGACGAGCTCTGCCGTGGCTTGGCTTGTCGAGGGTGAAGGCGAGGTGCTGATCAACGGCAAGTCGCTCTCGCAGTTCTTTGGTCGCCTGCACCACCGCGAGAGTGCTGTGTGGGCGCTCAAGGCTACGCAGCGACTGGACAAGTACAATCTGTTCGCTTTGGTGCAGGGTGGCGGTCTGACTGGTCAAGCTGAAGCTTTGACCTTGGCAGTAGGAAAGGCACTGCTGGTACATGAGCCAGCCTTGAAGCCAGCCGTGCGACGAGGTGAGTCAGTTTCCTTTCCTCCTACTCTGTCATGCGTGGTCAGCCTTCCTCCGGCTATTCATCCGTGTGTGCCGCCTGTACCGCCTCGGTTCCGTATCACGTTTTCGAACGTGCCTCCCGAACGTCCGGCAGACGCCGTGCCGTACTCCTCAACACAAACGCTAATACTTCCACAGCCGGCTGCGTAACCCGTGACCCCCGAAAGGTTGAAAGGAAGAAAGCAGGCCATGTCAAGGCCCGCAAGATGCCTACCTGGGTCAAGCGCTGAACGTCCTTTTACATATTGTACATCAACCTGTATATTGCCTGCTTCCTTGGTGTTTAGCATAGTCACATGTCACCTAGTTTGCCTAAGCAACCTGAGTCGTTTGGCGATTCAAGGTTGATGTCACGATGGATGATCGATACCTGAAGCCTACATTGTGAGAGACGTCGTATACTACCATCTTCTCATATCATTATCAATACTCAAGTGTAGTATCCGTTCCACATATTGAACGTTATATCACTAACACTAGAGCTCAACTACACTCCAGCAAAAGGCTAGTCAGACGATGCGTCTAAGGTCGTGACTTGAAGAACATATCTGTCATATGGTGGACGTGTTGTATGTTGGGAATATCAGTATTTTGCCGACATACACAATCCTTGGCAAAGCTGAACGCGTTCTGTACGTCGTCATCATATTGGAGTAAACATGTCATACGATGTCGTGTTGCAATGTTTGAATGTTTAGTCCAAGTAGTCTGAAGCAACCGGCTTCCACGCACAGGAATTAATGAGGCGATCAACAGATAGTCCATATGCGAGTGCGAAACAGGGCCGATCTTAGCTCAGTATGGTACGTATGCGCGTCCTTGGACGCCTCGTCGTACAACCTATGAATTGCATCAGGCAGGTCTCTTCAAATCGTTCGAATCTGTCAAAAAAAAGAGACAAGGTTGTTCCAGGCATGTGAATAAGAACCGGTTCGGCGGCTGACCCAATTGTGTTACGAGGAACCCACATGGTAACGATCTCTTCGTTAATCTCGGCCGTGCAACGGACATTGGAATGGAGTGCTGATGCAACTGGGATTCGCTTCAATGCCGGTACCGATGAGTATCCATGATTCTTTTGTGAGGGAACCCAGCAAGACAGCGACTGACTGGGACAGGGTTCGGATACTCATGATGCCCGCGCCGCGATACATAAGATGATTGGAATCAGTTCTGTGGCCAAGTGCTGACGAATCCATTGTGTAGCAATTCTGCTGTTCATTTGACGTGCAAGGACATCCCTCTGAACGAATGGCGGACGCCGACAACGCATATGTCCAGGTAGTGTCGAGCTTGATCCGTGCAGGCATGATCTCTGAAAGACTCTGGCAGCTGAGCGAATTATGTATCAAATTGACCTGGACACGTATCTCTGGTTTCTTCATCAAATGGGCGACGCAGCATTGACTGGCTGATCGTGTTGCGAGATGAGCGGCGGAGAAGGGATGAAAAGTCCTTGTTCATTTGACATGCATGATGTTGACTTTGCTCGTGCAGCGAAGGTTTGATTTGAGTGTCTCGCTTTGACGTTGGGTTGGAAGTCCCAAAGTGTCGGTACCTACCTATACGTTGTTCGTGCTTTTGGCCGGCAGACTCAGGGAACGTCAGAAGTAGGCGGTGGTGCGAGATTGTGTTTGGCGAGTGGAATAGGTGTTGCAGTCTGTAACACAGATAGGAAACCCTGACTCGTTGCGCAATGCTTCGATTGGGGGTGTTTCACAAGGCAGGCCAATTGCGTTGCTCCCGCATTCGTTTGGCACTGCCGGCAATTGTACCGTGAGAACAACAATGGCCCGATCCTGGACGCAGTGTCAGGGTCTAAATTTAGTATCCAGGAACGTCAGAGCAGGCACTTGAGCAGGTCCCCAAAGGCTGTTCGTGCAGGTAGATAGCTTATTGGAGGGGGAGCGCATTTTGACAGAGCGACGAACGTCTTAGTTGCTTCGCCTGGAAATGAAACCTTCTCGAAGCGTGTTCGCCGTAGACCTGATCATTTGCTGGGGTTCGTGCGGAAGCCAGGGCCGCTTGACGATCGCCCGTTGATCGGGTGACGCACCAGTCCCGTGTAGTTTCCCTATGGCGGGTGATTGAGACGACGCTGGTTTCATTTCGCGATCGCCTGTTGCTGCAGCACACCAGCGGAAGCTTTCCTGAGGGTTACAGTAGGCCGAAGCCCTGTCATGCACGTGTGCAGACCTTCACGCATGGGCGGCGGATGAGGCGAGCAAGAAGGCGGTCGGTAGTTTGTGAGGCTGCCGAGCGAGTGGTGAATGTCGTCAGCATGATCCAAGTGCTGCTATGTGGAGATGGAGGAAGCCAACTTAAGCGTGATCTGCTGTTCCAGGCAGGGACCACTCAGATCGCCTGGAAGGGGGATCCGGCCTCATTGTAAACCTGGTTCTCTCCGTCTAGCAGAATGGATGACAAAACGAGATGGATTGTGAAGCGTCGTCAAGATGTGTGGACGAGGAACTACCACATTGCGTCACTGCGATACGGAAGGGAGCGCCGTCCAATGCGGGAGAGCCGAGTGAGGCTGTAGGATTCATGGCGATCAGCCACGCGTAAAATCCCTGTCGTCGTCTGCGGGATCCTGCATCAGAGATGAGAGGTCCTGATTGAGACGAGATGCTGACCCCTGAGCTCTCTGGCCATCTTCTGCGCAGCACGTCGTCCGTCTCTAACGCAGCGACGACGACTGTGCAATAACGCCGCAGAGGTTCGGAGGCCATCCGACGTTCTGCAAGCATGAAACACCCTTGCGACCAAGTCGACAAGCCACTGCTGCTGGCTGCGACCTGTCGGACTCGGGCTCGCTGAGGCCCTGCAGCCCGTCGCGACTCGGCCCAAGCTGGAGTGTCGTCCATCTGGGGGAGGGGGAGCCTTCTCCTGGCCCAGCAGCATGGCGACATTTGGCCGCCGTGGAGCCGCGTGAGGCGCAGTCGACGACTCCTGCGCATAGAGCAGAGCAGAGCCGTGTTGTGGTCTTGCAGGCCGGCCCACACCAGTCCACATGTTGTAAACCAGTCCCCGCCGACGCCCACGGACGCAATGCAGCCCTGCAGCAATCCTTCGTGCGCCCAGCAATGGCAGATGCAGATGCAGATCCACCATGGACGATCTGTAACTGTGGCTTGCACATCGCTGGCCCCGCCATGACCCTTTCGGAAATCGAAAGACTTCAAGCTCAGTCATCAAGAGGGCATCTAAATGCTCTCTTACTCGCTAGTCAAGCCACACCCACTCTGTAGGAACAGCACGGCCTGGCCTCTGATCTCGAGCTCCACCGGCCGGTGGGTGTATTTGCAGCCAGTTCGCCGATGTGGCGCGTCACAGCTTCCTTTTTGCTCTTCACGCTCCCAATGAGGCTCGTCTGCAACCTCAATTCACACCCGCCCTCCTCCGTCGTCATCTCGCTGCTACCCCAGCACTCCCGCACTCCCCACTCCACTCTCGCCCGAGGGGTTTTCCGGGCGTCAGCCCTGGGCACCATCCGCAAACCGACGCCGACCATCTCTTCTCTGAATGCAGGTCGCTCGTGACGTCCTCTACTCGTGAAGGAAACAAGGCCTTTGCTCCCCTTTCCGTAAGCCCAGCGCGCGGGCCTACAAAAATAAACTCTGCCGCTCTTTTGTCTCGTCTCGGTCCGAACGTCCGTCTACTCCTCCCAGCACCATCTTCCTCTCGTCCAGTGCGCATACAGAACTTCGTGTCGATTGTGACGAGTGCCGGTAGACGTTTTGGCCGTTGAGCTCGGCACGCAGACGTTGACAAGCTGTTTGAGACGATCCCTTAGATCGCACGCTACTCGGGTGTGTTTGAAGGGCAGTCCTTGCACGCTGCAGGAGCTGCTTCACCACCGACGCCCATTGACACCGGCTTCTCCACGCTTGCTTTTGCCCGACCTCTCCCTGTCATTTACTGGCTACGTGTCTAGCTGGCCCACCTTCGCAAACACTTCCACAGCAATTCTACTTCGGGACGTCGACCCCCGAGTTTTGCCAGCCCCATTGCCAGACATCCTCGCCGCATCGAAGCGAGGATACCCTGGGACTTTCACGCGCGTCGGCAAGGTTCCTGCGCCAGCTGCTTTTTCAGGACCTCTGGGCTCCATTGGCATCGCTGTTGACGCGCTAGGGCTGTGTTTATTATATCCATTTGTCTGGAGCTTCAGGCATTCGAATCCATACAATTCAGACGTCACCCCCTCTTCCTTGACCGGCCTTCCCTTCATCCTGTTCACTTGGCTCTTCCCAATACGGCTTCCCAACCAACGCGCCTCTTGCTGCAACATCAAGTCACTCACTCAACCACGCCTCTCGCTTCTCCACACCCGCTGCGACTCTCATCCACTACCATCCTTAAGCCTGCAAGCTGGCCAATTACGCGACTCCGCCAGTCTCGCCCTTGGGGTATCGGGCACTTGAATCGCCCTTCGGTCTACAGCTCAAAGATCGCCTGGGTGGGATGGACCATGATCGTCGGCCGCGGCAGAGTCCCTCAGGTTATGCGACTCAGCAAGGCACGCTCCTTCCCCCACAGTCAACATATCCTGCTGTGGTAAGCGCATCCGACCGCTTCAGGCAAGCGCCTTTGACTACACCTGCTCAGCCCACGTCCGCCCCGTCTTCTGGAAGTCGCGCAAGCTCTCAGGCCTATGGCTACGCGTATGGGGAAGGCCCACAATTCGTCGGATCGTCGATTCAACCCCCAGGCGTCTCGTATGGCGCACAAGACTACGGTGCCGATCAGCAACAGCAGGCGCAGCGTGCGCCGCAGCAGTACTCGCCGTACGGTCAGAACATCATGTACAGCGTGCCTAGTGCGCAAGGCTCAGCAACTGCACCATCCCAGTATGAGCCTGTGGAACAGTATCAACAAGACAGGGACTCGGCCATACAAGTCCTGAGCACCGGCTTTGGCGTCGCACAACCGCAATATTACAATGTGGCAGGCGAAAGTGGTCCCACGAGTGCACCTGCTCCTTCTATTGCAGCCCAGAACGTTCCTTCGCAGTATCCTTCGCTAGGATATACAACACCGCAAGCCCCTGTCGGACGAGAACCGCTCGCGCCCAGCTACTCTGCCCCCGGCATGACAGATCCACACCAGGCGCCTGCCCAAGCGGGCTATTCTCAGGCCAGCTATAGCAGCGAGCAGCAGAGTAGTGGCAATGAATACGACGACTTCTACAACAACTATCAATCAGAGCTCAAGAAGACTTTCGAACAGGTGCGTGATGGTCGGATCAGCGAAGCTGGCGCACAGCTCTACAGGTTATCTGAATGGCTGCTACATTGGGCCGAGACACTAGGTGAGTCTCCTCGTAGGCACACAATGGGACGAGCAGCTGAATTGACTACAGGACTAGTTCGCGACGACGAGGCGCACTACTCTCAGCGGCTCAAGCTGTGGGAGGAATTCAACACTTGTTGGTTGGCGACATTGCAGAAGCAGAAGGCGTTGACTCAGGACATGATCAGAACTGGTCAGCGACCGCAGCCGCCACAGACGCTGATCGACTACGACTTCCTTGAGAAGATGGGTACTCAACTCGTCAAGAACTGCGACACTATGGAGAAGCATGGGTTGGTCGACTACCAAATGGGTGTATGGGAAGAAGAGATTGTTGCGAGTAAGTGTTTTTCGTGTCGCATCTCTCCCCGCCAATCTCTAATACATTTTATAGTGTTGACATCCTGCCTCGATCTTCTCGAAGAAGTCGGCGCTGGCTCTTCCTCACAACGACCCACATCAACAGCACGAAGACGATGATTGCATTTGTCTGACGACGGCGACGACGACGATCTGTTCGGTACCCCAATACATCAACACCGTCCTGATTGCGCATCAATCTCACCCGAGTAGACTACTCTATCTTAGTCTCGCATGCGCCCACAATCACCGAAACGATATTAAGCTCCGAGCGTCTTGTGGACACTACCGGTTTTCTTCTCTTATACACATGTCAAACTCGCAGCATTCAAGGGTGTTGGTTTTGCTTTTCTTGTTATAGACAGCATTGGGCGTCGGACGTAGCATTGGACACGATTTCTGGGAGGCAACCTGTTTTTTTGCGCTATTGTTTTCTACGTATACGCGTCTTTTACTTGTATTCTGATTCTACTGTACTTTGTTTTGTATCGCGATTTTTGCATTGCCGCCAGTTTTCGGCTTCTTTTTCAATTCGGATTTTAGGGCATTGGGGGCGGACCAAGGGGAACATTGGCAACAGAGACTTGACGTTCCAGTTCACGACGAAAAGTTGGGCATCGCACATCCGCAAGAAAATCACGAGAGCTCTGGGATTTGGATCTATGGTTGCTTTTTGCGATCGGAATGTATCATGCTGGGACAGAGGCACCGGCGCAGGCGTCGGTCTATCTCTCCTTGTGGCGTGCGTTAATGAGGTGGAGACGAGATCGATGAATTGTATGTTGAGAGTCACCGGTGTGTCCATGCTGAGGATCGGCTTCCGGTGACTGCAGCGAAAGAGTTGGAATGGTGGATCAAGAGCAAGGGTTTGCACATCAGGATTGGGCGGCAACGGCAACTTTCTTCGCTTGAGCCTAAAACCTAGATGGCCAGCTACCGCTGTTCGATCCACCTTGGCGCGTGAGATAGTTGGGCTAGGTAGTCGGGCAGCAAGTGTACCATAAGTCGGCGTCGTAACATAGAAATTTCCATGCTTCATTGCAATTCATCTAACAATCAATGCAGTTAGTTGGGAACATGAATGTTGTGTTGGCGCATGGTACAATGTGGTTGTGTAATGATATAATTGGATGTTACACCTTCCTCGCCGAGCAGGTGCCAATCGCTACTCCTCGCCTCACCATGTCGCTTCTCTACAACCCCACTCACGTACGCCTCACAAAGCGCCTATGAACATTACCGAACGCCTCAAATGTTAATATCGTGCCATAAACAACTGGAATATCCTTGCCTAGATGAAGGCACCGAATCACAGCATCTTCACAGATGGATTTGGACGTCCTTACTAGGAAGAATCTGCACTGCATCGCGTGGCAACAGGATTGACACGACGTACGCCTTCATGCCAGGATAGGTTTCACTAGCTCTCAATGGACGCCTTGCGGTTCATCCCCTCGTGAGGCCTGATGGCGCGACACCTGCGCGCCTTAAATGCAGTTGACAACCTCAATCAACAAGCGCGGATCCTGTTCAAGGGAGACGACCGCCTCGTCTCCGAGTCTTTGGGAACATACGTACGAGTTCTGCATCAAATCCTAGACGACGGCAGGGGCTGGACCACATTTGACGGCTACAAGCGCTCGTCATCACGTCATGATAAGACGGTTACCAGACAGGATATGTCTCCGGTATGCAACTTGATGTTGGGTTGCTTTCACCGCTTGCACTGGCATGTTTGAAACTCCTACTGACCAAATGTAGACAAGATTGCGCATCTTGCAGACACTATGCACATGCAAAGACACGACTGTCTGTTTCTATTAGAACCTGCAGTTTTCGTGACTCGTGCACGCACGTAGAAGAATTGCTTTTTGCTGCCACAAGGAATACATCCATGCCGACTAGCCCCGGACATAGCCTCACGAACTGCGGGAACACCGCGGTCTGGTCATCCTGTTCTCGTCTGTCAGACCTACGCAAGGGTGGTGGGTCCCTGCACCAGCGAGACCGCTACTGCAACTACCCTTTTCGTTGTTGTATCACTTCGGCGTTGCACGGCACCACGGCCCTGGGTATTTCTCCTGCCACGCAGGAACATATCAGAAGGCAGATTAGCCTGCTCAACCACCTGTCCTCCTGACCAGCTTTTGGGTCACAGACGCACAGGACGTTTGTCGCTTGCGTTCTGTTGATCCCTCCGCATCGGTTCGTCGAGCATGGCTGGTGGCACGTTCACCGCCACTGGCATTGTTCTCGATAGCCGCCGGGTTGCCTTGGGTACCCATTAATCCTGAACACGTAACTATAGCGAGAGACACATTTCGGCGTGGCAGCCACCGATCACGACTACATCGCACTTGGGGCTCCACCCCAGGCGCATCACCTAACTGTTTATGTTGTACACTCCTCGTCCTATCTCACTTGCCAAGCATTCGACGCTCACGCTGTTACGTGTTGAGAATTCCAGAAAACACCATGACAAGTGCATTTCGACCTCATCCCGCCATACAAAAAAAGTAACGGCACGTCCGTGACCTTCTAGGGTCAGCCACGTCTCGGGGACTTGTCTATCCGGGGATTTGCTCTGATCACACTTTTCGACTTGCTTTTTCCACGGCCACGCTTCCGTGCCGTAATACCTACCTTGTCACACGTGGGGGCCCACGGCGTTTGCTCATGTGCGCATGAGCTGCGGGTCGGCCGAACACACGTTTTTGGGGGCAAGGATCATGCATTCGGCCGACGTCGCTTGAATTCAAACGTGGGCTTGATGAGACCCTCAGCATTCGTGGGACCCTGGATTGGTTCTTTCCACATAGTGTTGCTATAATCTGAGCCGGGATGTTCCTGGGCCGTTAGTTTTCTCGTCGACTGTATCGAAAATCTCAAAAGCTTTGGTAAATGTGGGACATTAAGAGAAGAGTACGCCTAACGTCTACAATATGCACGAGGATTTAGACGTGGTAAGTAGTAAAGGTAATATAGCGGCCTGAGGCCTGGGCGTGTGATCCCGCCAGGTCTTGAACACGTACAGTAGTGTCCGGAAGGTGTCCATCTATGCAACCAGAACGCACTTAATGTACAGGCTATCTCCCACTTTGTCTTAAATCGACTGAAATATAAGCTCACGCCACCGAACAGATCTAGCAGGTTCTATCATGTTTCGGATGAGAACCTGAGCAAACATGCGTAAACAATCCCTAGATCAGTAGATTTTGACAAATTGGCCTGGTATTTTGTTGAAGCAATCCAGTACATGTACTTAAGCACTTTAAAAAGACACAATACGGTATCAAACATTACGACGTGTAAGCTCCCAACGATTCATGATCGACCAAGACAGAGAGTGTACGACGAAAGCGTACATTGATCACTTAGACAGAAAAGGCAAGGAGCGAACCGAAAGCCAGAAGTAAGGAACGTTAGGATTTTCATTCCAATCCAGATGAACTAGCACGTAAAGAATCAAGCATCAATCAAGTAAAGCCGCCAACATGCACAAGATCACATACATCAAATATTTGAACACATTAATTTGACAATGCTAAACATCCACGCCTTAAAAACAAAGCTACAGTAAAAGGGTATAATGATGCCCGTAACAACCATCTCCAAAAACCTTGAAGGTAGGCAAACCTGGTACAGAAGATACAGAACGCGCATCGCAGTCGAGACAAACTGGGGTCGAGAAACTCGCTTCGCTGTTCCCTACGAATTCTGCACGTATTCTTGGGCCAGTCGGGCGCGTGACAGGGCCATCTTGTTACGGAACGATTCGAGTTTCTCATTGTCTGGCTTGGGCCGCTCGAACGGTCGTTGCGGAGGCTCGAAGACTGCATCTTGAGATGTCGAGGGGTGAGGTTGGGTTTGTATGTCGAATTGACAGTGGACCCTTTCAATTGACGTGTAAGTCATGTTTTCTGGTGATGGGTTGGTGGGCTCGAATTGCCGCCTGTTAGTTACATCGCTGGTGACGTGGTTTGCGCCATCCTGGATCTGTGACGGATTTTCTGGAGAACGCATTGGGTGTTGAGCTTCACCGAGTGAAATTGGCGTTGGCATCCTTGTCGCTGTCATGGCTTTGTATCTCGCTGACGCTGCTTCGCGGTCAGACACGCCTAATTCTTTCCTTCTTGCAGCAAGCTCGTCTGTGAAGCCTTGTGCCAGACTCGGCGATTCTACCGTAGAAGAGACTAGATTACGTCGCAGTCTCCCCAGCGTTCGGACAAGGATCACGCAGTTTGAGCACATTGGCTTTTCTTCGCTATTCTGCCTCTGTTGCGATGAAGTTGTGGGGGTGTTGCTCATGTACACATGTTCAACGTGGAAGGAGTTTTCGCCGCAGACTGGAGTGGGCTGCCTTACTGGTGGTGGGGGACTTTGTGAGGCAGACGTGTCTTCACGAGATCGTCGCCAATGCTGTATGTTCTCGTCTGTTGTCATCGAGCGCTTGAAGTTCGAGAATAGAGATGGCCCATCGAAAGGCTCGAAATCGACAGAGTTCCGTTGAGCCATCTCTGCTGGTAGTGTTGTTGCTCTCGCGATAGGCCGCATGATTGGATTGGGTGCCTGTCGCGAGATTCCTGGTGCTCGTAGCAGCAGTGGTTCATCTTCGCTGCTTATTCTCCGGAATGAGTGTGTTTGACGTGTCCTGCCAGAGTCCTGACTCCCTCCATTTCGGATGATTTCAAGCATAGCGTCACCCTTAGGTGCTGTGGTCAGATTTCTGTAGCCCTTTGAGGTGATGAGAATGTCATCCTCGATACGGACACCGCCGACAAGCATATAGCGTTGTACGACTTCAGAGTTGATGTATTTTGAGTGAACAGGAGAGGGAAAGTAAAAGTGCTGCAAAGCGTAGAGGGAGAAGTAGCTGTTCTGGTGTGAGTACATGGAGATAAGAACAAGTATGAAAAGTACAAACTCACATTCCCGGCTCGACTGTTACAACCATGCCCTCTTCCAGGTGGCTGCTTTGAGGATCTGTTGGAGCGTGGCATGCCTGTGCATCGTAGACCGGAAGGTGGTAGGCCTCAGGGTATAGAGATGGTGTCTACCAATAGTCAGTTAACATATCAAGTCGCCGCATTCACTTGACTCACCTGCTCAAATACACCTTTGCCCCTTCTCACACTCATCAAATCTGCCTGCCCTACATCATGTACCTCCAGACCCACGTGATGACCTAAGCCATGAGGAAAAAAGGCTTTGCTTGTGCCTGCCTTGTAGATCTCTTCTTTCGTTCCGTTATGCAAGATGCCTAACTGCAACAAACCGTCGATAGCAATATGATGTGCCAGAATGTGCAGGTCCAAATACCTCACACCAGGTGCTAGTCGCTCGATGCAGGATTCTTGCATACGCTGTACAAGTTTATACGTGTTCTCTGCTTCTGAAGACGGCCAGGACGAGGACAGCGGGAATGTACGCGTGATATCGCTGGCATACAGTTCATACTCACAGCCTGCGTCCAAGCACATAAGTTGGCGGTCCCCAAAGTCCTCGTTGTTAGCATCGTAGTGTAGGGTCCCAGCATTTGTACCTGAAGCAGCAATGGGGTCGTAGGCTTGTTCCTTTGCTTGCCGCGAGATGCATACGTCCATAAATAGACCCTCAACTTCCGCTTCGTTCTTGAATTTCAGGATGTTGGAAAGAACCTCTCGGTGCGCTTCAGAGCTGATATCGTTGGCTTTTTGGATTAGCTTGATCTCATGATCGTCTTTGATCATGCGCGCAAGATTCATGGCTGGCTGAAGTGATGTCGAATCGATGACTGCACTTAGTTCAGGGACTTGCGGTATTTGCGCCACATGCAGAACGTATAGATGTTTCTGAGAACTGCTCCGATACTTGGACCAGTCATGGATGAAGTCTTGCAGTTCGTCGACGTAATGCACCTCATCGATGTCGTACTTATCGAGTGCTTCTGCAGGAGTGGAGCCTCGGCCGTACCAGATGACTCGATTCTCATCGATTCGAGGAATGAAAAGCGTGAGAGTGTCATGTTCGATATTGTACATCACATGACAACCCGCTTCGTTGCATCCACTCAAATAGTAAAAGTAGCGTCGCTGTCGGTACGGGGCAGGCATATCGCTGTCCTCGTTGTTCTTTGTCGGCTGGCCGGGGAGGTAGATCAAGCCATTCGCAATACCTAGCTTCTCCTGTACCCTTCGCGCGTGTTGTTTTGCTGGACATTATCAGTTCAAGTTCGCTCCTAAACAACATACTCACTCACCAGGGTACTTTTCAAGTGAACTGTCAGCCTGCAGATGCAGCCGATACTCTTTGTTCTCCCATTGCAACCTCCTGGCCAGATCTATCGCACCAAGCGCTTCCATTTTGGTCCTGTGCCTTTCCGAGAGGGATTCGAGAATTTGTAGATGTAGAGTGACAAGAGAGATGCGACAAAGATGAAGCGTCAACGACCGGTGAAGCCATACGGCCGTGCACGCGACATACGAAGCGAGGGCCAAGCACCGGTCAAGCACCCGCGCGCAGGAGATCGACGCCACCTCGCCCCTAAAACTTATCTTTAGAGAAGCGACGCGAAGGATTTCTAGTTAGAGACTAGATGGCAATGAACTGCCAGACATCGTTCAGGCCTCCCATCCATCTTCCACGTTGTCTCCTTAACCCCGCACTTGCCGTCGTAGGACGCGCAATGATGTTAACAAAGAGAGCATACTATCACACAGCATGAGTGTTTGCACATCTCGGTGTGTCACTAACAGTCCGGGATGAGCAGACGATGACTCGGACTGCGGACACGAAAAAGGGCGACACGGTATGCAGTGGCAGGTGGCTGGCATATTGGGCTGATGCTGTCAACATAGATGTGCTGACCGGTTATGATGTTGGAGGCGGCGCGGGCGGTCAGCAACGCCAGAGTCAGACAAAGTAGTCTAAACATTTATGAGGTGGTTATGCAAAGACGAGTCTTGAATAGTGATCAAGTTGCTATGTTTGCAACATGGGATGGCCTATGTAGTCATCTCTGTTGATCACAGGGCTTTGTGTTAGCATAACACTGTCTAAACAACGTACCGGCGGTGTGGTAGTTACTTCGGTGAGCCCTAGTGAATGTCCGTTACCGCTATTGTGGATCTTGGTGGACATCGACTGCTGTTCTTCTCGCTCCACAATAATTGCCGGCGCATTACTATAACTTCGTTGTCGAGCAAAATCATGTACCAGACAGTTCCATCCTGTGTTCCACGTTTAAGATTGATCAAAGGTTTGCTCCACAAGTTATGTTGACATAGACATTAACGAACGGAAGATCACAGTATTAGTCGTTCATCTTCGCATGTCAGTCGAGGCGCATCAGTTTCCGCTCTATGCGCTGCACAGGGCGATGCAATTCAACGCCCTTAACGCACAAATACATCTTCCAAGCGAGCATGTGTAAGTTGGAAAGACAAGGCCAGGCGAAGACATTGACCCATGTCGGGCGGAGGATTATGGACTAGGCCCAACTCGGCAAAGTTCAAGATTATGCACATCGTACGAACCCAGATCTCGTCTCACACCTCGACTACTATCGAGCCACAATCGATTTCTAAATATCTTCCATCATGACTACAGCAGCAGTGTTCGGATGTACCGGCGCCGTGGGGAGCCACATCCTCGGTGCCCTTCTCGACAGTAGTGCCTTCGCCTCTGTTAAGACAATCTCACGGCGTCTGCCAAAGGATCAGTCGTCCAAGCTTGAGGCTCGCCAGGAAGCCGACACGTCAAAGTGGGGCGGCATGATCTCTGACCTCAGCCCCAAGCCGTCGGCCGTCTTCAACGCTGTAGGCACCACTCGGGCTACAGCCGGCGGGATCCAAAACCAATGGAGCATCGACCACGACCTATGCATTGAGAACGCCAAAGCGGCAAAAGAGGCAGGCGTGAAGACCTATATCTTCATTTCCAGCGCGGGCACAAGGGGTCTGCTGAGCGCGTACGTACCGTACAGCAAGATGAAGATTGGTGTCGAGGATGCTATCAAGGAGTTGGACTTTGAGCAAGCCATTATCCTGAGGCCGGGTATGATTATTGGCGAGAGGGAGAAACCCAAGGCGCCGATGCTGGAGATGCTCATCGGAAATCTGCACAAGATTAGCCCGTGGCTCCAGGACATGATAGGTATACCTCCGCTTGACCGGTAGTCGAGAGATGAAATTGACCGTGAGTTTAGGCCAGGACCAGAAGATCATCGGAAGGGCGGCAGTAGCGGCTGCAAGCCTTGGGGAGGAGGGCAAGGCGCCCTCAAAGTACTGGATCCTCGAGCAGGCTGATATTGTAAAGTTCGGCAGAGACGAGTGGAAGGAGTGACGAGGCTTGTGACTGACTATGGCGCCTTACTACACAGCGCATTCGTAGGATGGGAAGTCTTCTGGCGAGAGTCAAGTGTGCAGGACTATTTAGCACCAAATTGATTTGATCAGCTGGTGTTGGGCTCTCCCTGGAGTAGTTTTATCGCATTTTTGCAAAGAAACACATTCACCCTTTCTCCGCAGCATAGACGTCAACCACAACAGAGACACGAACAACAAGCGCCCACCTCACTCAGTTTGACCGAAAGGCGCTACAGAGATTGCTTGCACAACATGCAAGACGTTCTATGCAGAACAATACATTCTTCGCTTACATCCACGACGGTAAAGCCCCAGACTAGGCCCATAAACTTTTGCGGGAAATCCCAGCAAGAAGCTTCAATATGAGCATGTTTAGCAGAACATACAGCTACTCAGTGCTCGATAGTCATGCACACCGCCTCAAGACGCGGACAACACCTCCCACATAACCCCCTCTACCCCTTACCTCCCACCCCTTACTCTCCCCCATTCCCATCCCCATCCACCCACCAACTCACTCACTCACTCACCACCACCCACCCCCACCCCCCTAAACAAGATCTCCACCCGCCCCACCCCATCCCGCCCCATCAACGGGACTATATCCCGCGGAACCGGCATACTGATATGTAGACCTGCAGACCAAGTTTTCATATCGCGCATCTCTTTGGCGCGGGTCTTGCTTGTGAGGCGTCTGTTTGCGTTGAGCGGCTTGGGGGCGTTCATGGGTGTTGCTTAAACGGCAGATTGGCTGGTTGGTAGGACAAGAGAGGTGTTGTGGATTGTGTGTGGTTGATCAGACGTGGCTAGAAGGGACACGGGGGGTTATATAGAGGACTGCAATGAACTGACATATGTTTGCTGTCTGACACACAGTGACAAACATTTGTTTCACGCGTGGAAGCTAGTAAATGGGCGGGGTAACGAGTAGATATGGCAGTTTGTTTGTTCGATACAATCACTTTGAATCTTCGAATCGGGAGGGAAGCAGGGGCGGGTTGTATATTCTTCCTCGATCTAGGTGACTGGACTATAAACTATTTGGAGGAACTCGACATACTAAGACCCAGCCCCTCCTCCGTTGAACCAATCCACCCACTATTTTCACATATCGCCCTCGCTCCTTGACTCATTAAGCCCAGCATCGTAGCCTATCCAGGCCATTATACGTATACAACACAGCAAGGCCTTATCCCACAAATTCCGCTTAGTACCCAGCACTAAGAACCATGATAACTCGCCGTCCCGTCGCCGTGCAAGCTGATACCGTCAGCGGAATTGAAGCAGACTCGGGTTGAGAAACAGGTGTGTGTCAATTTGCACACGCGGGAGGGATTAGACCTAAGTCTATTTCGTAGAAGATGGCGCCGAGGAGTGAGGGTGAAGTATGCAGCGGTTTATCTACAGGGGATGAGTTCGATTTACTCTCAGGCGGTAGTGTAGTTATGTGGATGGTCTAGGGATTACGCGTTTGGGTTATGGTTGTTGGGGGTTGGGGGTTGCGTAATATGGCGGTTTAGCTGATATATGTGATGGAGCTTTCACGTGGTGAATGGCTACACAGCCATACCGGAGTCCGTGGATTCGTCATATCCACATGCATGGTAGAAACATATTTCAGCATCCATTAATAATCAGGCCTTTGAACTCTCTAACACAGCTCGCCCTTTTTTTTTGCCATCGAGTGCTGTTTTGTTTCCCTTGACAGGGGGGGGGGGACTGGAATGTGCGAGGTGGTTGTCCCCCCCTTTTTTTGGGACCGAGTTGGAGGTGTCAGTATTGGAGTAGAGTTTGTCTGTCTTTTGCTTTGCTTGCGGTGATGGGATTGGACTGGAGGAGCGTTTATGGCATGTGCATAGTTTGTATTTTTAGAAGTTATGTGTATGCGTCAACCGTGTGGATCCTGCAGTACTGTAGGGTTTGTGAATGGACGGGTAAGCTCCTGTCTTGATGTATGGTTCATGGGGTGTGAAGTGAAGTGATGGGTATCATGTATTCCCTCTCCCGACCGATCGATGCTATATCCCAACACACACCACCATCTAAGCCTCCTCTTCTTCCCCCACCTCCTCCCCCTCCAGATCCTCCTCCTCCTCTGCAAACCCACCCTCCTCTGGATCCCCTACCGCAAAACGCATAAACTTCTCGTTCTTCGCCTCCGCTGTCCAAAAGTCAGTATTCACACTCCCCCATAACAAAAAGCGAAAAACAAGAAAAAGAAAAAGGTAAAAACTCACTCCCCCACTCCACAACCTGCCCATGCTGCACCTCACAATCCTTCAGCACCGTCTTATCCCCCTCCCTCCCACTCCCCCCTTCAATCCTACACCTGCGTCCCAGAATACAATCCGTAAGCTGCACATTCATCCCCACCTCCACACCATCCATAAGCAAGCAGCGCATCAACCGCGCGCCCTCGCCGATCTTACAATTCAGCCCAATAACGCTCTCTTTGATGTTAGTCTTCTCCTCGACGGTGACGTTATCGGCCAGCAGGCAGTTTTCGGCCTCGACGCGGCATTTGCGGGGGATGGACTGTTTGTTTACGATTTTCTGAGCGTGGGCGAAGGGCGAGGGGCCGGATTCTTCGAGGGAGGGGAGTTTGGCGAGGCGGAGAGAGATGGTGAGGAGGAGGTGGGCTGTGTCGACGCGGCGGATGAGCGGGGCGGATGGGGTGGAGGGCTGGACGTAGGCGAGGATTGGGGGGACGGTTAGTTTTGCGTTTGCGGCGAGGGATTTCGCGGATTGAGGGATGGTGTTTGAGCGGAGGACTCTCGAGGCGAGGGTTGGTGGTGAGTGTGCTTGGGCGTCGGCGGAGCTGCTGGGTGCGGCGGCGTATGTGGTGCTGAACTTTGACACGTCAATCTCCTCCTCGATGACCTGGGAGCCGGACTCGGATGTGTCGTCATCGCTTTGGAAGATTTCTCGCAGGCCTAGCTTGTCCCCCAGGCCGTCCTGCCAGCCTGCTTTCGCCCACCAGCCCAGCACTTCCTCGCTGATGTTTTCGAACTTCTCGTTCTTCTTGATCATCTCGGCGACCCAGTAGGGGAAGAAGTAGATGTGGGCGTCGCGGTGTGTGGTCAGCATCTTTATGCGGGCGTGTTTCCGGATGAGCGAGTGTCGGATGGGGAGCGTCTTGTGCTCTTCTGTGATGTCCTTGAGTGTGTCGGTGGGGACGGAGTAGACGAGGTTGGAGATGTGCCGCCGTAGGGATTCTGCAGGCGCGGGCACGATTGGTGGTGGCAGGGGTGTGGTGGCAATGAAGTCGGTCTCCTCGCCCTTCTTGCTGCCCTCGCCCTTTGTCTGGTACCACACACCCAGCCCGCCTCTTCTCCCAAGCCTCTCGCCGCCTGCGCCATATGGAATCTTGCCGCCATTCTCCTGCAGGCCACCACTAGCACCCGCAAACCCACCCTGCTCGACCATCCATGCGTCTGCCAGGGCAGTCCCCTCCAGTTCGCACACGAGATCGCACGGCAGGACGATGAAGTCGCCCTTGATGGCGCTCTGGACTTCGGGCAGGCGGAAGAGGTCGCCGGTGCCTGTCTCGTGGGTGAGGTCTTTGGGGGCGAGGATGTCTGGCCGGGGCGCGGGGAGGGAGGTAAGGTAGGGGTTTTGCGACATGGCGGCCTCGATGGCGTCGAGAGACTCTGGGGGCGTGACGACGGTGATGTCTGGGGTGGGTCAGCATTGCGGTCGTGGGTGTCTGGCAGGCACCCTACTCGTGACGCCCATGCGATAGCACCACTCCAGCGGGTACCAGACCATGGGCCTGTTCGCAACGGGCAGCAGCGCCTTGGGCATTTCCTTGGGCGTCGAGGTGAAGGTGCTGAAGGAGGCGCCGGGGCCGCAGAGGATCAGCGCCTGGAAGCCCGGCGAGGGCAGCGTGGCGTGCGGCATGGTGTGTATGGGTGAGTGTGCAATTGCTGCGTTCCTTACAAAAGTTCACGGCCAGCTGTGGGGTGAAGAGTCACCCCGCCAGCGTCCGGCGCCCTGACTCGCGGGCGCGTCCTCGGCAGGCAGGCGCAGGCACAGGCGCGGCAGGACATGCAGCGCTCCCAGCCACATCCAAGGCGTCGCATGCCGCACCACAACAACACAACCATGCAGTGAGCCGGCACGCGACCATGTCTTTCAACTACGACCGCTACCGCCAGGACCGCCGCCAGTCGCGCCCCTCGGGCTCGCTGACCTACTGGGTGCCGCTCGTGCTGAGCCTCACCGTCGCCAGCGCCGGGCTCGCCGCCTGGGTGTGGAGCGAGCGCCGCGACGACGAAGACGAGTCCGAGGACGACGCCGACCTGAGCTATGGCGAGGAGATGGGCCGCAAGGACCGCGACGGCCTGCTGCGCCCCGACGACAGCAACATCGTGTCGCGCGTGCAGGGCGCCATCCGCCGCACCCCGAGCCCGCAGCAGCTGTTCGACACGGTGAGCAAGAAGACGGCGGCTGGCTGGGCCGCCGCCGGCGCCGCCCTCACCTCGATCCGCGAGGAGGACCGCGACGACTTTGGCGACCACAACCGCTGGTCCGAGGAGGCGGCCATGCGCCGCAACGTCGAGGCCCAGTCGGAGCAGAGCAGGGCCGCCGTCGACACGCAGACCAAGTCGTTCGCCGCCTCGCTCAAGAACGGGCCCGCCTACACGGGCAAGCGCAAGACGGTCGTGCTGGTCGTCTCGGCCGAGTCGATGATGGACCTGCACGACGACGACGCCCCCTACCGCTCAGAGAACGCCGTGAGTCCCCCTATCACTCCACCCTCACATCTCTCCATACTATATACTAACACCCCCCCAGACCATCCTCTCCCACCTCCCCGACACCGACTTCGTCAAAACCAACCTCTTCGTCCTCATCTACTCGCCCTCGCTGCGCTCCCGCCCCCAGTCGCGCACCGGCACCTCCTCCCTCGGCGGCTCCTACTCGGCCATCTCCGCGCCCCACACCCCCGGCGACGAACTCTCCTCCTTCTCCCACCCAGACGAACACACCGTCTACACCCCCTCGCTCAGCGCCCGCAGCTCCGAAAACCTGCTCTGGAACACGCTGCACGCGCGCGCCCTGCGCCTCGTCGAGAACCCAGCCATGGTCCTGCCCTTCAGCACCCCCACCGGCTTCGTCCACATGCTCAGACACATCAGCCCGGATCTCGTCTACATCGTCGACGCACTGAGCGGCGCGAATGGCGCTAATATCGAGGACTTGAAGCGCTGGGTTGGCCAGACTATTGTCGTTGTGGGTGGCGATGGCACTGGCTTGGGCGGCTTGGTCGATACGGATGATGAGGGTCCGGTGGGTAAGGGCAAGGCGAGCGAACATGCGCTGGATCGCTGGTGGGAGACTTCTCACATGATTGGTCTGGGTAAGGGTGTTGAGATTGTTGATGCGTCGCGGTTGGAGGACGATTATGAGAGGAGGGTTGGCGGCCGCGAGTAGTCTTCTGTTTTTTCGCTGTTTGTCTTGCACTTTATAACCCGTACTTTTAGGTAGCGTTGGCATGGGGGTTGGGGTGGGTGGATGGGATGGGTCACGAGGCATGAATTTATCTGTATATGGACTGGTATGGAATGGGGGAGGGTAGGGTAGGGTAGGGTAGGGTAGGGTAGGGTAGGGTAGGGTAGGGTAGGGAGGGAATGGATGGAAGGAAGGAAGGAAGGAAGGAAAGGCAAAAAGTGGGCGCTGGGTTGTATGCGTGTATGGTTCACGGCAACGAGAAATCATCCCGCATGTCATTGTTAGTAGTCTCGATGTGGTGGAAGTATCTGTTTTTTATATACCATGGCTTTCGATGTTTATATGCTTGGTGTGCTTGCAATCCTTGCCTCCTTGTCTTTTTTTCCCTCTAGATTTCTGCTTCTACTTCTCCTTATACTCCCCTCCTAGTCTGATATAGTGCAGACATACACGCACCGAAGAAACAGGATACTCTCTCCACATGCATACACCCACGCATCCACAAAGCCCCCCCGAACCCTCCACCGCAATCCCGCACTTCACATCTTACCTCTCACCATCCGTATTCCCTATACCAAACGCACGACAACTACACAACCACCGTCTCATCTCATCCCTTCTCCCCCTCCCTCCACACCACAACCCCTACCCACAACACTCCACCCATCCACCCCCCAAGACCTTCCAGATAACCTCAGCTACGAATGGAGCGTGCAAGTCCTACTCCATCTCTACATTTCTGCTTGAGCCTTTGGGGCAAGAGGTGGAGGTAACGCTAAAGTGCACGACGAAGGAGGAGTGTGCTGCGTGTCGCGGAGAGAGAGAGGGTGGGATGTTTAGGGGTTTGAATTTGGGGAGAGGGGGGAGATGGTCGGATAGGTGGGTTATGCATTTTTGGGTTAAAGGGGTGGGTGAGTGAATAGTGAGGATGTGAGTGTAGGCTTATGTTTGGTCGGATAGTACGGGTTGGTTTTATGGAGAAGATTGAGGTACGGTGTTTTGTGGTGGAGATGGGGTGGGATGGTCGAGAAGAACTATGCGAATCTATGTACGTATGCGACGAGTGCTGTCTGATCCTACTGAGACGGGATGTTCATGTACAGTCATAGAGGCGGGCTGTCGTGTCGTTTGTTAACTGTATACGAGCTTGGGGAATGGGGGGATGTCGTACTGTATCATACTGTGTGTCCGGAATATATCTCGACTCAGAATAGCGACAGGTGGGTAGGCATGAGACTATGTAAATACACAACGTTGCGTGTATTCCCCATGAGGAGTAACTTCATTCGGCAGAGGATGACTGATGGGTTGGTTCACCTACGCTCTCAAAGTCGGTTATAACAGCTGCGATATATCTCAGAGGTTGTACTGTATGCACTTTTTAGCAAAACCAAGAACATCCAAGTGACGATACCACAACACTTCAACAGATAGGTGTTCCCCGTACGCAACACTACAGCAACAGCATCCATGAGTTCAACCAACTCCAACCTCAGCTCACCATTGAAAGTAGCGCGCCATCTCTGTAGACAGCTACACTACCCATAAGATTCACGACAACATACCACATCGCCCAGATCACTCTTTCTTTCGATCCACACTGTTTAGAACAAACATAGCAGAGACCCAGCCTATCGCAATCCCCGGTTCACGATGTGGTATACTATACTATACCCAACCTTCCCATCGGGAGTACGACACGACCCAAGACCACGGCGCCGGGATGATGTAGACTTTACTTGCATGACTGACCCGCAGTGGGAGTGTGGGTTTAAAATCTTTAGGGACAAAGGTGTATTGATATATTCATCGACGCTTCGTATAACGCTAGCATTATGTCGAGGACGGGCTTCGCGGAGGCGTCTGATCACGCGTGCATTCAACACGGCTACGGGCCATCTCAGCCAAGGAGGCGACTACGTGATGTCGGGGAGATAGGGTAGTGTAGTGCTGAGTGCAATAACGACGCCGGGTGTGATTGATGGTGCGAATGTGGCATACGAACTACTTGTACTTGGACGTAGACATCTACTCCACGGGCTGGGTCTCGTGCCTGGTGCTGGAGGGTTGTCGTTGTTGTACGCGGGTGGTGATGATGCTTTCGTGGTAGGGGTGGAGTATGCTACTAGAGTTGAGTATGGTGCTGGTTAGATTGTTCAGTGTGTAGTTGTGTCTGGTGCTGGATATGTTGCTGTTTTGGATACTTCTATTGAGGACGCTGCTGGTCTGTTTTGTCTTGCTGAATCTCTTGTTGTGTTAGATGGTACTGGGGGAGATGTTGAAGAGACGACCATGAATTTGCTGCAAGGAGAGAGTCCTCGACATGACAGCCTGAACTGAGGTTATGCCCTGGGATATTTGGAGAATTCGCGAAGATGCAGCGCTGCCACTCCAGGCTACAGAAAGTGGCAACATTGCAATCGAGCGAGTTCCCAGGGTATAATTGACTTGAATCCAGAAGCCAGCACAGAGCCCGATTCCTCAATATCAGAATCAAAATTACTGCCAGGGCTAAAGATATCAACAAAAACCACAAAAAACAACACCCAGACTAAACCCCTTGCCCACACGGCATCTTCACAACCGCAACTATCGAACAGGATCTCCTACCCTGTCTGCTACCAGGTACGCTCTGAGCTAATCACTGAAGAAGTGTTCAGACAGGCACAGGCGAGGGCGGCTGCGTAGGATCGCAGGCTGCGCGGATCTCTCCATCTGGCAACAACGTGTTTTCATACGAAGTAATTGGTCGTGCGAAAGTTGTCGGAGAATTGGGGTCAGGCGGATCTTGGTTCAGCTCTTGCAGATCGATACATGGGGGTAGATAAGGATCAGGGGTCGAGGATGCAATGTGGTGATACACGATAAGTGGCTTTGAATATCTACCAGGTTGTGCTTATGCTCATGAGGTGTGTTGAGATGTCGACAAGTCAACTCGTAGCTGAGTGAGGGACATTGCAAACAAGACTCAGACGAGGAACTAGAGAAATTGCAAGGCCAACATCGACCGCACTTCAACAAGCAAGAGAACAAGTGTGACATGCAGCCCGTCTGGAGACCGAAGATCGGGATGAGGCTCTTCCCGTCCAAACGCCCATCTCTTTCCTAGAATATCTTCACTAGGTACTCCAAGCCAGCGCATACGTATCTTCCCCAGCAAACCTTACGCCGCGAAAATTCGATAAAAGCGAATTATGCAGGTGAACAGCACACACACACAGAGAAGACACCTCTGATTCACGCGTGTACGCACGCTGTGCAGAACGATATCTCAACGAGAGATAAGGGCACATAAAACGATAGACAAGGCCTGTGGAGAGTGGTTGACGTGAAGAAAAGGTATCCACTTACATGGGTCTACCCGAGCAACCCCTGTCCGCCCACGCTGCATCATTTTTCTTGCAACAATGAAAAAAGAAAAGTTGCAACAGGCTTGTTTCCCAGGCTCCCGGAATGTTGTCGTCGTGGTGTCAATGTTGGGCTTCCGAACCAGAAACTTGGCCCTGTCCCCCCTGTCCGAACCGCACCCCCCACACACCGACTCGCGCGGCTCCCTGCCGCCTCGGCACATGGCCGCTCCGTGCCTTGTCTCTAAAAATGGAGTCAAAAGCAACCGCTTCTCTGATGAGGCTCAACAATTCTCTGGGACAAAGGAAGGCGCATCACGAACAAAGGAAAATATAGGTACCATTCATAAGCTCATGTTGACGGGGCACCGTGCTGATTCAGTCCCCACATGGCGCTAGACCCTAGACGACGTTAGCACTGCCGCCGATCATATGGACCCCTGTGAATCGTTCCGCGTCAAAATGCCGAGATGATCGGATTTTCTTATTGGGGCGATGAGATAGATGATGCGCAGATCTACGTTGATGGAAATTAGCGAGGATCACCCACTTGGGACGTCATGACGGGGCGGTGCGACAACCTGGGGAAAGCGCGCCACAATTTCCAAGGAAGTGAATATGTTTTTGGAACATCTGCAAGACTGACCTAGAGCGACGGCTTTCGTTTGGTATGTTCTGGACTGCTGTTGCCATGCTCGACTTGTAGTCATCGTCTAGACGCTCTCTTCGAAGCCCCTGATTAACAAGCAAAGTCATGTCCTCGTGAGCTCGGCCTGAGCTACTAAGCCACTGGGCTAGGTAGTCGTGGCGTCCTGAATGAAGTTCTAATCCAGCCCTAGAGAGGTCCACTTCAGCTACCGTTTGTTAGCTTACCGTGTCACTAGTTAAGTGGAACTCAAAGCACACCGTTGTCTGCCAGCACTTTGCTTCGTGCGATCAGTGCGGCTTCAAATATGACAGAATTGCGATGGATGTCGTGCTAAACTGGGCGGCGCGCACGTCCTGGCTAAAGTCATTCATTCTTGGTTTTGGTACCTGAAGAACAAAGGCAGTGACGTGAGGATCATCGTGGCCTTGACGCAGCTGACGAACGTGGTCGAGGCCATGTGTCATGCAAATGTTCGACTAGTTGAGAAATTATGATGGAATTGTATTATTGACTATTCCCATTGTGAGATTCATCCCTATCTAATCAAACAGCGTGTGGAAATGAAAATACAGTAGGGTATCGCAATAACTCAAGGAAACCCGTGTAGTGAAGCCTTTCCGCCGTGGCATGCATGAACCCGATCCCAGAACGCCAGTAATGCCGATGTTTCACTCTGCGACTCCGAATATGCCATTAATAAACCCCCACAGTGCCCATATGCACTCCCAGACAAATGCGGTAAGGAAATAGCCGAGATGGTCTGCGGGACGGTGACACGTTTTCCACATCATACGGCCGAGGTCAGTGGTGACGTGCAAGGCTATGGCGCAGTGCTGATTTGAGAGGTATCTTTTATGTAATTGAACGGCCTACTTGGCCCGTCAGAATCCAGATGTGTGCTCTGCGTTGCTCAACGACGGAAGATATTCAGTAGACTCTTGCGCTTCATTCGAGATGATTCGATCTTGCTTGCAGGAGTTGGCGTTGGGACTGGATGATTGCTGGGTTTGGACAGAACCGGTGCAGACTTCTGCTGGTTTATCTTGCTGTCGACTGCGTGCAAATTGGCAGTCTCAACATCGCTCTTCTCGTTTATGGATACTGCGGAATCGTGTTCCCCAAGGCGAGGAAGCGGAGAGGTGGTAACTGGTCTTCCTATGGTACTAGATCGGAAGCTCAGTTTGGAAGAGAGCATATTGCTACTCTTTGCTTTGGTGACGCCGGGTTTTCGCGAGTTCTTCGTCAAAGCACGCTTTACACCGCCGTTCTCCTCTGCATGCTGAAGCTCCAGGCGCTCGATCTCGCCAAGAATGGTTATTCCGTTCGTAGCCAGATTCTCCTCCTGAATCGGGGCAAATTTGAGAATGCCCCGGTCGGCTGGCACACCGATCGACTCGCACATGAAGTTCTGTATCAGGGCAGCATTGCGCTTGTTGGTCGTAGGTTGCAGCTGCACAGGCAAGGCATTGATAGTGAGTATGTAAGTTGGCTCGAAGGAGCCACCAAGCAGCAGACAGGCCGAGTGGTTGACAGTTATCATGATGGACGCCTCTGGCCTCTGATACCGTGTTGATAGGTGATGTGAGAGATCGGTGACGAGAGTGTATTCGTCTTTAATCTGCAACTCGGTTAGACCCTCATAAATTGCATACGAGATGAGTGACATACGATGACATTTGTCTTCAGGCTGACAACAATGGGTGCATCTTTGATCACGCGGTCGCGAGCGGAAGATGCTGTCCCATCCTTGTAAGCGAACTGGCCCTCGTAGTATTGCGCCCGGCGCGAAGCAGTAGTACCCCGAGTTCCTGGCCGTTCCTGCGAAAGTGCAGTGATCTGCTCGATGCCTTGAACGGAGCGGGGCGAGGATGCAAAAGAAAATTGCGAGGCCGACGGTGAGGTTGGTTCGGCACTTGCATCGACTATGGCGACACCCGCCTGCTTAGGAAAAGCATGTGTGGAACATGTCGAGGTGGACGACGGGACTGACATCCTCGTTTGTGTCGAAGTGGAGTCGTTGGTAGAGTGGGGCATGGAGAGGAGTGGTAGCGCTGAGGATATATGAAAACAAGCAGTGGTTTGTCTGGCTTAAGAGGGGAGCCGTGAATGTTTGAGATGAATCTTGGACGGGATCCGCGCCTACTAGATATGGATACCGATGTATGCGTAACTTGCAGGGGTCGGGACTTGCAATAGACTTGCTGTTTGAGGGCGATGCGGCTTATCTAGACCTATGCGTGAAAGGCGGCTATCTCAGCATCAAGACACAGGTGGCGGCTGATCGTCTGGCGCAGCTTCTTGACGGGCAATGATGATTGGGAAACAGAAGCGGGCGGGCAGGCTGCTGCTTAAAGACGATTGCTAGCAGAACAAACCCCGCAGGATGTGCACAGTGTACCACCAGCTGAGCGGGATGTACTTGCCATAGCGCGACCACTTTTTGATATCTCCAAAGCAAGGCGGCTGACCGCATTCGGCGGACCTGACCAGGGTTTCGTTTTCGAGACATACAGCCGATACCTGATCTTGGGCAGTGCGCGTAGTTGGCGTTTGGTGGCTTGCCAGCCAAGCTTTGTGGATGCGCTGACATCGGCCACTCCACCCGTGCAGGGAGGGTCGTGGTAGGCCGTTGTTTGTTTAGTTGCTTCTCAGCTTCAGCTTCTCAGCTCCTCAACATCACCTGGCAGAAGATTTTGCAGCGTCTGTCATAATTCTTGAGAAAAGGCGCCCCCACCTGCAACGTCAACAGCGGTGGCGTTGCTGTTCTACGGTAATCTGTAAACATCACGATTCTAAACAACAACTCTGTATGTAGCAGGCGTCCCTTGTTCCAGCGACACCGGACGCATTGCGCGGCTGCTACCCGTTACAAGTCTGGAGTCACGCAACACACCGCTCGATGGGGCATCTTCAGGGCCAGGCTAAGTCCGTTGTCGTCTACTCCCTGTCTCGCATTGCCAGGGCTGGACTCGAGCCGCAACTGCTGGTCTAGAATCACTGGTCACGACTTTGCCCGAAACGTGTCCATTGTTCTTTCTTCTTTGTGTTTTTTGCTCTCTAAGAACGAATTGGCTTGCGTTCAAATAGGAAAAGTCATTCAACCCAGAGTCGCCCGACTCACACAGCATGACCGCGGTGCGTCCTTGCGATGGCCTTTTTCAAATTTCGCAGTGTTGCAGGGGATGAGCCGATCACACACAACAAAAGCCAACGCCGAGCATCCTGGCGGCCTGTGTGCCTCATCTGGAAGAGCGCCTGCCGTCTCCTTCGAGCGAAGACGTGTTTCCATTTGCAGCACCATCGAATGTATTTTCGACCAATGCAACTCCCATGTGGGGAGTCATGTCCGTCTAGAAGCTCCGCAAGTAGGAACCAATACCATTCCAGCGAATCGCGACGGCACAGCAGCTGGCAAAAAGATGTACACGTTGCGGCGAGTTTCGATACATATTGCGGCAAGTGGCCGTACATCCTACGGCGCGTCTGGCGTCTTGGATACCTACCGTGTGTTCAAGATCAACACGCTAACAACTAGTCGCCTTTGGCTGCGCGTACAACATCCAGACCGAAATCGTCCCATCCTGCTAGAGACATGCTCAGCATTGTTTGTCTTCAGTACAGGCCCTCCGCTAATTGATTTCAGACACCAAGCCAACCGGTACTAAGCTACAGGAAACATCCAGGCGTTCATCGATCCATCTTGTCGTCTCACCACTGCAGCACGTCCAACAAAATACGGATCTGCTGCTGTGTAACGAAGTACCCAACTGTTCCTGCAGGACACCGCATATTCTCATGCAAGATGGTTGGGTCCCCGTTCTGGGAATACGGCTCGCGTAACTTATTGAAACTGCCTGTCTGCGCCACTGGTTCCTCCAGGATATGTGCAACTCCCGGTCAACTGCCACAAGCAAAATTGAGGGTGTTACGCTGTTATAGCCAGAGATCTTGTGATCATGAGCTGCAGGACATGGGAACACGACTTAGAGCGTCACCATCTACAATCGATACGGCTTCGGATAAAAGTTGAAAGACTTCCCGTTCTTGCTGAACCTATCAATGGCTGCCTACGTTGAGGAATGTTCCTGGCTCTGTGTGTCTTTAGGGGAGATGGATCATTCGTTATGCTTTTGGTATTGCGCTGCCGTAATGTGGACCTATATGGCACGTCTCGGTAATTGGCAATGCCTTCAAGAGCATGACACGGGACAGTAGGTAGAGCGCCTGACTGTCGGCGATGCTATCTTTGTCCACACAGTGGATTCCGCGGGACAAACCCATCACCAACAGCGACACGGGTCGGCTCTCTAATCCAACGTGTGTTGTAATGCACACTGTCTTAATTCAGCTTTCCTATGCGTGTTGGTCTACTCATTTGAATTGTGGTACTCGTATGTCGCAATTCAAGCGGTCTTCATACAATGACGTGACATGGCCCATGTGACAACGCGCAACGCGACTCAACGATCCTAGATCAACTGCCAATCCACCTCACCACTCCACCATCCAAGTCACTCCCAGTTATAATGCCGCCAAAGAACTCTTCTACGAATACTGCCCAACGGAAGGGCCCTCAGTTCAAACCTCCGCGACCGACAAAGGCGCCAACGAAGCCCGCAGCTGCTAAACGCGCTCCAGTACCAGCGTCGCGTTCCACCGGCGTCGCGAAGAAGCCAGCTGCTACTACAGCCAAGCCAGGCTTTCAATCAGCAACGACAATCATCTCATCAGACGACGAACAAGAAGACGAGCTAGATGCAGACAGCGATGACCTGATGGATGTCGACGCGCCTCCGCGCGAAGCAAGACGGCCAGCTATCGAGGCAATCACCGCACATCCAATCCCCGCACCACTTCTCGCACGATTACTCCACGAAAACTTCGAGGACTCCAACACACAGATACAAAAAGGCGCGATGAACTTGGTTGGGAAGTACATGGAGATCTTTGTCCGAGAGGCGCTTGCGAGAGCGAAGCACGAGCGGGAAAACTCTGCAAAAGAAGGAGGCGTATATGATGGTTTCTGTCAGGTTGAGGATTTGGAGAAGCTTGCGCCGCAGCTGGTTCTGGACTTTTGAGCGGCGAGCTGGTACATGATGAGACATCGGGTGCGTATGATCTGGATGGCAGCATACGTGGTTGGAAAACTGATTGAGAGGGTGCATCGAGTACTGTGGGGTGCACGACAGCAAACACATTACCTGAATTGCGATCGACAACGCCTAGGTTCTTTGGGAGGGCCTCGCAAACGTCGGGTATGGCTTGAGTCGTTTGTCATGTGGCAGCGATTCCTGGGTATCATATCTTTGCCTGCGACTATGAAATGGGGCGATGCCGAACGCGGAGATTTGGTTATGAAGACGACGCGTATACACATTGCTGCGAGGTAAGCGAGCTGCCAGGGCGAAGCGTATGACTGGGAGGCCCTCAAGTGGAAAGCATGGTTAGGGAGTCCAGATTGACAAATCTGACAGCGCTGTGAAGAGTATTTGGCTATTTGACAGGTTCGAAACAAACTTAAGATGATGCGTGGTCTGGGAAAGCAAATCGAACAATTTGGCCTGCACCATAATCATAGCCACCCCTCAGGATATTCTTAGCTTCACGAGTAAGGCCCCCAGTCGTGGTTGTCAAACTTTAGACTGGGGGCGGCAACCTGACGTGTGCTCAAACGCAGACGGAACAAGCGGTGCTTCGTATCTTTACAACACCACGACCCTGCTCAGCCACAACACCAAAACACCACACTTTTCAACGTAATCGCAGATGCCCAAGTATTTGCCGACCTTCTGCTCTTTTCGCCTTCTGCACTAGATGGAATTCAGAGATCGTTTACTTGGAATAGTATACAACAGCTGCAAATCAACACATGCGATATACACTCAAGCCTCGACTTTTGCCGTGCCACAACTGGCGAGGAGGCTGAAGCACGAACAGCTTCGTACACGTCGCAGACAACCCCTCACCGATGTCAGCATGTTCTAGCCGCCACAAATATAAGCAGGTGAAGTAAGCTCAGCCGGCTGTGTACTGTGTTTTCAGAGCATCTATAATACAATCACCCTCAGGCTCACATCTTGCCTCCTATATCTTACTCCATCTTTTTCCGCTTTCCTTCTGTTCGTACGCCTTTGCACTACAATCCATAGTCGATCTAGTCTACAGAGCGCCAGCCGCCCTTGTATCTTTTGGAAAGAATTCGTGTTGTGGTAATTTTTCGAGCCTTCATTCATCAATCACATACCCACAACCATGTTTTTCCCAAGAGTATTTCTCCTGTCTGCCGTTCTTGGCTTCGCGGTAGCACAATCGTCGTCGACAATATCAACACCGTCGGCCTCCGAATTGCTCGCTTCCTCAACAGCCTCGGGATCCTCGACTTCCTCGTCTACAACAGCATCAGCATCGGGGGCTTCACAATCAGGCCAGGTCGCTACGCATGTCGTCGAAGTCGGCGGTGTAAACGGCTCCCTCATCTTCTCGCCGAGCAACGTCAAAGCGCAAGCAGGAGACCTTGTGCAATTCCAATTCTACGCAAGGGTACAGCATCACCATATCCCACACTCTTACCCTCTCGCTAATGATGATGAAATACAGAACCACTCTGTTGTCCAATCTACCTTCGATCAGCCGTGCATTCCTATGGAAAACAGCGTTCCCACTAAGAAAGACGCCTTCTACTCCGGCTTCATGCCCACCAACGTCACTGTCGGTGCGACATCCAACATCCTCACATACACGATCCGCGTGCAGGACGAAAAGCCAGTGTGGTTCTACTGCTCGCAGGGGAAGCATTGTCAGGAGGGCATGGTCGGTGCTATCAACGCGTATGTCTCCTTTCTCCCCGCAAACTGAATCTGGTGTGCTAACAAGATGGCAGACCTACAAGTGGAAACAAGACTGTAGAGGCTTTCGCAGCACTTGCTGCCAATGCGGTGAAGAACATCAGTCCAGGCCAGGGATCTGGAAGTGGAAACGAGACACAAACAGGGACAGGATCGTCTTCGACGTCTGCTGGTTCTGGCACGGCTGCCGAGACGAGTGGTAGTGCTGCAGCGACCTCCACGGGAGTTGAAATACCGCAAAGTAATGATGCATCTGGACTTGGTATGCAGTCAGTCTTTAGTTTGGGTGCGGCTGCGGTTGCTGCTTGGTTTGCGTTGTAGAGGATGGGCGGGAGTATGTATTTGTGCTGTACGGGTTGCCGCTGGACGGGAAGAGTACTTGTTATGATACCAGATTGACCTTATTATGTTACGCGGCTTGGAGGGCGCTTCTTGTATTGAGACTCTCTTGAAGATAGTACTCTCTTTGAGTTGTAGATGCCCTCGAAGTTTAATTCACTTGTTCATGCAGTCCAGACTTTGAGGTCCTTTTTGTTCAAACAGACCATAATATGTCAAAAGCTGTAGGTCTTACACTACGATTAAGATCAACTATTAAGCTTTGGAAAGAGTATACGTTCATCGACAATACAAGTTTCGAGGGATTATTCACAAACAGAGATTAGCGTGCGCGCTGTGCACCCACACTCCAGACACTCATCCTGTACCACTCTCCCCTCTTCACCACGTGCAACTTTGTAGCGAACCACGATGAATCACACGACATAATCTTTAGTTCCTCCACCGTGATGTCTTGTGAGCGCAGCCTGTCACAGGCGATGCGAGACGGGATGATTTGCGGCCTGGTTGTCGTTCGACATGGGAAGACTCCACACCTGTCTTCTGTCTCCGCTTTCTACGCTACCTTGTGCTAGAGTCAAAGATGTTGGCGACTTCACGATCAAGTTTCTGGGAGCGTATGGGTTTGGAAGAGAAGGACATGGACGTATGTATGAGAGTTGTACGGGAGAAGTATGGGAAGCGAAGAGTGGAGGAGTTTACGGAGCAGGGGTATTGCAGCGTTACATTGGTGGTTTATCCTCAAGACGAAGCATCCGATGGGAACGATTTGAGACATGATGTGTCTGCTGCACATGGAAAAGATGGCTGTCGCATTGTCCAGTTTCGATCTGGACAGCAAGCTCTCGATCCCAGCATCACACAGGCTGCGAGATTGACGTACCCAACGTTCGCGCCGGACATTCGGATGTTAAATCTCCCACTTCCTGGACAGCTGCGTATCTACGAGATGGATTTGCTTTACGGAACACCACTGTCTCATCTTCAGTCTTCTGAGTGGACACTCGCAATCACAACATACGCGAAACAAGAAAGACTTGTCACAAGTTTTGCCGATATGATTGCACAAGGCTGGCAAGCCACAAAGAAGCCCGTCTCTTATTTCAGACAAACGCGAGCAGATTCACCCATGGATGAGGAGATCGATGTACTGTCACAATGTACGGGCAAAGTAGGAGCAAGTATTGTCCCCAGGCTTGAGGGGCTTTCTGAGGAACTACCTGACGCGTGGCTGAGACAGAGAGCAAAAAGCGTCTTAGAACACGTTCGAAACATGTCAAACTATCCTGTTGTTCTTAACCATGGCGATCTCATACCGTCTAATATTCTCGTCGACGAACAAACATGGAGAATTTCAGGTCTCTGTGATTGGGCGGAAGCAGAGTACTTACCATTCGGAACTTGTTTGTATGGACTTGAGCATTTGCTGGGACATCTCTCACCAACTTGCCCGTCGTCGACTCGACCTCCCAATGACTCTTCGGAGATAGTCAATGCAACTACCACGTTTGTATACCTTGACAACGCTCCCCGGCTCCGAACCATATTCTGGACACAATTGCTGGGACTGATCGAAGGGCTCGTAGACAGACAAGACGAGGTGATGGTTGTTAGGGATATGGGTGTGTTACTGTGGTATGGCTACGCTTGGGACGATGGAGCGATCAATCGGGTGGTCAACGAGGTTGATGACAAAAAAGAGATAGCATGCTTGCGTACGTTCTTGAGGGAAGCATGAGAGAGAAAGAGATAGTGCATGATTCGAAGTACAGGGTATGGGCATCTATACTTGGTTACTTATCTCCTCCGTCACACGTTCATACAACTAAGTGTGGGCCATCAAAGTATTGGGGGTTTGTTTACTACTACACATCTGCTCCTTCCTGTTCAACTATGTGTCCGCCAGCGCCTTCCAACCATAATCGCACCTTCCCGACACATTGAGGCAGCATTCGGTTTCTACTTTCGAGTCATCACTTTTTCACACGATCTGTCTTCACTCCGCTTCACTTCCCCCCACCTTATTTCACTTCACCGCGCCAGGGACAGCAAAATTTGCGCGAACAGTAACCGATTCTACTTTCGACACAACGGAGGACTACTGCAGTCTCGAGGTAGTAAAGTATATATCCAGAAGACACAGGCAAGTTACAGTAGACCTTTTTGATGTTTCAAGTGTTTCCCGTCCACTGACAAAAAGTAGAGAGTTAATGCGAGATGGTTGCGACACGGCGAAGCGCTGCAACCAACGTTTCTACGATGAGCGGGCACCTGAAGCCGAAAGTCAAAAAGATTGACAATGACACCATCCACGTTGTAAGACCCAACGATCAGGCGCATGATGATGTCCCCACTACACCGGTATCGAAGTCATCATGCACGACTCTCGAGGATGATCCAGGTACCATCAGTGGCCACGATCTCAGCATAACCTCCCCATCCACCGGCGAGACCCCCGAAATACCTATCAGTAGTAAACTTCCGCCGCTACAAAGAGCAAGCGAGATACCATACCCTTCCATTGAAACGCTTATCCCACACCTCCAACCATGGGCTATAAAGCCTACAGGCAGCCAAGGCAGCGCGAAGAACCCCATCGTCGTAATTGAAGATTCCCCACCTTCCCGGCTAGCTGTAAGAAGAAAACGTAAACGCCAGACCGAGCCACACAAGTTCATGGACCGACACAGCAAGCTGTACACTTACCGCCCGTCAAATCCTGCGCCGGTACCAAAACCAGCAAATGGAAGTACATTTACTGGTCACAGAAGCCACGATATATATCGCATGATGAACGCGAAGCTGACATCGATGGGGTGGGAGGGGAAACCTGTGTATGGTCAGGATGTGCCGTATGAAGCGCATGTACATGCGCAGTATATGGCACAACAACATGGCACACCATACACTCATCATTCTCAACGACCGCCTGCGAACCTACATCCTTTTCCCCAGTCTTCCAAAGATCCATATACCACCTCTCATACTCCTTCAGTCCCTCACTCCACTCCTCAACCCCCCAGCGAAACAGTCCTCCGTCATGAAGCCGTCCGATACATCCAGGAACACACATCTTCTCGCCCAGAACAAACGAGCCTACCAAATTCAGAGAGCACCCTCATAACCAGATCACCTCAACATCCCAGCAAATTCAAACTCGACACCGACCTGGCCCTTCTAACCCACCAATCCCTACTCCTAGCCCAACTCTTCGAGTCCTACCCACACTCCACAGACCAAACGCGTGTAAGAGAAGCCATCGGCATGCTAGTCACGGTGCAGAACCAGCGGTTCGAACAATGGATGGACAGCGAAGCGCCGCGCGAGGCCAAACACACGAGGACGGTCAGCGCATCGTCTGTCCTAAGTAGACCACAAGTGACGCAGGAGATGCGCGGGCGGGAGCAGAAGGATGAGGAGATGCGGGGGGTGCTTTCTGCGCGGGCGGGGCTGTGGCAGGATGGGTCCGGCTTGGGGGTTGCGGATGTGTATGCGTTGGAGGTGGAGGGGGAAGTGAGTCCGAGGGAGGTTGTGGCGATGGGGGGAGATGAGGATGTTGAGGTGCGATTTTGGGAGGTGGGAGGGCAGGAATAGAGTGTGATGGATTGGGTTGGGAGATGGGCGGATGGACGGGTGGGTAGAGTAGAGTATGGTGTAGCATAGTATAGTTATGGTACTGCATGAGTACAGCCAGGTAGAACAGGATGGTAATGTGGGTGACAAGATGAGTAGCAGTGTTTCATGCAAAGATCAATCGTATTCATGCACGTATTCCATTCCACACTCCCATCTATTACGGCATAGCACCCTTCTGATTACCCCTCTTACCCCCCCTCTTACTCCTCTCCACATGCCCCTTAAGCGTCTTCCTCACATCGACCAAACTCCTCTTATTCTTACTCTTCGCCTTACCCAGCGTCATGAGGAAATTCTTCTTCCGCGCCTTCTCCTTATTCGTCGTACTCTTGCCCTCAGCCTCCTTCTTCGCCTTGCGCTTCGCAGTAGTGGACTGATGGTTCGTCTCGCGGTCGGCTTTGGCCATTGCGATTTTCTCCTCGCGCGTGTTCTTCTTGCCGAGGGAGGCGGCGGCTTCGATGGTCTCGGCTGTGATGGCCTCGTCTGCGTGGCGCTGGGCGAGGAGCTGTGCGCGCTTGTGGGAGGGGAGGTGTGCGTTTACGGCGGCGGATTCCTGGAGGGCTTTGAGTTGCTTGAGGTCTGCTGGGGTGAGGATGGTAGTCGTGAGGAGTTTTGAGATTGATTTGATGTCTGCGTCGGTTTGTTTGGAGTCTGTGGGCGCTGGGGTTTCGCTGGTGGTGGTGGGGTCTAGTTTTGCTTTCTTTGCTTTGGGCTTGTCTTTTTCGTCTTCGCTGTCGCTGATGTTGATGTCTTCGCCGTCGGATTCGACGTTTATCCAGCCGCCTGAGTCGTCGCTGTCGGCGTCGGATTCGACGTCCCATTTCTTCCAGTCTTCGCCTGAGTCGAGCTCTGAGCCATCGTCGACGTCGGGGTCTAGACCGGCTGCTTCGCGCTTCTTGCGGCGTTCTTCCTCCTTCCACTTCTCGAGCAGCTCGATGCCTTCGATCTCGCCGACTGCTTCTTCACCGTATCGACGCTCCTTGATGGTTCCGGCGCGTACGCCCATTGCGGCGTCTTTGCCGCGGTCACGCTTGTGCAGAAGCTCGGCGCCGACTTCACGGTAGAGCGATAGCAGACCCTTGGCAGCCATCATTGTACCCTTATCTTTTGATTTACGGTACTGTGAAATGTTAGTAAGACTTGGAAAGGCGGATCATCTTGAAGACATACCATAACTAGATCCTGTAGCAATGTGTCCGTCATGGCTAACGGCTGGCGCACGCAAATCTCACGAATGGCGTTCAATCCAGCTGCTGCCACTTCAGAGGCTGAAGCTTCAGACACGAATTCGTTTGCAATCTTCTGGACGAGCGGCTCGAGGACGTCTGGGGGCACATAGTTGTGTGTTGCTTGCGCGAGACAAGCCAGATAGCTCGTCACAGAGGCTTGTCGGGGGGTAAGGTGTTTGAGGAAGTACGAGTAGAGGGACAGGACTGTAAGCTTATGCAGACCAACGAGACGCGATACGAGCTGAAGCACAAGTAGTCGTGACTCCAGTGTCAGCTTGGACTTTGAGTTCTGGACGTGCTTGGAGAATAGCGATTCTGCGAAGCCTTGGGGATCGTGAAGGAGGTGGAGGGCCGAGAAGTTCAACGGATGAGGTGCACTCTTCTTCTTCTCCTTCTTTTTGACTGTGGCCGCGGCCTTCTTCAGGTCGCGCCCCGTCTTTTTCGACTTCTTGTTTATGCCAGCCTGGTGGCGTAGTCGAGCCATGTCGACGTCGTGGTCGTCGTCACTGCTTTCCTCTGCCGCCTCCTCTCGCTCTTTGTCGCCACCAAGGAAGAAACGCACACCACCCGTGATGACCTTTTCGTTCTCACTCAGCGCTGCCATGCGCATGACCTCGACGGCACGCGCATCGGTCCATATCTGCCGCTTCCAGAGCTCTCGTGTGATCTTGACAGCCCAGATGCCCTTTGGTGACTCCTTGTCGGACTCGAGCAGGTTGTACAGGACCGTCTGGATCGTGCGGTTCAGCTTGTGGTTGGTGGACTTGTTGTTGGAGGAGCGCAGGTCGGAGAGGATCTTGGTGAAGAGCAGCTGGCGGAGAGACTTGCTCGGCGTCGAGACGAGAACGGGGAAGAGGGTGTTCAAGAGGGCGATGGAGTCGATGACGTCCTTGTTGCGGAGCAGACACAGACTCCCCACAATCTTGTCGCGCAGCTCATACTCCAGCACTTCATGATGCTGCAGCAGAATCTGGGTGAGCTCCTCGGGGAACTTGCTCGTGAGAGTCGGGTAGCAGTCGGCGCAGTGGGAGACGAACTCAATCAGGTCCTTCAGCGCCACAATGCCAGAGTCTGTGGTGGAGGGGCTCTGCAGGAAAAGATCGCGCAGCGTCTCGTACTGCTGGTACTGGTTGTTGAAGTCGTCCTGGTAGCTCTGGGGGTCGCGTTTTATCTTGTAGCGGAGCGCCGCGTGATCTGCCTCGATCTTCTCGAGAGCTCCAACCTTGCGCTTCATTTTGGAGTATTTGCTGGCGAGTTGGTGTTGCTCTTGGCCGAATTCGCGCCCTGCTATCTTTTACAAAATTTAGCGGGGCTCCGCACTTGCCGGCCAATGAGACGGTGCAGCACGGCACGGCCGAACGTGCGGCCGTGGGAGCTTGGAGCAGCGGGTTGAAATCTTTGGCGGCCTCGACGACATTCACGTCGCTTGCCCACCCCCAATCAGAAGCGCGTCCACTCTCCACCTACTCACGCGACTCTCGCTGGCCCCATCCACCTCCAGAGAGCTTGCCACGCGCCCCCATACCGTCAACGCGTCCGTCAGTGTCTGGGCCAGCGCCTGCCATCGCCCGCCATGACGACCTTTTCGAGCATGTCGCTGTACGCCTTGACGGTGAAGCAGCCGTCGGCGACGCAGGACGCCATCTCGGGCGACTTCCTCGGGAACGGCAAGCAGCAGATCCTCACGGCGAACGGCTCCCGGCTGGCCATCCTTGAGGTGTCTCGGCGGCAGAAGGGCTTCCAGGAGCTCTATTCCCAGGATGTGTTTGGCATCGTCCGTCGCATAGCCAAGTTCAGGGTCGCGGGCGGCACCAAAGGTATGTCGTCTCCCTCGTCTCCCCGCTATAAGCCAGTTTAGTGATTTTCGAAAGCATCCGACGCGCGCGAGCTCGTAGCTCCCTGAGCCCGCGGTGGACTGGACTGTGATTGTGCTAGAGAACCTCTGCTGACTCCACAGACCACATTGTCATAACCACCGACTCCGGACGGCTAGTCACCTACGAATACATCCCCGACGAGCACACATTCAAGACGGTGCATTTCGAGACGTTTGGCAAGTCTGGTGTCCGACGCGTTGTGCCAGGCGAGTACCTGGCTGCCGATCCAAAAGGGCGCGCCATCATGGTCGCATCGACCGAGAAGAACAAGCTCGTCTACATCCTCACCCGTAGCGGACAGACCGACATCGCCATTTCTTCGCCGCTAGAAGCACATAAGCCGCAGACGCTCATGTACTGCCTGATTGGGCTTGACGTTGGCTACGACAATCCCATGTTCGCGGCTCTCGAGCTAGACTACTCGAATTCAGAAACGGATTCTAGTGGAGAAGCGTATGCAGAGCTCAAGAAGGAGCTAGTCTACTACGAGCTGGATCTTGGTCTGAATCACATCGTGCGAAAATGGTCTGAACCGGTCGACCGAACGGCGAACATGTTGTTCCGTGTGCCCGGAGGTCCTAATGCGCCGAGCGGAGTTCTTTGCTGCGGAGAGGACTCCATCACATATCGGCGCATTTTCAACAACAAATCGAGCGTACACAGACTTGCGATACCGCGTCGCGAAGGAGCCACAGAAGACCCCAACCGCAAGCGTACCATCGTTGCTGGCACTCTCTACTCTCTCAAAGGCGGCGAGTTTTTCTACCTCCTACAAACAGAGGACGGAGATGTCTTCAAGCTCACGGTCGAGTCCCCTAGCGGCACCGTCGAGAAAATCAAGATCAAATACTTCGACACAATACCTGTTTCGACAAGTATATGTATCTTGAGGGCAGGATTTGTGTTCGCTGCCTGCGAGTCTGGGGACCGGATACTCTATGAGCTGGAGTCACTGGGTGAAGAGACTGAGGACCCGATCTTTGAAAGTGGCCAATTTCCCGTAGACCCTGAGGCATCATTCGCACCACCTTTCTTCCGTCCAAGGGCTTTGACTAATTTGACAGCGGTCGAGACGATTCCCAGTCTAAATCCGATCATGGACATGGAAGTCGCGAACCCTGCCTTGGAGGACGCACCACAGATTTACACAGTCAACGGCACTGGCGGACGAAGCACCTTTCGCACCACAAGAAATGCTCTGGAAGTGCTTGATCTCATCGAGTCACCACTACCACAGAACGCCTCCGATGTTTGGACAACTAAGCTCACAATAGAAGACGAGACTGACACACTGATTGTGCTCTGTTTGCACAGCAGGACACTCGTGCTGAAGATCGGTGATGATGTGGAAGAAGCCTCCAACACAGGGTTCCTAGCAGACACCAACACGCTAGGAGTTCAACAGTTCGGCGAAGATTGCATAATTCAGATCCATCCGAAGGGTATCCGCCATATCCAAGGCATCCAGTTTCCCGACGATGATGCCAATGCGACCCACGCCAACCTGACTGATTGGCAACCGCCGGCGCATCGGACCATCGTAGCCTGCGCGACAAACAACCGACAAGTGGCGATCGCGCTGAGTTCAGGTCAGATCCTCTACTTTGAGTGCGATTCGGATGGATCCCTTGCCATGGCTGAGGAAGAGATTGCCTTGGATAGTACGATCAACTGCCTGGCAATGCCAGATGTGCCCGAGGGTAGCGTGAGAGCTTTCTTCTTGGCTGTTGGTTGTAGCGACCAGACAGTCAGAATATTCAACTTGAGTCCAGATATGGAGGGCAACATTTTGAGGAGTATCTCCGTTCAGGCGCTCACATCACCACCCAGCGGTCTCACTATCAATGTCATGACCGACAAATCGCCGCGTGGATACAGTCAATTCCTTCACATCGGTCTGCGAAGTGGAGTATACATTCGTTCGGTACTTGACGAGATGACCGGTGACATCGGAGACACCCGGCGACGTTTCTTGGGTCCCGAACCTATCAAGTTTGCCAAAGTGACTGTTGCCAACGAACCAGCTATTCTCGCAATGACTTCAAGGCCATGGCTAGGTTACACTCACCCGCGCACTGGTGTGCTCCAGTTGACGCCGCTTAACTACATACCGTTCAAGTCAGCTTGGAACTTTGAGGGCTCGCAGTTTAAGGGTATCATCTGTGTGAGCGCGAATGAGTTACGGTATGTCATTCTCCAATACTCCCCCCTTGAATTGCATGATGATACTATGTACTCCTTAAACACCATGAGGGCCAAACTTTTATTCCAATTGTTCCTACTGAACGCAATCTTACCATTCTCAATGATACGCATATTGATTGCCTGGAGCGAGGACTAACTCCAAGCAGAATCTTCACCTTCAACGACTTGACGGACAACACAACATACGAGACGATACCACTGAAATACACACCGCGAAAGATGGTTGGTCACCATGATCAGGGAGTATTTTACGTCATTCAAAGCGAGAACAACACTTTAAGTTCTGAATCGAGGAGCAGCTTGATCAAGCAAGCAGCAACCAAGAAAGAGAATGGAGCCCAGTCAGAAGCTGAGGGCGGTATGGAAGTCGATCAGACAAATGGTGAGACTGAGAGCGAGGAGTTGCCAGCTGTCGAATTCGGCTACCCACGAGCCCAGGGTAATTGGGCGTCCTGCATCCAGGTTGTTGACCCACTGAATGAAAAGGCTGTCACACATACTGTGGAGCTCAAGACCAACCAGTCTCTGGTCAGTGCAGCACTTGTCTACTTTGAAAGCAGAGGTGAAGACGTCTTCTTAGCCGTTGGCACTGCGAAGGATCTGAGCTTCAACCCATACAAGTGCTCAGGTGCCTCGATCCAGATTTACAAGATTTCTCCAAATGGGCGCGAGCTTGAACTCTTCCACGAGACTGACGTTAGCGACCCTCCCTTAGCTCTGCTCGGCTTCAAGGGCAAACTCATCGCCGGTGTCGGTCCAAATTTGTGCCTCTACGACTGCGGTTCGCGATCCGTTTTGCGCAAAGCACAGGCTTCAAACTGCGTGCCTACTCGCATCACGGACATCAAGACGCAAGGTAGCCGTCTTGTCGTTTCTGATCAAGCACAATCTGTAACCTACGTTGTCCACAAGGATCAAGTCCACCCAAATCGACTCATTCCATTCGTCGACGACACAGTCGCTCGACACACGACCTGTTCGGAGATGTTGGACTATGATACGACAGTTGGTGGCGACAAGTTCGGTAACCTGTGGCTTGTGCGATGCCCACAGAAGGTTTCCGAGGCCTCTGACGAATCACCCGACGGCTCAGACCTACTTGTCGACAAGAGCTATCTCGGCGGCACAGCAAACCGAGTAGACCTCGTCGCGCACTACTTCGCCAACGACATTCCCATCAAAATCCAGAAGACGGTTCTTCTGTCTGGTGGTGAGCGCGTCATCTTCTGGGCTGGGCTTCAGGGCACACTCGGTGCGCTCATTCCCTTCACATCACGCCGACAGCACAAGATGTTCCAGCAATTGGAGCTGCAGCTTCGGTCAGACGATAAACCGCTTTCTGGACGCGACCACCTCGCTTACCGCAGCTATTTCACTCCAGTCAAGAGCTTCATTGACGGCGATCTGGTCGAGCGCTTCTTAGTCCTGTCCCGGGACAAGCGAGAGAGTATCGCAGCGCAGTTGACAGGTGCGGAGTGGACACCTGGCATGATTGACGAGGCTATCTGGAACATGAGGGGTCTCTACGCTTTCTAGATGACGTGGGGATAGCCCCTTACCCCTCATTACTCTGTTGGACTACTTTTGGTAACATTGCCACTGCCGAATGAGAAGGCATATCCGTTTCCCATGCGCCGAGTTGGATGAGGAAAGAGCATGGGAGTAGCAGCCTGAAGCGGTGCAAATACAGTGATTGGAGAGGGAAACGCTGCAATTTGCTTGGAAGAGGGAAGGCATCCGGTGGGAAGGTCAGCAGGCATAAGCATTCATGTACGACTAAGACTTTCATCACATCGCTGGCGCAATATTGCGAGGTCAATAGTAATTCGTATCTCAGGCATTACTGTCTGCCATCAATAGAACCAGTTTGATACCCATCTCACCTGTTGGATACTCCCGTGCTCATATGATGATAGTGCGAAGATATATTTCTCATATACTACCGCTCCACAGTCAATCCAAACCCCGATATACGAGACAAATCCCCAACACAGTGACAACCACAACTCTACTTTCCCAGCAAAGAATAGTACCTACTACAAAAACATTCTCACCGCAAAGCAAAGCAAAGCACAGCAAAAAATCAGACCCCTAGTCCAAGCCCTAGCCCTGCCCTGCCCTCACGCATACGCGTCCCCCCTCCGGCACGGGTACGCCGTCCGCTCTAGGCCCGACGCGACGGGCACCCATCCAACCGGAGGCTTCAACGGCATTGATATGGTACGGTATGGTAACGGTTCGGCATGGTGCGACACGCGCCTCCTGCGCCCGAGGGAGGGAAGTGTTTCAGCGCGGCCTTCTAGATGTTCTTTGCATTGCGGCGTACCGTGGGCGTGGGTTCGACGCGTGTTGTGCCATGGGAAGGGGAGGGGGTTGTACGATGGGTTTCTACGAGGAGGGAGGGGGAGGGTATGAACTGAACTGGATCGGGGTGTGGGACTATCTAGGTAGGTATTTTTCAGGATTGTCTACCTCGCTACATGGCAAGATTATCTACTTGGCAGCATTTATCTACATAGCAAGATCTACTGGTGCACATGACGGGACATGACAGGAAAGCACATGAGATGGGCGGTATCTCATTTCACCACGCCATCTGCCAATATGCTACTTCTCTTTCTTGCGGCTTCTTCCCGCCATACACGGTAGATACTCTGGGGCGGGCTTGCAAACAGGTGGTCGGCTTTGTCTGGGCCTCAAGCGCCACCGTAGATCGCGCTGCTTCGCATGGTCCGCCTGGCAAGAAGCCTCACGACGAACTGATCTGCGAGGGTATCGAGGCGGGGCGAGAAGGTAAATCACGATGCGGTGTGTACCTGGACATGGTTTGCTGGCAGGAGAGTCAGAGGTAAATGAGACGAGAGGCGGCTGATGATCTGGGTTCTGGAGTGTAGCTAGACCAGCTCGATGGTGCGCGTTCGATGGGACATGGGGGGAGTGGATTTGGGGAAAAGGAGATTCCCGGTGCGAGGGTCGAGCGTTGAGGGTCGTTGGGTGGAGTGGAGTGGTTTTCCGAGCGAGTCGCGTGGGTTCACTTCAGAAGGGAGGGCGAGATCGTCCCTCCTTCCCCCCCTTTCGTTTTGACGTCTTTGTTGAGGGGTGGAGTGGGGTGGGAATCGAAGAGGGTCTTTGGGAAATGAGGTGCTAGATGTTAGGGAGGTGGCGTTGGAGCGTGCTCGTGGATAGGAGGGTTTTGGAGAGGTTTGATGATGGTTTGTGCGCTGTGAGATCTGTTTGCCCTGGGTTGGTGTTGAAGATAGGGAGTTAGGTGATGTTTCATGCATAGGTACCTGGTGCATGGGAGAGGTCGCTGGTTAGTTTAGTTCAGTTGGTAAGAGTGTTTGTTGAGGTGAGGGATCAGGTGTTGAGAATGGAGGGCGAGAAGATGTCTAAGTCTGCCTAACAAAGGTATGTCAAGACTTGGAATTGTGGCGTGTGTTCCCTATTTCGAAGAAAATACTACTCAGAGAGCGAGTGGCCAACTGCAAGCGGACATGGGTTGATGGAAAATGCCTAGGTATGACGGTTCTTGCCCAGTTAGATATTGTCCGTTATCCTGGTACATCAATCGGTTTTGCAGCAAGTATTGTACGAGTACCGAACATTCTTGTTCCAATGGCCATCATGCACTACGACTGATGGCCAATCACTGCTTCTCGATTGCCTTTAGCCCTGCTTAGCTAAGCCAATTGTACAAGAGGTACGCGCACGCCACAACAAAAACGTTTGCAAATCCTCAAAACGAGACGTCCGGCTCCCGAGGAAGTTCGGAAGATTGCCGTGCAGCATCCGTTGGGGCTTGACTCGTCAAAGTCAAGCATCCTCAAGCAAACCCATGTGGATCTTGCCCAAGATTCGTACAAAGAAACTTACGCGAAAATGCGGTCCTAACCGTAGTTGGCTGGGAGATGCCGGACCGGCAGTTGGTAGGTGACACGAAATGATGATGGGCGTTTCAAAAGTCTGGGTGCAAAGAATTACGCTTGTGTGAGAGATATCTTGTTGGATGCACGGACCTGATAGGTGATTATGAGATGTGAGAGCGCAACGGTGATTAGGCATGTTGAAAGTAAGTTTGCTGGTCAAGTTCTGCGTTGTGGTGTGCAAGGCGTAATGTGCAATAGTGACGACATGCATCCACTTGACGTGTAATTGGCATGGCAACATTACCTCCACTGGATCCTGTATCTACTCCGCATTGCTATGGGGAAGGGAGCAGAAGATCGGGCAAGTTCGGTGAACGAGGTGAAGCCGAGAAGGTGCTAAAGGTGAAGAAGTTGATGCTGTGTTGTCATATTCAGGCCGAGGCCGATTGCGCCATTCCTTTGAGATGCGACCCAAAGTACAGTCGTGGCCAAACTCGTGCAAGCTGCTCGCAAGGACGCCGGTGTAGAAAGCATCATTTGCCCAGGTCGAGCGGTCAAACAGGGAACGTGCTAGCGGCTTGCGCCCAAAGGGTGCAGCTTGGACGCACAGCCTCAGCTGTGGTTGGTGAGGGCTGATGCATTGGCGTTGGGGCGCCCGGCAGGATGATGCCGCCGTGTGCACGACGTGGATGACTGTTGCAACGGAGCAGGCCCGTCGAACGATGGCCAGGAGTGTCTTGAACGGTGTTGCAGTGATGGACAAACACCAGGATCGCAACCGTCAAGTCGCGAGATTAATCCGCCGCGAGCAGGCATGACCATCGATAGACAAACTGCCGGCACTACTTGCATGCATGGAGCTTGGGCTTTGAGGAACATGCCGAAAGAGGGCCCTTCCTATTTTGGTCGCGTCCAGTGGGAGCGAGTGCCTGGGATACTCCGCCTCAGTGAAACGCCTCCCTAACGTCGACTCGACGGGCCCAGCAAAAGGCCGTCTTTTCCCCAACATCATCCCCTCTCAGTCCCGCCCACATTCACACTCGCATCACACCTCACCACGCTCCGATCTTTTTATAATCCACGCCACCCGCACATCGTTCTGCCTTTTGGACGGCCAAAACAAAGCGTCGCATCTTGGAGCTAAGCCACGGCACCCGGCACCATCGGAAAAGCTGACGACGCCCCTTGGCAGCCTTCTCACCCCCAGGCGCCTACCCCAAAGACCACAACATCGTGGCTGCCTAAGGAACCCTTCGACACCAACAACTCTATGATGGCGACTGTACTGCCTGCGACGATCATGGCACCGTCATTCAACCGTCACGCTAGCCAATGCATCGATCCCGAACAAGACTTCTTTGACTTCAACGAGCTCGCCTCACCTGCACCTGCGCACCTCAAGCGCGAGTCGAGCGCCGTCTCGACCGCCACCAGCCCGGCCAACACGCTGCTCGACGAGGATCTCCAGACGCCTGCAAAGCCCAGCTACGAGTATGAGCGCTTCAAGCAGCAGACGGGCTACCCGTCTGGCTCCATCCCCGGCCTCAGCTCGGGCTACAACTCGGGCTTCACCATGTTCTCGTCCACCGGCTTGGATGAGATCAGCATGATGAACGACTCGAGCATCATGGACGGCGGGTGGAACAGCGGCCTCTCCGTCGACACTGCTATGCACATGGGCATGGACATCCAGCAACCCGCCTACTTCTACGCCAACGACGCGTCGCAGGACGACTTTGTCGACCCCAGCGTCATCACCCACGACGATGTGCCCCGTGTCCGCGTGTACCCCGGACACCATCAGCAGCAGGCCGCCAAGGCTCAGGCCCAGGCTCTTGCACAGCAGCAACGCCAGCAGCAGCAGCAGCAACAGCAGATGGCCCACCACCGACAGCAGTCGCAGCAACAGAACCGTCTCCAGCCCCAGCAGGTGAACAGGAAGACGTCGAGCCCTCTCAGCGACGCTCGTACCGAAGAGACCATCGCGCGCGTCGTTGCTCAGATCCGCCAGAACAGCCAGAACGCTGCTTTGGCCTCACAAGACGGTCAACAGAACCTCTTGCCTCACATCATCCGCGCAAAGAAGGATGAGGATGACATGGACGAGGATGAGAGGCTACTTGCCTCGGAGGAAGGAAAGAAGCTCAGCTCCAAGGAGCGCCGTCAGCTCCGTAACAAGGTCTCTGCTCGTGCCTTCCGTTCTAGGAGAAAGGGTCCGTACTGTCCATCCTTCACCCCAAACCCAGCTAACACCACATAGAATACATCGGTCAGCTTGAAGGCGAGATTGCTCAAAAGGTCCAAGAAGCAAACGAGCTCCGCACTCAGAACCTTGCTCTCATGGAGGAGAACACTCGCTCCCGTGCCTTCATCGAGCGTCTGCTCCGCCACCAGGCCTTCACCCCCTTCCTTGACGAGCTGTCCCGCGAAGAGGGTCTGCAACCCAAGGCGCCTTTGGCGTCTATGCCTTCGACCTCGACTCCTGTTGTCGCTGCTCCCACACCTGCTCCATTCCAACCCCAGCAGTTCGGTGGCATGCCGCGCTCTGAGAACACCCATGTTGGCATGACTCTCGTCCCCGAGACTCAGATCGACTTCTCCATGCTCAATATCAACCAGAACAGCAACAATGCCAACTGGGGCATGAACAACGGCTTCAACTTCCAGCAGCCGCGTGTCTACGCTGTTCTCGAGCTCCCAGAGGGCCCAGCCAACCCCCTCGATGTTGAGGCCATGTCTGGCAAGGGTTACAGCGCTCTCTTTGCTGCCGAGGACAACGCGTCTGTTGAGGAGACCAAGCCTGACTACCCTGTCATCGAGCGCCCTGCTCAATCTCAGATGCCCGCTGTCGCTGCTTCCAGTGTCGAGGAGGATGATGAGGACGATGAGTACGCTCTCTATCGCTCTTCGCCTGCCCCGTCTTCCGCCGCCTCGCTCGACAAGGTCTTTGGTACTATTGTTCCCGAGAAGGTCTTTGCGCACTTCGACCTCGTCGTCTCAGACGAGGCTGAGGAGGTACGGTCAATGGAGCTTCTCGAGAGGAGAATTTCGGCCATGGAACCCTGCTTCCAGAGGATAGCTGCGATGACGTCGATGCTTGATTTATAACCGCAATCATTACTGCCCATTTCCCTTGTCTTATCAACAAGAAATTCACCTATGTTGCCCCATAATAGGGCTTACTTTCTAGACTGCTTGTATGAATAACGATTTCCTTTGTCATATATATACCACGCTGGCCGTTGTGGCTTCAGCATGGCCGTTTGGGCGTCATCTATTGCTTGCTTTTTTGGCTACTTACACACTTTTCCTATGTTGGGGTTCCCAGACTGGCTGTTATGGCTTCAGTAGGGACATTGGGCGTTTTTGACTTATTATCTTGACATATTCGCTGTGTATATAGTGCTTTTTTGAAATAGTTTCTTGGTGTGGCATTCGAGCCTTGGTCACTTTTTGCGTGTAGAGGTTGTGGTGTTGGGGGGGTTTCAAATATACTTGTCCATCTTGGAAGACGATGATCTGTGTTTTTCGTGAGTGATGTGGGTAGGGTTGTGCTTTTTTCGTGTCTGGGGTTTGCTGTGGGGTGGGGTGTGGAGGTGGAGAGTGGGTCTTTGGGGAGAGACGGCTATCAAAAGGGTGGGTAGGTAAGTCAGTCAGTCAATTCATTGAAAAGTAAACGGTATATTGAAGGTATCATGCTAGGTAACACGTCGACCAGTTCGATCAGGGCATTCCATCCACGGGAACAGTAACGACAAAACAAACTACAACCCTCCCCCCAATGATGTCCATGATTCATCATCCAAACACCCAAAACGCCATACTCCTGTTGACACCTCACACTGCCTACTCCTTCGCTCTCCCCTCCCACTCCGCTACCGTCATCCCGCCTGAAAGCACGTTCCGCGCACTGGCGTGCTGCTGCTGCCATCGTGTGCGTGCGCCGTCGACGGCTGCCCCTTCTTGCGACGCGACGATGTATGTGTATGTGAAACCGGCGGCTGTGAGGGTGTGTGTTAGCTTTCGAGGGGTTTGTGAGGAGAGAGGGGGTGGAGTTTATGGAGGAGGGAACGTACCCATGAAGGCAGCGAAGCTGGGGAGGTAGGATTTGGGTGGTGCTGGCATATTGATTTGTGGATGGGTTGTTTTGTCGATGTGTGAGACGAATTGGTTGTGTGAATTTGGTTGATTGGTTGATTTATCGCTTTATCGATGTGCTGACTTGTTTTGTTTGCTTGCGTGTGAGGTGATTTGTAGTTGCGATATCGATGTCAAAGTAGATTTCACAGCGCGAGTGATTGATGTTGATCAACTGAGTGAATAGCAAACCCCCCAACCGCCCAAACAACCACATGATATATGTACACAGCTCCTCTCCCTCCGCGCCTCCCCCGCACCTCAATCACACACGGCCCTCGCCGACAAAAACGCATCCTCCAAGCCGTCAATTTTGCGTGAGCCCACCGTACCAAGACCCCGTGAACGTGCGAATTCGGCCCCGTCGTATGAGAATATTAAAACACTGCCCTGCGATTGGGCGGCTGAAAATGCGCAAGAGTGGTTTTGGTAATGTCTTGGAGTATATCGTGTGATGCGCTGCGCGCCTTGAGGGCTGGAATGGTGCTGGTGGCGAGATGGGGGCGTGTGGGGTGATGTGGAAGGATGTCGTACGATGGATTGTCGGCTCTTCGCTTGCGATGGACTGGTTGCCTGGTTTTTTCTTGGGATCGAGAAGACTGTTTTTGGATTTTGGAGATGAGGAGATGTTTTTTATCGGTTAGGCGTTCTTTATCTGGGAGGTCTGCGTCTCTAGGTTCTTTGTGGTGGACGTTCGGCTTTTCTTGATCTGACTGGTTTGTATCAACACGATGAATTGCGCCGAGAAGTGATAGAATCAGGAATAGGTGTCCACTGGTTTTCGTTTACATTAGTATACGCGTCTGATTTTGGGTCCAATTGGCCTGCTATAGAGATCTAAAGTTTGTATCTCAGAGCCAAACCTCCCCGTCGTCCACACACTTTCCTCCGTCTGAAGCCACTCGAGGCTCGAAATCATACCCAAGCGCTCTGAGTTCCTTGTTCTTACACATAACACAAACACAAGCTTTGATCAACACGAACTATCAGAAGGAACGATGCAATGGCAGACAATTGCTTTGGCGACACATCTTCAGTGATCGGCTCTTCGTCTATTCTCAGACTAATTCACTCGCAAACTAGACTTCTTAGAACTACAGTCAATCATACCTTCAAACAACACTTCGATCATTCGACGGCGAGAGTGTCATACACCTGTCGTTCTGCTAACCTTTCAAACTCCATCTTCCAGGTTACAGCAATGTATCATGTGGCGCTTGTCTCCCTTATCCTCAGACTCGTCCAGGCACACCACTCCATCATTACTGCACCCAACAAGCTCTTGCAGCAAACTGACCAAGACAACTGAGCATCTTGTAGATTTTTGTTGCGAACATGGGGTTTGTTGGATTGTTGTGTTTTGGCTGACACATTGATTTGGTCTAGTGTAGCACCGTGTTGCGTCGATAACGAAAGTCTCGTTAGTCTAGCTGTTCAACGTACAACAAAGTTGATCAACCGCGCTGTGGTTGTGACTCGGGCTCATCCGTCAAAAAACCATAAACTTCCTCTTCCTTTTCCCCCGCTGCCACATTGTCAGGCTCGCGTTCCACATTCCCAGATTCGCGCCCAACCTCATGCAAAACATCCTGCTCTCTCGCCTCGGCGAACTCCTGCTGTATGTCCACCTTTTGATTTCTGATAGAATCCCCCATCCGCTCCTCCTCCAATTCCAACCCCAACCCCTTCACGATACCAAAGAATTGTCGCTCTGCTCTTGTGCTTCCCGTGATTCCCCCCTGCGCCACGCCCTGCCCTCGCTCCACGTCCCTGACCACCAATCTCGCGGATTCCATATCACCTGCTTGCACCAGCGCCCTGACGGCCGCCGTGATAGCCTGCCAGCCAGGTTGCTTGCGATGCTTAGACATGCGCGTCAACACGCTCATCATTTTACCCACCTCGCCGAACTCTGCGTACCCCTCGATTGTGCGATCGAAAAGATATCTGTCACTCGGCATGCGGTGGCTTGTGAAGATTTGGTTGACGAGAGAGTCCACGGAAGAGATTAGGGGCGGGGAATGCTGGAAGTAGTAGGTTATGAGAGACGTGTAAACGTGTGCGCTTATGGCGATCTTTCGCGCTTCCATCGTGTCGATTATGGCACGGACTGCGGTGTAATTCGAGTACTGTTTCAGTAAGCGGTCGATAGCTGTGGCATAGACAAAGCCGTTAAGCTTCAGGCCGCTGGATTCAAGCTCATTCAGAAGACCGAGAATACGTTCTGTTTGCTGGGATTCGGACAGGCCGTCATAGGCGTTCCTGTCGAAGCCGGCGGTGATGAGCATAGTGTAGGTGGCAACGTCGCCGTCGATGCCTGCTTTATCCATTTGCCCGAGGACTCTGTAGGCGGTTTTGAAGTCTCCGGCACGGAGGTAAAGCTGCATGAGGCCATTGTATGTGCGGGCATCAGGCTTGATTTCGAAGTTGCTGGCCCAACGAAGAAGCTTTTGGACGTGTTCGATACGCGTCACAAGTCTCATACCTCCTCGATCGGGTAAAGGTAGCTGGACGAGAGCCGAGATGGCACCATTGACAACCTCAACGGAGGGCTTTGTGCAGTTGTTGACCGCCTTGGCGGATGCTGGAAGGTTCTGAACGGCTTTGCTTCTCTTTGAATGTGTCTGAGGAGTCTTGATGACCGCCTCGGCTGACAACCACTTGTTGCCCATATCATCGAGTGTCTTCATTGCCACGTTGAGTTGGCGTAGTGCCACCAAACCATGCACCCGAGTCGTCCAGGCGTAAGTATCAGGCTCGACCCCAGAGCTGAGCATGCGTGACCACATCGCGTTGAAGCCATCAAGATCTTTCGCCTTCTCGCAGCCTTCAAGAAGCGCCACCCATGTGGCCAGGTCAGGCTTGACGCCATGCGCGACCATATGATTCCACACTTGAACAGAGCGTTGTGCGCTCAGCAGGACCAAGTAGCCAGAAAGAAACGCATTATAGAGCCGTATTGGTATCTCAGGCTTTCCACTTTCTGTCACGTATCCTTTCTCAACCTGAGTCCAGAGACTATCTAGAGTTGCCGCAGAAGCTCGAGATTCGACCGCACGTTCTATTCTTTTTAAATGGAATTGTTCCAAGCTTGATTGTGGATCGCCATTGTTGCCCTCTTTTGGAGCGCCATGTGACCCGACATTGATCATGGCTCTCTGTGGGGCAAGGTTGATTTCTGCCATGATTTGTTTCTGCAATTCCTCAGAATATGATCCGAATTCTCTCGACGTCTGTGTGTGCTTGAAAACAGGGTTCACCTTGGAGCCCGCCAGGAGATGAGTTAGTAAGTTCATGAAGGGTGCGGCTTGTTCTTTCAGAGAGTCTGAGGCCTCGAGCGCTTCGGATAAGTTATACAGGTAGATGGCGCAGAAGCCCAACGTTGGGTTACCAATGTACTTAGGATGATACTCTTGTAGGCGAAGAGAGAAGTCTCTAGATTCATGCAATTCGTGGAAAGACTCGGAGGTCACCGATATTGGCCACTCAGTGCTGATGGTCTCCAGAGGATCGCTCTTCTGGCCTTTGCATTGGAAGAACAGTCGCCACACGGACAGCAGCTCGAACAGTAGGGAAGGCAGATCTCGCTGAAGCTCTGTGCTCAAGCCGTTAACCGCAATAGTGGCGTTATGTGTAAGGTAGGCCAGAGTCTGACGGGTCCAGTATTCGGGTCTGGCAATGCCCAACTGCTCGTACTTGAAGAGAACGGTGGTCGGGGTTACAGACGGCTCTGCGGTGCCAGTGCAGAAAGCCTTGTTGACAGTGCTGAGAAGGGTCAGGAAGAACCTGCCACTACGAAGCTCAGGAACATCGCTGAGAGACGGCTCCGTAAAGGCTTTGCAGTCGCTGGATGTATATGTTTTCTCGAACAAGCTCCAGGCCTCCCCCACATTTCCCTTTTTCAGTTGCTTTTCGATAGGCTTGATATAAGAAGTCCCCTGATCTCCCGCTTCCGTTGTATCCGACATGCGTTCGCTAGGGTCTCTTTTGATGAAAGATTGTTTGGCAGGCTGTTCGGTATTCTCAGAGGGCTCATCGATGTGTCTCGAATATCGACCAGTGCGCTGTGGGCTGTCGTTCCCTTGCAAGTGGGACGTGTACCGTATCCTCGGCTCATTCTGAGAGTGATCTGATGCGTTGTTCTGTTGAGTTTGGGGTTGCGCCGTGGTGTCTGCTGGTTCCGTGCCGTCTTGCGGCTGCTGGTTGCGCAGCGAGATGAACGTGGCTCGCGGTTGCCATTGGAGGTTTCGTGTGGGGGCAACGCGTCGTGCAAGTCGAACTCTGCACTGACGGCAAACGTACGAGCTTAGCATAGCGATCGATTGGCCTCGTGAGGTGTGGAGTGTGAAATCTGCATGACTGGTAAGCTCCCAATTTCGATTTGCGAAGACAACGCCTACTATTCGGAGACGCAACAGCGTAGCATTGCAAGCTACAGTCAAGTCTGCTTTGCCAGCCACTACTACAGTTGAACTATAACTACTGCGTAGCAATCAGTGCATGCTTCAATTCAAGCCTCACGCATGCGTGTTTTTGGCAAGTTCACGCATCGCATTGTCCAATAAGCGGCATGCGGAAGATGACGTAGCCACGTGACAACGTTCTCTTGGCGCTGTTTGTTTGCAAAGTTGTGACTCTCGTTTCATCTCCATTTATCTTCGCATATCATAAATCTGGTGAACTTTTGGATTTTCTTGTGTTTGTTGCCATCTATTGAACTATTTTTTGTTTCTCCTGTGAGACATAATGACAACATTCATTCCGAGAAATTCGTATTCAGAGCAGGAGCTCGAGACTCTATTCCCCAAGGAGCTTGAGCTACAACTAGTACAGATTGTGAGACGACCATTGTGCCTTCGACAGAGTTGCTGAGAAATCAATTCCACGTACTAACTGTGTCTACAGCTTCTACGCCACGGTTAGATACCCTGTTTCCAGCCACCGTTACACAACATTAACGTCTCCTTCCAGGCGAGCGAACACCCGTGTCACCTCGATTCCAAAATGTAAGGTTCCTCAGTCGACTTGATGTAAACAGCAATTAATCGTAGTGTAGGCCGGACTCAAACCATGTAAGAGTTAGCATACGATGTTGACGACTAGTTTCTTACACAAACCAAGATTGGCCGTACTGCAATGCTGCACGACAACTCGCAAGTGTCATAATGACTACCAAGGATCTCGACACACTCAAATACAATCGCAAATTAGAGACGTTCGGCACAGACGACGCCGCCGGTACGACGCATCACAACCTCTACCAACAATTCGTTGCCTGCTAACAATTTTCAGTATTGGCCACAGGCCCTGGTGGAGAGTACGACGCGATATGCCAGCCCGGGGAGCTCACCGACAAAGGTCGTCACACAACTCTCACTCTCGGTCTGCGCCTACGCCATCTCTACGTCGACCAGCTCCAGTTCATGCCCAAGATCCTTTCCGATGGCGACACGGTTTACCTTCGCGCCACACCCATGCCCAGAGCACTGGAATCCGTCCAACAGGCTTTCTATGGATTCTACCCACCATCTGCCCGGACCGAGAACTTCCCTGCCCCAACCATCATCACGCGGACACCTGCAGATGAGACGCTGTTCCCCAATGATGCAAACTGCAGACGCTTCTCCCAGCTCAGTCGCGCTTTTGCGCAACGTGCTGCTGACAACTGGAACGACACGGAGGACATGCAGTATCTGTCCAAGTTGTATTCGAAGTGGATGCCCGGTGAGGCTAAAGTGGCCGTGGACTCCCACCCCAGAATCTCAGGCATAATGGACACCATCAACGCGACTGATGCCCATGGTCCCGCGACAAAACTGCCCAAGGAATTTTACGACCCCAAGGCGCGCGCCATCATCGATAAGATCGCTGTAGAAGAGTGGTTCAAGGGCTACGCCGACTCCAGCGAGTACCGCATGCTCGGCGTCGGAGCACTAATGGGCGACATCACAGCACGCATGACCGCATCCGTCCACCGCAACGGCAAGCTGCTACCAGGCCGCAGCGACGAGGCAGACATCAAGCTCGCCCTCTCAGGCTGCCACGACACGACGCTCGCAGCAGCGCTAACCTCCCTCGGTGCCTTCGGAGAGGAAAAATGGCCCCCATTCACAAGCCACATCGCCTTCGAGCTCTTCCGCAAGCGCGGCGCCCCAACGCTAAGCAAAACTATACCCGCAGCCCAGCCCAAGAGCCAGAGCTGGTGGTCCTCTCTGTTCGGCAGCGCCAAGGCCGGCATCGCCCCGTCTGAGCCCGTGGCGAGGAAGCCGATCGCTGAACTCACCGAGGCGCAGAGGGATGAATTGAAGGAGTACTACGTCCGTGTGCGATACAATGACAAGATCATGCAGGTCCCTGCTTGTAAATCAGACGGCAAGCATTTGCAGGGCGATACCACGTTCTGCACGCTCGATGCGTTCAAATCTGTCGTGGATCAATACACGCCGAAGAGCTGGAAAGCCGCTTGCGGTTCAAATTTGGATGCTTCGGCCTTCCCTGTGAAGCCTGAGCCTGCTGGTCTGGAGTAAGGTGGGTGAAACGCATAGAGTATTTGCAGGGAGCAAGGCACAAAATCGTGGGATAGTAGTATCATCACATTCATAGAATATAACTGCAGGATCTGGTAGATATAGACAGGAGTAATTGAATTTATTCTGCTTTTATTTCACGCTCTATTCTGAGCCTTTCCTGTCCAAAGGGTGATTACTCTTTGTACGTCAGTACATCAAAGCCAGGGCTTCACACAAAGAAGTGTGTATAATCTAGAGTGAACGCTTCCGATGCCCTCCAATTCTCAATAAGACCCACCATCAGAAGCAGATGACACTGTAGTCCGTTTCATACCCAGGTTACGCAGCTGGGCGTAAGTAAGCCTGCCAACATAACAACCAGTCGAAAACCCCGCAACCCAGTAACGCAAGTCAAAGCAACCTTACCCAGTGTCATCAATTTCATAAAGAGGCCTGACTCTGCAACCTCAATCCCTCAAACGACGTAACGGCACCGTCGAGCTCTACAGCAGAAAAGATCAGCAAAAACGCATCACAGCAACGCAAACCAAGGCCAATCCACTAACTCGCAGAGTCATCTTGAGCAACGCGATCTTCACGCCGCACCTTCCCCGTGAACCTTCCCGTACCACCAGGCATAAGCCCGTCGAACTCCACCGCCCTTGCCTCCTCCGCATCATCCCAGCCAGTCCGTAGACTCCAAGCCGCGTTCAGCGTTGCGAGTTCCGTGAGATCAACCTCCTGTACGATGTCGCCGAGATGCGTCCACTTAGCAGTAAGCATCGCGGGGATAAGAGCGCTATGACGCTTCACGAAGAATGGATTACGGGTAACAGCCCCCAACGCGGTTGGGAACTCGATGGCGGACTGATCGAAGACTGCGTAGGGCAGTTTGGCGTAGCCGCAGGAGATGAATTCAATGGATTCGAGCGCGGTGCTGCGCTCCGAGTCGGCTTGCGAGTGGCTGGAGTTGAAGTCGGAAAGATTGGTGCCGGGAGAAATGATATCAATGACGTTTAACCAAGACCCTTCACGGGGCTGCGTTCGAAGAAGAGTCTGCGAGGCAGCAGGAGCCTGTGCGGGAGCCTGTGCGGGAGCTGCTTGAGCCGGAGGGGCTTGGATGTTATTCGCAAGTATGGGTAGAGGTTGTCCTGCGGCGAGAACTTGTTGCTGCATGTTGGAGACCTGCGTGGCCAAAGCAGCAACCTGGTTAACATTGACAAATGGCTGGGCTACTTGGTTTTGTGGACCTTGGTTCTGGCCCAGAGGTTGAAGTTGAGGTTGAGCTTGGGGCTGAACTTGTTGCAGGATCTGGAGCTGGATCTGGTTCTGAATCTGAACGACTTGCTGTTGCAACTGGTTCTGGAGGGCTGTGATCTGCTGTTGCTGCTGAATACCACCAGCGTTTGCTTGCAACTGCTGCAATTGTATGATGAGCGATTGAATGTAAACTTGTAGGAACTGCTGATGGTTCGGCAGATTTTGCGGCTGTACGTGGGCCTGTACTTGGGCTAAGGCTTGGACACCGCCGTTGTTGTTGAACACGTTCCAAAGTCCAGCCATGGGAACGTTGAGAGCCGCCCCAGCTTGACCGGCGTGATTTGCGTTGCCGTTGGCTCGCAGCATGGCGGTAAGAGATACCGAGTTCAAAACCAAATGCTTCAGACTATGCACGTCATGGATCTTGACAAACTGCAGTAGGGACGATGGTGTGATCCAACAATTCTTGAGAGTGAGCTGTGTCACATGCGGAAAGTGGAGAAGAGACGTGCGCAGTTTGTTTGGATCTTGCTCTGTGGCCATGTCCGATGCCGAAATTGAAGTTTGATCTGCATGAGAGTCCACTTCTATCAAAGGAGCAGGCAGTAACAACTTGTTTCTTGCGTGCAAGCCTTCAGCATGCTCTCCGCCACTTACCCAACCAATGGTCAGTTTGGTGATATTCGGACGACAAGCGACATGAGTCTTGAGCAGTTCGCAAAAGGAATCGATGCCCGAGCACGGATTAACCCCTGGTGTGTCTACGAAACCAGCCTCGTCTTTATGAACAGTTCGCCATCCAGGTATAACCATCAATGTGACATTACTGAGGCTCGGCAGAGTATCCCAGAAATCAGGACGATTTAGCATCAGGATATAGCGGTCGGAAAGACGCGATATGTTGAGTGTGTGTATCTGGTTGAAACTCGTTGGATTGTCGATTATGGAGAGCATGTATGAGGATAAGAAGGCTCGCTGAGCCCATTCAGTCTCTAGAAGCCACTCCTTTTGCGCTTTGGTAAGACTAGCCGGTATAATCGGGCTCAGAAGTTGGCCAGCGTCAGTTGGAGGTACAATCGATGAGAACAAAATGCCGGTGCTGGATGAAGATGGCGTTAGAACAAAACGGTCGAGGGCTTCTGGATCATCGAAGGAAACTGGGATTTGAATCTCCGTAGTGTCGTGAGGCGTCGCTTCGTGTATGAGATGGGGGTCCAAAAATGGCATGTCTGGCTGCTGCATAGCTAGTACGCTTGCGTCTTTGAGCTCACACAAAGGCCACGACCCATCCATTTTGTACAATGTAGCCAATCGAATATCTTTATCTGCACCCTGGTGGCACGCTTCCAGATGGTTCCAAAGCTCTCGTTGAGCTTGTGCTTGTCGATCTGGGACGTCTTTCGACGTACCGAAAACTTCTGGGGGTCGTTGCAGGATCCGTGCACGAATGGATCTGTCAGGGCCGTTGAGCCATCCGAGACCGCTGTCAATGGATAATGCAAGTTCTTTGACCTTGGAAAGCTCCTTGAAGGCTGTCTTCATGCGCGGAGTCTCATCAGCAGCAGACTCGAGCCCAGCGACAGCATCGAAACGTCGATAGTCTTCATAAGGCCAATCGTAGCTTCCCCAGAAGCTTGCCTTCTTCTCAGTAAGTGTTTTGTTGGGCGGCCGTGAGAGAGAGTCTTCGTTCACTTCGAAGCTCATCCCGTACTTCAGGATGTGTCTCCCGAACCCGCAAAACACATCCAAACCATGGCCGTCATACACCTCGTCCCCATTGGCGTTCTTCCATGAATATCCTGGTTTGTCGAGGCGAGCCCGCTTCTTGCCCTTCAGATCAAGCTTCTGTTCTGACCCGAGCATGCCATAAATCTCCGTGTTGAAGGGGACCACGACTGTCTTGAAGATGACTTGCGAGATGGACTGATTAAGTTCCTTGCTCACTAAGCGTAAGGATTTGATGTCATCACGATTCAAGTATTCTGCTATCAGTTCCATAAGCTCAACGGGCAATTCCCATTTAGGACGGCCAGCATGGGCATCTGGAAGGTCATCGTCTTTCTCATCCGCATGCATTGAGAGTTGCATCTTCTTCTTGAGATTCTTGGATGGACGTCGCTTGGACTTGGACTCTGTGGGCGCTGGGTAGTTCTTGTCGAGCAAAAAGTATTGTGCGGGTAACTTTGCCGAACTGCGGAAATTTGGCCATATATCATTTGCGTCCGGGTATGGAGTCGTGCCATGGTAGAGCATTGCAGCCACGGCACCTCGACCAATCAAGGTTTCGGGAATGTCCTTGCTGTCAGCGCTCTCGAATTTATCGCGTGAGCGTTTCATTGGGCCGGTCATGACGCGGTTTAGTGGCAGTGATGTGTCGTCTGACGAGTGGGCTACACCCACCCGCGCAAGGTCAAACTGGATGCCGTATTCCTCCCAGTCTTCGGGGGTGTAATCAAAACCAGGGCGCGGCCGTCGCGGTATTGGATCTGATCGACGTGCACCAGCAGCAGAAGTCCCGGGTGATGGCGGATAAACTGGCTGGCAGCTCTCTACGTATGTCTGTGCTTGCTCGTCGTCGTCAAGTGCTTCGTCCTCGGGAAGCCTTCTACCCAGTAGCTCGTCCTCCAACGCCAAAGAGAGGTCGTCTTCGAACGAGAACTGATACGACGGGTTCCTGTATGGGCGATAGCCTCCGCGCGGCCTTGGGCTGACTTGTGAGGGAGAGCCAACAGCCGAGTCGGGGCCCGCGTGCCAGTGAGCGCGAGCTGCAAGGCTCCTCCTCCGCGTGCGTCCGTGATGTGGCGTATCTAACGTCGGGACTGAGTTGGACGCCGGAAGTTGGACCCCGTGGTTGACGTAGTAGGGATGCACCACGCGCAGAGGAACGCTTGCTGGAGCAGTCGAGGCGTCAGATGGCGTGCGGCTGATACGACGTGCGCTAGGCTGCGGAAGCTGTGAAGAGAAGGTGAGCCCTTGCTGCACGAACACACGACTGTAGCCTGACGGACGTACCGATGTAGAAGCGTCTGCTGTCACTGGCTCATTGTCGCTTGTATCGCTCTCTGGCAACCGTTCCCGGTAGCTTCGCGACTTGCGACGGCGGGACGTTGATTGCTCTGGCGGCTGCTGCGCATCTAGTGTGTTGTCCATGATGCTAGATGGCTGTGGGATCTCTGGTGTGGTGAAGTGGAAAGGCTCTCAAGGTTTGGGCAAGCGGAGCGTTTGCGACAACCACAAGCAAGACGCTGGGGCGCGACTCTGGGCGTTTGTAGCTCTTGCTTTAAGTACTGCGGTGTACCGCGGTGTAGAAACCTTCAGCATCGGTGGTTGAGGTGAGCTGCAGCATGGACATGTCCTGACCAGTGACGAAAGTGGAGTGAGGCATCTTTGGAAGAGCCCCGCTTGAACCCACGGCATCTGCTGCGAACCTTCCCCAGATCTGCGGACGTGCGTCACAATTCGACGCCATCCAGGAACGCGTCCAGACCAATTATTTAGTGCTTCGCCTTGGTTCCGCGCTCTGCATTGCCTGCCGAGTAAGTACAGACTTTTGTTTATTGACGCGAGCTACAACCAATGTTTTCGCGTCGTGCTTATGTGTATCGTCCCTATCGCGATTGCCTTCCTATCCATCAGCTCTGCGCACGCAGCAACAACACAGGTTTCAGTGTACACTGAAGAGATCAATGTTTCTATAGATCAAAGCGGCACTCGAATGACTCAGATAGGTTGTGAACACAAGACAAATAGCCAACCTTACACTTGAGGAGCTGCAACATTCCATCTGTGGACGCCTGACGTCGATCAATAAGCACCCATGGTTCAGCGTGTCCCAGCCCATTAACCCCTCCAACCAACATGGCCGTTCCGCTCGCAGCACAAGGTGCATCGCCTCTAACAGCCATCCCGCGTGAACTGCGAGACGAGATACTCGGTTACCTTGCCCAGCCAAACTTCATCTTCACATCCAGTGCAAGTACAGACACGACCACTCTCTATCGCTCAAGGAAGACCCAAAAAGCCTTCATCGATACCCGCATCTACCTGCCTGCCCTACCCCCAGCAAACCTTCTAGCTGCAAGCAGGCAGCTACGCGAAGAATGCCTGGAACACCATGCCCATCTTCTCAACACACATCTACCCACAACAAGCTTGGGAGCACCAAGCGTGGAACGACCAAAGAGCAATACGCTTGCTGAAAGATTAGGTACCGAGTTTGACGAAGCGGCAGAGAGAGCGTGCGACACACCGAACGTGCTGCGCGTGACGCTGGATGTCCAGCGACAGCAGCGTGGCTCGACGGGGTATTATGTGCCATCTCGCGACGAACTTTCGCCTCAGTTCTTAGTGCTGCTACCGTTCATGAGTCGTGCAAAGAGGCTCAGACTTGTGGTTTGGCCTGGGTATGATTGGTGGAACGGGCCGTCGCAGAAGTCTTACCGGCTTGAGAGACGAAAGGAGGCTTCATCCAAACGTGTCACTACTGACCAGTTCGAGGAACATCAGCAGCAAAGTCAGCGGGAACAGAACGATACAGCAGGTCTTCCAAGCTCTAAGCCCGATGCAGTTTCCGTCGCGATTGCAAAGGTCCTGGACTGTTTACCCGTGGTTGAGGAACTGAGTATTGACGTTTTGATGGATGGGCGTAGCTTTGGAACATGGGACCTTCCAGATGTCAAATGGGAGAAAATTCAGTCTTGGCTGGATAGCCCTGTTGCTATCGGCGGACAACGAAAGCTGAAAAAAGTCACCAGGAAATTCTCTGGTGTATGGATAACACATAATCCGGAACCTTTCTACGAACAAGTCGAGACACTGGACAAGACATGGCATGTCAAAAGAAAGGGGGATATGCGCACAGTAAGTCGCATTGTCCAGCTTCCTTAGAAGAGGATTGCTAACATATCCAGCCTACGATGAGATCTCTAAGTGAGCCGGACCACCTTGAAATGCTGGGATTGCACACGGTTGACGAGTCTTTCGATCGAATTGACTAAAGTCTATCGCTTTGTATCATGGGAATTTAACGAGCGAATAATCAGCGTCTGTGATGCAAACCCAGTCTTCATTTACTTCTGAAACTCGGTCGTCTACAAAAAGAAGTGTAAGCTCCGGATATACGGGGCGTCAGTGCCTCTGACGCCAACGTTTATATTACCTTTTCAATCAAGCATCGGTCAGGTGCTCCACATTCCTAGTTTGGTGTGTGGGGTAATCACTTTATGAACTTCGGCCTTACAGCATTCAATTGACCTAACGCACTACGCGAAGACCTGTCATCGTGGTTGTTTTGACACAAAGGTACTGGACAGTGAAGATCGTGGCTTTGCACATCTATGCAGTAGATTTAGCACTGCATAAAACAATATATTCACTCGATTAAAAGCCACCAAACAACTCACAGCCATGCAGTGCGTTTCGAAACGTCCATACTATACACCAATCTCCGAATGCTCGAGTGTCTGCGTTGAACGGAGTGTCGCTTGATTCGATTAGACTCACTGACTCGTAAAAACATCCGTGATGGTAAGGGTCGACTAGCATCTTAATTTCTCCGGCCCCTCTTCTCATCTATCTATGATAAATCGTAGTCAAGCATTCGGGGTATATATATAATTCTTGTTTCCCTTCCAAATCTCATCATCCACAATCCAAACTCAACTTTCCATCCAACATCTCTACACTGTCATCCACAGCTACTACCTTCTTACTGTCATTACCATGAAGCTCGCTACCCTCTTCTCCCTTGCCAGCACGGCTTCCCTCGTCCTCGCTACACCCACTCCCACGGTTCAGAAGCGTGCCGACTACTGCGGCCAATGGGACTCCGCTGTCACCGGTGCTTACACCGTCTACAACAACCTCTGGGGCAGTGCCCAAGCCACTTCAGGCTCGCAATGCACCGGTGTTGACGGCCTCAGCGGCACAACACTGAAATGGCACACCAAGTGGTCATGGACAGGCGGTGCCGGCCACGTCAAGTCCTACGCCAACGTCGTGACCAAGATTTCCCAGAAGTCCCTCTCATCCATCAAGTCCCTCAAGTCGACATGGAAGTGGGGCCTGACGGGCACCTCGCTGGTCGCAAACGTCAGCTACGACCTCTTCACCGGTCCCCAGGCCACCGGCAACGCTGACAACGAGATCATGATCTGGGTTGCTGCCCTCGGCGGCGCTGGCCCCATCTCCTCCACCGGAAGCCCCATCGCTACCGTCACCCTTGCGGGAACCAGCTGGAAGCTCTACTACGGCCTCAACAGCTCCACCAAGGTGTGGAGCTTCGTCGCCAGCAGCCAGGTCACCAACTTCTCCGGCGATCTCATGGACTTCGTCAACTACCTGTCCACCAACCAGGGTCTCAGCAAGAGCCAGATCCTGCAGAGCGTCGGTGCCGGTACCGAGCCCTTCAGCGGATCCAACGCCGTGCTCACCACCACTGGATACACCATGGTCCAGGCTTAGATTGTTTCTCGTTGTATGGAAGTTATTGTAGGGGAGGTCTAGTGTCACAATGTATGATATAGATGGAGAGCTTAAAGAATGGAAATCGTTGAACAAAAAACTTTGCATTTACCTCGTTGCTGAACATTGCCAACTGTCTGTGGTGTATCCTCGCATTGACGTACACATTTCACCGCAACCCCCTACATCAGCGTCATGATAAACCTGAAACCCACTACTCGTGACCCCCTTCCCCTAGTTGAAACCAGCAGCTAAAAAATGTATAATACGGAGCAATATATGTATACGGGAATACACCGCCCACTAACCAGATACTCTCCGTTGACTGTTTTGCTAATCACTAGGTCTGACCGTATTCCCGGATGCTTATATTGCTGTAAGGCCGACCCGCTTCCTTTGTACAGGCCTGACGTCCATGACACGCGCGGGATGGACCGCCGTTGCTTGTTTTCCAGAACGGCAGTCTAGAACATCATCGGTGTTCTAGCGTCGCTTCAGACATCCATGGTTGAGGTTGTCATAGTACACGCCCTAAGATTTCACAGTGATATCAGTCTTCAAAACAAAGAGTTCGTCCGCCCCCTCCCTGTGCCTTCGCATCTTTCCACGCCGAGTCTCGCCAGGCGGTCAGCTAGTTCTTGCAGTCCCGACCCGTTGCGACCAGCAAAAAGCACACGTGCAGCGTTTCAAACCGAGCGAGGGCTTGTGCGAGCAATTCGCCGACGCTTGCAGAATAGCGGCACCGGTAACGGACGGGGGCGCGATTAGGATCTGGATCATGGAAGCTAAAGCACCTTCCACTTCGGTATTCCAGAAGGACCGAAACCACGTATTTTGGAAGGTCGGTGATTGTACTTGTGAAGATGGCGTGTTTGGGATCTGGTATGTGGTGTGGTGCTGTCGTCTTGGGTGGGTTAGCGTTGCCGATAAGGCTGTGGGAAATCTCCGAAGTGCATGGCCGGGCCTTTTTTGTGCTTGAATCGTAGATCGCGTCAGTGCGGAGGATTGCATGACGTCAGGGGTAGTGGGCAGTGTTTTATGCGGCTGTGTATCACGACATGCTCGACCGATTGTTTCCATTGTTTCTGGATAATTGACAATGCTCGTTCTCCTTTTCCGTCTTTGGCTGTTTTCGCCGTTAATACTTCATGAGTACTTCTGGAACTTTGGAGGCAAATTGATCTTACCACCTTCCTCCTTGCGAGGCAGACTGTCTAGGAGCGAACGGTGACAGGAAACATAAACAAAGGCTCAAAACAACGGTGAACGAGTACAAGAAGTACAATGACAAGGCTCGATGCCGTCCCGGTAGCTGAAATGATTGAAATTTCGTAATTCGCAAAATCCTCATTTCTTCAAAAGATTTCTGAACAAAGGTATTAAACACTGAGCCGAGTAGAAAGTTTGTTCAAAACTCGTCGCCTTTATACTTCGATATGACCAGGCAAATTACCTAAAGATTTACATTTACAACCTCCAACGCTGTGGCTCCTAGACAGCTTAAGCCATGGTCTCGATAATTTCATATCGACGATATCACCGGTACACACCTCCCATTGATAGTTGCGACGCTGGTAACTCTATCGGGGCTTGGTGAGCAGGTAGTTCATTGGAGTCATAATACTGCGCCGGCCTTCCATCTGTCTCATATATGGTCTGATCTGAATCCAGTTGGTGCTTCATAGGTACTTCTTCATACGTTATTGGAGAAGTCGATCGCTCATCATTGCGCTTCCTTCGCAGGAAAAACCAGGCTAGAAAGGCAAGTATCCCGATCGCAGCTACGCCTGCGACTGCGCCTCCTGCAATGGCACCAACTGAAGTCAAAGGTTTATCTAGGAATGGCGAACTTGTCGATATTGCGGTAGCGGATGTGGAGGCCGGCGAGGATGAAGTAGAAGGGGCAGAAGACGATGCAGAAGAAGACGACGTAGTCACAGCTTCTATACTGTATCGTCAGTAAGAAGTTCAAAGAGTGCCCGAAACACGACACCATACCTTGCCCCACGCTAACAGTAGGCAGGAATATGACCTCCTTCTCGACTACCGCTCCCGGCGAAGCGCAGCCATTCGTATTCTAACGATTATATCCCGGTAACTCAGGCTGGCAGCAAAAGTACCCTCCATTGTCGAACAAATCCCATGTCGCGTTTGCGCATTTTGGCTGCGGTATCAGCGCCTCTGTGCAATTCGATCCGGACGGACAGCAGGCGAGATTGTATTGTGAGGGACACTCATAGCCATTTGGACAGCAGCCACGGAATGGCACGCGTGTAGGCCCGCAGTCGGTCTCAAGGCCTGCAAGACAGGAACCGTTTCGACGGATGGCCCAACCTTGATCCGTTGACATTTTTTTGAAAAGAAGATGGGGACAAAGTAGGCAACCTTCAGCCTTGTAGGTAGATCTTTTTGAGAGAAACTACATATAGGGTTGCCTGGTGGAGATTACTAGCTAGACGCCTGGGACATCGTGACGGCTCAGCGGGAGGCCTGGAGATCTAGTTGTCAAACTAGAAGCTGAGCCTTCAAGCTTGTGGAACCAAACACAATGTGGTACTAATCAATAATCCCAAGACCGGACTGTTACCATAGTGTCTGGTGACACAACGCAACACCAATCAGATAACAAGATTTAGGCTGCTGAGCATTTGAGCAATATTTATAAGATGCTTCTTTTGCACCTGATTGGGATTGATCATGCTAACTTGGGCCTGATGTGGCGTTTTCCTACCATTTCTTACCATATGCCATATAATCCATGTCAATCTGTTTGTACCTTGCAGGGGAACAAAACCGACCACTCGTGGGATGATTTGCTTCGGTACTGCTGTACGGCACCAGACAGCCTTTTCTTCAACGTCCTTCGATACTAGTTTTGGAAGGCTATAAGAATGTTATGCGGCTTAAGAAAGGCTGATGTTGGAGGGGATGGAACTGATGCACAGCTTGATGATCTGCGAAAAGAAAGGCTGGGCTGAGAGTTCAAGCAACCGTAAAAGCTGACAAAGGAATAAGGAAATTATTGTGTATTGACTCGCTGCAGGTGTACTCTTACTATTAAAGAAGGCGGTAAACAAAGGAGAAGGTTGTAGAAGTAGAGAATGTGCGTTAGCGACTGGAGTTGAAACTGTCCTACTTCGGTTCGTACATATTGTCATTTGAGATTTTTGTTGGTGGTTATGTAGGCCGTGGAAATCGCAGACATGCAAGTTGCTACCGTGCCGACAGTTAACAATCCACTCTGTGAACACTCTGAAACTTCACGCAGAGCCATTTGACTTGCTGAGAGATTGTGTGAAGAGTTGAAGTGTCGGTAGTCGCAGTGACTGAAAAGGGGAAGGAGCGACACAGCCACAACCTCCGCATTGGCCACACACGATCGTACTTGCATCTGGGACACTCTTCGATTCCTCCCATCATCCACCAACCCAGCGAGTCACGATTCAATAGTTTCACTATGTTCTGGCCATATCCATGAAGAAACACGCTTTGACAAACCACAAAATCATATAACCATGTCGGACGACAGCGACCCATTAGTCATTGCCTCAAGTGGCGATCTCATCCTCGATGTGGCCCACGAGGAGAACAGCCAACGTTTCTCATATCGCGTGGACTCGAAGATACTCCAGCAGAACTCGCGCTACTTTGAGAACTTGCTTAGTGAACGGTTCAGCGAGGGACAGCGGCTGTCGGCAGCACTGGAAGCATTGAAGTTGGGCGGACATTCTGACATCACAGATGCGCCTGCAGAGGTGCTCCCCCACGTAACCATTATCCACGTCGGGAGGATCGCAATCTCGAAAGCCTCCTCAATACAACCCCTCATCGCGGACTTCCTCCGCGCGATCCATGGCCTCGACCTCCCCGTAGCCTATCCACCCGTGGCCAACCTTGCCAATCTCGCCGTCGTAGCCGACCGCTTCGATGCGGTCGCGTGCCTCTCCAAGTACGTGCAGAGGAGGAAATACTTGAACCTGAACGATGCGAAGTCAAAGGGCAAGTCGAGTCCGGCTCTCACAGAGGAGAGGGTACGGCAGAAGCTCTTGATTGGGCTGCTGTTTGACCATCCTTCGTGGGTGACCAAGTACTCGAAGCACCTTATAATGCGCGATTCGGGACAATGGAGGCCCGGGGTCGAAGAGGATCACACCAAAGCTTTGTGGTGGGACATACCGAATGGGGTCGAGGACGAGATGATCCAGCGGCGCGAGTACATACTAGAGACCATCAATTCTCTACAGGCACACTTTCTCAAGCTATATACGTCAGGCGAACGGCAGTGCAAACTTGGCTACGACACGTCGCTGCAGTGCGACTCGTTCCAGCTTGGAGAGATGATTCGGTTCTTCACCAAGATTGACACGCTGCGTATGCAGGGCAAGATCTACGATAACACGGAGCCTACATACTATCTTGGCGATATCGACCGTCTGCTCATGTCCCTTCGGCAAAGCTCCAACTACCAAGTCGACAGCAATCATTCGCATTGCGGCTTGCGATCACGTTTTTTGCCTCTCGTCGACCAAATACAGAATCAGCTCAGCCTCGATACTGGAAGTCTGGACATTGGCATTTGTGCGGACTGTTGGACCCACCACCGACCAGAGTATGCCTGGTATATGGCGAAGCGACCGGTCCTGTGGACTAGTCGAACGCTAGGGAACGGCTGTCTGCGAAAAGGCCACCAGCGGACGCCGAGCAGCTGCCTGAGTAAGCACCTTGCAGTGAGGGATTTGTTCATGGCTGTAGAGAAGAATTGGACAGCCAGGGACATCTATTGAGACGCGTTTAGGTAGACACAGTTTTGACGGCAACTTGTGTGCCTCAGTCTTCACGGTTGTACCGACACCTTTCGCAGCCTTACGCACAGCCCTACGCCAGCAGAAACGGCTCGCGCGCTTGGACTATCAAAGTGTGAAGAGCTAGTGAGATTGTGTACCACATTCCTTCAAATATCAGGCGCATGGAAAGAAAGGGTAGTTCTGCCTTCGATTGTGCCTTGGACGCTTTGTAGTGATGGAATGGAAGTTCGGTTTCGTCAATTTGGCGGGGTCGACTGTGGCCGCTTCCGGCTGCAGGGTACCAGGAAATGGTTCCTACAAACCATGCAATGGTTCGGTTGGAGTTGATTATGTCGCAATCGAGAAGCAAGGATGTATGGCTTACTAGGTGGGGCTGAGTCTACAACCAAGTATTGAGGCGGAGTGATAGTCTCTGGGCAAGAACATCAAGGCGCAATTATTATTTTATTCACGACATCATTCGCCGAGATTTCTTTGATAATACGCTATGTTACTCATACCTCGTACAAGGCAGAATAGTAGGCTCATCTTAGATACATTGTACGTAGAAGGCCTGATCAAAGTCATGTGGGTATAAAAGCTACAGCGAACCATGGGACATCTCACTTGATACTGTAATATGCTCACGAGAGCTTTCACGCTGGATCCGTGTTTGCATTGCCCGTACTAGGTTCAATAAAAGATTGTTTGCTATTTCCCGCTTCAATGTCCTTTCCTCTTACCACACCTCATCTCGACAACGCATACTCAAACGACACCGACCCTCCACTAAAACCTCGAGGCTCTACGAAAAGACGTTGCAAATATTGATCTAGGAGTCTAACATGTTCAGCGGCCTCAAGAGAAAGCTCACTAAACGCTCAGCGAACTCGACGAGTGACGCAACTACGAGGAGCGTGAACACGACTGCCACTTCACCTACAGGTTCGAAAAGTAGAGGTCTTGGTTCTGCGTCTTCTCCAAACAGCAATCCCTTTGCTTCATCGTCACCTGCTACACGAAGACCACGTATGTAGAGCGAGCGAAACTCCTGAATGTGCGTCGGCATGACCGTAACACTGCTAATTCCTCCATAGATAGCTCAACTATGAATCCCTTTGGCTCTCCCAGCGATGCCCCTCCTGCCTACACTTCCGATGCCGGCCTGCAGCCTGCCATGGGCGCATATCGCCCCGCCTCCACCGCTTCCTCCGCAGTCGACGACCCCTATGCCTTCCTCAAAACCTTTGATACGATTTTCCTAATCGACGACTCAGGCTCTATGGCTGGTCGATCCTGGCACGAAACCGAAACCGCTCTTGAGACCATCACGCCAATATGCACCGCCCGCGACGCCGATGGAATTGACCTGTACTTCTTCAACCACCCAGATTCCCCGCTATACAAGAACGTCACATCTGCATCGACGATAATTGAGATCTTCCAGAGCGTGCAGCCGAGCGGGGCGACGCCGACAGGCCAGCGTCTCAACCAGATCATGAAGCCATACTTGAAGGAGTACGAGAAGAACCCCGAGACTACGAAACCCATCAATATCATCGTCATCACGGACGGGGAGCCAACTGATGATGTTGAGTCTCCGATCATATCTGCTGCGAAGAAATTAGATAAATTGGAGGCACCGGCTTGGCAGGTGGGCATTCAGTTCTTTCAGGTGGGCAAGGAGATTGGCGCGCGGGAGCACCTCAAGCAGCTTGATGATGGGCTGAAAGAGATCTCTGGCGATGACGAGTTGAGGGATATTGTGGATACGGTGCCGTTCACTGGGGAGGGTGATGCGGAGCTGACAGCCGTGGGTATTATGAAGGTAAGTAACTGATTGGAAGATCCTATCACGACCACATCACTAAAACGTGTCACAGGTTGTACTTGGAAGTGTGAATCGGCGATTGGATCGTAACTCGAAGGAGGTGCATCGAAAAGCGTGAGGGTTTCAGTCCGGGTGCAAATACGTTTGGCGTTCACAGGGTGGTCAAGGGAGGCACTATTGTTTTCCATTCCCAGCACGGCGTTGGCGGCAAACTAGTTTAGACGTCTCGATTATCTTTCCTAATAGATTACGTTGCTGAACACCGGGTATCATCGCTCCTCAAACTCTATGTTAATAGCACAGTCTGGATGGCTTCACATCCATATTACCCCCCAAAACCCCCTCGTGATAATGTAGCCTGGAGGTCTCCAGCCCCCAATCTCCTGCCCCCCTCAAATCTCCATCCTCATCCAGTCGTCCCCCACAATACTCTTCCCCGCCCTCGTCTCGAAGAACAGCCTCTGCGCCGCTTGCCGCTCCCGGAGACTCAACCGGCGTTTCCGCAGCTTGCCCTTGAAATCCCTGGTGTAGGAAAACTTTTGCTCGCCCTGAAGAGAGTTAGCTGTTGTCTTTCTAATATCTCGGGAGGGAAAAAGGGGACTGGTAGAGAGAAACCCGAAGAGAAGAAATCATAAGACGGAAATGTAACTTACAATTATCGCCCAGATGAACTGCTCCTGCGGGTTCATCGCCTTGTAGTACGCTGGCTTTGCGACGGGAGGAGACGTCATCCAGCGGATTTGTAGCATTTTTTCCGAAGCCTGAGTGTGTTTTTGGCTTGGAACAGTGGTGTTGTGGCGGAGACAACGGTGGGTGCGCTGGATGTGGGATGGTGATGGAGATTGAATTTGGCAGGAGAATAGAGAGGCGAGTTAAGTTTTTATATTCTAGTGCGAATTTGTGTGTTCGGGGTTTGCATCGAGGGGATTCTGGGATCCAGTGGTAGCGAGCCAGAAATGGCCTTTGGGGACCATTGAACCACAGTTGACCATATATTTTGCGGCGATCTTACATCATGGTACTAGTTGCTTTGATTAGTCTTTCGCATATTTTTGGTTTGAAGGGTGGTACTCGGGTCTTGGTGACTAAAAGTTTACATTTGCTTGTTGCCTGGTTGGTTGAAAGTATATGGAGGTGTACTGTGTGTGGTGGTAGAATTCGGTACTGATCACAAGGGGCAAAAGATTATGACAAGAGGTACTCACCAAGAGTACAGCCGACTTGCAAGTGCTCAGTCAGCCTCGCCGTGTTCTCCATTCCTCGATCGAAACCACATCACCACGTGTTTACGCCATCACTTGCAATGTTTTTGAATGATATGATGATTCCTTTGTTCAGGAGAAAGTGTATCCTTCTGGATTCCTTGTGTTGTATATACGCCTTTTTCCTTTCCCAGACTGTTTCCCAGTCATGACCTGAGTGACGCGGATGATGAACCCAAGCCCTCCCCCCAAATGTTGTAACCATAAAGACGAGTTGCAGGGCAAATGCACACTGCAGAGCTCGCGTCACCCAAGGTGTGACAATGCGAAAAGTGACAGGTACCAAGTCACAAAGTGTAACCTGGACCCCATAAAGAAAAGAACAAAGAGTTCGCGTCCATGCGCGAATAAACCAGAGAAGAGAAAAAATTGTTAACGAGAGAAAAGAAGGGGTATGTAACAAAAACGCAAATGTGTGGCACCATGCCGATGCTCCATAGATCATGCGAGCAGCATCAAGCTAACTCGTTACGCCACCCTAGTACATGTCACATTCCATCATCTTAATAGGGTACTCGCCCTTGCCATCGACAACACCGCAAGAGAAATCCCAACCGATTTCGAAGGTGTCACTCTCCGGGTTCCTTGCCTTAGCGCTAGGAGCGCAGTCGGCGTCGGAGGTGAAGTATGAGACCTCCATGGAAGGCGCGGAGTCCCAGTCGCAGCCAGAGACGCGCTTCTGGAGCGAGCGCCTGTGCATACGAAGGGCCTTGCGCTCAACGGACGCACGGGTAGTTTCAGATGAATCGCAAGAGTTGCAAACGCAGCTGGCGGAGAGGGAGTCTTCTTGGCCACCACGGCACTCGCACTTGCAGCCATCCACGATAGACCACTTGGAACGCTTTTGCTTGTTTTGGGACTGGTCCCAGGATGATGTTGGGCGCGGTCGGTGACTGCGGGATGCACGGGTAGTCGTAGCTGACTCCTCCTCTTCCTCCTCTTCAGGGGCCGCAGTAGGTTCGGTGACATAAGAGGTGACGACTTGTGTAACAGTCACGACCGGAGTATCCTCATCTGGCACAGTGGGGGCATCCGCTGACTGAGTAGGTTCTTCAGGCGCTGTGTAAACAGCTGACGTCTTCGAGGGCTCCTGGGACTGGACTGCTGATGTCTCTGAGGGCGTTTGAGACTGGACTGGGCTACTGCTGCCAGAGCCAGCACCGATCTTGACCTTGGAACATCCCATGAAAGACTCATGCTCACGGTTCAACCAGATCCATCCGAACAAAGCGTCGCCCTCAGGCATGCCAGTAGGAACCTTGAAGTCGAAGGTCTGCACGTCAGGAGATCCGTCCAAGCCGTGGGGGCAGTTGCCGTTGTATGAAGCAGCAACCTTCCAGGTATCGCCTCTATCAGTAGAGAACCCAACTTGACATGAGCCGCCGGAGTGAGTTCCACCGGGTGCTACGGGATCGTACGTGTAGTCGGACATCTGCCAGTAGGCATCTTGACCGGCCTCCCAGGTGACTTGGGCTTCCTCGGTGTCGTAGAGGTCAAGATGACCACGGCAAAGGCCGGGGCTGGGCGCGATGTGCTGATCGTCGCAGCATCCAAGGGGGAAGTTGAACTCCAGGTCGACAGTCGTGGTCAAAGGGTTCGCCTCCTTTGCTCCACCAAGAGGCGGTGGGTACCAGAGCGACATGTGAGCTTGAGCTACGCCAGCCAGGGCGAGCAGAGAGAATGCGTTCGTGTACATTTTGATGGTAAAGAGTGCGTGATTGTTCAAGAGATTTTTGGGTATCAAGCAAGAGATGGAAAAACCTTAAGTACGAAAGATTGTGAATGAAGGACGTCTCTTGTGTGCACAATTCAGTCAGTTGACGATGTCGTTGAAGTCGATTCACAACGTAAAGCAAGGTTGTGTAAAGGCGTAAGGACTGATACAGCGGTAAGGGAGCTGAAAGAAGGAAAGCGACCCTGCGCTTTCGAACACAAAGGAGTGAATGTAGAACGTAGAAGGGAAAAAGACGAAGGCTAGCTTGTCACGAGAGAATGTGTGCCACGGAAAGTGATGCCTGGTCCCATATGAGCGGCATGCTGCTTATAAGCTGTCTCCAGATGAAGGCTCTAAGACATTCCGACGGCCTTGACAGCGTCTCCGTGTCAGTTCGTCTAGAACCAGCGCCCAAAGGCCGTTGTGCGACCCGCGTGGTGCTGTGCCTCTAGCGGTAGGTCCGGAAGTGCGGCCCCTAGATTGAGCCACGACCAATATCAGCGAAGAACGCCTTCGTACCTGCAGGGACGGACTCGGGCGCCGTGTTTCGAAACGGGCGAGACGCGGGTATGTGGCGGCTCGAGGCACTTGTAGTCATCTTCTCTGTCTTCTTGGCCAGCCACTCTCTATGTGTTTCAACCCTTACGCTTTTAGGTCTGGATCGGCGCCTGACTCTCACGCATGTCATCAAGCGACACTGCATCAACCTCATCTGGAGATCCTCCGTCCTTTTCTCGCTTTGGAAAGACCAGCAAAGAACAAAAAAACGGCCTGTTTGATCGCCGGGAAATCCAGCTTTGTCAACGCTAGTTTTCCTTACGTTCCGAGCGTGGCTGTCAAATTTGTAGAGTACTTCATAGCCGGGTGTGATATCGATAAGCCGTGACCCACTTATATATCCTCCACTTGTGTGGAGACAGCTACGCATCTTCGTCGCCTGAATACCTCATCTGCTAAAGACACTTCGGACCGCGGTTACATCTCCAAAGTAACATCGTCGCTTAAGTTGGGCATCGCTCCACACGCCAGGGGTCAAGTTCTTACCCCTCCAATGCCGAATGCACCCTTCTCCATCAAGACCTTGATGTAGTAATGTCGAGCAATACACGAACATGCCACATCTGCATGGGCAGAGCTGAGGGTGGCTGCCGTTTCCCTCCCTGCCCACGGCTGCAGGGGGGGTTTCAGGGAACTTCTTTCACCAAACGCCCGTCCGCCACCAAGACATAACGTTGCCTCGCCTCTAAGCTCAGCGAGTAGTATGCTTTCTCTTAGCTAACACACTTAATCACAAAAGCCATCAACTTTGAAGACAAACGGCACAGTAATAGAGTTCATTTCAAAACATGGCTTACTTGGCTCTAACCGGCTCCCCATCTCCACTCTGGTTTGTCGAAAGAGTTCCGCGGGACAACTTCACGTTATGTATATTTTCCATGAAAATGCGACGTTTAATCTACAGCTTTCTAGATGCTCTTTAAGCGCTTTCTATTCAAAACACTGAGCAATGCCTAGATGGAGCCATTTCTATCATTCGTCATTACTCTGGATCAGACTTACATTCCTCACATTAAACAACTTCTCATCTACCCACACTTTACAACTCTCCTACCATACACCGAAACATCGTCTCCGCCCAATCTACTATCAGCTCTTATTTCCCCAATTTGCCACAACCAGCACATCCATGACCTACGCCTCCGCATCCTAGAACAGCCCTACAGACTGCCAAGCATCCAACCGCCCGAATCGAACGAGAGCGTTTCACCCGGCTACCCACCTAAGCCTTCTATAGGCAGCCCTTGGTTGCACGTGCCCCCATCTAGAACGCCAAATTTGTGACAGGGAGGCATACCCTTGCTGTCGCTCTGGCGGATGATCGGATCCTCAAATCCAGAGATCTTTGGGTCTTCGGTTAGATTTTCGAGACATGACATACCAGGTATCTTTGGTCAGGGGGCGTAGAATCAAGGGCTGGTCGGTGTGATGACAAACTTTGGTATTTTGTGGGGTGCGTATATGTGCGCCTCCCCCTTGATTTTGTGTCAGTTCTTTGGTTGGGAGATTTGCTCAGCGTCTTCTGCACGTTCGTTCGCTGGCTTTTGGAAATTGTGAAAGACCTTCATTTGCATACACTTCAGGTGGCTTGCCTTGCTGCTGGAAGAGGACCGCGCGCTGTCTTTTTACTATTGTGTGTTATTCTCGACTTGTCATCGCGACAGTGAGGCTTGCGACACGACTTTCCGATAATCGCGCACAGGTCGGTACCCGAAAAGACGACCAAACCCATCGTTGCGACTAGTCTGATTCATATGAGAATTTGTACTCACTTCTCGTCCATGATCCTAACAGTCGCTTCTCTTCCCCACCATTTCATATCTCGTTTCCAGAGTCCTCCATCTGCCATCATCTGTCTCGCGATGGACAAAGCAGTACAATCAACCACCAAGTCGTGTTTAAAGGCCTCCTCGATTACATGAAAAAGCTAAACAAAAACATCGTCATCTGGATTTCACTTGCGTCATGACGAGCGGTTGATACTCCTGGGAGAGTTAGTTCAATGCTCCAATTGCTGCTTAGCAGACTGAATACTACATTAATTGTATTCTTCTGTTGCGTCGTCCATGGTATAGATTCACAGTCACGGATTGGACTAATGGATTTATAAGGGTCTCACTTTCGTGCTATGTATCGAAGTCCTTCATGCTTTTAGGCAATGTTTCATTCTTTTCTCGATTGTTTATCTTGGAGAAGGTCAAGTTCAAGCCTACATCCACGCTCTTGTTACAAACCTGACGACCTGGAAGTGACATTACGCGCGACATCGGCGTCGGAGCTTGCCCATATACAGGACGAGCGAAATCGGTGTTTCCAGTCAACAAAGTTCATAGTTTGCAAAAGACGTAACTGAAGCGGTTGCGGAGGGTGCTCGGTGGTGTGTTATGAGCTCCGAAGTCGGCGCGTGCGGGGATCGTGGGGTAGCTTTTGCAAGTCTCTAGAAATGTTTTGAGCGCGCCACTTCTTCACGCAGCGTTTTACATACACAAGCTATAATCATGCCTTCATTTAACATTGTTGTTCTCGGCGGTGAGTTTTTTGTGCCACTAATAACATAGAAGATTGACTGACGGTACATAGGTGACGGTGTGGGACCTGAGGTAAACAGCTCTGTAACTCATCCTCAACGCAAAAGGCTTACAAGAGACATATAGGTTGTTGCGGAAGCAATCAAGGTATGATGCGATATTATGTTGTTGAAGAGTACATGCTGACAGGTCCAAGGTACTCAAGGTAGTCGAGAAGCACACAGATGTGTCGTTCAACTTCAACGACCAGCTCTTCGGCGGCGTAAGTCCAGCTATGACGCATCCACGCACCCACGACGCCCTAACAATCTCAGGCCTCAATAGACGCACACAACGATCCCCTCACAGACGCAACCCTCTCCGCATGTAAATCCGCAGACGCCATCATCCTCGGCGCCGTCGGCGGCCCGGTACGCATTCCCTTCCACATGCACCCATCCCAACTAACATCGAATAGAAATGGGGCACAGGCGCCGTACGTCCTGAGGCAGGTATCCTCAAGCTCCGCAAGGAATTGGGCACCTTCGGCAACCTACGTCCATGCTTCTTCGCCTCGGAATCGCTCGTCGAGTCATCCCCTCTCAAGGCCGACAACGTGCGTGGCGTAAACTTCAACATCATCCGCGAACTCACCGGCGGCATATACTTTGGCGAGCGCAAAGAGGAGGATGGTGACGGCCATGCCTGGGACACGGAGCCCTACAGTGTCCACGAGATCGAGCGCGTGGTGCGCCTAGCCGGCTCCCTGGCGAGCGTCGAGGACCCGCCCGTGCCTGTATGGAGTCTGGACAAGGCAAACGTGCTGGCGACGTCGAGGCTGTGGCGGAAGACATTTGAGAGGATCATGAAGGACGAGTTCCCGAATCTCAAGTCCGGCACTCATCTCATCGACTCGGCCGCTATGCTCATGATCAAGAACCCCCGTGCGTTGAACGGCGTCGTGGTCACGAGCAATTTGTTCGGCGACATCATCAGCGACGAGGCGAGTGTTATCCCCGGGAGTTTGGGACTGTTGCCCAGCGCCAGTTTGGGCGGCATCCCGGATGGGAAGACGAAGCTTAATGGCATTTACGAGCCTATTCACGGTATGTTGCAACTCTTTTTTTGTTAAGCATCTTCTGACATTCTATAGGATCTGCACCCGATATCGCCGGTAAGGGAATCGTTAACCCCGTCGCGACTGTGCTGTCGATGAGCATGATGTTCAAGTACTCGCTCTGCCTGCCTGAGCTTGCCCTCAAGATCGACGAGGCAACGAGGATCACAATCGACAAGGGCGTCAGGACAAAGGACATCGGTGGCGAGTCGACGACAAGTCAAGTCGGTGATGCGATAGCTGCTGAGCTGGAGACTCTGTTGAAGAAGTAGGCTCATACAGAGAGAAAATAACATGCAAAAAGAAGTTTTGCGATGAAGAATTCCGTGTTTGAACAGAAAATTATGGTATTTACAAAATGTAACTCTACTTGTCAAGTTCTCCTCCAATATATACAATACTCATATCTATGCATTCATAATCTCGTGTCCTCGTCTCAGTTCATCGAACTTCACTCATGGCTGCGCATCACTCTTCGGCTTCAACGCCTGCTCGAAGATCTGCATAAACCTGCACACATCGCTAAATGTGTTGTACAGCGGCGCCGGCGCCACACGAATGATGCCTGGCTTCCTCTTGTCGCAAATCACACTGTTCTTCTCAAGCGCCGCGCTCACATCCTCCATGAGATCTTCCTGCAGCAGAACGCTGAGCTGCGCACCGCGGAAGCGCGGGTCCGACGGGGAGATAATCTTAATCGGCGCCTCCCCATCCTTAGTATTGCGGGACGCGATTTCCGCGAGGAGGTGTTCAGCATAAGCCGTAAGAAGCAGACTCTTTGACCTCAAATCCGCCATTTTTGTTTTCGAGAAGACGCTCAGTGAGCCCGCAAGACACGTGAGGTCGACGATACTAGGGTTTGAGACCTGGAAGCCCTGGGCGCCAGGTGTGGGCTTGAAGTTGTTGTCCATGAGGAAGCGCGAGCTCTTGTCGTGGCCGTACCAGCCCTTTAGCCCGACGTTGCGCCCGTTGTCGCCGTGCTTCTCGTGCACAAAAGCGGCGGCCACGGCGCCGGCGCCGGAGTTCATGTACTTGTACGTGCACCAGCAGGCAAAGTCGACGTCCCAGTCGTGCAGCTTCAGCTCGACGTTGCCCGCAGCGTGCGCCAGGTCCCAGCCGATGGTGATGTTGTGTTTGCGCGCGTGGGCGGTGATGGTGGGGATGTCGAGGAGCTGGCCTGTGTAGTATTGGATGCCTGGGAGCAGGATGAGGGCCAGTTCGTCGACGTTCTCGTCGATGATGCGCATGATGTTGGCCGTCGTCATTATGTAGCCCTCGTCTGGCGCGACGGTCAACATGGACGTCTTGGGATCGCGTCCATGCCATTCGATTTGAGACTCGATGACGTACCAGTCGCTGGGGAATGGTCGCCATTCGCACATGATCTTGTGTTTCTTGTCCGTGGGCTTGTAGAACGCGGCCAGCATGAGGTGTAGGTTGATAGTCAATGTGTTCATGGCGACGATTTCACTGGCTTTTGCGCCTACAATGTCGCACATGCGCTCCGAGCACAGGTTGGCCAGATCTTGGTACGGTGTTAGGGGTGAATCCTCGAATTTTGTAAAGTGACCTCCGACGGCGATGGAACCCCATGTTTTGAGGTACGCGTTCAAGTGTTCGCCTACCGCTTTGGGTTGGAGACCAAGGGAGTTGCCACAGAAGTAGATGCTCTCATCTTCGGGGCCTGATGCTGATGCTGCTGTCTTTTCATCGTCTGCTAGTGTTTTGCGTCCAACTTGGGCTTTTGTAGGCACTAGGAACTCTTTCCGGAATGTCTTCAGGATATCCTCATTGCTGTTGTCTAGAGATTGTGCAAAGTCGAGTGTGTCCGCATTGGAGGGGAATTCCGGCTTCTGGCCCTGACGAAGCTTGTTGATAGCGCTGGTTGCGTCCATCGTGACGTAGGTTGATATGCTCAATGCTCGATGTGTGGCAAAGTGTGTGGTGTGGGGAGGTTGTAGTGGCGATGTGTGAATGTTTGATTAGATTGAAGTCGTTAGAGTTGATGTGTGGATGTGTAAGTAATGGCATCAGACAAAGCCTTATGTATTTCGCTCAGTACGTTTGAATTTGCCAGTTGCATCATTGATTCATCCGACAGTGGCTGAGATAAGTACCTTCCCAATCCGTACATCCGACGAACCATCCGACACATCTTCCGTCCCGATGCGACTTTTCCTCGCCAACACCACGCCAATACGATTTCAAAATGATAACCTGATCAAAACGTACGTCAAAGCGGACGCGATGACTGTGCGCAATCCGAGTCAAAGCGGTACCGTCCGTGATGAAAAGGCAATGTATTCCCTCAATATCATCGCATCCGTCCGCCAAACTTTCTCGACCAACCGCAACGAACTCCGTTTTTCACCATGAGCCCTCACAAAATTGATATTTTGCCTTCACCTGCAGCCCTCTCGTCATATGGCATCTCAAAAAATGGCTTTTTGCCCGCGGATGCACCTCTTAGTAGGTTACCACACGACTACTATCAGCCATGGGAAAACATCATGAAAGACTTGCCGGTTCTCATTGAGAAACAGCAGATTAGACAGCGCATAGATGAATTGCCTACCCTCGATACTTTGCATCTGGACAGCGAAGCAGAATGGCAGCGAGCCTACTCAATGCTTGCTGTTTTTACACAAGGATATGTTTGGACAGGGCCAGAGCCATCAGAGGTAAGTTGCTGGTTTGGGATGTGGCATCATAGGATCCTCGGTTGCTAACGCGATATACAGCGACTACCTCCTGCAATTTCAATCCCCTTCCTGGAAATTGCCGAGCGTCTTGAGGTGCATCCCATCGCAACATATGCCGCGTTGAATCTATGGAACTGGAAGCCACTCGAGGAGGGCGCAGATCTCACGCAACCAGAGAACATGGTGGCAGTTCATACAGCGACCGGTACCGACGACGAATCATGGTTCTTGATCATTTCGAATGCCATGGAGGCCAGAGCAGGGCTATTAATCCATGGAATGTTAGCAGCCATGGAAGCAGTCGAGCGCAACGATTTGCCAACGATCATCTATGGCCTAGAGTACTTCAAACAGAGTATGGTGGAGATTGGAAAACTTCTGGAACGTATGGATGAGCGATGCAACCCCCAAGTGTTCTACCACACAATTAGACCATTCTTGGCGGGTAGTATGAACATGGAAGCTGCAGGTCTGCCAAATGGTGTATTCTATGACGAGGGTGAGGGGAAAGGATCCTGGAGAAAGTACCGCGGCGGCAGCAACGGGCAGAGCTCACTGCTACAATTCTGCGATGCCGTACTCTCAGTCAACCATTCCCGGTGCGGTGGCTTCCACGCAGAGATGCGCCGCTATATGCCAGGCCCACATGCCAGGTTTTTGGACGACATCGAGGCTATCGCAAATATCCGCAGTTATGTCGACAACCACCAGGATAACACCGAGCTCCTCGCAGCCTTTAACGAAGCAGTCGCAGCTCTCAGTGGGTTCCGTGACAAGCACATCGCTCTGGTAACCAGATACATCATAATACCTAGTCGCATGGCCAAACCAGCACACAACATCAAACGCACAGATATCGCTTCGGCATCTACTAAGATATCGTCGGAGAAGGGACAAACACTGGAACTAAGGGGCACCGGAGGCACTAAGCTGATTCCATTCTTACGAACATCGAGGGATGAGACCAGTGAGACCGCAGTCGCCCGTTGAACTCTACACCTTGAAGGAGAGATCTAGAGGAAGCCACCACCCATATGCTGGTTATACATGGGAAAGAGCGGTATGTCGGCGATAGATGCGCCGTCCAGGGTGTGAGTCCCAGGCTGAAGGAAATCCTGTAGGCCCTGGTCATTTTCGCTGGGCCACGGTAATGCGAAGAAGTCTGCATCAAAGATGGCCCATTCGGGAGGAGCCCTAGCAGAAGTGTTATCCTGTTCCGGGGCAGTGGAGGTAAAAGGCTCAACGATGGAAAGAGAGCGGATGTTTTCTAGCTCGCGAGGCCGGCTCTCAGGATGAGAGGGTAGTAGACCGAATAGTGATGAAGAAGCTTGCTTCCTTTGTGAGCGCAAATGAAGCTCCCTCTTCTTGGCATGTGTGATTGTAGTTTTCAACAGTGCTTGGACAATGACAGAGTATTGCTGAGCGTGCGGATCGACTTTGCCAAAGTAGTCTAAGCAGCGAATCGATGCTCTGCAGTCGTCTTCAAACTCCAAACCTGAGCGACCTAGGACGCCGACCGCTAAAACGAGTGAGGTAGTAAATAGCCACGAACTATTATGTGATTAGTTAGCACTAGATCTGATGGCCGTTGTTTGACTTACACTATAAGTGGCATTCTGAGAGGCATCTTGCCAGTTTGAATCACAGTTTGCAGAGTCTCCACGAACGAGGCAGCAGCTTCAAGCGCAGCGTCTGCATACTTTCGTTTCTCCTGATGTTCACCCTGAGTGCCTCCACCTTTCAGAGAAGCACCCAAATACTCGTACAGCTCATAGATCAAGAACGGCCTCGTCAGCAGCATGATGCCATAGAAGTAAGAACATAGTGTAGAACAAGCGCCAACAGCTTCTTCCCGTGAGGAACTACCAAGGTGGGAACGAGCAGTGGCATTGGAAAGGAGCTGCAGCCAATTCGATGCCCAGTTTTTGAGCTGATGAGAAACATAACTGGCGATGCGTAGCGATATTCGCTTACGAGAGTAAACCTCAACCACAACGCGCTCGATGATCATGAATATTTGCACACTCGCGTCAAGCATGTGAAAAGTCAAGTCGCTGTTCATGTCTGTGATGTTGTACTTGACTGTACAGTCTACGTTTGATGTAGATGGTGGCCGACCCAGTAGATTACTGATGAGCTGATCCACTACGCGGAGACTCTTCCAGATGCGGTCTCTCATAGTTCTGATCGGTTCTCCCAAAGAAGCGTTGACCTCGGTCCGATGAAGGCCAATTGCGTAGGCAGTACGGGCGGCCAGAGCTGGGAGAAGTATGAGCAGAATTTCCAGGAAACTTTGATGAATCCCAGCTTACAAAAGTACAGATACGCGCCATTCGGCTGGAATGCTCGAAGCATGAAGATGGCAACCAGTGCAAAGCCCTGCACTGTCGAGACATTCATACTGGCACAGAGATGTGTGGTCAGGATATCCCTCGCATGATTGAACCATGCGTTTGCTTTTGATTCGTCTTTTTCTTGTGCACCGATGGCAAGCACAAGGAAGAAAACTGCAGTTGCAGCATCACTCGAGCGTGGAGTGTGCCCACTCGCCCAAGTTTCCATATCAACCAGCAGCTCTTCTTGTTCGAAAAGATGAACGAGACCGCTGGTAACCACGGCATATGCCTCCACCAAGGACTGAACCTCGTGCGGAGCTACGGCAAGATACTGATATTGATCGGTCGGTTCGGAGCGAGCAACTTCTATCATGGAGTCCCGAGAAGCATGCATTGGGAGTCCTTCCGCGTCGACTTCAGACGCAATGAGATGCCTAACAGTCTGTAGGAATGAAAGGGGCGCACAATCACCAATGAAGATGACTTTTCCTTGAGCATCGCACAGAATGCGACCCTCCAGAGGTACAGCTGTGTCTTCAGGATGATCATCTCTACTGACAGTGGGGGAAAGAGAGGCTCCGATACCAGTAATTTCCTCGGAATTTCTCGGCCTGCGTGAGAGACCTTCACTGCGGGCCCTATCTGGAGAAACCCGTTGGGTAGAATTCCCAGGCCTTTGTTCTGGGTTGTTCGGAGTGTTACCAGCAGAACGCGCCTGGCCACGGATCTTTGGAGCGGTGAAGGTGCACCCATCCGCAAGGTGCTTCCGCTGGCAATAACCGCATGGTTGCTCGCCGTCGCATTTGACCTTCCGTTGCTTGCAGAGATCGCATGCTGCTGTGACACGCTCTAACCGACGTCGCTTCTGTGGGGGAGCAGGATCCGAGTTCATGTCAACGATGACACCAGTATTTCGTGGTCGTTGATAAGGAATTCAAGACCCAAGGCGAAAGCATGCAAATGCAAAACAAACAACCAACAATAGCCCTCACGCTGTGATACCAGACGTGAGGTACCTTCTTGCTTCTAGATTCCCGACCCTGCTATCGCGTGTAGGAATTGGTGCTCATCAGTCGTGAAATTGTTCTTTCGGAGAGGCTAGCTGTCGGATGTAGATTTTTTGTTGATGGCCGAAGTCTAGAAGGAAAGACTCCGTTCCGTCGGACGCTCGGACTTCGTCGGCAATCTCTCGAGAGCTTTCGGCATTTGTATTCCAACACGACGTCAGCAATGAACGTGACATCTCGACAACATCAACACTTATATGCATGTCTGATCATGGTTGTGTTGTGAAATGCTCGATCCGAGGATAAGCCAGGTCAAAGTTACTTGAAACGATTCTCGAAAGGCATGATTCAAGCGAGCAGGATTGAGGCAACATGACTGCGAGATGGGTTCCTACGATACTGAGTTTTATGAAGAGTATCTGGAAAAGAGATGGAGACAAGGGGTTATAATCTCCAGACGTGAGGTACAAGAATGGCTTTAAGGTAAGGATATAACCCTTACAGGAACGGGGATCTTTCACTATCGAAGTGGTACCACACATCCGCCACAATGTCACACATAGCACACCCGTTGCGCAAGCGTACAAACAGGCGATAGACTTCCGTTACAGACGTACAGAGCGCACAAGCCCATATATTGTCCTATTAGGTACTATGGCGGGCAACAGGTACAACAATTCTGACTCCACTTCAACGTACATGTAATTCACCCTTACATACAGCAATTACTGAAATTGATATGCAATTCGGTTCATAATTCCTTTCCACTGTACTACTACAACACAGAAATCTGCCCATGTGTATCGGTGTACAAACAAATCTACTACTTTCATGTTACTTGACGAAGGATGACACAGTTCACACTCGGATGTACGTGATCATCTCATAGGGCAGTCTTTCGCATATCTCAACGCGAATCTTCCTTCCTCACCTCAAACGATCATTTCTCAACTGAGACACAATGACTTCCTACTCTTCCAATTGCACTTACGCCACTTTGTTCTTTCTCATGCTCAGTCTTTGCAATGCAACGCCAAATTTCTATATCATCACTGAGGCTAGACCCTTTCCCGACCCAACTCCACCACCTAATATCACCGATCCGAAACAGGTACATATTCTCTATCTTGACTTAGCAATGTAAACTCACCAACCCAACACCCTATAGTCCATGAGCTGGTGTTCCAGCGTGGCATCAGAATTCTGGGCCTCCTACTACCCAACAATGGCCAGCTCGATGACTTCATCATGGGCAAGTGCGCAAAGCGAAATCAACAAATTCGTCGCTACTGCAACGCACTCCATACCGCCCCAGATGACAGATATGGACACAGTGGCCATATACACCGAATCAGCTATGTCATGGTTCACAGCGCTTCCCGAGGATGTCCAGCGTGCTAAAATTCAAGAAGGGGAGGCGATGTATGTTATATGGCGAGCGTATATCCGTGGGTTGACCGAACGCCGTTCGAATGTATCTCACACGTCGACTGCGATTCCTTCAATTACCACAGACTGGTCTTCTGCGGCTTCAACAACCCCTTCGGACACACCTGTTGCAATGCCTACAACCAATCTGGACGCGGTGGGAGATGTCACTTCTTCTTCGACTGCGAGATTGGGTACGGTGATTATCACAAGAACTTTGGACGCATCGACGGAAACGCACCCCACAACTCAACCGAGCCCCACGGTTCAATCGGCGCTTGCTGGGAAGGATACTACGGGTATAGCTGCGGGTGTATTGGCGGGTGTTGCGGTCGTGGTCGCGTTCTTGTGAGGTGAGAGGCGAGTACCGGACTGTAATGTCTAGAGAAATGATGGTTGTTGGTGTGTTTCCACTTCTCTGCCTTGCCATGCATCGGGAGCAATTTGGGCTCAGTCTGTCGTGGCAAGTAATGAGTTTGTATGTAGCCTTGAGATTATACAGAGAGCGGATAACGTCTTAACGTTCAAATTGAATGGTGGCCGAGACGAATCGTTCAGTTATACCAAGCAGCTCTTGAATTATCGCCTGACCACCAGGTCTGTGTTTGATCATCAAATAAGTCATCAACAGAGCCGAGCAATGTATTCAGCCTTATTGTTGCTGGCCAAGCCATCAAAGTTGATGGAGTTGCTGGGTTCATGATTCATGACGGCCCATCGGCCGGGACATACGTCATGCATGGTTCCACGCCGAATTGAAGCATGTCGCAAGACCCCACCCGTGGAGCAATCACCCCTCTCTGTGCCAGCAGGATTAGGTAGCTCTTGTAAGCCCATAGTCACACCGGCTGTGCGCTCTTATAACAAGTCCACTATGCAGTTGCCCGCCTGCAACAACCTTCCGCCTTCCTACTCTCTGCCGCCGCCCGCTCCCCCACCACCATAGCATCGCGACCTGCATCAGACGGTCGAGTAATACTGTTCAGACACGCGCGCAGCATTATCATCGCATGATTGCGCGCTCGATCCGGAAGAATGGCTAAACAGTTCCTCGCGGACACCAACGGGTGGTTGTCGTTCAACCACAGCACCCCGGTCCTTTACATCACATCAGAAGACGAGGACTTTGACGTTGAGACAATGCGCGCATGGCGCGATGAAGGCTTCATTGTCAAGTACATACCTATGGGTAGCGGAGGGAAGCAATATGTGCAGACTCTCCACTCTCTGGGCGACAAGATGAGCATTGGAGAGCGATACGCAGTCGTAGGTATACAGAAAATACCCTTGTGCATCAATTTGCACTACATGTGCTGACCGATCTGCGCAGCCTTTGGTGATGCAGCGGCTATATGTCTAGATGTCTTCTCAGAACCCAAGACGTCGACATCGAAGCTCTGCTCCTTAATCGCATATTACCCTACTTCCATCCCCGATCCCAATCGTCGCTTCACTTCCTCATTTCGCGTATTGGTACATCTTGCGCAAGGCGCACATGGCAGCGAAGAATCTGTCGGAATCGCGCGACGCCCGGAAGTCTTGGGCATACAGGGAAAGCGGAAGATTGTGCAGAGGCGCATCACACGCGGGATAGGCGCCGGGGGTCTGCAGAGCAAGATCAACTACCCAGTCTTCACATACGAAGGCGTAGATGCCGGATTCGCCGAGCACGATCTAGACGAGTACGACGCGGTTGCAGATGCCATAGCCTGGAGTCGAAGCCTAAGCATGGTACGGCGAGGATTCGGTGCAGAAGTAAACCTCGAGCGCGTGTGGGACGAGAACGAAGAGCGTGCGCCACTCCCATCGCCTTTACCCAAACTCGACAATTGCTAAACCTACCTCAGAAAAATACCGCGGCGGAGACGTCACAAAACTCTTAGACACCTACGTCAACTCTCCGACCCCGTTCGTGAATTTCACCCCCACCATGACCGGTGGCCACGGCCGCCCCGAACTCAAGCGCTTCTACGCAGACTACTTCCTGACTTCCTCCCCTCCCTCGCTACACATGCGCCTCCTCAGCCGCACAATCGGCGTCGACCGCATCGTCGACGAACTATACATCCAGTTCAAGCACACATGCCAGATGCCGTGGATCCTGCCCGGCGTCAACCCCACGAACCAAAAAGTAGAGATTGTGGTCGTAAGCATTGTGGGCATGCGGGCGGGCAAGATTTGGCACGAGAGGGTGTACTGGGACCAGGCGAGTGTGCTGTTTCAGGTCGGTCTGCTGGATCCGGATCATGTTCCTGAGAAGTTTAAGAAGCAGGGGTTGGAGATGTTGCCTGTTAGTGGGAGTGAGGCTGCTAGGAAGATCATGGATGTTGAGAGTGAGGAGGCGAATGATATGATTGATGATTGGTAGATGAGTGACAGTGGAAGGAGGTATTCATGGCTGGAATCAGATATGTTGGATCGTGGGGAAATCTTAATTGTAGTCTATGGTCGCATATGGCAAATGATACCGAAGTAAAGCAGAACGATAGAGGAGAAGGAAAACCAAAGTGACGCCCTTGTTATGCCATGATCGTCAGCCCTCATTGGTACCTTTGCCTCATGACATGATACAGACCGTAAAACGTGAAAACTCCTTCGTGATCCACCGAGTTGAAATCATGAGTAAAAAGTGAAAGTAGCGTCTTTTCCAGACTATGTACGACCCAGTGACATAGATTCGAAGCGAACGTGTTTGTGCGGACAAGGATGAGTTCTATGGCCAATGACCGTGTGTGAAGGTAGGATGGTTATCGAAGTGGGGAATACAAAGCGACGTGTTCTGATGAAGCGACAGTAGTGAGTTGAGTCGATCGAATCTGAACAGAAAACTAAGACGATATACGACGTTCTCTTTCAGTCGGCCGAGATGGCGAGGAAGAGTATCGATGGTTTCCAAATGGCTCGCCCTGTTCAGGCGTGGGCAGCGGGAGTTGGACTTGCGACATAGAAGGCTCTGTGCCCACCAGTGTCATTGACTGGAGAGAGTAACGGTTGTCCGGCCGTTCTGTGACAATATTGATGTTCATCATTCCTCCACTTGCAGCAGGTTCCCACGAGGATCGAGCCCATGCTCTAGTCCAATCGGCCTGCTGCCAACCTGGAATAATACCGTGGACATTGGGTAGTGACAGGGGACGCGAGCCTGGTACTAGACCAGTTTGGGATGGAGTTTCCCGTACCGTTTGACGGGGCGTGGAGACGATAATAGTTCCTTCAGCTTCTGTAGTGTCCGAGATATCAATGTCATTCATGCTCAATGGACGGCCACGAAGACCGTCTGCCAACCCGAAGTGACTTCCAAGGCCAACAAATGATTGCTCGCGCGCGGCCGGTACCGGTGGAATGGATATCAATTCTGCTGGGTCCAAATCAGGTTGAGCGTTGGTGTTCTCCATTGTAGGATCCACCGCTGATAATCTGTATCCGGTGTGTCGAAGCTTGAACGACGTGAGTTGCTCCCGCATCCAAGCAACGCATTGTTCGAGGCTCATCTCCTTCAGCACGCTTCTGTCCAAACTCTTAAGGGATTCTAGAGCTTGTTCAGGGCTTGCTAAAGGACCGCAAGTACCGGGGTCATCAGACCTCGGCAGGCTTGCGTAAATTCTAGGTTCCGTGTTGTTCAGTTCATGACCTGCTAAAGATATTGAAGGTGTGACTATTGCGAGCCCGGGAGTTGCAGCAGCCGACGTCGAGTACGGAACAGGTGATTTTGCTTGTTCCTCAGGACTCCTTCGACGCCGTCCCGGTAATTTCAGCAGGCGTCCGAAACGTATGTTCTTTAACATTGGCAGTTTTTGTTGCAGACGCAAAAGCAGACGTGATTTTTTGTTGGCAACATACCCGTGGGATGGGGTGCGATATTCATCGGTTCGAGGAAAGATTGGACGGTTCAAAACCGGGACGTCGGTTTCGTTGCCAGTAAGGGGCCTGGATGGCGCGCGAGCGTTGGCTGATCGCACTCCTTGGGCACCATTGTGAACGGCTGACTGTCCGAATCCCTCACGAGACAGGCCAGTTGAAGGCGACTCCGGGATAGTTGCGAGACTGGGAGATGCGACTGCTGTTGCTGTGGTCGCGGATCTTACTAGGTTGATGAGAACAGAGCGAAACTCAGTCTTGATGGGATCAGGCTCGATAGTTTTGGTGGATATTAATGAGATCCGGGTGGAGTTGCGTTCCCCAAAGCCAAGCCATAGCCGGTGACAGTTATCGCAATGGACTTCACCAACGTGATCCGAGTCATTAGAGGCCTTGACCTGGATTTTGACAGCCTTGTGGCGATGGTGGCAACTTGGGCAGTTTCCACTAATGCCAAGGATCCAGGTACCTGGGGGAATCGGGTTTGCACTTGTTGTAGATAATGTTGTATTGCGTCTGGTCAGGTTGGCAGAAGGGTTATCGGCAGGGTCATTAGTGTGAGAAGGCCTTTCATCCGGAATGAACGAGAGGTCCTGGCTGGCCATTGTAGTGGAAGTCGGCCTCAATTGCAGCTATCAGCTGGACGGGAAGCTCCGCTGCCGGAGCTGAATGGCCGGGAAGAGACGTGGATGGACGCATAGGAAGGAACCGGTGAACATGCAAACGTGGATGTGAAAATGAAGATGCTTGTTGAATGGACACAATAGGATCAAGATCGAGATACAAGGCGTATTTGCAACTTTAGCTGCAGATGAGTCGGGATGATTAAACTGGTTCGTGAGGCTATGGGTGAATCAAGGTGGGGATGATTGAGTATATGAGCAAGACTATAGACAACAGCCTTGCGCTTGATCACAAACACTTAGTAGCTCAGGCTGTTACACCGCTTTGATAGTAGTGTTGGGGTGGCGCAGCGCATTGGCGAGCTAGCGATAAGACGTGGTGATGCCTGGGGCTGAAAGTAGAAATTGGTGATGGAGACGAATGATGGAAGATAGCGACAAAGATTGAGCTCATGTTCAGAAAGTCGAGAACTCGGCGTACGCTACATAAACAAATACACAAAATGAGAGAGACCTTGCAGAGGTACTCACCGTGGTGTCGCAACCTGTCCGTGGAAGAGCAGAGTACGGTATGAATTGTTTAGCGAGTCAGTGAGTGTGGCTGGCGCTGTATCATGTGCCTGATTTTGAAGGCAGCAGCATGGAGGACCTCACGAGCGTGTCGTATGTCGTCATGAATATGTCAATATCTGCTCGATCTGTGTTACTTCCCACAACTACGGAGTGTGTTGGAGAAGCAGGCAGCATTGTTGAGCTCCGATGGATGGATGCACAGCCCCCCTTGTTGTGCGGGTGGAGCTTGTCAGGCAGACTGCGAGCATTCAGGGGAAGGCGAAGTATACAGGGGAGTTTGCTGCAAGATTCTTTGCATTGCGCGAATGGCTGTGTACACAGTACTTGAATGTGTTGATGGTGTTTTGGCCAGAACTTTGGACGGATGACAATAATGGCTTAGTGCTGCACGGGCCATCGGCGAAGGAGAAACACCTCGCTCCGTGATGACTGCACGCACACTTGGCGTCGAAATCCATCATCCTCGCCCTTGTTAGAGCATCGACAACACCACATCTACGAGACTCGACCAACCGCCATCATGTGTGAGTACCCTGTCCCTGATGTGTTTCTGCGACCGTATCATTTATCCGGAAATGCCCTGCGGCATTTACTTAGATGAGGTTGCAGAGATGATATCGCGCATACTTGTGTTACAGTACAAAGAGACTGACATTAAACAGCGCTCGTCTCAGGAGAGAAGTCGAAGTACGTACCATCTGCAGTTCCTTTAGCGCTCAGGATTCATCTACCGCGCTCCCAATCATTGCCCTACGCCCCGCCTGGCGAACCGAATCTTTGCGATCACGACTCGCCTCTTCAATCAGACAGCATGTGTGGGGATGAGGGCACTCAGGAAGGAATATCATGGAGGCCTGAATAGAGCACCCGCGGGGAATAACGACCTAGAAGATCTCAGCATGCTGTCGTGGATTGAGGAATGCGGGTCGTGTCCGTGACTTGCATTGGTCTCGGGAGCGCGATGGATGGGACGCTGGGCTGGACGGATGTCTCAAAGAGCACGTCGCTGACCCGCCACAGCTTCCAGTACATCATCCGTTTGTTGAACACGAACGTCGATGGCAAGCAGAAGGTCATGTACGCCTTGACCAAGATAAAGGGTGTCGGTCGCCGATACTCCAACTTGGTCTGCAAGAAGGCCGATGTCGATCTTGGCAAGCGCGCTGGTGACCTCACCTCGGAAGAGCTTGAGCGCATTGTCACCATCATTCAGAACCCTCTGCAGTGTATGTGGCACCGTTTCCACGGCAAGAGCACGGGACTAACAGCTCGCAGACAAGATTCCCACCTGGTTCCTCAACAGGCAGCGTGACATCGTCGACGGCAAGAACAGCCAGACCCTGGCCAACGGTGTTGACAGCAAGCTCCGTGATGATCTCGAGCGCCTGAAGAAGATCCGTGCCCACCGTGGTCTCCGCCACTACTGGGGCCTCCGTGTCCGTGGTCAGCACTCCAAGACCACCGGTCGCCGCGGCCGAACCGTTGGTGTGTCGAAGAAGAAGGGATAAAGGTTTTCGCTGGCGCTGGGCAGCTCGGGCTTTGTGTGGGCTGGGAACAAGGCTTTTACGAAATGGGTGGTGCACTTATGGTGTTTTATCGAATGGCATTCAATGGCTTTCACGCTTACACTTCATACGGCTTTGCACGATATGGGACGGCGATGAAGGTCCGGCGGGGTAACGGTTGGCCATATTCAGCCTGTACCAAAAATCACACAATCTGATTCCGACTTGTTCAATCACGACGCCTCGACTGTGCTTATGTACAGGAACCCGCAATACTCCATGCTCCTTTTTTCATTCCGACAAATTACATACGCCAAGGTAGTTGATGATTGGCGAATTGCGCATGCCCACAATCTGAGCACCACGTCACTTCAAGTCGGTCGCATTCGCACATCATCCGGGCTTGTTTCAACCCTTGCGAGGGGTGTGATTTGTTTGAGAAAACCTGCTAACGAAACCAGTCTACGGCGGCTGTAACTTTGTTCTGAGCCTAAGAACGCTATATCTAACCACACGCAGCATTTACAGCAACGAGGTGTGCTGCAGTCATCGTATGGTGCTCGTCTCTAATCCTGAGGACGCTAAGTGTAGAGTGTGTTGTCTCCCACGCCCGCTGCAGCCTCGCCCACTGGCATCCATTTCTCTTCCCCCTCCATGCACGTCGTCCCCAATGCCGGGACTCCAGTGCCCTCTTATCCCCCCCACTGATTGCAATTGGATATGCGGGGCCAGCGAACAGGCCGCATATCTGTGGTGAGTGGGTATCGATATAAACCTTACCTTCTGCCTTCAAGTGCAGTTAGGTCTGGCCTCAGGCCTTCCCTCTCTTCTCTTCTCTTCTCCTTCCAATCACTTTCTACATTTTCGTCGCAACAACATGGCTACTTTCTTACCTCCACCACGCACACCCTCCCCTAAAGTTCGCATCCGCTCCCACTCCTTCGACTCGCCGTCTTCCCGCCTCAGCGTCACGCCAACCGAAGAGTCGAAATCCACAACCGCAATCCTCACACGCAGACACTCGAGCCGCGACGTTGTGCTGGACACACACCCCGCTGCCATGATCCCGCTCCGCACACAAATAAGCAACGAGAGCTTGTCTAGCACCTCCACGACGAGCTCGCCCACCAACATAAATACAATCACAAACGACCCACGCCCCAAGACCCCCCGCTCTTCTACCCCTCCTTCCCCATCCCCTTCCCCCTCCCCCACCGACCCCCCCTCCCCCTTCCTCTACCAAGACACCTCAAACGCAGGGTACTCGCCCTGGCTCGTCCGCGTGGTCCTGGACCTGTACGACGTGCGGGGGCTGGCGTGGACGCTGATTGCGGAGCCTGTGGAGAGGATTTGGGGGGTGCGGACGAGTAGTGGGGAGGTGTTTGGGATTTTGCTTGGGAATGGGAGGGTGGGGGGGAGGAGGTGGTGGGATTAGATCGTATTAAGGGGATTGAGGGGGAGAGGGGGGGGAAGGGGATTTCTTTCTCATGTGGGTTATCTTCTGGGGCGGGTGGTTTGCATGGTATGGTATGGTACATAACGCAGGTTACGAGTTCAATGATTTATGATTTATGATGTTAGATTATTTCATGTACATGTGTGTTTCTGCTCCTGTGACTGGGACTGTTTTTCATCATCGTGCATCGCGGGAGCGAATGGATGCCATACTGGGCAGTGTTCTGTACAGATCAAGAAACGTAGGGGGTAGTTGTCGCGGTCCTACTTTAGTCGTGAAAAACGCATGGATTCAGACAAGGCAGGACACGTGGGGGTGCATGGTCACGGTCGGAGACAGGGGGATGAAGTATACGATGAATTTTAGCATTCTTGATGTCTGCTATGCGGGTGACGCGCAGTGGGGTCCTGGGCATGGAGGACGGGCGAGCTATGTAAGGTCCGATGTCGAACTGATTCGGGGAAGGGATAGCGATAGTGGTAGCGTATTGAAGGGTGCTGTGGTGTGGACTCTTCATGTCGTGCGACACGGTGGCGAACGAATGATTCGCATCTTGTACCTTTCGTCCCTGTGCCTTCAACGCCCCTGTTTCGCGTCTGTCTGCCCGTCGGCTTCGCGTGTGCACCCCGTGACGATGCGCGTCGTTGTCCGTTCGAAGACGTGTCGCCACTCAATCGTCCGCACCAACCGCCATTTCAAGAACCTCAACATTTCCCCGGCCTTTTGTCTGGCTCTCGATGAACTCGTTGAGGCCCTTGAAGGAGCCCGGCTCAACAAAACCAACGGCTTCCCATTCCGCGCCCATGACGTCCTGACTCTCGACCTTCTCCATAAAAGCCAGTATCGCGTCCTTGACTGTGCCGGAAGCCTTGTCTTCCCCGTCTGCTTGGCCTTTTGGCGCGTTCTTGAGGGCCTGCTTGAGGACTGACGTCGGGCATGTGACGCGCAGCTTCATCTGCATGCGCGCAACGGGTATAGGCTGGTGGGCGATGAGGGCCTTCATGGCGAACAGGGCCTGCGACTTTGACGATTTCGTCGTGACGATGCCCGTCCACTTGGGCAGTTCTTTCGCCTTGGTATCGTTCTCCGTCGCGCCCTCCTTCTCGCTTTGCTGTGCCGCAGCCTGCGAACTCAGCTGGTCCAGCGCCTTCTCAATCATGCCCGTCGTGTAGACGCGCTTTGTCTTGGGGTCGACGAGTTTCCCCGCCACGATGTCGATGACCTCATTCTTTGTGCGCTCGAGCTCTGCATTGCGCTCCTTTTCGCCGACTTGCAGCTCGCCGTTCTCCAGGATGTCGGTGATGATGTCCTCGATGGGCTTCTTGCCGAAGGCTTTCTCGAGGTCGGCTTTGGGCGCGACTTGCCCTTTGGAGACGTTTAGGAAGACGTTCTCGATTTGCAGCACGTTGGATAGGTCGGTTTCGATCTTGTTGCGGTACTCGAGCACTTTGTTCTTGTAGCATGCGATTTCGAAGCGCTTTTTGCCTGGTGCGCGCGTGTTAGGTCAAGGATGAGGGGGGTTTTTGGTGGAAGGATGCGAATGCGAACCTTTCTTCATGCGCACCAGCGAGACGTTGGTGAGCCTGATCTGGTTCGAGGGTTGGAAAACTCCGACGGGCATTTTGTGCGATTAGGGGGGGTATCTTGAAAACTGTGGTGGTGGGAAAAAAAGTGTTGCGCAGGAAATCTTAATGCTGGCCATGATTTCGGCGGGGAAGCATGACTTGCATCTCGCTCAGAATGATTCACAGGCCGACTCGGCGCTAGGCTCGATGCAGGTGCATGCAGGAACAGCTCCAGCGCGACAGCTCCAGCTCGACAGGACAGTCGCGCCGCGGAGTGCAGCAGCCTAGTCTTGGGCGAAGATGGATGCTGAAAACAAAGACTATGATGCTGTGATAGCATCAAACACCAGCTGACGTGCGGTATGCTCCGGGGCACTCATGAAACGCTAAGCCCCCGTGATAGACGGTCGGACTGGTCTCCAGCCACCCGATAAGGTGCGTCATCTAGCTTGCGGTGTGCGTTGCCTGGCCGCCGCCTCCACATAAGCTGTCCATCTGTATCAACCATCCTCCATCTCATCTCTCTCTCCCTCCACACTCCTCCTCCCTCCCTCCACCCTCTCCATCCCCCCTTCCTACCCACACACCCCTTCTTTAGTTACTTCCCCAGACACTCGTTGTCACACCCATAGTGATAGTCGCCATGAAGGTTGCTACCTCGGCGCTGCTCGTTGGGGCTGCGTCTGCCGCCGTCGCGCCGCAGCAGCAGATCCTCCAGTTCCCCAAGTCGTTCGACGAGGTCAAGAGCTCGTCATGGTCCAAGCCGCTGCACAACCTCGAGGAGTCGCTCAAGTCGCTCACGGGCGAGGCGCGCGCCACGTGGGACGAGGTGGCCATGATGTTCCCCGAGTCGTTTGAGAAGGCGGCCTTCTTCTCCAACCCCAAGCCGCACACGCGCAAGCCCGACAGCGAGTGGGAGCACGTGGTCAAGGGCGCCGACGTGCAGAGCGTGTGGGTCGAGAACGCGGCCGGCGAGAAGGAGCGCGAGATCGACGGCAAGCTCGACAACTACAACCTGCGCGTCAAGTCGGTCGACCCGGGCGTGCTGGGCGTCGACAAGGTCAAGCAGTACAGCGGCTACCTCGATGACGAGGAGGAGGACAAGCACCTGTTCTACTGTGAGTACCCTGATGACCGCGATGCTCGCCACCCTTACTAATCTCGCCCAGGGTTCTTCGAGTCACGCAACGACCCCAAGAACGACCCCGTCGTGCTGTGGCTCAACGGCGGCCCCGGCTGCTCGTCGCTCACGGGCCTGTTCATGGAGCTGGGCCCGGCGTCCATCACAAAGGACCAGAAGCTCAAGCACAACGACTGGGCCTGGAACAGCAACGCCTCGGTCATCTTCCTCGACCAGCCCGTCAACGTCGGCTACTCGTACTCGAGCGGCCAAGTCAGCAACACCGTCGCCGCCGGCAAGGACATCTACGCCCTGCTCACCCTCTTCTTCAAGCAGTTCCCCGAGTACGCAGAGCAGAGCTTCCACATCTCGGGCGAGTCGTACGCCGGCCACTACATCCCCGTCTTCGCCGCAGAGATCCTGTCCCACAAGAACCGCAACATCAACCTCCAATCCGTCCTCATCGGCAACGGCCTCACCGACGGCCTGACCCAGTACGAGTACTACCGCCCCATGGCCTGCGGTGAAGGAGGCTGGCCCGCCGTCCTCGACGAAGGCCAATGCCAATCCATGGACAACGCCTACCCCCGCTGCGCCAGCCTAATCGAAAACTGCTACAACTCCGAGTCCGTCTGGAGCTGCGTACCCGCCTCCATCTACTGCAACAACGCCATGATCGGCCCCTACCAACGCACAGGCCAAAACGTCTACGACGTCCGCAAGCCCTGCGGCAGCAACAGCCTGTGCTACGACGAGCTCGACTGGATACAAGGCTACCTCAACAAGAAGGAAGTCATGAAAGCCGTTGGCGCCGAAGTCAGCAACTACGAATCTTGCAACTTCGATATCAATCGCAACTTCCTCCTCCAGGGCGACTGGATGAAACCTTACCACCGCGTCGTCCCCTCCATCCTCGATCAGATCCCAGTCCTCATCTACGCCGGCGATGCGGATTATATCTGCAACTGGCTCGGTAATAAGGCGTGGACGGAGGCGCTGGAGTGGAAGGGCGCGAAGGAGTATAAGAAGGCCCAGATGGAGGACTTTAGACTTGATGGCGATGGCAGGAAGCTGGGTGAGGTTAAGTCCAGTGGTAACTTTACGTTCATGAGACTTCATGCTGGTGGGCATATGGTGCCGTATGATCAGCCTGAGGCGAGTCTGGAGATGCTTAATAGGTGGTTGGGCGGTGAGTTTTGGGCGTAGATGATGGGTTGTGGTGGGTTGCTGGTTGGTTGAGATTGTGGGATCTAGTCTACTCTACTCTGTATGTGTTGCTTTTTGCTCTGGATTATTGGGTAAGGGTTAGCTTTAATGCATGCATTTTCAACCAAGTTTTTGCGTTGGTGCGTGTGTGCTTGTTGTTTGTCCATCGTGATGTTGTAACGTATACGTGTGTGGTTTGTCGTCTCGTTATTTCTATCTGCTATGTACTACACAAGTAGGCAGGCAATGCAGTTCATGATATACGTGGGATGAGAAGGAAGGGTGACGGGATATCGTTCTGTGCAGTGTATACACGCTTGTCCTTGTCCTGTCGCTAGGTAGTGTGTTCGGTCTTGTCTTGTTTTGTCTGGTATGCACTTCACTTCACTTCACTTCACTTCCATAGGTTGGTGTGGATGTATAAATAATGTATAATGTATAATACGCTATGTAATAGCTACCTAGCTAGCTAGCTGACCAAGTAAACCATGTCCTACTCCACAGCGGATGATTTCCACCTGTCCTGTCCTGTTCAGTCTGCTCCATCTCACAGAGACACATGTGGAATATGGACTGACGAGGGCGTGCATCTCAGCACATGAATCCTCATCGCAGAGCGCGAACTACGTCGTGACGCCCTTGGTCGGGTAGAGAGAGGATGCGTGTACATTCACTTATTTCTACCAGATGTATTTATGCATGGTACGTACGGAAAGCATGTCCAGTCTGCGGTGTTCATTGCGCATGGATGCATGCACCAGGCCAATAGTTTAGTTTATTTTGGTCTGCCTGCAGTGTGAATGACCAGGTCATGCTGTATGTGAGGGTAAGTAACTGATCGAGATTGTCGCATGGAGAGGAGACATATGTAGATGTTAATGAGAGTGAGGTTATGAGTGATACTGCAAATCAGTCAGCATGGGCAAGGCGAGCAGCGTCTAAGAGATGGATGAACATCACAATCAGACACGGACGAAAGCGAAGCGAAGCGGTTATCTGTCACCAAGTCAGGCACGTCATTGCTCCAAACAGAGGAGAACAAACCACGCCCACGTCCAAATGCTACAACCCACCACAACAAGACCTCACAGCATAAACATCCATCCAAGGGGGAAATGTCCGTGGCATTTTTTGCTGTCTAGGACTGCGAGACATAAGCATTGACAAACAAGTTCTTTCCGTAGGACAAGCTGGTCCTATATGCTATTAGCAGCCCCACCATCCTCCGCTTCTTGAGCCACGTCGTAAAGCCACTGTCGATGCGAGGCTGTCTGTGGGAAACCTAGTAGCCCAGTGTAAGATCTGGAACAGGCAATCGTCCGTCACAGGACATACCGAAGTACCCCTTTCCGCAATCTAACCCAAAAGTGATCAACGCCTAGTGTTGGCTAAACGCCAGATGCAGACCCGCGGTGGGTGCAAGCGAAAACCTGTACTCCCAGTAGAGCAATCTACGAGTGTCGAAACGGTGTCGCAGACCATTGTCGATTATACAAGAAACAGAAAAAGACAAAGGCCTCGGGATTGGCGGTCCCGAGGCGTCGCTCAGCCATTCGCCCTTTTCGTACGTACCGTTCAAGGATCAAGTATGGTCATCTCAAAACCTGCTAGCGGCAGCACCCCAGAGAGAGTTGTAAATCTTGTCGACGACGTACGAGGCACGAATGGTGCGGTGGTTGAAGCTGCGACCGTTAAGACCTTGGAGCGCCTTCTCTCCGCCGCTGACCGAGTCAAACTTGACGTAGATGTCGCCGTCGGTGTTGGGGTCGACAGCGAGGTGGACAACCTTGCCGTACTTCTTGTCACACTCAATCTTGACTTCCTGCTCGAGATCCTTAACCCAGCTGCTGCCGTACGCTTTCTGTTCCCTAGCATGGTGTTAGCTACTGTGTGCAGACAAAATAGGGTTGAAGACTCACTGGTCAGCATCGAAAGCATTCTCGATCTTGATACACTTGGAGGCCATGGGCTTGTCCACAACAGGAGCTCGGGGCTTGCTGACGACAGGCTGGACGCCCTGCTTGGCAGGTTCCGGGGCATCGCGACGGGCTAGAGCGTCCATTAGCTTGCTACGGTCGTACGTCTTGAAGTTGACGCCAGCGACATCAGTGTCGTCAAGGGCAGATGCGCCGCTGACACCGCGGTCATCCTTGCCGTTGGCACGGTCGAAGACGCCACCAGAACCGCCAGCGTAGGCACCGCGGCCACCAGCTCCGCTAAAAGCAGAACCCTGGTAGCTCTGGGCCTGCTGGTTGAAAGTGCGGAGAAGGCTGGCGGTCGATTCGGGCGTGAACTTGTCATTGCCCAAGCCGACTCGGATCTGGCGGCCGGCGAGCTCGAAACCGTTCATTTCGGCGAGAGCCTCCTTGGCGTTGGAAGGGTCGTTGAACCTGGCCTGTTGTTAGTATACGGGTTTGGCGAGTAGGAGATACAGGGCAGCTTACTGGACGAAGCCGTAGCCCTTGGAGCGGCCCGGGTTCAGCTCGTCGCGCTGCAGGATGACCTGCTCGAGCTCACCATAGGGCTCGAAGATCTCCTGGAGATCCTTCTCGGTGACGCTGAAGTGGATGTTGCCGACGTAGAGACGGTGGAAGGGCGCGCCGTTGGCACCGGGAGCAGCACCACCTTCCGAGGGTCGTGCCGCGCGGTTCTTCTCGGCTTCGGTGAGCTGGGCGATGATGGGCACGCCCTTGAGCTTCTGGCCGGTCAGCTCGATCGCTTTGGGGACAGACGACTCCTCCTTGAACTCGACGTATCCAACACTGTGACTAGTCAGCACGTGACCGTCATGGCCTACGACGCAACGACTTACCCTTTGGAGCGGCCCGTGACGCGGTCCTTGACAATCTGGGCCTCGACGACAGGGCCGGCCGTCTCGAAGAAGGAGCGCAGGTGGCGTGTCTCGGCGCGCTGCGAGATCTGCTGCACGAAGACGGTGCGCTTGTCGCGGTCGTCCTCGGTCACCTCGGGCTCGGGCGTCTTCTCGCGGCGGCTGCCCCGTCGCTCCTCGGCTCCCCCACGGCGACGCTCTCGCGAGCCTTCACGGTCACGGGGCCGGTCGGCGCGGTCGCGGCGTGGAGAGCGGGAACGTGCTCGTCCGGACGGGTTATAGTAGTCGCCGCCCCGGTCGCGGCGGCCTCCACGGTAGCGGTCGCGCGAGCTGCTGCGGCGGTGCCTGTCTCGATCTTGTTCCATGTCAGCGCCTCTGCTCGAGTGGGGGCGGCTGCCGTCTCCTCGTCGGTAGTCTCGGTCGCGGCTCCTGCGCCGGCCTCCATTGGACTCACGCGTGTCTCGATCTCTGCTCCTGTCGCGGCGGTCCGAGTGGCGGTCGCGGTCACGGGGACGGTCCTCGCGGCGGCCGTCGACATCGCGCGCCTCGCTGCTGGCCTTGCGCTCCCGCTCGCGCTCGCGGCTCTTCTCGACATCGCGGGCGGCTTCCTCGAGGAGGGCCTCGACCTCGTTGACTGCGGCCATGCCTAGCTTTCGATAAGTGGTGTGGGTGGATCGAATGTCTGGACTCAGTCACGGCGCAGGTGAAGGGCGAGCGAGTTTGGGGCTCAGATAATGGATTCAATTCTTGTAGTGCTGAAGTAGGCAGTCACTCCTGGCAGCTGCTGACTAACGGATCAACTGTCCTGAGCGTGTGCTTGACTGTCGCTGACCTGATGCAAGCGAAAAAAAAACCGTGGCTGGGTGGGCGAGTGGGCGACGTGAGGGAGAGGCTCGAGGCTAGATTTGACGTGTTGCCGGCCTTGGCATCGACGTTAGCTCCAGCATTGGCCAATGGTCATTCACCGTGGGTTGGTAGAGCATCAACACCAACTGCACTAGTATTTCGACACAGAGATAGCTGTCACAGCAACGCAAGTAGTGTCACGAATTACTATTATCTCTAAGATTATCATGTCGTTAGGTATAACAGGACAAACCCATCCAATCATTACCGACCCGGCACTGCACAGAATTCACCAAACGCCCTCTAAATGCCCATCCATCTACACCAATCGTAGCGAAAACACACTCCCCTTGGTCTTGTAGCCTTTACGAAGACTTGATGACCTTGGGCGCCGACGGTGAAGACGCCAGCTCGGTGCCAAACACCCAGTCCCAAAAGCGGCTCGTGACTCCAAACCCATTCTCGTAGTCTGCAAAGTGATGCGCAAGATGGTACTTCTTCAGCTCTTGCCAGTATGCGGGAAGCCTGTAACGTGTTAGCGGACTAGTCGAAGACCAGAATGGGTCAAACTCACTTCTGGTGGTGCAAAAAGTAGTGTGTCATATCATAGCACGTGTATCCAAAAATGCCTCCGCAGAAAACAGCCGTCGCCGCGTACCAGTCGTAAGGAACGACAATGTGCGCGAGTTTCCAGAACGGTATTGCGAGCACAATGAACAATGTGGGCGGCATGACGAGTCGGTACTTGTCCATGGGTAGGTAGTGGTGGATGCCGTGGAGCAGAAAATGCAGTGTAATGGCCACGCGATTGTTGGGGAGATGTCTATCCCACGTCAGTAACGGTATATCCAGCTCGAGGGGAAGCACTTACGCGTCCAGATGGAACAAAAACCTGTGCAGAACATACTCGACAATCGTCCAGAAACCCAGCCCAAACATCCAGCTCGCTACCAAACCAGCAGTAGTCAGATGTTGAGCGGCCAGCACTGTTCCAAACGCAGCACACGGCCACCATATCGTTGGCACCATCCACCACGGCGTCTTGCTCAGCGGCTCCAAGAAATTGCCAAATAGCGGCGCAGAGTCTCCTCCCCTGTAGTGTCGTGGGCGATGCACCTGCTCCAGATAAAAGTCCTTGTCGAATCCACCATTCCAGACCTGCATGAACAGCGGTCTGCTCAAATCGAGAAACTTGTGCTGTCTGTAATCTACGTTGGCATCGGTTTCCCGCGAGAGGTCCTCTGCCGAGGACATGCCAGTCGCAGCATATAGCGGTGTGCCATTCAACGTCATGCCCATGAGCTCTGCTTTGCCTGCTTCGGAAGGCAGCAAAGGGACGATTTCCCCCGGTTTGCTGCTCTTGGTAGCGCCATTTATGATTGCCTCGGTGGGCATGAATCCAACAAGATACTCGTCGAGCATCTCGTATGCAGAATCGGAGTGGGTGTGCGAGATCTCGTCCTTGAGGATCTCCGTCACATCTTTGCCTCCGTACTCCAGAATGTATTCTTCGCCACCGGGGTGGTCGGAGAGAAAGTCGGTGACATCGTAGACTTTGGTGCCAATTGTAACGTAGCAGGACTTTTCGTTGTTGTGCGCCTGCACTTCAGCAGCCGGGATCGTCGGAAGGGTGCGGCCCGGCATTGTGACCGTCGTAGACATGCAGAAGGGTGGTGGGTGACGGTAGAGAAGGTGTTTGTAGTATTTGCAGCTCGAGTGGCGTCAGGCAGGGTCAAGTGTAGGAATGTATTCGAGGTCGACCTGGACTTGCGAAGAGGCGGAAGCGGCTTCGGAAAGATACTTTGCCACAATAGTACAACGACTCTGAAACGCGATGGCTTGTGGCTTGCTGTAGCGAAAAAGGAACGTAGGAGGTGAGAGGCCTGCAAGTGGAAAAGTAAACAAGCGCGAAGCAGAGGACAATGTACTTGTCAATAATATTAGTTATCAGGAGAGCGCTAACAACGTCGGACACATGAGCAGCAAATCGCGAGACAGTGGCGAGATGGAAATCTTTCTTTCCGACCTCCGAGATTTGAGATTTGACATTCGTCCGCCGAGACGATGCTCGCAATTTTACATGCTTCTGCCCAATTAAGCCTTTGTATGTCTCTTTCGATCTAGGGAGTTTGCACCACACGCTGCTCACGTGTTCTCGTCGGATCGTCCAACCGCTACATGGCACGGTTACCACATCATCTGCTTCTGTATGTACATGGTACCGGTATTCGATACAGTGTGGCGGCAGCCACCTCTCCCAAAAGTGTTTCATACTTTCTCAACCTCCAACGGCTATCCATGACCCTGCATTGTCGTTGAGACAGGGTTGACAATGCTGGGCCCTGACTCGGCAGGTCTCTTGCGTCACTGCATTGCCCAAGTCGCGACTCCCTCACAAATGCCAACCAACACCTATAGCCGCCATGTTCCTTGATTTCGCTGCAGATCGTCGGTCGTTCAGCGGCATCCTTCGCTGTCTCACACCTCAAATATCTCCTCGCGACGTCTGGCTGGCCGGGAATCTCTCGCACAACTTCCTCTTGCAACCATTCCTAGACACTTTACCTGACCCGTGACCGCGCGTAACAACTACGCGCGCGTCGCCCCTCACTATGCATACTTCTTCCAGGCCCAGTAGGGGCACCAACCCACCTGTGTCACAGTTCTCTATTCCTCGATTATGTTCCGTATTGTTTCTCTTGTCCGGCTTCCCTCTGGCAGATGGGCTGCATCACATGGCCACAAAGGCGCCACGCAAATCCCTCAATCGCAGAAAAGCACCCATCACGCCCTTGCTCATCACCAACCGATGTCCTGACGATATCTGGCCTGGAATTGGAACTCAGTCTGGAGATGGTCCGAGCGAGAACGGCTTCAAGCTGCAGCCTGGAGAAAGCAAGAACCAGACCGTGTCAGAAGATTGGCAAGGTCGAGTCTGGGGCAGGACCAACTGCTCTTTCAACGATGATGGGACTGGACCTGCGCAAGGCCGTGGAAAGGCGTGCATGTCGGGCGACTGCAATGGCGTTCTAAACTGTGCAGTAGGCGTAAGTGGCCAGGCATTCCGCGCTCTGCACTCAGCTTCGACAATGACTAATTTCACATGCAGGGTGATGTACCAGTCTCCCTTGCAGAGTTCACGTTGGATGCTGGAGACGGACACACCTACTATGACATTTCCTTAGTAGACGGCTACAATATGCCCATGGCCATTGTCCTACAACCCCTCGAAAACGTCACTCTCGATGACATCCCGCCAAACCTCACCAACCCCTCATGCCAAGGCACAGCTGGTCTCCTCGCCTCGCAGGGCTATGTTCCGTACGAAGAATACCCCGATTTCCTCAGGACGAACACTTCATATCCCCTACCGTTTGAGGAGGAAGTAGACGAAACCAAAATCTCAAAATGGTGTCCATGGGACCTGCAGCAATTCCCTCCGGATAAGCCAGGCGACGGTGTGTATCCGTATCCCGATGACAACATCCAGAGGCCCATGTTCAACCCTTGCTACTCCACTTGTGCCAAGAACAACCGGCCCGAAGACTGTTGTACAGGGGAGTACAATTCAGCCAGCAAGTGCCGGCCCGGCGACTATTCCAAGAACGTCAAGGAAGTCTGTCCAGACGCGTACAGTTTTGGTAAGCTATCCTACCCTGGTAACACCTAAGACATCTGGAAAAACTAACAATTCCTCGCAGCATTTGACGACCAGACGTCCACCTTCATCATCCCATCTGGAGCAGGCTTTGAAGTCGTCTTTTGTCCCGGAGCCCGCTCGACGAACATCCTGGACACGAGCATGGACGAGATGCTGCAGCTGGCGCAGAACGGAAAGGTCGACCATCAGGTTGCCATGGCTTTGAAAAGGTCCAGGCAGGAGATGTTCCGGAGAAGCAGTGCAACGCGGACTTTCGGACTGGATAGCAGTGTTCTCATGGGCATGTCTCTTACGGCTGTGTTCTTATCGTTCGTATTGTTCGGATAGACTATGGGTGAGATCAATGCTACGTCAAGAGACCTGGTGTTGTGCGTGTGCTTGGATAGGAGTTCTATACCCTTCTGCTATTAGTAGCAATTCAATTCGTTTCTATGATCAGTGAGTTGATGCATGTATAGTATGTTTGTCGCGTGAAACTACTCATGGAACGAAGTCTATGCTTTTCCATCTGAATCCATGTGAAAGATAAGAAGACATGCCATGCCATGCCATGTGGCCTGTGTCTTGAAAACTAGGAAATTGTCCTAACTAGATAAACAATTACCAATAATGGTTATGCACCATTATTGTACGTTGGTCTCAGAGGCAGACTGTGATTGTTCAAGAGGAGAGGTTCAGGTCATCTAGTAGAGGAAGCCCTAGCTGTTTGGAAGAAGTAGTGGTGAGTCTACAGGCTTACAATGTGCTGCTAGACGTTCACGAAGCCTGGGTAAAGTCTATCGGTGGTGAAGATGGTATTATTGAACGTGCAAAATCTACTCGTTGATTCGGCAAGATTCACATCACGTAGAGCATGTCAATGTATTTTTGTAGAGGAAAATAGAGTTGGAAACAGAAGGTTCAGGTGATCTATTGTGTGGATCACTGCTCTACGAAGAATTGATCGTAGAGCAACTATATATACTACGTAAAGAGCGGATAAACAGTCACCCCGAGCTCCGAGCTCTCTTGGCGTGCGTCCGGGAGCGTAGTATGGTTGCGACAATTTTAATTCGGGGTCACAAATTCTGGGATGGTGATGAAAGGGTTGCCAGGCGGTGGAGCTTGGACAAGGAAGTGTGGAGAGCGGAATCGCTGTCTCGTCGCGTTGGGGATTGGATGAGACGGGCGCTTGTGCAGCAGGGGTGGTGGGCGGTTCCCTGACGCTTTCCCTTGCTTTCAACGCGGCTTTCTTTGCTTGTCACTTCAGTTGTGATTCGTCTGATATCAAATTCCTAAAGAATCCGACCGCTCGACGTACACGTTCTCGAGTCTACCAAAGTAGCCGGACAGATATAATCTGCAAGTGGCAACAGCTTGAGGTTGTAGACGTAGAACAAGGTGGTCAACACGAGGGTATAGAATTGGTAACAAGTCAAAGTGTATTTTGTTGAAATTCGCAACACAGGGGCAGCTGATCAGAGGAGTCGCACAGACCAGGTCGTTTTGGCGCGAACACAACGCGTCCGGCTTGAGCTTGTCTCTTCCACTTACCTCGCAATCGCAGGATGACATCTTCATACATTCCGGCTGGATACCACTTCGATACTCAGCATGATGGCACCGAACATCTCGCCATCAATAACACATTTGCTCGCCGTTTCTTGACTCGACTGGCCTTGCATACTACGGCGAAGTTCTATTCAGAGGATGGTCTTTGTGTCCCGATCTCGAAACACAAAATTGTCAAGGCAGGGCATCGAACCCATCTGACAGAAGGTGCAACTATGAAATATCTGGCTGAAAATACCACCATTCCTGTCCCAAAGGTCTATTGCTCTTTTGTACACAAGAACATAGCGTACATTGTTATGGAGAGGATCCAAGGCGACGTACTACCAAAAGCATGGAAAGGCTTGTCTGAAGAATCACTTGAGGGTATTTTCACGCAATTGAGAAAAATCTTCCAAGAGTTACGCGCACTAACACCTCCGCCGGGCATGACGGGCGTGGAAAGCTGTGTAGGAGGCTCTTTGTACGACTCGCGCATCCCCCGCGGAAAGCCACGCTTCGGCCCGTTCAAGACCATACAAGACTTCCATTTCTGGCTCAGACATGACTTCAAACCGGATGACCTCAAACGCCGTGAAGAAGACCAAGATTCGCACGACCTCCGGGATATGATGAGCAAGCAGGATGGGTCATGGCCTCTACCAAAGTTTAGCCATGGCGATCTAAATCCATTCAACGTAATAGTTCGTGGGGGCAATGTGGTTGGGGTGATTGACTGGGAGTTCGCCGGATGGTATCCGTATTATTGGGAATATACATCGGCCTGGTTTGGCAATCTCATAAGGACAGATTGGCAGGGCATGATCGGCAAGTTTCTCGACCGACCGAGTCCTGAGGAATTCAAGATGGAGGAAGTTCGCCATAAATGGTGGGGTGAGTTTTGATTCGTGATAGTCTTGAGTTGAATGAGTGTTGGCACTGCTCGTGATGTGGTGATGAATATGAAATGATTAGGAAGTGTATTTGAAGTTAGTAAAGACCTTGTATCTTTGCTTTCTTACCTTAACAGCAAACAACCGGGTAGGACAGATCAATTGAGAGGTTAGTGATTCTTTGTCAAGGTCAAACCAGCGGTCAGAATGACTAACAAATAGCTCTTTGTTGACTACAAACAGCAACATGATGCTTCTATCCTGGTGGGTATTTATCCTCGGTAACCAACTGTAGTCTATGCGAAACAATGAACCGCTGTGCAACTCCAAAGACGAACACTATGCACCGTGCCTCACCGTTCTAACTCGATCAAAACACGGACCGAATTACCCCGTCATCATAACGGACTCCCCAACAGTCCGCGTGGCCCTTGAGTTCCTGTCGCGCACATGACAAGGTCGGTAAACCAGGGCCTCTGTCCACAACAGTCCCACAGCACCTCGCGCCTAGCCGTTCTGGGCGCGGAGGGGCAACCCCCGCATACCACGAACAGCTTCATGCCCATCGCAGCTGCTCTGCTCCATGGAGCTCAACACCGCTTCTGTCGCTCCGGTCCCAGTTTACTATGACATTCTGTGCCGTGGGGATATATTTGGAAAGAACCCTGGGTTTGGAATTGAGGGTCCTGCCGTTCTTGCTGCCTACTTAAGCTGTGAGGTGTGGGCGTGTGTGTGAAATAGCTTGTTTGAATTCGCAAACTGCTCAGGTTTTACAGTACGCTCGTCATGGCGAAAGCTCAAGCTTTGGCTGTTCATCGGCTTACGGAGGGGTGGTCGTTCAAGCAAGCAGATGATGAGGCGAAAGATGCGTGGATGCCAGTCAAGAGCGTTCCGACGAACGTTCATCTGGATTTGATGGATAATGGGAAGTATGTTTGGCAACTATAAAACTTCAGGACATGTTTGTATGCAGCCGACTTACACGATACCAGAATCCCAGATCCCTTCCTCGGCTTCAACGAACTCAAGGCGGAATGGGTTGCGGATAAAGCCTGGACGTACCAAGTCGAATTGCCCGAGGTTGAAAAACCAAAAAATGGCACGGTTTATGTGTTGGCTTTCGATGGCCTAGACACGTTCGCGACTGTCAAGCTCAATGGCAAGGTCATTCTCGACAGCGACAACATGTTTGTTCCACACCGGCTCGATGTCACGCGGCAGTTGAATCCTGGAACCAAGAATACTATGGAGGTTGTGTTCGCATCCGCACGCCTGGAAGCTATCAAGATCCGTGAGCAGTATCCAGACCATAAGTGGGTCGGTTTCAATGGCGACATGTCGAGGCTCGCGGTGAGGAAAGCGCAGTACCATTGGGGATGGGACTGGGGACCAATCCTCAACACATGTGGACCGTGGCGCGAAGTCAGATTGGAAACGTATCAGGCGAGGGTACAGGATCTCAGAGTCGACTACAAACTTGATGACAGCTTGAAGTCGGTACAGGGCACGATTTCAGCGTCTGTCGAGGGCTCTTCCGCCAAGAGTGTCACATTTGCAGTGCAAGATGGAGAGAAATTGGTCTTCAAGGAGTCTGCAAAGATCAGTGATGGAACAGCCAAGGTCGAGTTTCACGTCAACAATCCGAAGCTGTGGTACCCGCATGGATATGGCGACCAACCTCTGTACAAGATCACCGCAACAGTATCGACAGACGATGTGGAACTGCATCAAGTGACAAGACGCACCGGATTCCGCAAAGGCGAGTTGATTCAGAAACCAGATGCCGTTGGTAAGACGTTCTTCTTCCGCGTCAATGGCGTGGATGTGTTTTGCGGCGGCTCGGACTGGATTCCTGCCGATTCTTTCACACCGAGGGTCACGGAAGAGAAGTACCGCAAGTGGCTGGAGATGATGGTTGACGGATATCAGATCATGATACGGTATGTATGTGCTATCGTGCTATCGTTGTGTCATACTGATTGTAAACTTCAGAATCTGGGGCGGAGGTATTTGGGAAGAGGACATCTTCTACGACATCTGCGACGAGCTGGGTGTTTTGGTATGGCAGGACTTTATGTTCGGCTGTGGCAACTATCCTGCTTTCCCCTCAATCCTCAAATCGATCAAAGAGGAGTGCGTTGCGAATGTCGCTCGGCTGCGCCACCACCCATCGATCATCATCTACGCTGGTAACAACGAGGACTATCAGGTGCAGGAGTCGTTCGATTTGACCTACAACTACGAGGACAAGGATCCGGAGAGCTGGCTCAAGACCGACTTTCCTGCACGGTACATATACGAGAAGGTGAGTACCTCACACTTAAATTCCAAGTTGTATGCATGGCGCTAACGAGGTTTGATTAACAGCTCCTTCCTGAAGTGGTTGCTGCAGAAAGTCCACACGTACCATATCACCCAGGGTCACCATGGGGCGACGGCCTCAAGACATCGACTACCACAGTGGGAGACATGCACCAATGGAACGGTAAGAAACGTCTCTTTGTTTGTGGGACGAGTGCTAACACAACCTAGTCTGGCATGGCACGCAAGAGAAATACCAGATCTTTGACACTCTCGGCGGTCGTTTCAACAGTGAGTTCGGCATGGAAGCCTTCCCTCACATTGATACAATCAAGCACTACTGCACCGACGAGTCACAACTGTATCCGCAAAGCCATATGCTAGATTTCCACAACAAGGCAGACGGCCACGAGCGGAGGATCGCAACCTATCTTGTCGAGAACTTCCGCACGAAGACGGACCTCGAGAGCTTCATCCATCTCACCCAGCTCTCCCAAGCCGAAGCCTTGATGTTTGGTTACCGAGGCTGGCGACGTCAATGGGGTCAAGATCGCTTCTGCGGCGGTGCCCTCGTCTGGCAGCTCAACGACTGCTGGCCCGTCACCTCTTGGTCTATTGTAGACTACTTCCTACGCAAGAAGCCGGCGTACTACGCTATGCGCCGCGTCCTTGCACCTATTGCTGTGGCTGCAAAGCGCGCACACTTCGATTGGAGCGTTGTGCATGCGCGAGTACCCAAGACGAGCGAGTTTGAGGTCTGGGTCGCAAGCAACCAACCCAAAGAGATCGAGGCCACTGTAGAGTTACGCTTCATCTCCATTGCGACAGGCAAAGAGATCAAGGACAAACTCGTCAAGGAGAGAGTGAAACTCGTGCCAAATGGTACAACAGACATCTTCTCCGGCACCATCGACAACGTCGATGAGGAACCGCATGTCCTTGCAACACGTATTTGGGTCGATGGCGAAATCGTGTCCCGCGACGTAGACTGGCCGCAGCCGCTCAAGTACCTGGACTTTGCGGATCGCGGCTTGGAGGTTCAACCCAAGGGTAATACTATTGTGGTCAAGGCAGACAAGCCCACGAAGGGCCTAGTGTTTGAGGAGAGATCGGGCGTGCTTGTGCATGACAGCGCTATTGACGTTGTGCCGGGCGACGAGCAGATCATCAAAGTCAAGGGATTGGGGAAGCAAGACGAGCCGCTCAGATGGACGTATTTGGGGAAAGACTGATGACCAATGCTTGTAAATATCATGAAAATATCTAGCGATGGGGTGATATCAAAATGCGAGTCCAAGTTGCTCTATGTCATGTGGGTCAGCGCTTGAACCTGGAATTTGGACAATGCATGAAAACCAGGTTCGGTCTCGTGTCCAGGTCAAGGGTAGCTGTATGGAAGTGGAGGTAATCAGATGCAAAACTTTTTTCTTCCGATGCGAGATCTGGACAAAACGGGCCACGAGGTAGTTGCATAGCACACGCTACGTGAAGCATAATCGCACCACTCAGCGCTGGAGACAGACACACCCGCAAAACAAGCCACTCACGGCCCGCCCGTCAACGCGACGCCGTTGCCAGCATAACGTTATGTGGTGCCGGTTGGCAGCTGTTTCGGCACTATGATGCAGTTGAGGCTGGTGGAAAGAAAGGAGCAAGCTACAGCGCCGCCCGAGCGCCTCGGCTTCGTCAGCTATGCATTCTTCCCGCCCCGTCCCTCACCCACACCCCCGTCCGTCTCCACGATCGGTTACACTTCCCCCCTGCATCCCATGCACTCCATGCAGCATCGGCCCAGAGGTCAAAATGCGGGGTTGCATGGTTTGTTCCGATCGTTGTGCCGGCCTTTCTCGACGGATGACCACAACGTTGAATACGAGAGAGGCAGTCGGCAAAGGCGTATAGACTGCAACCACCAGACGACATTTAGCAGAAACAGAAACCAACACGTAGCTTCCGCACAGCAAAGGGTTTTCCTTGTAAACGCGCTGCCACCTTGTCAAGACGCGTATTTTGTCCTTCTTTGACTCTTCTGCAGCTTGTCAGGATATTTTTTTTTGTGCCCGCTGCACGCTTGGTCGCTTTAATCCGACGGCTTTTTTCGGGATTCCGCGTCCATGGTCTCCTGATACGCGTATGGGCGATCGGCTCTGTCATCTTGTTTTGGCAATTTAGATTCAAACTGCACACGAACGGCATCTTCGAGCCATCTCATCATGTTTCATACTTTCCAATCTGCTGCGGGGCAGCGACCAGCAGGCGCAGAGGTGGATGGTACGGGGAAGCCTTCAAGATCGACGTCACGACGGATATCCACAAGTAACGCGTGTGTGGAATGCAGGAGGAGGAAGATTCGCTGTGATGGCGCGCAGCCCTGTGGACAGTGTCAGTGGTATCAGCACCCTGAGGTCTGTAGTCTTCCTCTTGGTGGATACGTCTGAGCTGACGATTTGAGAAGGCGTGTGGATACTCAAAGCCTGCGCAGAGAGTTATACCCAGCAGAAAGTGAGTGCTCCTCGGGCATTTTACGTAGTAAATGCGTACTGACGGTAGGGCAGGTTGGTAGATAAACTATCGAACAACCTCGATCAGTACAGAACTGTATTGACGAAGCTGTATGGATCGAAAAGCCTCGAGTCCTTGGCTTCTATGCCTCGAGAAGAACTACTGGAGTTGGCTCTATGTTCGTCAGTCCCTCAGCAGACGACATCACCATCCATTTCTGAAGGTCCGGCCATCTCAGAGGCGCACGGAGGCTCCGATGGCGCTGAAAGCCTCGAAGCCCTCGAGCAAGCTCCACCAGAGGAGATATTCTGGGACGAGGCCCGCAAGCACCAAGTCCGCGTTCAAAGGATTTCCGATGATGTCAACGGGCTCTCCATGTCTGTAGACAAACTCTCGTCCTACGTGGGTATATCGTCCATCACAGCGGCGCTCAAAGTCATTGTGAGATGTGCACCGCAAGCACGTCCATTCATTGCACTCAGCAGCCAGGAAACAGCACTTCCGAGTCGAGCAAGCTCGCCACCTCCTGAACTTGCAGACGACAATCCGCTGGCTTTGCCATCACAGGTACACGGGCAGTTGCTTCTCGAGAGTTACTTCGACCGCGTTCATCCGTTCTTTCCGCTGATTGACGAGCGTAAGTTTTGGACCAGCTACCTGTACGGCAACCGGAAAGACTCCCAATGGCTAGCGCTGCTGAACATAGTATTTGCGCTGGGTTCACTTGCTTCACTTACAGCTGATAACGAAGCACACTATGTGTATTTCAACCGCTCACGACAACATCTGTCGTTGGACTCTTTTGGCAGTGGCAATCTGGAGGTCCTCCAAGCTCTAGCGATTATGAGTGGATACTATATGCACTACCTCAATCGACCAAACGAGGCCCATTCGCTTATGGGTGGTACATTGCGTATGGCCACGGCACTGGGTCTACACCGCGAGTACTCGGAACGAAGCGACACAGGCCGTCAAGCTATGACACTTACCGAGGAAGAGTCAATTTCGCCCGAACTCCGGCGGCGCATATGGTGGAGTCTATTTTGCCTCGATGCATGGGCATCGACGACGACTGGCAGGCCTTCGCTAGGCAGAATGGGACCTTCCATCACAGTCCTAAGACCTGGTACTGCTCCCAACGCGGTAAGTAAACCTTGTTGTGCGTCTGAGCGAAATGATGGTTGATTGGTGGAATCGAAGGACTGATAATCCGGATAGGTTCCTGTGATTCCGCCGCCGAATAGCCACCAGTATATCGACCAGCTCAAGATTTTGCCCCTCACGCATGCTTCTAGTTTCTGCCAGATTGCTACGAGGATCCAAGATCGCCTTGTCGAATCCCCGTTGTTGTCTTTCCATGAAACATCCACGTACGATGCACAGTTGTTGAGCTGGCATGAAGATCTACCATCCATTCTGTCTAACCTGGATGAACCATGTCCCGAATTCCTTGGCCGAGTGCGACTCATCATGAAGTGGCGTTTCCAGAATATCCGTCTCGTGCTTCATCGACCCGTTCTTCTCACCACTGCTCTGCGGCGATGTGAATGGAGTAGTCTGACAGCGGAAGAGAAAATCACCGTGGGAAAATGCCGACTAATCGCCAGCAAAACAATCGAAGACATGAGCAAAGAATGCATGCCCGACCTGATCAGCGGCTGGAACGCAGTCTGGCTCTGTTTCCAAGCATGCATGGTCCCCCTCGTGTCCCTCTTCAGCGACGCAAGCATGCCCGACGAAGTAGAAAAATGGAAGACTAGCATCGAGACAGCGCTATGTTTCTTCGAACGCGTCCGCGACTGGAGCATCGCTGCGAAACGAAGCGGCGACGCGGTCTTGGGCCTGTACCAAGCGTACAAAACGCACGCCTCGACTTGCTCCGCACAGCAGACTCCCGCACTCACATCCCAACCCTTACCGCAGTTCCAGCCACCACAGGCCGCGTTCCCTATCCACGCTATGCCCACGACGCAAGCGGACTTTGCGTACCTCAACCCGCCTAGTCAGGTCCCGTTTGGCTTTGACCCGGCCATGTCGACATGGTCGAGCTTCAACGCGAATGACCCCATGATGCTGAATCACTACTGGGACGACATGATGTGGGACACTAATCTACCGGATATGGCGACGGACGTGCCGTATGGGATTACTAACGAATATGCGTTTGGGGGTGCGGCGCAGGACTCGGGGGCGGGTGGGGCGTATTGGATGCATGGGAATTGATGGGGACTTGGGTGTTGGGGTTTGTTTTTAATGGATGAGAGGGAGGTAAAAGTTTTGTATAGTTATGTATATACTCGTATGAGGTTGTATGAGTGTGTAGAGCATAGCAGAGAAGCATGTTGGTCGTGTAGATAAAGCGCATATGATATGTGGAAAAAATCGAGTGTTGCTGGGAGTGAGGATAGATTTGTACGATACCCTATGTATTCAGGTGGAAGATGGGGAATTTGTACAGAGCAAATGTATGGAGTGTATAGTTTTATTGATGGTACTTGGTCAAGGCGCTCTCTGTCCGTGACAGGTTAGCCATCAGTCTGCACAGAGCAAATCGGGACATTAGTTACGATGAATGTGAATACACGTATTTTTGTAAGATGTTACGAAAAGAAATTACTACAGAATGATAACATGGGGATATGGATATGAACCCGCTGACTAATCACGACCAAAGCCAAGCAACCGAAAACGGCGGGCGTGCCAATCTTTCAACCTGTCAGGGTCCATCTGTCTCGTGTCACGCGCGTCCGAGTCATGCAGGAAGCTCGGTGAAAGGCGACACAACGTCACCCAGGATCGAATCTCCTGCTTTGGAGCCACCACGTGGGGTGGCACTGATTCGATCGGCCATGGATGCATCAATGCGGTGCCTTGGCTTGCCGACAAGGTCTGTTCGTCCGCGCGGGGCTGTGTCTGTACTTGCATATTGAATTCGTAATTCGTAGTTGAGTTGTAATTCAGACTGGAAGAAAGCCATCATGTCGTCGGAAACGAATCTCCATCGCGCCATCTCGATGAAACCGCACCCTTTCCATTCACACCCCGAACGCGTCGAACGCACGGCGAGCCCACATCCCTTGCACACACACAGCTCCTCGGGGACGCAGACGGGAAACAGCACTGCCGTTGAGACAACACACCCCGCTACCGACCACGACGCGGTTCCACGCCATGTCCCACATCGTAGCAGCATCGACAGCGATGTCGAACGCGCTGATCTGGCCCAGTACACATCAGACAACGACCCCTACCGCCTCGCCGCCGCCATCAAGCCCGAGGCCGAGCTGGCGGAGATACGGGCCAACACGTCGAGGAAGCGCGATGGCTGCGGGCCCATGAACCTGACGTCCAAGGCCCGGAGCGCAAACAAGCTGGAGAAGTTCTACGAGGCGCAGAACGAGAACATCGAGCGCCTGCTCAAGCCCGTCGACGATCACCGCCGCGACGCAAAGGAAGAGGGCGACGCCAACCACCTCAAGTACAAGATCGCCGTTGTCGGCTCGTTTGTCGCAAACGTCCTCCTCGCTGTCCTGCAGCTCTACGCTGCAATCTCGTCACGCTCCCTGTCCATCTTCACCACCATGGCCGACTCGCTGTTCGACCCCCTGTCCAACGTCACCCTGATCCTGTGTCACCGCGCCGTCGCCCGTGTTGACGCCCGCAAGTTTCCCTCAGGCAAAGCGCGCATCGAGACGGCCGGCAACCTGTGCTTCTGCGCCCTCATGATCACCGTCAGCGTCGTCATCATCGTCGAATCCATCCGCACCATCGCCGAGCACACAGGCGCCGAGACCAATGACTTCCACCTGCCGTCTGTCATCGCTGTCACCATCGCCTTCCTGACCAAGTTCAGCCTGTTCCTGTACTGCTGGGCGATACGAAACAAGTACAGCCAAGTGCGCATTCTCTGGGAAGACCACCGCAACGACCTCTTCATCAACGGCTTCGGTATCCTGACCAGTGTCGGCGGCGCAAAGCTGAAATGGTGGATCGACTCCATGGGCGCCCTGATGCTCAGCTCCCTCATCATCTTCCTGTGGTCCCGCACTGCGTATTCTGAGTTCCAGCTGCTTATTGGAGTGACGGCTGACACGGCCATGCTGCAGCACATTACCTATATCTGTATGTATTTCACTTTCCCATACTACTATTCTCTCTAATTCCATATTCTAGCAATGACACACTCCGACGCTATCCGCCAAATCGATACCGTCCGCGCTTACCACTCGGGCCCCCGCCTCATCGTTGAAGTCGATATCGTCATGGATCCTGAGGCCTCGCTGCGCGCTACCCACGATATCGCTGAGGAACTGCAGATCAAGCTTGAGAGCTTGCCGGATGTGGAGCGCGCGTATGTGCATGTGGATTACGAGACGGACCATCGGCCCGAGCACTTTTTGAAAAAGGAGTTGTAGTTTTGTAACCAAACAGTGCGTTGTGTTGCGTTAAGATGGAGAAAGGGAAATGAGGAGACATCGAGTGAAGATGCGGCTTGTAGACTTATCCTATCGTGGGCGACTGAATGAAGGGGGAAAAGAGCGGGCAGAAATGAAATCACCTCGAAGTCGAAGTCTCAACCTTGGTTTTGTCCTTTAGCTTTCATCGATACCTGTATTACTCATTCCTTTTCTCCTAATTCAATATTCCTGAAACTCAAGCTCAATCTGTAATCTCCGCGTATATCTTTCTGCCTGGTCAAACAACGCTACGCTTATAGTCCTACGTCCTCCACATAGAAAATCCAGAGGGGAGGATATACAAGGAGGCGATGATCGGACTTCCATCGATGGGTGAGTGTCTATGGAACAGGAAAGTCGTGGCGGTGAAGTGAAACAGAACGACGTGTTTGCACACAATCAGTTCCTCGCTTTCACTCCAGCGGTCAGAAAGACTCCACCATCCCATCGCGTTACTCGTCTTCTCACCTCTAGCACAACACACTTACTCACTCTCGCACCGCTCGCTGCGCGTCACCAACACCCCAACCTCAACAACAAAACACCATCACGTCGCCCATCCAATGCCTCGCAAAAAGCCTCCCTGCCCCCCAATCCGCGAAACAGTCACCTACCCACTCACTCCCACCCCGCCCTCCACAATCTCCTGCCCAACCGCCGCTTTCCCCTTCGAGCACATACTCTCCTGCGCACACCTCGTCACCACGCCGCTCCCCAACGAGCCCTGCGCGCCGAACTGCTTCCACATCACCAACCGCCGCGCCACCACAGCAGCGAAGAAGCGTATAAGCTCTAAACCCTTCTATTGCGATGCATGTATCGAGACAGCGAGCGAGGAGTGTGTAGGAGATGCGTGGAGTGCGGAGAGGGCTGGTACGTTGGATACACTACGCATAGTTCCTATGTACAAGGATGCGCTAACATGGCGAATAGAAGATCTACGCTCCACGCTGCGCGACGAGGAGGCGGCAAGACGCGACAAGTATACGCGGTTTCGGACGTGCTTCATCGGGTGCAAAGTCACAGCCGTACCTTGCGATGAGGAGGGGATGGCGGTTAAACACTATATGCCGTGCGAGCGGGGCCATGTATTCGATACCGCGTCGCCAAGGACGGGGTGGGGCATGTTTGCCGATGTTGGGGGTGTGTGGACGGGGGGTCAAAGCGAGGCGGATGGTGCTGTGGGGTCTTGTGCTGGGGGGGATGTGGACGAGGAAGAATGCGTCGACGAGGATGACCACGAGACGGCGGCTGAAGGGCGGGCGTGGCTGGAGGAACAGGCTGATATCGCGCAGTGTAGACGTGAGGAGGATGAGGAGGATGCGAATCGTTTGCGGAGGAGAGCTGCAAGGCCGGTGGTGTGGAGCTCGAGTCAGACTGAGGAGGCGGTTTGCTCGTCGCCTCCTGTGGTGAGGGGGAGGAGGTGTGGTGATGAGACGAGTGAGGAAGAGGAGGAAGAGGAAGAGGAGGAAGAAGTCATACCCAAACGACCGAAGAAGAGGCAGCGCGTTATGCCTATCATGCCTATCAAGCCTATTGAGTGCATGCTCGCTGTCAAAGAAAAGAGATCCTCCGATACAGCAGCACGTGGGAAAAGATATGCTAGAAAAGAGGAGTCGTGGCTGTCTACTCGCATTCGCACACACGCTATCCGGAGGAAGTAGTGTTGTGACACGCATACCAGCAGGTCACAGCATCCCTTTCGCAGTATGGAAAAGAGGGGATATGGCGTGGATATCAGCGTAACAACTGGCTCGTTTGGATACTTCTGGCACTTTCTGAAATGTCGAAGAGTGTCGACGGCTTGAGACACGACATTGGCCAGATTTTGGATCGCGTTTACCTTGTATTGTACTGAAAGGATGAACACAACATATCTAGAACTTTGCTGACATGAAGCAAACGTAGAGAACTGAATGTACAGTAGGTAATGGATGGATGTACTCACACAACAACGGACGGATCGTTCAATTTGGTACACCGTGTTCTTGTGTGCGAAGACTGATTACCCAGTACGAAACGTCAATCGAATAATGATCTGGGGGCTCTGTTGGCTGTATCTTTCGATGTGGCTTCTGGTTAATTTCGCTTCACCAGTCTCCGGTTCCCGTACTTTGTGCTCTGAGCTATATATACGTTCTCCTTATGGCCGATGTCGAATCTGCCGATTTTACGACCGAGGTGAGCTCTCTGTATACCATTCAAGGGTCAGGTCAACTATTAGACGAAGAGTAGAGCCAGACTGGTTGTGGGATCTGGCAATTTGCCCTTTGCAGTCTTTCTCCAACCACTTTGGATCCTATTAGCGCTATATTTGACATTTGAAAGATCTATAAGTATCATTCCCTACGAAGTGGTTTGTTGATAAGTATGCTATGCAGTTTTGTGAAATGTGTATGTATATAGACAGGCAGATAGCCGGTTGGAACGAAAGACAAAGACAGCAAACTGATGGCTAGTGCTAGTAATACTCGGCCCGATGCTACTATATCTACTTTCCATCAGAGTCTTTCCCACACTACCTCATACGTACATCTGTTGGCGTCGCAAAGTCTTGATTGCAGATCTGCCTTGCCTGTCCACTAGTCTTCCCAAATCCATATCAACCCTACGGCCGCTTCTTCGTCAAGACAGATGAGTTGCTGTGGTGGGCGCGTATCATTGGACTGAGCAGGTTGAGCATAGATTAGCGCGCGCTTCCAGCGAGAGTTGCTCTCGAAGGGTAGCTTCAGGAGGTGGGACCAATAACAACAATGCTGCACACATTTTCTCCATGTTAGCTGGAGGAATGATGATGCTGAGCACATCGTGCTGTTGATCCTCTTACGTTCAATGTCCAGATCTTGTCTCTCGATTAAATACAACAGAACTTTTCTCTGGACGTATTTCATCATATCCCAATCTAACAGAAAAGAAAAAACACCCATTATAGCCAGCCTACGGGTACGGAATTGCTATGTTGGTAAGGTTTATTCAAGACCAGCACCAATGCTGTCGTGATCCGTAAAGAAGCTCTGCCAGAAAATTTATCTGGATGACGGCTAGGCTTCAAAAGCTTGGAAATAAGCTTTTCTTCTAAGTAGCTTATAAACAGCTTACCCAATAACCATCTGCGGTGCCTCTACACTGAGCACTCTCTTCTGTCTTGGTCATGCTGATGAGCTCAGCCTCTTCTCATTTGGCTCAGCGAAACATAGTCTGCGCCAACCATATCGCCAGCTTCAGATCTCGCAAGTCTCTGGGCGTGAAAACAATTTTGCTACTGGTTACAACTTTGGCTGTATCATGCGATGGTGAGGCGCGGTACGGCGCAGTGCATCTGTCAGACCTCATCTGCGATACATGTATGGCCTAATCAGCAAAGGAGAACGCCACATCCATTGACAAAACAATGTAAAATCTACATAAGTATGTTTGATATATAATATGTGCAGGCATGTTCGGCTCAAAGGCATCTACTCTCGTTCTGGCATTCACTCCCAACAAGCACCCTGATTTTTAAATCAGGCACGACAGTGATACTAGCTATGGTGCGTTGCTACATTACATACTTGGCCGCTCTCATTGTTTGCCTGGTTTCTGCAGCACCAGCCAGCAAGCGGGAGTTCTCTCCAGACAATGTGTACTTCCCACTCCCGAACGGGTTTCCTGAACCAAGCCAAGATCAAATCCTCCAAATCCAGAGAGAAGCCCACGGCACTCTACCCAATAGCCTACTACCAGCAACACTCAGTTCTGAAGGAGTCACAAATCTCAAGCTTATTGCTCTCAACGAACTCTTCGAAGTCGCCTACTTTACCGAGCTAGTTTACAACTTGACGAACAAAGTCTCGGGCTACGATCTAGGATACGGCCATGAATACGTCCTCGACTCTTTACACGCCATCGTCGCACAAGAACAACTACATCTACTCAACGCAAATAGCGCGCTCGAACACTTCAAGCAAGAGCCAATCCAGCCCTGCAAATACAACTTCCCAGTCACAGACTTCCACTCAGCCATAGCTCTGGCAGGCACTTTCACCGACCTAGTTCTAGGCACACTTCAAGACATCCAGGAGATATTTGCCAAAAACCAGGATAGCGGTCTTGTGCGCGGCGTGGCTTCCGTTCTCGGCAACGAAGCGGAACAACAGGGCTTCTACCGTCTCGTCCAGAAGAAACGTGTCACCTCGCAGCCGTTCCTCACAACCTCCACTAGAGACTTTGCTTTCACGGCTATTCAGTCGTTCACCATTCCTGGCTCTTGTCCGAATATCGACACGATCCCGCTCAAGAAACTCCTTCCGCTCACCGTCGAGACCAAAGATATTCCAGCCGCAACTCAGAAGCTTAAGTTCTCCTTTGCCGAAAACGATGCCGGACTGTATAACATGAATTCCTTCAGGCTGGTCTATATCAACGGGCAAAACTTGCCGATTGTGAAGAATCTGGAGAACCTTCAAGTGGTGGAAGACAGGGTTTTGTTCGAGGTGCCGTTTCCTTACGATGAGTTTCTGATGAATGGACTCACGATTGCGGCGGTTACGATGGGTGCGGATCAATTTGCTGATGCAGATGAGGTTTCCGAGGCTGCCATCTTCGGACCAGGGCTTATCCAAATCGAGTAACCTGGTCGATAGTCTGCTGGAAAATGTTGGGTATGCGTATAGTGTTGGAGCGCAGGATGCAGGGCTTGGCTTGCATACCCCGTTTCCGATGTACCAATGAATCTCTCAGTCAATGATTTGATGTTTCCTGCTACATAACTGGCGATTTAGCAAGCATGGGACTATCCTTTAGCCCTCTCGCCAGTGCGTGTCGGCCCTGTAGATTGTTTTCCCATGCTGGCCAGGAAATCTTTGATCACGCTCGGCAGCATCGGATCATTCAAAGACTTCGTGATCATGCCCATGTACTGTCCATCTACCTTTGGATCTCGTTTCATGTACAACATCGCGCAGCCTAGCGGGAACGAAATCGCAGTTGCGGCTGTGACGCCAAAGCAATCCTGAAAGAAATACGAGACGCATCGTGCTACCAGGCGAGCAAAGCTCCGTGGATGTGGACGGTCGATATGCGAGGTAGCTTCGTCGGATGGGACGTCTAGCACAGTGTCTAGAGTGCCGTATAGAAGGATAGAAATTGCCCAGTATCGAATCGTGAGGCAAGCACATTCGAGGGAAGGAAAGACGATCGGGCTCGTAGCGTGCGATACGGGGGTGTGAATTTTGCTCGTGTGGGCGGCAAGCCAGGACTCTAGTTTGAGATGTACGGCCCAGCATTTGGCGGTCAGTTGAAGACGCAAGGGGTCACTCGACACATCCTCTACCACCGACCCGGAGCTGAAGAGACCCAACGTCTCATCTTCTTCCTGCGTCGTATCTTTCGTCCAAGAGACCAGTGTCTCGAGATCCTCGAGAAGTTCAGGCACGCCGGCCAAAACATCGAGGAGCCCATCATTCGGCGTCTTGACCCTGTTCCTCCACGGCGTCATCCTCCAACACTCCTCATTAAGTACCGTCGTTTTCCTCGTACGTACAGCAGCAACAATGGGTCGATACCTCGCATTCGCAAACAGTAAATGCGCCGCATCATCTTCCGCATACGCATCCGGCTCCCGTCTAATTATCAGCGCCAACTCGCCCTTAGCATGGCTCAGCCAGCTCCTCGCCTGCGTCCCCGAGTTCGCATCAGGCCCAAACAATATCTCAAACAAACCCATGACCTTGGGAATTGCAAGTAGGGCCTCACTTTTCGCGCGCTGCGGGTCGCGCAACGCTCGTCCCATCTCTACGAGCGCCTTACCGTATAGCACCTTTCCCTGCTGTAGCACGATTGCGTCGTTGGAGGTCTTGCCGAGGGCTGCAGTACCGACGGCAAGGATGGCCATGCGGAGGGCAGGGTCGTGGACGCATAGCATGGGTAGGAAGTTCATGAAAGTGTTGTCTTCTGCGAGGATGGCGTGAGGGTTGTGAATGTTTTGTGGGATGAATACGTGCACGTATGCTTCCATGCTTATTTGGCTGTAGGCAGAGAGTGCGAACCCCTCTGGAAGGCTTATGGGTGTGTTGGGTGGACTGCATTCACTTGAGTAGAACTCGGTACCTTGGTCGCTGCCGAACCGTACAACATCGTCTGGTGTCGTGCCTCGAGGTGTTCGCGGGGGTGTTATAACCAACGCTTTACGTTCAGGTCTGTCTTTCTGGTATATGAAGATGCGATCTACATCGTAGCCTTCGCACGTAAGTCCTCTGTCCTGGCACTGTCCGCATGCGGGGCGTTGAAGATCGCACTGCCACGGTGAGCTTTCGATTTTTATCCAAAGACAGGGCGATCCCAACTTACACCCTTTTTTCTCTTCCTACATGAAATGCAGCCTTTAGACCGCCCCGCAACGCCGACCATGATTATTCTCAAACACGTGTGAGGGCGAAGCAGTAGCGGCGCGCAATGCTCCTCTATGGGAAGTGCCCCATGATGATCTTTTTCTATGTAGGAAGTGCAGATCTCCTTAATTCTATTGGTGCGCATCGTGTCATGATGCAATCAAAACATGCGTGACTGTTACAGCGTTCACGGCAGACCAATCGCGCTAGCCGTTCTGAGAGCATTCTGCGACAGCAGGCAACATCAACCACAGGTCGCCTTGAACACAACCTAGACGTTCCATGACAAGAGTTTACCAAGAGAAGAGGCGAGTTGATGAGCAATGCGAGTACAAGTTGGTAATTACGATGAATATGTATAAGACAATGGATTTCTTTCGCATATCGAGTAATCAAGTACTTCATCCCAAATAAAAACCTTCACATAGCCAACCATCTCACACTTCCACCGCAAACATGATCCGTTCTCCAAAGGCATCTTCCAGTACCTTTGCTAGAAGAATCCGCAACCCCCTCGGCTTCAGCAAAACATACAACTTCATCTTGTGGTTTATCTTCGCCGGCGCATTCGCAGGCTGTACGTCCACTCGTCCTACATCTACCATCTCCTATACTAACCTCCCTCAGTCGCACTTGCGCGTCTCCCATACCTAAACTTCGACAAGAACTTCTGCCCTTCGATTCCCAAACCAGGGAACAGCGCCGCGCCTGGCGAATGCTACTACTTCAAGACTTTCACGCGCTACAGGATTGGCATCATTCTACATCTTGCAGGTGTATTGCCTGCCAGTTTACTCGCAGTGATTCAGTTCACGCCGTTCATTCGTCGACGATGGATCACCGTGCATCGTATACTTGGCTACATGGCCATTTTGTTCTACACCGTAAGCCTCGTCGGTGCGTTGATGATTGCGCGGCATTCGTTCGGCGGCGGTTTGGATGTGCAAGTCTGGATTGGATTTGTGGGGATCGGAGTCCTGGTTTGCTTTGTGTTATCGTGGGTAAATATCAAGAGGTTGCAAATCGAGCAGCATCGGGCATGGATGCTTAGGGGATGGTTCTATGTACGTCAACTTCGTCTACTCTAGAGTTGAATGTTTTGCTGATAGAATGCAGGCCGGATCGATCATCACACAACGGATCATCCTGATTACCTCCGTTGGTGTCATCTCCGGGAAAGGGTACGATGTTGTTTGGCCATGTGCAAAGATCGCTGCAACGATTTCTGATGCATCGTCTCTGTTATCCGAATACCCTGCTTGTGCGTCCTTCGTAGATGGCTCCAATCTAGAGCAGGTATCTGCTGTAGCGGCGAACACAGCCAGTGGAGTTGGTTTCGGAGCAGGATTGAATCTCAGTTTTGGAATGGGACTCTGGCTCGCAGTTGCAATCCACGCTATTGGTGTTGAGATTTATGTAAGTCGTAAGCTCCTTTGACATACAAGAATCGGTGGCTGACAGAGTTTTAGTTGCAACTCACGCCCAGGGAAGCGGAACGTCTGAGAAATGTCAGCTACCAGCGACAACTCGAGGCTGGGATGCAAAATCCGGGGTCTGCAGGTCTCACTGCTGATCGATTGGGCGACGCTGATTTATGGACGCCCAAGGTGCCCAGGAAAGGCAGTGAAGCAACATCGAGTGCCGGTACTAGAGAATTCTCTGAGCAGGAAGAGACAAAGTGATATGAGTTGATGCACTTTCACGCAAGAGCACTGGGGAAGTAGCTTTGCAGGAATAGAATTAGGATCGTGCAATCTATCAATGAAGTTCATCCTATAGGTCTCATCATACTAGCCTTTAGTCGTGTTATCATGTGCGTCAGACCTCTACCACGGCAGCTGGAGGGGAACGGGAAGCTTATCCTTGGATCCCAGGACCGCCTCAGCAGTGCCAATGTCACTAATCACATTATGTCAGTCCGCATCAATCTCAAGACACTGATATACTCACGCGGCTCCACGAGGCGCCCAGTAAGTCCCCGTTTTACTGATCTCAAACGTCTCGATCCATTCGCTGAGTGACTTTGCCGCAACATCAGGTGTGACCGCTCCCCCATCATCCCAAAACTTGTCGAAGCCCACATTACGAGTCATATCCGTCCTCATAAATCCTGGGTGTACACTGGCCACCGCAACACCCCTATCTTTCAGATCTAGACTCAACAACTTGGCACACATGTTCAGTGCTGCTTTGCTAGCGTGATGTCCATAGTTGCCGCCTCCCTCTTCTTCGTGCCTGAGCGTTATACTGCCGCTCTCCGATGAAACGAAGATGACTTTGGACTTGGAGCTGAGCAGCTTGTTGGACTCGTTGGCGAGAGTTGTAACCAGAATTGTAGGACCGATGGCGCATGTGCGGTACATGGTTTCTTGGTCGGAGAATGAGGGTTCTTGGAGGGTCTCGGTTGCAAAGTACCCGGCTGTGATGATGAGAACGTCAACATGTGTTATAGAGTGAGCCTTGAGATAGTGGATAATCTTGCTGCCAGCGTCTGGCGACGCGATGTCAACGCTGGGAATATAGTTGATGTTTTTGGCTTTGCAAATAGAACCATCAGTATTATGTCTCTTTATAGCATACACAACCGCTGTGCAGGGAATGATGTAAACGGTATTGACGTATTGACTGACTGTTTGCAGGCGGATCTGATGTTCTTGCAGTCGCTAGGACATGAGTATCTGAATCTGAGGCATAGGCTTTTGCGAGGCTCGCTCCGAGACCACGAGTGGCGCCTACGATTAGCACGACAGACATCTTGTTGAACCAGTAATATTCTTTGAGAATAGAGACGAGTTTGTGGGAGCTCCAGTGAGGCTGTTTGAGGTTGTGATGGATAATGACGTCGGTGTTTCTATCGCGTGCTTACGTGAATGGATCGCGACTAGCCTATCAGTAAGAGGGACGACGCGTCGCGTCCGAGAGTTCAACCCAACCACCAAGACCTCCAGTGGGAGCCTATACTTGTTTGGAGGAGGATGTGGATTTCAGTAGGTCATCGTAGGAGGGGTTAGAATGCCCTGGACGGGTGTTGCAGAAAGCCGTTTGGAGATAGATGCCTCCGAGGAGCATTTGACGTTGGGAAAAAGCAATTTTGAACCCCTCAATTCCTCCCCAGCCACATCATGAAGAACATGCTGGAAGCTACAGTCTTGGGCAGCAGTCGAGGGCATACAAGGGAGCAACTCCGATTCATGGACTTTCCATCGATAGAATAACTCAAGAGAGGATTAGTTCCAGTGGAGTGCATGAGAGCCAGCTCTCCACGAAGCATTCGGACAAGCAAGAACACCCGCATTATACGGCGGCAACCAGAGAACAGATATTATAGTAGGTCTTTCAATTTTTGGCGATCGCGGATCTACCAAAAGATCCCACCTGTCATCCTACGCACATACATTGCTCCACATCTACAACTGATCGGCGCTAACAGGCTGCTGCTCTGTCGCACTCTTGATATCCGCAGCCCTGGTGGCCGGCTCCTTAGCATCCTTTGCATCCTCATCTACGCCCATCGATCCACCTGTGCTCTTTTGGCCGCCCGCATCACCACCGCTCTTGTGCACGTCCTTGGATGTTGAACCGGTAATTGTCTCTCCTGCGTTGTCGTACTGATCCTGGTTGGTGGCATTGGGGTCGATCTGGTGTGTCTTCGCTGGAGGAGCGGTACCAGCCTTAAGGATCTGGACGTGGAACTCTGGGGCTTCTTCGGTGTCGGCGCTGGTTACCTGGTGCTGCCGGGATGTCAGTGGGTTTGACAGACGGTGAGTTGCTGCATTAGCAATCTCTGAATGTATACAAACAATGGCTCTAAGGCAGTTGTTGTATAGGCCAGTATATCGAGTGGGAAAAAGTTATAGGACACTGGAGATGTACTTACACCGCTGTTTCCAATAGGCTCGCTGGGAGCAATCTTTGAGTTTGTGGGCTCACCGGCCTTCACAGAATCGGCGTTGGCAGACATTCTGTTATTTGGAGTAGGTGTTGAGGGTAAAATTTGTTGGCTTCGATTGTGTTTGTGAGAAAGCTGTTGAAGGTGTGTCGTGTCCTCAGAACCTCCCGCGGGGTTTGACAACTCATATGCAAGCGTCAGACATTTGACATCAAAGCGACGTCACTAGCGGAGGCTAAAAGCAATTGTACGGGTGCCTTACGTCGATCTGGGGTACGATCGTGTCAAAAGCGGAGCTACTTCCGTATAATTGCGCCATCCTGTCTTAGTGCGTGATGGAGCTTCTCCGTCCTTCTTTTACTTTCTCGTTGCACTTTTCAAACAATGTTGGATTGCGAATATGTATCGCAGGATGCAGTAATTGGTGAACATAGTAATAAGAGCTTAATGTTCGAAAGGCTTGGTGTTGTGGTCAGGGCATGCATACCAAATGAGGGGGTTGATGGTGCGCATGCTAGTACCACTTCATCGCCCACGCTAAGTGTACAGCTCAAGGGGTTAAGTCAGGACATTGATGGATGAGGATGCTAGGGAGTTGTTGAACATGTTCTTTTCGTCCAGGTACATTGATATTGAAGACTATGGACATTTAACCTTTGGTCTCAGCCATTAGTAGTCAGGACATTGCTCACTCTCTACTTTCAAGACTATAACAAATTCAGATCGATAGTTTGATTTGAAGTCACGAAGTACATGAGCAGTATTCGGGAGGCGCAGTGAAATACTCAGCAAGTGTGTGAATTATAATTACATTAACTTTACTATACACTATTCAATGTATGACATCCATTTCCGAGCTCGCCTAAGCAAGCTGACCACGGATAGCACCAGCAGGGAACGCAGCGGTGTGGGTATCACAGAAGAAGCCAGCGGGGTTGGCCACGATTTGGCGAACGTGGAAGCTGGCACCAGTGTCGGTGGTGGTGCCAGTAGCATTGATGCCAGTGCGGAAGGGACCAGTCAAGCATCCGTACGAGACACGCTTGGAATCGGGACCGGTGGGGTTGGGGAAGGCAAGACGGGGAGGTCCAGCACGGCCCTTGATACCCTCGTGGATGTGAGTGGCTGTGAGAGCTGGGGACATGTAGTTGCCAGTGACACCGTTCAGGGTGATGTTCTAGAACATATATGTTAGCGAAGTTGCAGCGTGAACAAGGAGGTGTAGCTCACGTAGCAGATGGTGTTCTCCTCGACGTTGATACCGAACTTGAAAATACCCCGTCCTCCGGGCTGGCCAGGAACAGCTACGTTGGAGTTGTTGACAACGTTGCCCGGTCCCGCCTTCACGATGATCTCCTTGTTGAAGTAGAAGATCTTCTCGTTCTTCTCCCAATCGTCATTCTTCCACTTGTTGTCGAAGTCCTTCTTGCAGTCATCGTCGTACTTGGCAGTACCCCTTGCCTCAACGTTGTTCGTGGGAGCAGCTGTGACAATGGTGGCGCTCAGGAAAGCGATGACAGCTGACTTGGTGAAAAGCATCTTGAAAGTTCGTTGTGTGTGTTGAGATAATGAGGAGAGGTTTGTAGAGTGATGAATGACATTGAGGGAGGCAGTTCTCTGCTGCTTATATACACATTCGGTTCTACTCCCACTTCTTGGATTCTCATCTCGTCTTACGGGCCTCAGCGTGATTACGTCGGTGTACGTACCGACCAGACTCAAATTCACGCCGCAACTAGTCGTAGTTGCTTGGTAAAGGAATGTTGATGTCTTGGACAACTTCGTGATCTTGTGCAGCCAAGTCTACCACCGTACCTTTTCGTACCATACTTACCTTCCTACAAACGCTCACTTGGCATGCTGCCGCCCAATGAGGGAGATAGAGCTCTGGGCAAACGGATGCATAAATAGAAGATCATTAGTCTATACAATCAACCAATAAGAGCCGCCTGTGTTGGCACATGAAGCAGCGTGTCCAACGAATATAGCTTAAGACCAAGAGCTAGAATCTTGGTTAAGGACTGAGCTTACATGCTTTCATACTGAAGCCAACGCCATAGTATCGCCCAGACCTCTTAGCTCGGAAGCTCTGGTATCCGTACTCAGATCACAGGACAGAAGAAGGCTAGTTTCGAAATTCAATTCCTAAACGGGTACATGATGTGTTTCTTCGACATAGGCCAAGTCGGCACCCGTGATGAAGAGCCAAGACGGCGGACTGAAGGGCGCGGAGGGGACGTGAGAACGTGCCGAGCGGAGGACTCTCCTAGCAGGACGAGTAACACAGGGTTAATTCCTGTTCGATAAGGCCGGCAGGTCCACACCCTGAGGAAGCTTTCGGTGCCATGATCATTCGGACCGCGAGTAGCTGTTGTGGGTTGTAAATGGTGCACATAGAATTGACATGGTAGATGGTTCTCGTGGTGACATCACGAAAATGTGATGCCAAGACCATCCGACAGCGGAACCTCAGACATCAGTTGACAACGGCCACCAAACCTTAACACGATTGCGAAAGCAATTAAGCGGTTGTGCTTTGTCTGTCCACACAGCCTCAGCGCGTTTAGATTGACGACCCTTCACTACGCCGCAATGATCTGCCTGCAGGGAAACTATCGAATACTTGGCGTGTTTAGAATGCTTGGTGTCGGTCCTGTCCCCGGATTTTCAACTTCCAACAAGATCCCGCACAACTCGGGGACGATATCGAATACGGGGTTACTATCATATCGCGGCCTTGGGATGCTTGGATTCTCCTATTTGGAATTGACGTCTGCTGTCGCATTTACCTTCGGAGCCTTCGTTGGACCTTCTGGACGTACTCATTCTTATTGATGTTCAGGTTTTCTCTTCGAAGTGCAACAAGTACTGTCGTAACGGTGAAGTATGTGTCGAAGGTTCAAACAATTAGACGGAGAACACGTTTTCCCTCGTACCGTGTGTTTCTCATCTCATGTCATTACAAGGGAAAAGAACACATCTCTGATGCGTCGCAAAACAACTTTGTCAACTCACTCTGACACATTAGAATTGCACGGACTTATTAGCTTCAAGTGTTGAATCACCAAATGAAGATTAATACGGCTGACATTCCTTTGATCCTACTTCCCGGAGTCCTAAAGAAGCATTTGACATGCCAGTTCGCTGACCCACAGAATCACACTCCTGCGAACGGCAAGTTCCTGTCCACGAATTTGATTAAGGTTCCTCACGCAGGAGATAAACTTCCCAGGCATGTGTCTCCTCATAACCCCCTGAAAAAGTATCATCGTCACTACTTTTCCGTAAAACTCATTGCAAGGGATACGTACTCCAATCAATGCACTGCAAAAGATTCCAAACAATGTCTTAGACCCGAAGCGTAGAAGTCACGCGTCGAATTTTGGGAGGGCGAAGGTATTGCTGATTCTTTGATCCGACACGATTACGACCAGAGACTTAGAATAACGCCGTAGATGGTATCTGCGCTTGGATTTGGTACTTTCCAGGCCTCGTTCCAAAGCTGTGTTTGGCCGTTCCCAACGCTCATAACCTCTCGAATGGCATGTGTCCATATCATCGCGGTAACGACGACCGAAATGACAGCCAGAAGAAGCCTGAAGCAGACTCCGCCTGCGTAGTAGCTGATTTTGACCTTCTTTGCGAGCCAGACAAAACCTTGGCGGTTTGGTTTGGAAACAACCTCCCAGACGGTCGGAACCATCAGAGGAACTCCAATAACCAGAATGAGCACAAGAGTCGTAATTCCTGTTTCAGAGAAATTGGCCATGAATAGGGCAAATTTGTCATACGCAATCGCCTTAGGGGATTCACCAAGCTTGCGTAGGGTTGAAATATAGATCCATGACCGGAGGGAGATCCATAGTAGTCCATGAACAGTGAGAGCGAGAAACCCTTCATAGACCCAGGCGTTGGAGGTATCGACATCCGGCATGGCGAGTCTCTCCTTCTCAATGTATTCGTTGTTGTCTGTCCATTCATACGGTTGAAAGATCAGAATCAACGTTGCGAGCTCCAGCACTGTTCCGCAAATGGCGTAGATGCCTGTGAAATGATCGATGCTCAAGGTTCCGCTATTGATGAGGAGTATACGGCCGATGTAAGTGATAGAAGCGGATACGCCCTGGTATATGAAGAAGAGAGTCGCAATGAGTTGCGCGATGAACTTGGCTCCATCGAAGTTGGTTTTGTATTTGTTCTCGAAGGACAGCCGGCTTGAGTTGAGCGTGGAGAGTCGCCAGTTGCCCTCAGATTTCTGTGCATGACCGCCGCCTGCTCCTAAAGTCCACGCTCCGTGGTTGAATTCTCGATTCTTACTATGCAGGTCTAATATGCTGGCAACATAGAACCAGAATCCTTCTTTTTGCATGGAGATACCAATCTTGCGCATGCCCATATAGCGTTGAACGACGAGAACAATATTCATGACCACTTGGCAGATGAAGATTTCGGGGAAGAGCAGAAACAGGATTGGGAGGTACATGCGTTGGCGATCCCAAGTCGATCGGTGGATAACATATCCATACTGCCAATAGGCAACGACAGCAAAGAAGGTCGAGGCTGCGCAAGACGCAAAAACATGCAACGAATCTCTGGTGTCTACCATGGCGTTTGAGTATCCTGTATGTAAGGAAGGGCCCGAGTATCATTTCTTCATGTAACATTATATTTATGATATAAATCCTGACATGGCTGTGTTTGACCAGGCAAGGCAGATCTGGTCGGAGATGTATGACATCGGTGGTGGTGTGGCTTCGTTTAGTTGTCAGGCTGTGTAGCTAGCTCGATCAATCGTTACGCATGACTTGTGTCCTTCCCCAAATGCGGTTATCGTAAGAAAATCATACATAGAGGAGAACACAATGGTGTTCGAGAAGGAGTCGACCTGCATTGGTCATGAGTAAATTTGAGTAGTTCTGGTAGTGCCGATCGAAGAAGCAACCTACTCTCACCCAATCATGGGCAAACAAAGTATGACTCTGGTCAACTCCAGTCTAGCTAGCAGGGGTGAGAAGCGAGAGTAGCGAAGCATACAGTCCCTCACTTTGAAGTTCAACAACAAGCTTAGGGTTAGAGGTTGTGGCTGTGCTAAGATGTATTGTCTTGTTGGCGAATTGCGTAAAAATGGTCAAAGAACGGTCTCTGGACCTCTACTCTGGTGGGATTGAGTCAAACCCCAAGAGCAATAAACCTACAATACTTCCAGATCTTCATGGCTTACAAACCACGTCCCATTATTCGTATCGACCGTGACGTTGCCTCCCACAACCTTTCCTCCCTTCAAACTTCCACTCTCCACAACTCCTCCAGCAACAGGTCTCTGTAATCTGTTTTGCCCACTTACGACAGTGAAGTTGGCAATCGGGATCTCCCACCCATTCCTCGAAACAACAGTCGGCAAACCAAAATAATTGGCTTGGACATCGTCGTGCGTGAAATGAAGTTCGTAGTATCCGCGATAGTATAGATCCTGCCACTGAAGCTCGTCGTTGGCAGTCTGTAGCCACTGAGAGTAGTTGTTGGCCGTGGCAAGGGAAATGTTGGCGCCATAGGGACAGGGCGAAGTGACTGCAGAGCCTGCGAATTCGACACCAATGCTTCCGGCCCCAGTGCTTTTGTTGTAGTTCTTTTCGTCGAGCCAGACTAAGTCGCTGACCCAGGAGGCATGCGAGTCGCCTGCAAGGAAGATATTGTTGCTGATATTATTGCTGTAGAGGTGATTGAGCGTGCGGTTCTTGTTCGCCAGATAGCCATCCCAGGCATCGTAGTTGAGAGGATTCTCTTCACCAAGAGCCACGGACTGGTTCACGCGAGAGAAAACAATTTGTGAGCCGACGACACGCCAGGTAGCGCCTCGTTTCTTAGAGCTCGTGAGGGTGTTGTAGAACCAGTTCTCTTGGCGCGAACCCATCAAAGAGCGACCGCCATCGTTTGAGATATCGTGAACGTAGTCGGTGTTCCAGTAAAGATCTGTGATTGAGCGGTCGTAGTTGCGAGTGTCCAGCATTACAAGATCAACCAGTTTGCCTATCGAGAATGAACGCCAGATACGCAAGTTGTCATCCATTTCCACTTGACGGATAGGCATCCATTCAAAGTATGCTCTTACTGCTGCGGCTTTACGTTGATCAACTGAAATGCCGCCGTCTTTGATGAATGATGATTCTGTGTTGTTGAGTTCAGCCATTCCGTCGCGGTATACATTATCAGCCACCTCATGGTCGTCCCATACAGGAATCCAAGGGAACTGCTGATGGCTAGCGAGAAGGTCGAGATCCGTACGATATGTGGCTATTCTCTTGCGATAATCATAGAGAGTGAAAAGCTCTCTATCAGGAAGAGGGACACGATCTATGCTTTGGCCCCAACCATAGTCTCCGTTTTTGTATTCGTATATGTAATCTCCAAGATGTACAACGTAATCCACTGAGTCCTATGCACATTTATCAGTCATTGCAATAGACCATGGTGTGCGACTCAACCCGTACCTTCCGCGCGGTGTTGCCATATGCGTTGAAGAAACCGAAAGGATAGTTTGCGCAACTGTAGATGGCAAGACTGATTTTGGTGACATCGTCGTCAGCGTTCGGGGTTGTCTTTGTTCTCCCAATTGGGCTCTTGTTGTCAGACCCGCACACTGAGAATTGATAGTAGTAGGTGGTGTAAGGTTTCAAGTTGCCTGCCTCAACCTGTGCAATGTCAAAAGAGTTTATGAAACCTTTCTGCAAGTTTTACCTTGACTGTGTAGTCCACATCTGAGCTTGTGTAAACTTTGTCTGTAACGAGGACCTGTGTGAGGTTCTTGTCCGAAGCAACCTTGTATTCTACGCAGATAGGTGACTTTGATACTGCGACATACTTATCATTGTCATGATCAAATAGAGGAGCGGTACCGGAAATCGTGACGTTTGAATCCGAGGTTTCGCTTGTGGGCGCAATTCGAGTCCATAGGATGACACTGTTGGGATACGGATCACCGGATGCAATTCCATGGGTGAATTTCAAGGCCGAAGCATCGTAACTAGTCTGTGGATCGTTCCTCTTCACAACACGATTGATTGATATGCCCAGGGATGGGTGATGTTCTGACGGCGACCGATAGTTGAGGTTCTTCGTCCAGCTAGCGCTAGTGACTGAAACCAAAGGGAGTAGCGAAAGAACGTGAAGCTTCATGGTGTTGAATGGCACCGAATACGACGCGGACAACCTGAGACAAAGAACATGTCGATACTTCGGGCCTTATGTAGTCCCATCAGGACTTACACAATCATCAGGCTTACCACAGTACGGAAGCTCTAGGAGATTAATCCCCACCTGTTATCCATGTCGATAACATCATATCTGCAGGAACGTACTGTTTGGTGCACAATTGACCCAATCACAATCTACACATGAGGCATGCCGCGATGCAATGGAGTTCAACCCAACTGCATGAAGCAGACAACTCCGAATGAGAGAGTGCGTACACCAAGTAATTGAGAGTGATGCAGTCTGTTGTCATCAATACCAATTGCAGTTCTCTCTATTTGCTGGAATTGCGTCGCATGCATAGACTACCGCTTGAAAGTTGATAGCGGGTGGATATTGTGGGGTTAGAGGCGTCGTGGGTTTACTCGCCGCACTGATTGGCGGTTGGTGATAGCGAACTCCATGCCACTTGAATTGAAAGTGGTTGGCGATTGGCGTATCGGGCGAGTTTACATGTAGATTCGGCGTTCGGCTGAACTAAGCAAATATGTAATGAGGAGGGATAATAAGTGCGGGGTTCGGGTGTCGGCATCATTTCGCTTCTTCTCTCACTCCACACTACCACAACGTTCAAGCCTCTTTAGAGTTCGCAGAACGATTGAGTTTTGATGTAAAGTTAGAAGGAAAAAGACATTGTAACGATTAAGCTAGAACTAAGCGGGGACATAAGGCTGAAGATAGCTAAAGTCCGATGAGCTAGCCAGATCGGATATCCGGAGTCTAGACTCGCTGCTAGCGGCTATTTCTACGGCACTCAAAAACGGCATCAGAGAACCTCCAAAATCCATGTTCTCGGTCACTGATCCGAAAGCAGCTGTGACGTGTATTGTCTAGATGTTTTTCATTATTGCAACCAATCTCTTTTATACTTTGACCTGGGGAGGGGGATTGGAGCATTTTGAGCAGTACTTTCTCAATACTCCTCCTTATTTCCCATGATACACCGCCATGAACATGTTCATGAATTGCATACTCCCATCCAGGGTTCACCAGATCCTGTTGAGACGTTCAATTTAGCAACCCAGTTGACACTCCTTGTATTGAGTCTCCATTCTTCTCATCAATCTCCAATGCATCAGTAAACACTTTGTCCACCTCTTCGCCATTCACAAAACCTTCGTCGTCAACACTTGACTGAGCTTATTCTTGCACGGATTGCAAGCCACAGCGCCCCCATCTGGACAGCGAAACGAGTAGTACTTGATCTCCTCCTCGCAGAACAGACAGGTCGCAACACCTTTCTTTTTGACCCATCCAATGTCAACTACACCAGTCCTCGTTTCGACTTCCTGCCCATGATTCTTCATATCTCGGAGGTATTTGTCAAACTTCGCGTGTTGTTCTTTGATATGGTGTCTCGCCATACGCACCTGCGCGTCTTTCTCCTGCTGCTTACTAGCTTGACGTGCAGTTTCTTTCGATCGTTCTTCTTTGACCTTGGTTTTCGCTGCTCGTTTGCGTTCTTCTGCACGCTTTACTCTGTCTGTCTTCTCCTGCTCTTTTCTCAGACGCTCTTGTTCTCTTTCCATGCGCTCTTGGTTTTGTTCCTCGAGCCGCTTCTCGGCTGCTGCTTTGGAGCGCTGCTCTGCTTCTTCGGCTCTCCATTGTAGATACTGTGCATACTCAACTGCCGTTGGTGGCTTGTACGCAAGATCTCTCTCATGCTTCTCCCTGTTCATTCGAAGGGTGCATCCCGGACACGAACATGAACCGTCTTGCCGCGCGTAAAGGTAGTGGTTCGAGAAGATTTCGTGCTGCTCATCCTCAAGCGTCATTCTGGCTTTTCGCTCTAGTTCCTGCTCGCCCATGATTTGTATTCTTTCAAGTCTCTGCTTGTTGTTGAATTCACTGCCCAGTACATCTCCCGCCTCGCCAGACGCCTTCTTATCTGGATGGTGATCCAACGCAGGGCAATTGAACGCTTCGTTAGCCGCAGCGTCGCTTCGTTAGCCGCAGCGTCGCTTATGTCGGGACTCAAGTCGCAGTTCGAGTAGCTAACACGCTCTTCGAATTCTGGGGGGCTGTGGCACATCGTAGAGACAACGGAATGCGAGCGCGTCTGACATGAAACATGAAAGCCAAGGTGAACTAAATGGAACACGGAAGAGAGTGGGCGTCATAACCTTTGAACGCGCGGTGGTAATGGTGGGGAGTGAGTTCATATTGAGTAGACGCAGACGCAATGTGGTTTGTGGTGATAGTGAAGATGAGGGTGAAGATGAGGGTGAGGAAAAGGATAAGACTTGACAGGTGATACATGTTAAAGCTGTAAAGAAGCTACAACCGAAATAGAATAATAAATCAAGACTTAAATTTAATCTTTTAGGAAATAAGTGCAAATATAACCTAGTATTGTATAGAGTATCTCACACTCTCCAGCGCCAACCCAGCTACATGTAGATAGGCAAGATGCAACTTACTTCTCTCCACAACAATCCTACGTCTACAACAATCAGAAACTTCCGTTGCTACACAGTCTAGCAAACCTCTGTACCTACATATTGTCAATACATTCTCTCTATCTTCCTACAGACCTCGATCCCCGACCTCGAAAACCCATATCATTCACCATCCGTGGCCTAATGCATACCCATCACCTCAACAAGAAAACCTCGCCAGCGCTCCCCCAAATCGAACAAACAATAAACAACACAAAATTTGCCCCTATCGTTCATTCCCAATTAGAGACCAAAACCGGACCGATTCTCACTCTCCTCCCTGTAGGTATATATCCAACCCAACAACCGAACCTTCCATCCCACCCCACGCACGCACCTACCCTGCACCCAACCCTTCACCACCCAGCATCCAGCCTCAACATGCAGTTCAACACCAACCCCCAACTCCCAACTCAGTAACGCAACGCAAAGAAACGCAAAAAGAAAAAAAAAGCTTCGGATCCACATACCTACCCAGACCTCGCATTACCTCGCATCGCATTGCCTCGCATCGCATCGCATTGCATGACCTCGCACTGCATTGCATAGCATAGCCTAACCTTGCACCGGCTACGCCTCCCCGAGGTTAGCCGTTTACTGATTTTTCACACTTCCGGCAGGGGGGTTGAAGAAACGGAGGAGCGAAGGAGCGAAGGAGCGAGGGAATACCCACTACGGAAGGGAGGGGACAAGTGGGCGGAATGATCGCGCTGTCGCGCTTGGGATGCGAGGTGGGAGGAACGTGATGGGTGGGTGGAGTGAGACAAGAGTAGGATGACGTAGTGTGGTGTAGTGTAGTGGGTTTGAAAAACGAGTAACGATTTGCTGTTGCGATTTGCGATTTACGAATGCGATTTGCGATTGGGATCACGATGCGTCAAATTGCAGCAGTATGAATGAACATATCAAACGTATAGATAGATTTGGTTTATGATTTGTCCACACCATACTCTCCGGAACCGAAATAATAGCCCTTTCTAATACACATGCAGATTGTACAAGTGAGGAAAAAAAAATATACTACGGGAAAACATTCTATCCCAGTCCAGCATTGAAACCAAACCAGATTAACATGATGCAATGCAAAGTGTTCCAACCCGTCAAAATAAGCGCAAAGCCATGGAGCCATCCGAGGGCTCCTACACAGCCAAGGCTCAAAGCCGTGAACCCCTAACCATGAGGCTCAAATAGAGTGAAAAAAAAGACGAAGAAGAAAGAAACGCCGAGGAAATGCAAAAGACGAATACAAATGCTAACAGATTAAAAACACAGAGTGGCACAAATGTGGCCAGTTTTGGTCAAGAAAGTGACGGACTCATCATTACAGGTCTGTTCGGGCCAGAATCTTCATAATGTCTTCGCTGGGGCAGCAGATGAGCGGCTTCCGTTTCGGCACCTCGATCGGGGCGGATTCGGACGGGGGCTCAGGTTGTGCTTGCTGGCGCTCGCACGTCTCGGAACAGGGGTCCATGTTAGGCGCAAAGACAGAGGGGCGGCGTTCCGAGGATGCGGAATCAGAATCCTCGTTTGAGACGAAGATGGACCCGCGTCGAAATTGCGCACGATTTGTATCATCGCTTTCCGGGTATGCATTTCCCCAAAATGGGAGTTCTGGTGGCGTGCCCTGGCCGTTGTATGGCACGTAGATGGAGCCGCCTCGCGGGCGTAGAAAGGGGCTTGGATCGTCGAATTCCTCGAGCGGGGTGGTCGCGTCGCTCTGCATAGACTCTTCTTCTGTGGCTTCGAGATTCGACTTTTGCAGCGCGGACTCGAGATCTTCAGGGGAAAAGGGCTGCGAGGGCTGCGAAGGCTGGCGAGATGTGCGGTCAGATGATGTGCCTGGGCGTGAAGAGGCGCGTCGTGCGGAGCTGGAACGACGGATGCCCGTGGATTCCCGCCGGCGGGCGTCGCGGGGATCTTGGGTAGGATTGCGAGAAAGACCGACTGTTCAGTTAGTCGAGACGTTTTGCAGGTGGGCTAGCAATACACACCATTGAGAACATCGCCCTCGTCGTCGCTCGCTTCACGGATCTTGGCTGGCCGCTCGTCGCCCGCAATGCTCGTGCCAATACCGCTGTCAACCCACTCTTCGTCGTCGTACTCGCTGTGCAGGCTGTTGACGCTGTTGAAGCTGGAGCGCCTGCTGCGGTGGACGCTGCGACTACGGCTCCGTCTGCTGCGGAAACTGCTCTTGCGGCTCGGCAGACGGCTCCCCATTGGCGAGTACAGGCTGTGGTGGCTGCGTCGACGCCAGGCATTCGAAAAACTAAAAGCCTCGAGCTTGGCCTTGTGTTCGGGGGCCACGGGACGGCGGTACTTGAGCGGCGGCATCTTCTCGCCGGGCAGGTAGTAGTCGCTCTCTGGCTGCGTCGACTTTGCGTTCTTGCCCTTTATTTTGCTGAGGGGTCCATGGCCCTCCTCGCCGGTGAAGGCCCGTCGTAGGCGACTGCGCAGATGTCCCGGCATGGCGAGGTGTCGAGGCGTCGAGGTGTCAAGGCGTCAAGGTGTCAAGGCGTCGAGTTGTCCAAGGGCGGTGTCACGGTGAGGGTTTGCAGGAGAGCGAGGGTGGGGCTAGGGAGAGAAGCGGTCGCTGCGAGGGCAATGAGGCTGCGCGGCGCTGGCGGAGATTGGCCGGTGGTTGCGTGCCTAGAAAAGCGAGACCCTGGACGCGCTGGGCCGGAGTGCGAATGGCTAGTTATACAAGGGACACGGAGCAGGCTGGGCTGGGGAAACGGCGGAGGTTTAATGGATAAGCAGCGTCCCTGGAATGATGCACGTCAGGCTGGACTAGAGGAAAACGCGGAGAAGGCAAAGCGCATCTGCACAGCGTCGACGGGCGTTGAGTCGGGGCCTGGTGACGGTGACGCCTTTTGCTGCAGCACTGGCCGGGTCGACAGGCACGCGACGCTGGTTGCACAAGACAAGACACGACGTCTGGGGACAGGCGCCTGAAGCGCAGAGGTCAGCGTATCGCCGTCGGAGAGCGTTGCAGGGCTTGCGATCGGCTGGCTGCTTCCCAGGAACGGCCACCGACCAGTCTCCAGACACGACAAGCCACGACAACCTGGGTGCAATTTCGGCAGCCTAGGCCCGATGCAGCCGCATACACCCCCACGCTCGTTGCCACTACACGCTCATCCGACAGTAAACCAGTCAGCGCCTGTGCGTCCGTTTGCGCGAATTTCGAGCGAATCGCGGCTTTGGTGGCCGTGGTATTGGGAGGCCGGGCATAAGAGGCATGCTCTCGTGGTCGTGGGTAGACACGAGGCTGGGAGAGACATCACGTGTGGCTCAGTCATCACCGCTCACAGAGCTCCACGACGTCTGACACACCACCAAGCCTTCTCCTGCGTTGACTTGGGCCAAGTTGCGTTTCGTCTGAACCGTGCAGCGGCTGCATTGCGCAATTGGGCCAGTGCAGTGCAGTGTGGGGAACCCGGCACTTTGTCGGTGGGTGAGGTAATGGTGAGCTGACTTGGTGCCCACTCTGCCGTCACCAGGGAAGAGCTTCAGCGTGTCGCGCCGGGTGGAGGGTGGAGGGCTGAAGCAAGATCGGTGACTAAACGAGCAACACCACCACAACGCCATACCAATGCAACCCAAGAGACGAGCTGTAGCTGTCAATGCTCTTGCACGTGTGATTCTAGAAATTGCGTTACTCGGCGTATTAAAGCCTGTATTGACCATCACGCTGTCAAGCTGTTTCCGGCCTCCAGCTTGACGCGCGAGATCGATCTCAACGCGCATACGAGTGTGCGACACATGGGCACACCAATTGACTTTACCCACTCTCTCGGTTGAGCGTTGAAGCCAGAGGTAAGCCGCGTCCTTTTCGTCGCAAGACTGTAACAGAACTTCACAAACAAATGCTACAAGCAAGGCATGCAAGGTGCAAACCTATGGTACTTAAGACGCATAAGTTTTACACAAACCCTACATCTACTTGTCGAGTTACTGCAGGATGTCGCTGGAGCTTGACTGGCTTCTACATCGAACTGAGCTAATCCAAACGTCCAAGCAAAGCCCCGCGCGGGGCCTTTGTCCACCATGATAGGTGCAAGGATGACGGAGATCCCGCGGGAAGACCAGTTCACTTTATGCCAACACGAGATGAACGAACCCCAACGGGTATCTATGCGGGTGTGCAACTGATCATGTGTACATATCTGGTACGCCTCTCTAATGAACCAGTCCTGGTCTTCTAATGCCATGGCAGTATCGTGAGGAGGTGCATCTTAGCTCCCAAGACAGTGCGTCATTGGCGCCGCATCTTAGCTACAAACACCACACGATGATGCTATGCTACATGAGAGCCCTGCCCTGCTTTCTGCTTTCTGCCATCCCTTTTGAGTCGGCCTTGTGATACTTTTTCGAACATCCCACCCTCATCCTTCGTTCCAGTTCCGCGGGCAAATTGCGGGGTCAACACGTAAACGCACACCACCATGGAGAAGATCAAGAGCGTGCTGTAAGTAATATGGGCATCGACTGACACTCAATGCTAAAACGATAACAGTTCTGGTCACAAGAAGACGGACGATTCGGCGCACCAACGCACCGAATCATCCACTTCGCAAAAGTACGGAGACCCACCCCTCACCACCTGCCAAGCACATGCTGATGACGAGTGCAGCCAACACCCAATTCACGATCAAATGGTGAACCGCGAGGGCGCGCAACCTACAGCACACGGAGCGCAAGGACTCAGCAACGTGGGCGGCGGACAACATTTTGGCACCGACGGTCCCATTGGAAGTGCTTACACCCCAAACACTTCCAGTACGCAGCAGAGCTATCCCAGCTCTTCCACATCGTCAGGTCCAACAGCCAACCTACACTCCAACGTACGCCCACAAGCCCCGCAAAGTGCAGTCAGCGAGGCGAGCATCAAGTCGGGCGTTATTGGGTTTGGACCAAGCGGAAAGCAGGGCCATGCTGCGCTTCCTCACGACAACTCCGCAGAGAACAATCTGAACCGTGATCAGATCCTAGGAAGCGGAAATGCAGGTGGTGTGACGGGCGAGCAGAGCAGCATGCAGCCAACTACTCTACCTCGTACGTAGTCCTTTATTTTGAATCAATGTTCTCACATGCACATCGAATAGTTTCTGACGTGCGCTCTAGACCCTGGTTCAGCTAGCCGTGGACAGCAAGACACTGGTCTCAGCGGTACTGCTACCGACCGATCGTTCCCTCTTTCAGGCGGTGTAGCTACGCATGGAAATCAGCCAGCCACTGTAAGTACAGCCAACACTTGACTGCAGTCTGTGATTCAATGTCGGACAACGCAGCTCGTCCTGCAGCACAACGTACCAAATGCGAGGCTACCCGCGCTAACATCAAGCCTAGACTCAGTCCATTGCGCATGACCCTACGCGTCGTGAGCAGGATGGCAGTGTACTCGGAGGTCCCCGTTCAGCTGAGAGTGAACTTCCAATCACAGAGCAAGATCGCACTGGTCTCTTAGCCGGCGTTCGGCCCTTCAACAATCGAACAGACACAAGCCCTCACATCCCAGGCGAGTTTCCAGACCCAACTCCTGCAGAAAACCCGTCTAAGACTTTCTTCGACCAAGGCCACCCAGATACTACCACAACAACCAATGCACCAACAACTCAGCACGAGTTGCGCCACACAGGAAGCCTCGACCAACCACGACAAAAGTCTGGGGATTTTACTCCAGATCAACCTCGTCACCACGGTCGAGATGCCGCTATTGCTGGTGGTGTCGGCGCTGCAGGCTTAGGCGCCTATGCAGGCTCCCAGAAGAATGACTCTGGCAGCGGAAGTCCTTACGGAGTGAGCAGCCCGTACAGCTCAACGAAAGTTGATCCTCGTGTATACGGCAGGTCGCCGCCACCGCAAGAGCAAAAGAGATTCGAGCCTTTGACTAGGACTGAGCCTCCTGTCAGTCGTGAGGAGCCAAAGCATCACTATGGACGTGATGCTACGGCCCTTGGAACTGGTGCTATTGCCTCTGGTGCTCCGCACTCTACAAGCCAGCGTGATTATGCGCCTGATGCTCGTCGTACTGCTCCCGCGTCAACTGTTCCTACAACCCAGCAGTCCTCAAAGGCTGCCGATACCTTCTATGGTACTCCATCTGCCCCTGCCCCTCGTGTTGATAACACGCACACACCATCTTCTGCAGCGCCTTCGTCGTCTGTACCATTCAGCTCTCAGCCCAAGGATGAGTCGCAACATCATTACGGACGTGATGCTGCGTTGGGTGGGGCTGGCCTTGCCACCGCCGGCGGACTTCATCATGCAAGCCAGCGCGATGAAAGGGCTGATACTGGACCAGCTTCTAGTACCATCGGTCACCACCAGAGCAATGTCGCCAACGTTTTGGATCCTAGAGTCCAACCCGATCCAAGCAAACAGGTTCACCATAACGTTGGATCCACGCAAGAGGACCCCGCTTCAAAGACGATCGGTCCACACTCGAGCAACATTGCGAATATTCTCGACCCGCGTGTTAAGCCTGATCCGGCAAAGCAGAAAGGTCACACTACGTCCGGACCACATCAATCAGACACACTGAACCGCCTGGATCCCAAGGTTGATGAAAAGACTGGCGTCCCTGACCAACACCATCTCGGTCGTGACGCCGCACTCGTTGGTGGTGCAGGCGCTGCTGGATTTGGTGGGCACGAAGCTGCCAAAGCATATGGCGACCATCGCAGCACTCAGCCCGAAGCCTCCATGTTGGACCAACGCTACGATCCTACGGCTACTGGCGCTCACGCTTCGAACCCCAATCCAACATACTCCGATAACAGTATTGAGCCACACAGTCATACTCATGGACACCATGAGCCACACAGTCATGACCATGACCACAGCAGCCGAAACGCTGCCCTCGGTGCTGGTGCAGGTGCAGCAGCCCTTGGCGGAGCAGCCTTCACAGGCACAACCCACTATGACTCGACCCAAAAGCTCCCAGCAACCGAGAACCCAGTTTCTCTCGTATCTTCAGCTGCTCCGGTGCCAATCACAAACTACGAACCATGGCAGCCGATGCAGACTGAGTGGCCGGCTTCCCACTCAGCTCGTGAACCGGTGACTTCTGGTATCCACCCAACTGAAGAATCCGGTGCACACCATACGCATACTCCAATCTTTGGTTCTTCAACTCACCCAACACATGATACAACTTCACATACTTCGCATGGTTCAGTTATACCTGCGACTCAGGATCGTCATGGTCATGATGCTGTTGAGGATCCGGAGAACAGGAGTCATGGAAAGCGTGATGCTGCTCTCCTAGGTACTGCTGGCGCTGCAGCTCTTGCTGGCACCGGACATGCCCACGGACACCATTCAACTGATTCGCCGGCGTATGATACACAGAACCCAACCACCACCTCAGCTTATCCAACGCATGGAACGACAACTGACCCAACACGAGGAACGGATGCCTATCCGATGCAGGGAACCACGTCTCATGCTTCTCACGTTCCAAGTGTTCCCATGGACCAACAACGCTATGATCCCACTAGAGCTTCGGATGACAAGAGCCACAATACACGTGATGCCGCCCTCTTAGGTACTGCTGGCGCGGCAACTCTCGCCGGCGCAGGACATTCCCATGGGCATCATTCAACGTACGATTCGCCTGCGTATGATACACAAAATCCGGCAACCGCAGCCTACCCAACCCAAGGAACCACGTCGCACGCATCTCAAGTCCCGGGTGTTCCTGTGAATCAGCAACGCCATGATAACGTCAGAGATCTAGACGATGGGAATCATGATAAACGTAATGCCGCTCTTTTGGGCACCGCCGGTGCTGCGACGCTTGCTGGTGTAGGACATTCGCACAACCAACCAACGCACGATTCGACTGCGTACAATACGCAAACTCCAGCTGGTAGCTCGGCCTATCCAACGCAAGGCACGACATCGCATATTCCCCAGACTTCGGCTGCTCCTGTTACTCAGCATCGATACGAGGGCGTAGACCACCCCGAGGACGGAAGCCACGATAAGCGAAACGCAGCACTGTTAGGTACCGCTGGCGCTGCAGGTCTCGCGGGAGCGGGCTACGCGCATCATCACAATACGCCCCAGTCAACGCAAGATCCGACGGCGTACAACACGCAAGTCCCCGGCACCACTGCGGTTCATCCCTCCCACTCTTCAATGCCGTACAACACGCAGGTTCCAACTGGTAGCACAACCCAACAGCGTTATGATCCCGTTGGAGATTCAGACAAGCACTCCCACGACATGCGCAACGCTGCACTTTTGGGTACGGCAGGCGTCGCTGGAGCTGGCTACGCACATCATAATAAGAATCAGCCAACGCAAGATCCGACAGTGTACAACGCTCAAATGCCAGGCACCACTGCCGGTCATCCAACTTCAACTGGGTACAATACACAAGCTCCAGCCACCACTACAACCCATCCACGTCACGGTACCGTTGAGGATCCAACGGAGAAGGACCACAGCATGCGCAATGCCGCTCTTCTCGGTACCGCCGGAGCAACTGCTGCGGGAGCAGGCTATGCCCACAACCAAAAGCAGGACGAGCAGGACCTGTTCGAAACTCAGAAGCGCCTAGCAAAGATGGAGAAGAAGCATGAGATTGAGCAATCCAAGCTCGAAAAGACCAACCCCGTGCTTGAGGAGAAAGAAAAGAAACACGGTATCCTAGGCTTCTTGCATCGTGACAAGTCCAAGAAGGAGAAGTCTTCGCCGAGTGCAGAGAGCACGCCCCGTGCCTCAAGGGACTACTCACGTGAGAGCCCAAGGGCTTCGAGAGACTTCACGCGTGAAAGCCCCAGACATTCGAAAGAGTATCCGGATCCGAGGACCACGGCGGCAGCGTACGAGGCTCTGCCCATTGACGCATCGGGAAGGAACAAACTGCACAAGGACCCACCGCAAGGGCATCCGGCGCGGGACGCGCTCGAGCATCCTGAGGCATTTGCCGTGGGCGGCCTGGGAAATAGGGAGCGTATTGGTGTTGACGGGCCAATTGGACACCCGAATATGATCTCTGGGGATCGGTAAGTTTCAATTTTTTTGACTTTTCCTTCCAAACCTTTATCTCACTATGGCTGTCTCCTCTCTTATCCTCGAACAAACGACTAACCTCTCCCAGCGAGACGGAACGCAACACCTACGGTGCACACCCCATCTCCGACCTAGACAAGGACAGGATTGTCATTGAGCCGCACACGGGTTTGCCAATGAACGTTGGCCGCTACGGCGATGGCCACGGAGGAACGGATGGAAATGCCACCATTCCAGGTGCTCATGTACACGATCCTGTACATACCGGAGCGGTTGGAAGCACCATGATTCCAGGAACCCATGCACACGACAACACGCACACAGGAATGGTCGGAAGTACCGCACTTCCTGGCACTCATGCACACGACCGTGCGCACACTGGAATGGTTGGCAATACCACCATCCCTGGATCTCACGCACAAGACTACGGACATACGGGAACTGTCGGAGGTTCCGCTATTCCGGGAACTCAAGGACACGGCTATGCGCAGTCGGGAGCGGTTGGAAACACCGCCATCCCGGGAGTTCATACACGTGACCATGCACACACAGGAACCACGGGTCTGACAGGAGAGAGGAGGACAGACGCACCGTATTAGACGGTTGATAGGAGTGTGTTCAGAATGGCTAGGCGGGGAGGATTGAGAGTAGCATGAAGTTTTCGTATATGATTAATGAAAGAATATTATCAACTCAGTGCGCCGTTGCTAAAGAGGAGACTTGGTTGTGCTGTCATTGTCGAATTCGAAATGTGTGTATGTGTACTTTTCTCATACCTATCGCTTCTGCAGGGTATATAGGCGTCGTTTGGCTAACTCTATACCGCCACACAGCACTACTTATCTTGGATTGTGTGTTTCATCCCATACGTAAGCTATTCTTAGAAATTCCAAAGTGAAAGCCAAAGAGCCGCTACCACGAACAAAACAATCCTTTGAAATTGTGCTGGTTTACGGCCAAGAGGATAGACAGGGGAGTCTGGCGTGCAAGAGGCCTACCGGTAGGAGGATGGTCAGAGTTCCCAGTGTGCTTGGCTGTGTTTGGGTCTGAGGGTTAGGGTGGGTGGATTCAGCTTTGATAAGTGTCGTGGGTTATGCTGGGCGTGTTTTCTTTGGGGAACGTAATGCAGTATCTCGTACCTGAATGCTTTAGTAATTTCATCGATCTCGGAAGGCGCAGTTTGTGTATTGAGTTGAAAAGTACATGGCATGTCCAGTCACTCATCGATCGTCTGAGACCTCGATCTCACTACGGTTACGCCTTACTAATACAACCTATAAATCAGGTGGGGTCGTGATTGTAAAGTGAAAGACATAAGCATCAGGCTAGCCTTAGCCAACGCGAAGGCTATATAAGAAACTTTTTCCCGCTGGTCATTTCTGTTCTATACCTTCGCAACGCTCACAACCTCACGAGAACATACATCACCATATCCTCCTCGACCGATACACCAGTTTTGCAGGAGAATCAGCAGCAACACCAGCAACAGCACTCTTCACTCTCACCTACACAACCAAAGCAAGCCACCTTCTCACAAGACGCTTCACCATTAAGCAGGCATCTTGGGGGGAGAAGAGGGGTTGAGAGGGTCTGTAGACGAGTGGTGCTATCAAATTAGATCAAAGATATATGATATGAACTCAACGAGATAGGGAGGGGGAAAACTCCATCATAAATCCAATTTGTCGTACAACGTGCCATTTAGTCTCAGTAAACTACCAGAATGGTCAATAAACTGATCTCTTACCCTAATCCAGAAGATATTTGCTGTGGTCAGTTCTAATACGAATGGCACCTGTTTACCCAGTAACATCTCTTCTTCTTACTGCTTCAAACATCCCCTTAACTTTGGGGAAAAAGATAGGCGCCGTAAGGACATCATCTGCACCAGCTGCAAGAGCCCCATCCGCATTGACCTGGTCCATTGCGATTATATAGGCACGCTTCGTCTGATCGGAAACTGATCCAGTCGAGTGTCGTTCTTGTTCTATGCGGCGGATCTCGCGTATAGCGGTGATCCCGTCCATGATAGGTAACGTGAGATCTATTTCGTGGTCAACGCACGGGTCTTCATGTTAAGGCTCGATGAGCCCTGGAGATACCAATACGATATAGGTCAAAGACAATTTATATCCTGGCTAAAACGTACCCATGAATATAACGTCGAATCCTTCGGGATCTGCCTTCACCGCCTCGACTGCTGAGGCGCCATCCATCGCCCTTTGGACAACGAGATGACCACACTTGGTTACAAAAGCACCAAATACCCTTTGATTTATCATGTTGTCCTCAGCAAGGAGAATACGGAGCTTTGGTTGGTCCATATTCGAGCCATCACTTCGGGAGCCAGTAGCGGAGTTTTTAGAGTGTGCTGGGAGAGCCGTCTCATCCGTTGGGTTCATAATCTTGTGTAGGTTGTCTCGGTTCCGGTACAAGAACGGTTTGGTGACGGGAATCGAGGATAGGACGAGTAGTAGGTGCGTACTTATCAGGGAATAGTAATTAGGCTGCAGTGTGTCACTGATCAACGTTTGCGGGGCATGCGAGGCTAAGACGGATTAGTCGCGGGCATGTAAGATCCTGCCTATTATGGAACATTTACATGATATCCTGTTAGCTTTTGTTAGAAACGTACAGGTTTATTAGCGTACTTTGTCTTTACGTGGTAGCAATGGTAGTTCAAGATCAGGCACACACATCTTCATTTCATGCTCACTCGGGTATGATATAAATTGACTATATATCCGAGCGACTGTGCTATGTTTTATAGATAGTAAAGCCCGTCCAATGTATGAGGTTCTCCAAACAATCTGTAGTTGAATTCTGCTCCGAACCCCAACCACCAAACTCCAACTCTCTGCACCTCCCAAAACATTGAATCAGTTCAGCAACGATTGGCTGGCGAACTCGTAGAAGCACCGCAGAAATCCAAACCGTTTTGGTAACGCATATATCCCAGAATCAAGGCATTGTTTGCGTCTCCACGCTCCGTGGTTCCAGCAATGTACCATCCGCATGATCCTGTGATTGCCGACGCCGCATCAGTAAAGGTTTGAGGGAGCAAAAGCCAGTCGGTTTGACTGCGGTTGCACGCGAAAGCAACAACGCTTCCACGAATGGAGTAGAAAGACTTTCCTCCATTGATAAGAGAAGGTCCTGCAAAGTTAGGAGATGCAGTTAGCATAACATCAAATGTGATTGGGTTGGGAATACTTACGGAACTGGCTCTTAAGGTCTGCTACGGCGGCATCGCAGTCACCGTGGTTGAGAGTGAATCCGCAACCGCACCACATACGGCCGTTTTGACGACGTTCGAGGGGGCTCGCTTCGCTGACAGGGGTAACTTCAGTCTCGGAGTAGTCAGCGAGTTTGGTGTGGACTTCGGTGCCGTCGTCGAGAGTCGAGACTTCATAGAGGCCTTGAGTGGTACCGGTTGGAATAACCAAGGCTTGAGTCAAAGCACAGAGGCTCAAGGCGGCGGCAATGCTGAAGAAACGCATTGTGGAGAAGAGAGTGGGTAGTTTGAAGATAGGTCTTTGGAACTTGCTTGTGAATGCTGTTGAGGATGTCCGAAAAGTGAGGGAACTCTACAGCATTATATAGAAAGCTCACCAAGGCGTTAGCCTGGAAAGAGAGAAATGGGTGGCCTACTTCTAGGGTTGTCACGCTGGTCTGGTGTATAGACTGACTTGCAGAAGGCCTGATACTCGGAATCTAGTCCACTTCACTTTGTCCTCGGATCAATTCGGTAATGCACGAACTCAACTATTTCAACGTCACCTCACTGCGTTGCTCTTTTGTCAACACTTGCTTCGAGAAGGGAAATATGTGCGTCTGACAGACATTAAAAGGTATTCTTTCGGGATGTTGCCCTCAAATGGGAGTGGGTCAAACCATCGAGCCCCATTTGACAACTGTCAGACTCGAGGTAGGTATTGTCAAGCCGGCGTCTCTGGTTTGGTTGACTACAATGATGTTCCAATCTTGCCAGGGCCGATGGTTATCCGGCTCGTGAAATTGAGATATTGAATTTGCACACCGTTGGCACTCCTGGAAACTCTTCACTCGTCGGTGGGATCATCAAAGTCCACGGCAGATCAACGAAACTTCCGAGAAAACCACAACACGTCGGTCATTGGGTATAACCAACGGGTACGCGGCCTGGGCCGCAGCTGCCTGGATACCAAGCCTGTAACAGTAAGATCTTAGAGCATCCTTCATGTAGTTGGAATGAAATGCCAAATGCAACATTGGGCCTTACAGAAATATCACCCGATGTTTAGCGTTCAATCTGCCGCTAACCCTGCCTTTGTTGGTCTTGCATGTTGCATAACGTTGAAGGAGCAAGAACATGCACAGCGAAATTTCTGTCAAGGCGAAGCGAATGTAAGCTAAGCTTTTGAGCTTCTCGGCCGCAAAAGCTTGTTCAGTCCGGCCTTAGCTAGCAGGGTTAAAGCTGAAGCGAGAAAAGACATAGAGTAGCCAAAAGTACAGTAAAACCAACTTACCACACATTCGAAGTTCACGCCCGCGCATACTGAGTCCAAGTGACATCTGACATGAGCGCACCAACCGACGTAAGCAAACTTTCTATGCACACCCCTTGCCTATATCGAAGTTTCGCTCTTGCAGGTGGTGGCCTCGTCCTAGTGGTACAAGATGTTGTCTCTCATGATGCGAGCGAATTCGGATGTAAGTCCGCAGAAGTGCATAATTTACTCCTTCGCCTAAGCAGTGTCGGCGCTTACATGTTTATACCCACCTTTGCACATCGAGGTTCTTGTACAATTTCATTCAGTTATGTAACATCGCTGGGCAAATTTCAATATATATGAAGGAGCGAAACTCAGACCTCTTATCTCGAAGACGATATCGTCTTGCCATCATAGATGAAAACGAGAAGTTACCTATACATATTCATCTTCATCTCCGTGACTTGTCAGACTCAGGCTTATATCCGGTAAACCATATTATGCATCATGAGAGAAGGATCATGTACAGTGAGGAACAAGGCGGAAGCTGCGGCTTCGAGTATGATTATTTTCCGTGGTCTGTGCCAGTGCCAGCCCTATAAACCAATAAGCACAAATAGCGTTATGGGGACCACGGCGGCCCACAGTGGATTATAGTGGGCTACCTTGACGTTCCTTCCGCATATGCATTACCTGGTCAAAACCAGCCGAGCTAGGCCAGATATAGCAGGAGCGTTTGATCGATGTGGAACGATGGGTACTGAACTGCCGGACAACTTTGATCTGGCAATGTGTCTCGATATGGTTAGACATTGTACCGACAAGGAGAGTTTAATAGCCTTTCTTACCAGAAAAGAAGTCGTTGTCCGCCGTCGTCTTTATTTCCGTGAACCCTGCCTTGACGACAGCAGCACGAGATTGCAAAAAAATATAGCACACTCCCATGAAGGAGAAAAGGTCTGAAATCGCGTGGTGTTGGCAAGATTGCAAAAACACTGTCGCGTAGGACATAAACATCTACTAGCTGAGCAGCTAGATATCGATCGGTTGAGATTTTGCTGCTCGATAAAAACTAATATTTTCTTTTAAAAGACAATTGAATATAAGAATGTAACGACATCGCATATTGCTAAAAAGAATATCCCATTAACAACTTCTTAACAAAACAGTAAGCCGGTCAAAACCACCAAAAAAGTCGACTAAGTCACAACAATTCAATCTCTCATCACTCAACCACACCATTTCTAAAAGAATCCACCATTCCGTTATGGCAGTACAACTCTTCACAAGACAGCTTTTAATTCCGCTCCATCCAACTGGCAGAGCATGCCTCTCTACCTGCCCCATCAAGTCTAGCCACGACCCATTTCCCGGGTCGTAGAAAAAACCTGGGTTCTGCAATAGCCCGAGAGCCAATCAGTGCGGGGTTTTTGCTCCGATGAATGTCGACATAGCGCGTACTGGGGACGGTTGATAACTGCGTTGCGGGAAGATGGTGAAGGCGATGTGAATATTGGTGATATATATATATATGTGTATCTGCACTGCTTTCATGAAAAGACCTAGCGACATGACAGGACAAATAGCATAAAAGTCGATTTGGATTCGGATTTGGATTTGGATAGAATAAAATATAATTTTTGATGCGTGCCCCAGCACAAGAAACTCTCAACCTGTTGCCTCATGGTAAAAGTTTTAAAAGAAGAAGGAGAAGGAGAATATAAAAGGAACAAGTCGCAAGAAGAAGGAAAATGGTATCATCGAAAATACTCCCGTAACAAAAGGAGAGAGAGAGCAGTAGCACCGCCCACCCACCCGCTAAACCATCAATATACCCTCCCTTACACACACGCACACAGAAAACTAATCCATCAAGCAACCATGGCCTGATACTCCCCGGCTTTCCCCTCACTCCCATTCAGCCTCGCATTCGCATGCGCAAGGCTCGACTGCGCGGCTTCCTGTAGCTGCGCTTCTACGTGTCTTTCCCTCTCGCGATCAGGGGGCGAGTTGCGCGTGGATGGTAATCGGGAGTCGTAGGGGAGACCATGTGGGAGGTGGTATGACGGGGGTTGAGGTGTGAGACGTCCATTCGCACTGGCATGGCCTCCATTCACGACCTGCAAGCCCGGGAGTGTGGGGCTCATCATGGCGGGACTCGCTGTGCTGGCGCGGTCTCCCTCGTGGTCACTTGTCTCGCTGTGTCCGCCGCTGTTGGATCCCATGGGGTGTGCGTATCCGCCTCGCAGTTCTGGCTCGCGGACGTCTTTCCACGAGCACTTTGCGTGCTTCTTTGTGCAGCCCATGCACGCAGTCAGGTTCTTGAGGCAGTCCATGTGCAGTCTGCGACACCGATCGCAAGGGGGAAGAATGCGCTCCCCTTTTGCGAGCGACTCCATGCGGTGCACCATTTCCGCCTTGAAGGGGCCACCGTCGTCTTTCTCTTGAGAGTGCGTGGCGCGTTGGCTGGCGGCAGGAAGGAGGTTGGATGGTGTGTTCGGGATCGGGACGGGCGAGTTCATGAGAGATTGGAGCTCCGACTCGTTGAGTTGGGTTGGTCGGGGAGGGGGCTGTGATGGTGCTTCAACAGGCTTTGGTGGAGCTCGCGACACATTTGTCATGGGGGTCGATGGGTGTGAGATGGTGTGAGCTCCTACGGATGGCCGTCTAGCGTCTGTTGGGCCGTTTGGGGGCTGAGATGAAGGGCGACGTTCGTTGAGGGTGTGGAATTTGTTCAGCAGATCGTGGCGCGTTGTGGAGGATGTGCCGTTCCCGTTTGATTCCTGACGAGAGCGGGCATTGACTGCTATGAAACCACTAGGCGAGGTTTGCGACGCTTGGTTCACAGGAGGGAGGCTTGAGCTGCCGCCGTTCATGAGGGCGACATTGGAGGGGCTCGAGGGGCGGATGGGTGGGGCGGGGGTCGCGGTCGCTCTTCGGTCAAGGATGGCCTGTTTACGGCCCTTGAGTCTGTGATTAAGCTGGCGAGTGCGGGCAGCAACTGTGTGATGTTAGTTGTCTGAAGGACTGGCGTGCGCAAATGACGTATGGTGAGAATGGACCACAGATTCAGCTCATCTTGGAAACGAGCATGTACAAGTGCAGGAAAGTTGGACATGCATAAACTCACCTTGATCAGCCAGTTGGCAGATCTGACCCAGATTCTTCTCCAGTATTTCAATCGTGCCCAGCTCTTTCTCCTCGTCCTCGATGATGGGCTGCGGCGGGATCATCTTCTGCGGAATGCCCGACGAGATGAGTACGTAGTCCTCCTCTGAGATCTGGACGCGACATTGCTTCGTGTAGAACTGGCAAACGCGCACGCCCTCGCTCATCTGCCCAAGCTGGAACTGTTCAGACTTGTTGCGCGCAAACTCGACGACGTCCAGCCAAGTCACCGTCGTCCCATCCTTGCCATGGCTCTTCAGCACGCGTGGAGGCCCGTCAAACAGGCGCTCGAAGCGCTTGATCAGGATGGGTCCCAGCGGCCGGGCGCCCAGGTTGCAGGCCATGCTCTCATGGCGGTCGAGCACACCCTGGTAGTCACCCAGCAGCGACAGGATGTTGGGCAGCGTGTCATCGTTGGTAATAAGCGGGAGATCCTCGTCGAGATGGCGGGCAAGATAGTTGATCTGCAGGTGGTTGTGCGTCTTGGCGGACTTTGGCAGTGGCGCAGAGGCCGAGTGCAGCTCATGCGTCGACGGACTCCGCTTGCGCTTGAGCTCGCTGGGCGCGGGCGGCGCGTGGTGCTGCGGATTCATCGTGGGCTCGCTCGCCGTCTGGGGCATGTCCAGGCCGCACGCAGGGCAGTCGGGGCGGTGTTAGGGCAGTGTCGAGACGCTCGCAGCGGGCGCCCGGAGGAAGCAAGTGAGAAGGGTGGAGCTGAGGCAGCGGAAACGCTAGCAGGCAGGCCAGGGCGCACTAAGCATCAACGCACCATATCGCAGAGGACATCAGCAAGGACGGGTCGCAGGAGAAGAGAGCGAGCAGAGGGAGCAGAGGATCGCGACGATGGCGGAGGACACACGGCGGAGAGCAGCAGCGGGTGGGGAGAACAGCCACAGACGACGACAGGAGCCGCTGCTGACAGGATGCAGAGGCACCCGGAAATAACGCCTCGCTGCGAGGGCGGAGTCCGCAGCCAGTCAGCGCCCGCGACGCTCGAGATATCGCGGGTCTAGGCTAGACCAGCCCTGATAGGAGTCTCGCGTTCCGGCGTGAGCCAGACGCCGCACCCCCGAGACGAGCAGCGAGGCGTGTCAGGAGCAGCTCCGCGGGCCACGTAGCTACGTAAATGTTCCGTCTTGCCTCACGGCACATAGGCACGGCGGAAAACGCGCGACCATGGCCAGTGCGAGGGATGACGACGGCCGTCGCGAAAATGCCGCAGTGCATCCGTCTTCGGCACCAACGCCCACTGGCCGTCTAAGCGGAGAGCCTGGACGTCGCAGCGGAAATCTTCTCTTCCACCCCTGCGAAGGCTAGCCGAACCCGTCACGTGCACTCGAGGAACGCAGCCACACAGCGTAGTGGGAGCTGGAGCGGCACGTCACCGTAAAGCGCGTACACCCACACACAAACACACCCCCACTCTCAGACCTCACACCATGTCTGAGCGCGGCGCATTCCGGGGGCGAGGAGGCGGACGAGGCGGCGACCGAGGAGGGAGGGGCGGAGGTCGAGGCGGCGCACAGGGCGGAGCTGCAGCGGGACAGACAGAGCGGCCCAAGAAGGAGAACATCCTCGACTTGAGCAAGTACATGGACAAGCAGATTACCGTCAAGTTCAGCGGTGGACGCGAGGGTGAGTGCGGGTGTAGAGGCAGAATCCAGACGTGCTGCATGTCTGGAAGGAAGGAGCGATGCATACTAACTTCGCGCAGTCATTGGGACACTCAAGGGCTATGACCAGCTCATGAACCTTGTCTTGGATGAGGTCAAGGAGGCTATGACGGGTATGTCCTTGGTCACTTCTTGCGTTTCAGCTATATTGACTCCCGCCAGATGACGAGGGTAACGTCAGATACCGCAAGCTTGGCCTTATAGTCGCACGCGGTACCCTTCTCGTTGTAATATCTCCCATCGACGGCAGCGAAGAGATTGCGAACCCCTTCATAGCAGAGGAGGAATGAACTGTCAATTCGGGTTTGGATGGGGCCGACAATGGGAACTTCGCGAGCTGGACTCAGCCATGGCAAATCTGGTCAGCCGTTGATATAAACAAAGCTAGCAGGAGGAGACCAAAAGGAACCGAACTCAGCATGATACCCACGAGGCATTTCTGGGACGACCGGACATGGCGATACGATATACGACATCAAAAGCACACGACAGTATGGCAGACATGGGAAGGATGCGTCGGCCCAGACGTGGCCTCTCGACACTACCATGGCGAGCGTACATACCAATCAAGATATCTAGAACAATTGCGTTTCGCATTAGTGGACATGCTGTATCCATCTGCCAGTATGCATGCTGATTGTAGTCACACTGCTGAATTTTCAAATCGTCATCATCCGTGATGCGTTTGATATTTGGCAAAGATCGGGGATCTTGGGAGCGAGGGTGTCTTGGTGTGGTACCAAAGCACATCACCATTACGGTACTTACCAAGTGTTTAATATATGTGAATAGCTGAGATAAAGTGAGATACACGAACACGAGGTAAATTTCAGAACCACACAAGCGACACCTTGAACAGTACAATAGATGAATTCATTAGAGATATCGTCCATCCACACCGTGGTGTAAATACAGATCTGACCTGACTCTCGACCAATCGAAAGACCAGAAACCAAGGTGCAGCGAGACCATGCAACAGCTTGACAACGACAACGAAGTTTAGTATAAGAATCTTCTGCCAGAATTTTGTGCAGTTTACACCTTGCGTGCACTTTAACAAGTTTTGATTGTGTAGTTTTGCGGCTTGTAGGAGCCACAAAGAAAGTAGCTTGCTTCCAGCTTTACACTTGACCCATCGACGTGATGTGTTATTGCCTCGCTTACTCAGCCGACCAATTTTAGTGCTGTAGGATGCATCTTGAAACGCGGACAGGCATGCGACGGCTCGATATATGGACGAAACCACGTGTATTCGGTGAGCTACCCTGCACTTCACTGTGCAAGAGGTGGTCGCGCGATGATGTGGTGGCTGTGCTATGCTGCGCGCTGAGATCGCCATCGCCATGTTTCACCAATCTTACCTCGTTCAGGCGTGCGCCAGGCACCAGTATCGTTGACTGTCAGCTGTGCATCTCTTCTCTTCCTTCCTGTAACATCTCAACTCCATCGTCGTATTTAATCCCGTGTACTTATATATTGTCGTCCAATAAGGGGTCATCGTATCGCATCATCAGCCGGATCTTTCAGGATAGTCTCGACGCAGGAGGACGTCGCAACCTCGATTTTGGGTAGTAGTCGGCCAGGACACGATATCGTTGTTTGGAGCCGGACCTGCTGGTTCTCAGTTTTGGCCTGTCTCGACCTACAACCGACCGTTGTAAGCGACCGCAAGCGCGACAGCAAACCATGGACAACTCACAAGCCGACAATGCCATCGAGATCAAGTCCATGCTATCAAATGGCGGGCTACCATCGTCATGGATATCTAATTCTCAGTACGATCTGACCAACGCCGCTCCCTTGGTCACCCTCCTCACATTACTCATCCCTCTCTCACTCTACTACATGCACAAACACTACCAAAAAATGCAAGACAAAAACAGAAAACCCTTTGCATTCACCGCCCTCCCCAGAGAGCTACGAGACATGATCTACACCCACCTCCTCGAAGACCCAATCTACCCCCTCCCACCCACCAGCCCAAGCAGCAGCTCATCCTACTGGATCATCCCCGGACGATGGACGGCGCCCATCCTGCGCCCCCAGCCGCGCGTGCCCAAGAAGGGAAACTGGGTCCTCCTCGCCAACAAGCAATTGCACGAAGAATTCATGGACCTCGTGTGCAAAAGGCGGACCCTACACCTCACCGTCTCACCCCACAACTACCAGAAACCCTGCACATCTTCCGACGGCAAGCCCGAGGCAGAGAAACCAATATGGACTATTGCGCCCTCGACACTCCAGAACACTCGCACGTGCAACCTCCAGCTCGTTACTACGTCCAGCATGCTCGGCGTCTCGGACCCGCGCAACATGAAGAGCGACGACTGGGCGCTCGCGCGGCAAGTCCGCCGTGAACTGCGGCATATGAGTAACGTCACGTCGTTCGCGCTGGACGCGAAAGCCATCGGTGACCCACTGTGGAACCCACTCTGGATCTGGTACCACGCGAGTCAGTCCTTCAAGGACATGGGCACCGCGTCTTCGTTGTCGTCTTCCCTGTCGTCGACTTCATCTGCACCGCCGCCCTCGTCTTCTTCTTCTTCCACGGGCCCAAAACTCCACAAGATCACTTTCTCGCTGGATACGTGGTCGCCGGGGGAAAACCATCTCGAGCGCGATGCTAAGGGGTGTTGGGTGTGGTATTGCCTGGCTGGACATGCGGTAGGGGCGGATGGCGGGGCGGATATGACGGTGAGGGAGTTTTGCGCGAGGCTGTATCAGGAGTGTGTGGTTTGTCGGCCGGTACTCGAGGGCGAGGAGGAGTGACTAGACGGCGAGGAGTGGGTGGTGAGGCAGGATTGGATGCGGCAGCTGTTGGCTCGGTATGAGAGTTTGCATGCTGTGGGGTGGTAGAGGGAAGGGGGAGGCACGAAAATTGGCGGCGTATGATGTGGTTCGTGGGTACATAGCATTGGGGGTTGTTTTACAGCGGGCGTTTTTATCATAACGTTACATTAATATTCCGAGCTTGATCTCCATCTCATGCTCATCCCACCAGCCCCTCTATTTCCCCTTCCCTTCCCCCACCATCTCCCCCGCAACAACCGTCGCAAACCGCGCCATAACCTCAACATTCTTCTCCCGACTCATCATCTCATCCCTCTTGCTAATCTCTGCCAGAATCTTGAAATAATCAATATAAAACGCCGGCGTAAACGTATTGAAGAACTTGGCCTCCTCGTCCCCCGGGTTCGAAAATGTATGTGGCGCGCGTATCGGCACCGTTACGTAGTCGCCTACAGACGCGTCGTGGTACGCGCCGTCTGGTGCGTGGAAGCGCACTGTGCCGGCTGTTACGAGGAAGGTCTCGTCGTGCATTTCGTGCCAGTGTGCTGGCGGGCCGGCGGTGTGCGGGGGGAGCGTAAATTCGGCGGAACCGAGGCGGTTGTCTGGGGGTGTGTGTTAGATGATACAGTGTGTGTACACGTGAGAGGGCGATTGCTCACCTGTTCGCGAGCCGTCCTCCATGATCCTGCATGTTATGTGGCCGAGCTTGAGGATCTCGCCGGATGTTGCGGAGACGAAGTTTATTGGGCGACGCGGCATTTTCATGCTTGCGAGGGCTTGTCGGGCTTCGTCGTCCATGGCTGTGAGTAGCGCTGGTGGTGCTGGGATGTATTGTGCAGTTGGGGATGGGAAGTTCGAGAAATGGGAAGATAGTGAAGAAGAGAGAGAACGAGAGAAGAAGGATAGAAAGAACGAAAGAAAGAATCAGCGGGAACATGGACTAGTGCATAAGCTCTTGTATGGTAAGTTGCGGAGAGCCGGTGGTACGACGAGGCGCGTTCTACTGTACCTTGATGCACGCATTCAAAGATACCATTGGTCGAGAGGCGTCTGAAATTGAACGTAGGAAGAAACGGTGCGTAGCTAAGCATCCAGTTCCATGATGAGCCTCATGTGATATGGTGTTCGAACATGATGCTGGTGTTGGAGGAACTGCCCCGCATCCGTCATGACAGATTGCGGGGTACCGCTAGCGTTGTCAGCGCGTGCTGGACGCGCTTTCTTAGCAAAGATCAATTTGCTCACACACGTCCAGCACAACACCAATCTTGATTCACCCACTTACAGCAACTCACACAGCTGAAAGACACGCGTCATCACTTACAGGAGCCACGACCATGGCGAAGAAACTTTTCACCGTCCTCGAGAATAACCCGCAGGTGATGAACCACCTTGCTCAAGCACTTGGCTTGGATGACTCGCTCTCCTTCTACGACATCTACTCGCTCACCGACCCCGACCTGCTAGCCTTCATACCCAGGCCTGTCTTCGCGCTGCTGGTCATCATACCTCTCACCCCTACATGGCACGAAGCTCGAACGGCCGAGGATAAGGACAAAGGCGAGTATGAAGGCAAGGGCGCGGAGGAGCCTGTTGTCTGGTTCAAGCAGACGATAGGCAATGCCTGTGGGAGTATAGCTCTCGTTCATGCTTTGATCAACAGTGAAGCATCACAGCACATCCAACCGGGTTCTGAGATCGACAAGATCCACAAGGATGCCTTGCCTAAGATGATGTGGGAGCGAGCAAAGGTGCTTGAGGATTCGGAGACTTTGGAGAAAGCTCATGCTGAAGCTGCCAAGCTTGGAGATACCGCTGCGCCTACACCAGTTTCAGACGAGCACACTGGACAGCATTTTGTAGCGTTTGTCAAAGCTCGTGACGGTCATTTATGGGAACTCGAGGGCGGTCGCAAAGGTCCTCTAGATCGAGGCGCGCTTGGTGAAGATGAAGACGTACTCAGTCCTGCGGCGCTCGAGAAAGGCTTGGGGAGACTCATGAAGATTGAGTCAGATAGAGGAGGTGACTTGCGATTTTCTGCCATCGCCCTTGCGCGCAGCTTCGACTGATGAGACTTTCATACGCAAAGCGACTTGCATGAACGAAGAAAAGCTCCTACTCCAGCTCCAAATATGACAAGCACACTATCACCCACTAATATCGTGGGCCTATCGCTGCTTTCTATTAAGCGCTGGCCTTCAGCCGCACTGCCAAGCGCTCGATCAACGTCTAGATTCTTTGCTTCATGCACCCTTCGTGCGACACTGATCTCAACATACACCTGATAACTGAACATGTGCGGACTCCATCTTGAATGAGGCTCCAGGATGTCTGTGATAAGCACACCGTTTGCCACATCTACCGAACAACTTACAAGCTTCTTCGACGCTTCCCCGCCTCGTGAAGTGTTCGAGGACGTTGACATCGACTATGTGGCTCGTTTGCTTCGACACTGCAACCACATTGCGCAAAGATGTCCTAGAACTTACATCGTTCTCCGGACAGTCGGTGAACTAGATCACTTGGAACGATTGATCAACGAGCGTTTCAGCGATGGTTGGTTCCCAGTCGACGTGCTCCGCCTCCCGAGTTTCCTGGATCCTCGGGTCAAAAACAAGATTGTACAGGGCCAACATATCATCTTGACCAAGTCACTCAACCTGGAGAATGGCAAGCACAGCCATTTCGATTCTCAAGAGACTCTACCATTTGAGGAATTGGGCCGTATTGGCAGCGGGACAGGTGGTCAGGTGGATAGAATTGAGAGCAAAATTAGCTTCAAGCAATATGCTCTCAAGAGGATATCACGACGGGTCAGATACGGTCCCACCAAGTCAAGAGAAACGGTGGACCAGATCCTCGTTGAGATGAAAATTCTGAAGAGCCTAAATCACAAACACGTCGTCAAGTATGTCGGAAGCTACACGAACAGCGTTCATCTTGGTATTGTCATCTCGCCGTTGGCGGATATGGATCTTTCTACATATATGCAGCAAGCCTCTGCTACAACGCAACTACGTCCGACGCTACAGACGTTTTTCGGCTGTCTGGCTGCTTCAATCAACTACCTACACGACAAGGAAGTAAAACATAGAGATATAAAGCCACAGAATATCTTGATCTACAAAAGCAATGTCCTTATCACCGACTTTGGCCTTTCTCGCGACTTCTTGGACACGACATCTGGACGGACGTCTTCTACTCCACGCTACTGTCCACCCGAAGTTGCAGATTGGAAAAAGCGGAACTGGTCCGCTGATATTTGGTCGATGGGATGTGTCTTCTTGGAAATGGCGGCCGCACTCCATGGACACGATGTCATGTGGGTTAGGACGTATTACGAGGGTCATCATACACGCAAAACACATTTCCACGCGAACTCCGAGGCAACAGAGCAACTGCTATCTGAGTTCGAGGCGTCTTGGGACGAGAAAGAGAAGATCTTATTGACTTGGATCCGAAGCATGATGGCAGAAGATCGCGAAGCCAGACCTACAGCAGCACGAGTAATCGAGTTGATCACCTCCGTCGACGAGCCGGATTGCAGTCCGACAACCTTCTGCGGCATATGTTGCGCCACCGATGACTCTGCGGATTCGGTAGGTAGCTTCCACGACGATTTCGATTCCATCTCTATCTCCGTCTCGATGCAATCCACTGACTTGCCAAGTGAGTCACTGGTGACCGACGGAATGGTTGAATATATAGAGCTTGAGCCGTTGACGAAGGTCAAAGTACGATATCATTTTCCAAGTACGGTTTTCTCAAGGGCTGTATCAGCCAAATATTCATTACGTCCCGGATTGACACTTGCGTAGGTATGATGCCCTTCGTCAAGGGTAGTAGCCATATGATCTATCGTTTTTCTTCCGGGGTTGGGTACGTTGTTCTCGGAGGGATATCATGTAAGTATCCTCCGCTGCTACATAGCCCTCTTACTACTTTTCGACCGGACTTTTCTCTTATCTAATTTGTCCTCAGATGTAGGGCCAATCATAAAAGGCAGTGGCCAGTTGATCTATTTTTTCGCTTGCAAGCCCGGCAATGTTGCTCATGGAGGATGGATATGTAAGTATTTGTGACCGGTGGTCTTGTTTGTATGTCCTAATCAAGCTCTACGTAGATATGACCAACACGATTTCCGGTTTAGCATCGAAGCCTTATGGTGTCGCCCTTGCCGTTCTTTCTTATTGTAAAAAGCCGAAAGGTGAGCATTCACGTCTGCTTGTTGTGTTGATGCGTCTCGGCTAAGTTCCCGCAGATGATATAATCTTAATCATAGAGATCATCTCGTTTATAGGTTGTAAGTGTCTTCCTTGCTCTTTATATAAGACCAGTTGATTCATTTTCATGTCCAGCAATCATCTTGTGCGCCATCTTGTGCACCCAAGCCATGATTTTCAAAAGCATTATATATCAATTTCAAGCGTCTATAGGCCACATTTGGAGGACCGCGTTCCGGATATCACTGCCCTTCGCAGGAATTGAAGCAGTGGTATATGCTTATATTCTGTACAATTGTTATAGCGTACTTGGATGCGCACCTACCAGTGGATTTCCGTTATTCATCTACGTGTTCTTATCCTTTATCATTGGATTTTGCCTTATAGGCTCTGGCTATATTAAAGATCCATTCGAGTACACTGTACCGGCTGGAGCTTCGTACACCCAGCGGAAAAGATGGGAGGAAAAAGAGGCGCAGAAAACCGTTGGGGAAAGAGTTGTCGATTATGTCAGGTGGTTATTCAACCTCGAATACCGGTCGCCTGTCGACGACAGACGATAATCCGAACGATTAGCAAATACCTGCCCGTTTCTGAACAGGACTGTGTCCATTAATGACTTGAGACCTGCCAATTGTTCCTATTTGTTAGCATCTTGGTGGTCTGTGAAAACCCTGCATCACTCTTGGCCCTAAGGTAAAAGCTCTGAACGCAATTGACGAAGCGTGGATCTTCCATAATTAACGCATACATATTCTTTACCATCTTTTTGCATAGTTGTCTAAGTATCTTGAGACTTGACTGCATCTCACCTTCAATATCTTCACTCAACTGGAAGGTAGGCCAACATGAGCTATACATACAAGCAAGAGAGCCTTGTCTTTTCTAGGGTGTCGAAAGTATCTTGCAAACCATGGTACCCATCTTGGTTGCTCGGCCCATGTGTTAATCTATTCCCATCAATCGAGTGCCGTGTTGCAATCACACAGTTTTCGCGCAAGATCAAGGGAATGACAAGCACGCAAGATCTAAACACAACGCAGATATGAGTTTAACAAGATCGTGTTTCCTACTAGAATCTTGGTATTGGCTCGTATCCCTTTCGAACCGGAACCACTCATATGCTGACTACCAGCTAAGCTCAAGACCTCTACTCCTCCTCAGACTCACCCTCCGCATCCACATCCTCATCGCCGAACCTCACCCTCTTAGCCCGACTTTCGTCAACCCCATTCAGCTTCACATCGTCCACTTCAAACTCTTTCTCCCGCAGCCTGTCACTATAAGCAACTTCCCTATAACACGGCATCCCATGCTTCGCATGCTCATGGTACCGTTTGCACCACGCACCCTCCTGCGTCTCCTCGATCTTCAGCGTCAGCTTCTTCCCCACCATGCGCAAACTCGTGCACATGATGTCGAACACGAGATCCGGATGCGCGAACCTTCCCCGTTCTGCCCACCTCTCAAACACGTCCTCAACCCCCTGTCCACAAAGCGTCATCGCATCCGCCCAAAGCAGTCGCGCACCACAGAGCTTGCGCGTGTGCTCATACAACTCGTTCAAAATGTCCACGTCGAAAGACGTCACATTAGGCTCGAGCTGTGGATCAAGAACACGTAATCCATAGTCCGGCGCGTCTTCATCAAACCCCACACCTGTCCTGCCTTGCTTCACTGCTTCGATGGCTTTTCTGAGCAAGATGGTGTTTTCGCGCCATATGAGTTTGCTCTTCTCAGGATCCTTATTTAAGGTTTGGAATGCGCGGATCCATGTATCTGCAATCATGTCGCATGTATGCCATTGTCGCGCTTGATAGCTGATGAGGTAGAGATGTGTGAGGAACTGTGCGGTGTAGGGGTCTTCGCCACCTGTAGTGTTGGCGAGGGTGGGTAAGTCGATTTGTATTGTGGGACGGCTTTGGAGCGCGCTGAGGATGCTGTAGACTGCAGGGTCGGTGGCTGCGGTGAAGGGGTGCGGAGACGAGGGACCGAGTGTGGAGGAGGATGACGGGTCGTGCTCTGGGTGGTGGTTGAGTGCAATTTTGGGTGGACGTCCGCGGCGCTTGGGCGGTTGGTGAGTGGTCGTGAAGGGGGCTGGTGAAGATGTTAACGAACGGATGGAGAAGATCAGTCGAGGACTTACGTGGTGAGCTTGCTAAGTATGATTGGTACCCATCATCATAATCATCGTCGAGTTTATCAATCACCTCGTGATCCAGGTTGAGCTGGTCGAGCTCACTTCCAGTCACAACATCATCGTCTCGCTTCCTTTTGATCGCTCTACCACTGTGTGTCGTCCTTTCTGACCCTGCTGCGGGAAGATCGTGCCGTCCGAATATTGAAGGAGGAGAAGGGAGTTGATGTCCCGCAGGGGCAGCATTAGCAGCATGGCCTCCACCGCCACCCTTCGGCTTCAAGCTCAATATCAATCGCGGTTTCGGACCTGTGGACTCCAGCACCGGTGTGGCCGACTTCGTTGACGGTCGCTTAGCGGTTTTCTGCTTGCCGACCCGGCCTGTTGCGACAGTCTTTTGGTTCCCCATGACACTACCTGGGAAATGCGAATATATTCGACTAATCCAGTGATGAATTTTTCGGTTGAGACGAGCGTTGAGTATAGAGGTGAATCGGAGTCTTAATGTTACAGGCGAAGAAGTAAGGCGCCAATCCAAGGTAAAGGGCCTGGGGACGCTCAGGTGAAGGCAGCGTAATCTGCGGCGATCTGCGGTATTCTGCGACTACTTACGGCATTCTACTACGTCCTGCACGGTGTGGCACGGGCCTTGGCGGTCGTCAAAAGCGCACGGGTGTTTGTTTGCCGCAGTGAAAGACCGAAGAGTCGAGGGTGACGAGCAACGTGAAGCTTTTGTAACGCGTGTTTTGAACCCAGATATTTGCGTAGTGAGATGTCGTACAGGAGTGTGAAAGTCCAGCAAACTCAGATGCGGCCTCTTCTGTTGTACTAAATGATCAAAAAGCGGAATCTTATTGTCAGCATGCCTACAAGAGTGAATAATGGAGGTGATGGCTGTCTCGAGAGATCCTAGAGACGCAACACATGTTCCCAAGAAGATGTCGATGTAAAGGCTGTGAGATGATGTCGACCATGATTTGGTAGAGCACACGAGAAGAGTGTTACGGAAAGAAGACTCGAGAGACAGCATGAATTGTCGAGCAGAGGATGAAAATGGACAGGAACACCTGGACACTTTAGAAGGAACCACTCTCCCCATCGACGCGATCGCAAAGGGAAACTACAACTCCTCACCCTTCACATATACACGCAAGTTCGGGTTTACTTTCTTTTCTAGACAAGATTCCAACATTTTGACTGCGGTTTAGATGGCGGGCAACTATGCAGAAGATTCGCTCTGAGACCTTGCAGTCAGAAACGAAGACGATGCTGTTGTAGTTCGTTTCTGGATAAAATTCGAGGCGAACAAGAACACACCCATGGTTTGATATGAGGATGTAACAAGTAAGTAGTACAAGGACCAGCGGTACGCGGTGCAACATTTGTGACGCGGTACAATTCTTGTACCGAGATTCGGGTATGCGGGCTTATAGTTTAGCCGTTCGCATCTCGCAGGATTCTCAATACCTCGCCGAGTTGAGAGTAATATTGTGCTTTAGGTTTGCGTGTTTTTCCAGACTGGAGTCTTGCAACGATTGATGTAACAAGGAAGGCGGCCTACCGTATTGTAATGTAGTACATACAGTCAGCTATCTTACTAAATCTGCTAACTACTAAAATTAAAACATTATACTATATAATTATAATAATTACTAGCACGTAAAGCGTTATAAAAGAAACTAAATATTACTAAATATAATAAACCTAGTATATTTTTTCTTTTATAAGCTAATAATTCTATTATTATTATAGTTAAGTATTATATTATAAATTAAAATACTTTTATTACCTAATTTAAGCCTTATAGAAAGACGTATATAATTAAAAGCTATTATATAAGTAATAGTTTACTATTAGTATTACTTTACTATTACTAAAATTTAGTAAATTAGGTTTTTATTATTTACTATATTATCTAGGTAAACTAGCCTACTTATTATTATATTTAGAAGAATAATACTTAAAGTTATTAAGGTCTTCTAGCTTTAAAAAGTTATTATTATTATTATTATTATTTTTATTAGTAGTATTAATCTTAGTAGTAGTAGTAGTAGTATATTTTATATTTTTAATTTTAGCTTATTTACGTTAAGCCTTTAAAAATATAAATAGTAAGTAATAATAATAGTATAATAGAACTATTATACTTATTTTTTTTTTCTTTTACTATAACTTTATAGCTAGCTAAGTTATCTTTACCTAAAGTTATTCTTTATTTATATCTTTTAAGTCTATATTATAGTATAAACTAAAAGTAAGGTTTAGCCTTATATTAAAAATAAGAAATTTAATATTTAGTTAAGAATTTTTAATTTTTAGTTTAAAATTTTTAATTTTTAGTTAAAGATTATTAATTTCTAGTTAATAATTTTTAATTTTTAGTTAAAGATTTTTAATTTCTAGTTAAAAATTTTAAATTTTAAATTAAAAATTTTTAATTTCTTACTTAAAATTTTTATTTAGTATAACTTTTTCTACGTATTATTAGCTTAAGTAATAGTTTAATTATATAATTATATATATAAAGCTTTCTTTATAACTTCTACTCTATAAGTAATTAGTATAAGTAATAGTACTAGGTAACTATTATACTTATAAGCTATTAAGAGCTTATTCTTTTTAGTAAGTAGCTTAATCTTACTAGTTAGTCTAGTATTAAAGTAAAGTAAAAGAAGAGGTATATTAGTTATACCTAATATACCTAAGACTATATAGTAAAGAGCCTAAAGAACTATAAATTACTTTATTAAGTATTTATTATAGTATATAGTACTTATATAATAAGTATTATAAAATCTTTTAAAAAGGTTATTAAAGAATTTAAAAGTATAGTTATAGAATTTAGTTATTATAAATTAGTTACTTATTTTTTAAAGTATATACTTCTTCTTATGTTCTATATTTATAAAGCCTAAAATACCTAATACTATAGCCTATTAGTATACTTTTATACTTAGCTATATATTAATTATTAGCTAAAGAGTATAAAGAAAGTATATTATATAAAAAGTAATATCTATATTTTTTAATTAAATAGTAACTTATTTATTATAAATAGCTATAATATTAGTAGCTAAAAGTATATTAGCTATATAATAATTTATAAGTACTATTACTTACTTTTAAAAATTACTATAGCTATATACTTAACTATAACCTAAAAAGTATTAATTTTACTAAGTTAAAAATAAACTTTATTAATAAAAATACTATTAGTATATAAACTAAGAAACTTAGTAGTAAAGTTATATATTACTCTTTACTATAGTACTTTATAGGTTATTAACTTAAAGTTCTTTTAAGCTTTATTAATCTTATAAAGAGATTTATTAATAGGTAATTAGTAATAGTTAATATAACTATTACTATAGTTTACTTACTTAAGTTATAAGTATACTTTTTCTTTAGTTTAATACTACTAAGTATAACTTTACTAAAGATCTTATATTTATATATCTTTACTATTAAACTTATAGTACTAGCTTTTATAATTCTATTAAGAGTAAGGCCTTAAGTAGTTAGTAATAGTCTAATTATATTATTATATTATATAAATAACTAGTAATACTTTTTTTACTTCTTTTCTTAAAAGTACTAGCTATTATAAGCTATATATATTAAGTTATATAAAGGTTTAGTTTTAAATTAAAAAAGTAAAGAATTAGTAAACTAGTATTTAGTAGTAAAGATATAGTAGTAGCTAGGCCTATATTATACTAGTATAGTTTATATACTAGCTAAATAGTACTAGAAATTTATTAAAGTTTTAATCTTACTTATACCTTTAATAACTACAAATAAGATCTACTAGCTATACTAAATTATTTAATAAGCTAGTAAAAATAACTAAAAACTATTACTTTTTATAAAATAGCTTAATAAAAGTATATATATATATAAATATATACTTCTAGTAATTTTACTTTACTTAAGTATAATACTATACTACTATAGCTACTTATACCTTTATTTATACTAATACTTATACTTATACTTATACTTATACTTACGTCTATACTTTTTATAACTAGTAATTTATATATACTTTATTGCTAAAAGGCTAAATAGAAGTAGATACTATAGTAGAAATATATTACTACCTTTTAAAGTACTTTTTATAAGTTACTTATAAACTAGAAAGTCTATTAAATAAAGGTAAATAATATATAAGTAATAAGTCTTAATTTAAAAGAAATAAAGAAGTTTAACCTTTATTTTTCTAACTAAGTTTAATATAAGTATATTAAAGAGCTGTAAGTTAATATAATAGTTACTTTATACTATTACTAATAATTCTAAGTAAGTAACTAACTAACTTTAAACTTAAAAGGCTAA